AGATTTTGAGCTTCAAAGTCCACAACGTTGTATCTACCCTATAAAGTGAATAAACGATTTCTTTTTTATTTCATTTTTAACTTATGACTCTTCTATAATAATATTCTCTGTTTTGTTTTTCTTTTGTAATTTCCTTCCATTTTATCAAGCTGTTTTAGGGATGCTGTCGAAATCGCAAATTCGGCATATTTTTCTTTTCAAATGAAAATTCGGTTCTTCAGCAGCTGATGCAACGAGGGAATTGGATGAATGGAACGATGGAACAATGAATGGAAGCATGAATGCAATGGCGATGAAACAGCTTTGTATGACACTGTGGTAAAGTGGTAAAGTGGTTCCGGTGTTTTTTTAACCGGTGACAAATCTCTCGAAGAACACACAGGTTGAGGCTGGCCAATGGAGGCCAATGGAGATCGAGCAAATTCTATTCGGCAAGCCAGATATAACCGCTGAGGAGATAGCAGAGAAGTTACAAGTTTCTCACCAAGCTATTTCGGAACATCTTCATAAAATGGGGAAAGGGGTGAAAGCTCGAAACTGTCGTGTCAAACGATTTGCCTCAGTCGCAAAAGAAACAGCGTCTGGAGGTGTGCTCGGCTCTTCTCACACGGGACAAAACGAGCCTTTTCTTCAACGAATTGTAGCTTGGGATGAAAAATGGATTATATACGACAATCGAAAGCGAAAATACGAATGGGTAGACAAAGGATGGTCGACAAAATCGTTTGCAAAAGTGAGCCCTCATTCAAAGAAGCTAAATGATTGCCGTTGGAGCTCATTCAAAGAATCTCATGATCGGTGGTGCCGTAAAAGGTCTATTCATTATAGCTTCTTAAAAAGCAGTGAAACAATGGATTTTGATCGTTACATTCAGGAAACAAAAGAAGTCGCCGAAAAACTGAATAAACTTGATCCAGCTTTGGCGAATTGAAAGGATCCTTTACTTCTGCACGACAACGCAAAACCGCATGTTTCTATAAAGACGATTAAGTTTCTAAACGAGATTGTCTATGAAGTTGATAATAATGGTGATTATATTGATCACCCACGATATTCGGATTTATCGCCTACGGATTACCATCCTTTCAAGCATCTGAGTCATTTCCTGGAAGGCCAGCACTTCAAAGATGATAGTGAGCCAAAAAAAGGCCATCGAACAATTTTTGTCTTCGAAATCCGAAAATTTCTGTTCGGATGGAATTGATTCTCTTCTCTGATCTTTGATTCTCTTTTGTCGCGTTAGCAGAAAGTTATTGATAATAATGGTGCTTTTTTGATTCTTAAACGCCTCCTTATAAATAAATGTTAGCTCAAAGTTCAATCCCCAAATCTGCCATTAATTAATTGCGTACCTAATACTTGGCAGCTGTTTACTTTTTTGTAGAACAGTGGAGCGGTCACGCAAAGAACTCGAGAAACGCCGATGACCACTGCGAAAATGTTCACCGCATAGCCGACAGCTGAAAGACGATTGTTTGGCTTGGAATTGGGTAGAAATTAGATAAAAGGTTCTTGGATAGGAAGAAAGTGACGCAAGTTAAGTAACCAAAACATGCATTAAATAGAGAGTAAGTGCTTTGTCAAGCTCTCGACTTTCAGCTGCTGATTGCGGGCCGCCAGTAATCTTGGGCCGCCAATAATCTTGGGCCACCAACAATCTTGGGCCGCCAATAATCTCCTTGAAAAAATGGGGCCTCCGATAATCCCTCGAGGCCACCGCTATTAGGAAAGATGCTACTGGTTCTTGCCTCAACAAAAAGGTATTCAAGTAATCAGTTCCGGCTTTTTTTCATTATTCACTTTTCCAATTCACCTGTCAACGTGATAAACGAGATTTTCCCCAACCACCACCCATTGAACAGATAGAACTCGCGAAAAAAACCCAAACTCGCGGGCTCTCTGACGAAAATCTCAACCAAGTAGATTTCGATGTTGCACAGAACTGAAAAAGTGATTTCCATAGAATAGAATTTGTGTGATTTCCATAGAATAAATATCATACTACGTAAATTGATGGCTTTTAATGGTTATTTTAAATTTTACTGCCAGAAAAAATAGTTTTTGAGCCTCGAAACGTTGAAAACCAGGAAAATGAAAAAAAATTAGGCTACTTACAAACAACGAAAGCGATATACCGTATTTATTCTAATTCAAGCACAGTCTCCAATAGAAGCAATTTTAGGAAAGCGGTTGTAAAATAGAAGCACATTTACTTCTATTAGAATAGAATACGATAGATACATACCGTAAATACTATAATAGTACCCCATCCCTCCCCTCGTACAGTCGCGTAGTCGCAAAAGTTTTTTAGTATTTCATTTTTTGCAAAGCACCCGTACTTTCAAAAAATACGTCTTTGGTATCAAAAAATAGCCCTGAATTTCAGCTATTTTTTGATACCTTCGCGAGCATTATAGCATAAACCAGTGTCGAGAAAAACTCGTTCAAAGCTAGACTACGCAACGCTCTGCACCGTCATTATGGGGGTGGGGTACTATTACAGTATTTACGGTAGGTAAAGTAACGGTAAGCAAGTCTAATGCGGAAGTTTCTAAGGAACGAACAATTTGATTCTAATCCTCCACTTCAACACACGCATTATAAAAATTTTGACTTTATCAATCATTCCGAAAACACGTACACATATTTCGCATACAACTCAAAAAGATCGGACAAAGTTTTGAGTTTGATGAGCGTCCAAAAGTGATATAAATGGAGATGTCGATGAGGAGAGCGAATGGCATTAGAATGTCAATGAAAAGTGACACGTAAACAGACCAACTCAAAGCCATTTAAAGCTTTTTTCGATTCGAGAGATTTTCTTTGGTGGGTTATTTTGTAAGCACGCCAAAATTGATTTGAAAATGCATACCTAGAATTGACAGCTAATTGCCGGTTTCCAGTAGCAGCAGTTTTTCTCTATTTTGAGCAAATCAAATGGCTTTCAATCAAACAGAAAAAAGTGGAACAAAGTTTTTTGACTTCCCGGTTCCTCAGGAATTCATTCTGAATCGAATTGCGAATCGGAATTGCGAATGGAATTTATACTTTTTCAGCATCTTCTCCATAACATCATTGATCTCAAGAGATACCTCTGAAGCGTTGATTTGACGATTGTTGCTGTTGCTTGTTGCTGTTGCTTGTTGCTGTTGCTTGTTGCTGTTGCTTGTTGCTGTTGCTTGTTGCTGTTGCTTGTTGCTGTTGCTTGTTGCTGTTGCTTGTTGCTGTTGCTTGTTGCTGTTGCTTGTTGCTGTTGCTTGTTGCTGTTGCTTGTTGCTGTTGCTTGTTGCTGTTGCTTGTTGCTGTTGCTGTTGCTTGTTGCTGTTGCTTGTTGCTGTTCGCATCGAAACGGTTCAACTGTTGTATCTATTTATTTAAACGTGCTTTTGGCATCGCTCAACGATGACAATCTTCGAGAAGTCAGAGAAGATGGTCCAACCTTGTCGACTCGGAAACTTGCAACGATGTTTGCTTTAGGCCACACAACAATTGCGGACCATTTACATCGTTTGGGTAAAGCGAATCTCGTCGGAAAATGGGTAGGGTATCCCATCAACTTAATGAAGCTAATAAAGCTACTCGAGTGACTATGGCCGGTATTCTTTTTCGTCAATCAAAAAATCGAGGTTTTTGGGACACTATTGTGACGGCCGATGAAAAATGGATTTACTACGCTAACCCATCGCGAAAGCCGCAGTGGTTCAGTCCAGGAGAACAGCCAAAAACGACGCCACAACATGATCCGCATGGAAGAAAGGCCATGTTCTCTGTTTGGTGGAATTCCCGTGGTCTGATACACATTGAGGTTCTACATTCTCGTCCAACAGTTACCTCAGATCTATATGTGCAACAGCTGAAATGATTGGACCAGGCTCTCAAGAAGAGTAGGTTCGCATTCGGCTCAGATTTGGTTCAGATTTGGTAGGTCATTTTCTACTATATAGTCAAAAGCGAACTCTTGTGAAAGTGGGGTTCTAAAAAGTGCCCTTTTTTGGTCACTCGCATTTCGCCCTCGAAATTTCTTCAATGGTTCGATCAATTGAAACACGTTTTAGCCTATTTTGTAGAGAAGATTTACAACTTTCAAATAGTTTATAACATTCATCGATATCAGTTTATCGATATCAGGTTTCTACCGTTGAAAATTATGAAAATGTTGAAATCTGCATTTCTTATGCATGTACCTAATAAAATTGGAAACGATAAAAACGAGTAAATGATTGTCTTTTTTCGTTAAAATCCTCTCTAAGCCAAAGAAAGAATTCGGCTCATCGACTCTCCTTTTAGAGCATACATTAAATCCGTTGTTTGAGATCTGTTTGAGATCTGTTTGAGATTTGAGATTTGCGGGACATGTTCTTTCCTTTCCACACGAGTATGGCTAGTTGAATCATTCAGAATGTTCTCCATTAAAAGAAAACCATTAAAAATAATATTTTCAATACATTTGTCTAACTAAAACGAGTTTTATGCAAATTTCTCAACGCTTTATTCAATTGATTAACAAATTAAATATAACAATGATTAAGCGAAAGACAAAGAAAAGCAAAAAAGGGCAATACATGACATTTTTTACATCAATAATTGTAAAATCCTATTGAGAAATTGGAGAAAATTACTTTGACGTTTGTTTTTGAGGTAGGGGAAAATGGGGGAGTTGAACTGGGGAAAAGTGAAGATTACGTTCCGTTTTTTACGTTCTTTTGGTTGTTTTGTTACTTACTTTTGTTTAAAATCAACAAATGAAACATCAATCATCAACAAATAAAAAATCAAATGTTTAAAACAATCAAATGAAACATTTGAAACAAAATCGTATTGGTTTTATTTCAAAGCCTAAGCCTAAAACATGAAAACTGGCTAAACAAGAACTTAGAAAGGTAATTAGCTTATTTTATCGGCTTATTTTCTGCTTATTTTCTGTAAAATAACATGAAAACAAGTCTAAAGACTAAAACTGGCTAAGCAAGGCTTAGGCTTAGGATTAAGAAGGTAATTCACAATCGACTCGGTGGCTCGGGTGATGAGCCATCAGTGCGCAATCGATCCAGTTCACCATCGTTCAGATACTCGTCATTTTCCACCTAAAGCATTCACCATTTATCGATGTTGATTAGAAGATTATTGGGATGGGAAATAAATGGGATAGTTTAATGAAAATCGTTTGTTTTTCTCTTCTTTTTGTCTTAGGGTGGTGCAAAAGAAACTGCCGATGGGTATCAGCTCTCATTTATCAGAAACGAGCGATGCTAACGGCATTATTTTTTTTTATGTTTTGTTCGCATATTTGTTTGCTATTTATTTCGACATTTCAATTTTTTGGTTGTTTTTTATTTTATTTTAAAATGTTATTTTTATTTAGATCATGGTCGAGGTGCGTTTGTGCGTTTGTGCTACGAGCAGCATTACTGTTTAACTTCAAAATTGGAAAGTCTGCTGCCGAATCGCATCGTTGTCTCGCAAGGAACCAAAAGAGAAAAGAGGACCAAATTTGTAGAGAAAAGGAACCAAATTTGTAGAGAAAAGGAACCAAATTTGTAGAAAAAAAGGAACCAATTCTGCTGCCGAATCGCATCGTTCTCTCTGTGCTGCTTGCGGAGATGGCATGGCTTTGTGATGGCTTTGTCTCTCAGGCAGTGTCAGACTTGATTTCAACGATTCCGAGAGGGAGACGAGGCTTTGGAAGATTACGAGCACGGTTCGAGGCCAGAAGTCGTGAACGAAGCGTGAACGAAGCGTGAACGAAGCGTGAACGAAGCGTGAACGAAGCGTGAACGAAGCGTGAACGAAGCGTGAACGAAGCGTGAACGAAGCGTGAACGAAGCGTGAACGAAGCGTGAACGAAGCGTGAACGAAGCGTGAACGAAGCGTGAACGAAGCGTGAACGAAGCCAAGCTGAGCGACGTTATTCAGGCCGATCCATGCCAATCTGCTCGAGATCTTGCGAAAATATTCCATTGTGATCATGTCACCATCGAATGCCATCTTTTTTTTTGAATTTACCGTCAAATCGGTAGTTTCTTTTGCACCACCCTAATAGTTTCTTTGGACAAAAGAACCCATTCGCCCGAAATTCTCACTCACCTTTTAGGGAAGAGTTTTACTAAAAGAGAAAAATTGATTGATTGATTGATTGATTGATTAGTAAATGGATAAAGCACTGTTTTTAATTCAGTTTTTAATCCAGTTTTTAATCCAGTTTTGAGCACTCTAAATTACGATAACTTTACCATCTTTTAGAAAACTAGTCGACAAATAAAATGTCCTAATAAAATGTCCTATAAAATGTCCTAACAAAATGTCCTAAAATGGTTACGATAAATGAATCTGGTTCCTTTGTAGATCTCTATTGTAGCTCTTTGCGTTATTTGATTAGAAATCTAAGAAGAAAATTAGCGGAGAAATGTCAATGAAAAAAATTGACGTTTTAAAGGGTTGCTCTACTAGAATAGTTTGCCAAAAAATTTCATTCATAATCGGCTACGACATATATTGCCTACGACATATTGCCACCCAGGAGCCACCAAGACTTTTGTCCATGATTGTATTTCGATATTTCATAAAGATTACACAAGAATTACCCCAACTTCTCACCTCATTTAGCTGTTTCGCTTTCCGAAGGTTTCGCTCCGAGAAAAGAAATCTTTCCGTGCTTTGTGTGGCCCAATCTTAAAACCTTTTGATTATTTTTATCTTTATCTTGATTAAGAAAAATCATTTCTTTTCTTTTCTAGAATAAGTAAATTTGAATTTAAACAAATTTACATAATTTTGGTAACCTTTTTAAAGCACACACTTTAGAAAGAGCACTTTAAAAAGAGCAGTAATCATGAGGAAAACACTAATCTTTTCACTCACCGTTGACTTTTGATAAAATAAGTGGCAGATGCTTTGAATGCACAAATGGATAGTAAAATAATAATCCGGAGAGAACGATTCCAATGCCGATTAGAGTCACCTGAAGATTTTCTTTGAGTTTGATGATTTTTAGTGAAGTTTTGTACAGTTACAGTTCTACAGTTCTGCAGCTAAAGTTCTATAGTTACAGTTCTACAGTTACAGTTACAGTTACAGTTACAGTTCTACAGTTCTACAGCTCTACAGTTACAGTTCTACAGTTCTACAGTTCTACAGTTCTACAGTTCTACAGTTACAGTTCTGCAGCTCTACAGTTCTGCAGCTACAGTTCTATAGTTACAGTTCTACAGCTACAGTTACAGTTCTACAGCTACAGTTACAGTTCTACAGTTACAGTTACAGTTCTTCAGTTCTCACAGCTCTACAATTACAGTTCTACAGTTCTACAGTTCTACAGTTCTACAGTTCTACAGTTCTACAGCTCTACAGTTACAGTTCTACAGTTACAGTTCTGCAGCGCTACAGTTCTACAGTTACAGTTCTGCCATAAAATAGAAACTAAATCCACTAGAAAGAGTGCATTTACATTCTTTTAAGCACTTAAAGCACTTTTAAGCACTCTCACCTTTGTCTCTTGTATCAGTGGTACAACCACCAAAGCGATTGAAATGACCAAGAAAAGAATTGAGAAAACGAGCGGAACGCGAATCGCACCTAAAACTTTTCAAAAAGTTTCTTTCCATTGAAATAAACCATTTTCCATTTCTTTTCTACCGTAATCTTGTCTTTTTTTATCCAATTTATCCACTCTTTCTGTGAGAATTTATAAAAGATATCAAAAAATTTTCAATTCCATTTATCAGAATTTCTGTCAGAAGTTCACAGTTCACAGTTCGCAGTTCTAGAGTTGATAAAAGTGTCAATCGCATTTTAAACCTCCACATCTTTGAATATTTGGTCTCTCTAAATAATTGATAATTAGTTGGCAAATCTATCAACAAGAGTCATCAAATCTATCAACAAGAGGCATCAAATCTATCAACAAGAGGCATCAAATCTATCTACAAGAGGCATCAAATCAAAGTCAACCAGCCGGAAACATATTTTTCGTAGTAACTTAGATAAATTGGATAAAAAATAGAGACAAGATTACGGTAGAAAGAGGAAAACGATAGAAAACGGAAAACGTTTTAGAAAACGATAGAAACGGCAATTACCTGGATCCACTTGAATATGTCGAAATTTTATCCACAACAAGGCGCTCATCGTCACCACTCTTTGTGCCCACATCACGAAAGTCACATAGTTGATGAGCGAGTCGGTGTCGACGAAAGAAATGGCGATTGTGAGGAGGCTCTGGAATCGAATTCTGTGGATACTTTGTGCTCTTCCAAACACACACCATCTAGTGCACTCAATTCTTCACTTGGCACCAAATCTTTATTGTAGAGTAAATCAGAGTTCAATAGAACAGAAAGGGTATGTTTTGAGCCCACCTGACAAAGCAAAGCCATTCGCGGGCTTCCACTTGGCCCATGAATACAGCTAATGAATGGTGGTAGATGACCTTGCCATGCAGCTGCTTGCATGTATCTAAAAATCGATTTGGCTCTACAAAAACTTGGGTAATTAAACGCAGCGCTGTGCCAGACACAAAGGCTGTGCCAGACGGCTTGCGTGTGCCAGACACAGACCTTTGCAAAGACAATAAAAGAACGCGCACACAAGCTGTGCATTCTTTTGTCTTAAACGAAACGTTCTGGCACACGGAAATGCAGCCGGTTCAATTGCTCAAGTCAATTACTCAAGTCAATTACTCAAGTTAATTACTCAAATTACTCTTGAGTGACTGCTTACCTTGATCCCACAAAAATATTGCTGTTCAGCGTGCCGATTAGCAGAATGGCAATCATGAACGGAATTGCATAGCGAAAATTTCCCAGCACTGCCCTTGCGAAGTCCTAAATTAGGTACTGTAGCTGAGATTTGCTATAGAATAGTACTGTAGCTTAGATTTGCTATAGAATAGCTTAGCTTTCCTATAGAATAGCTTAGACTTCCTATAGAATAGATACTCTAGTTAGTTTTCTTATAGTAATCCAAAAAAAACCAACCGCCGCCACAGCGTCACTATTCTTGATGACCGTTACGTCCAAAACGACAAAATAGGCCAAATTTATGAGAATATACGTGATCATCACGATGAGGATTCCCGTCAACAAAGCGAGAGGCATTGTCCTGGAAAAGAGATTGTTGAGAATAAGCTAGGTAAGTGGGGTGTGCTCAGAACTATACAGGACAGGATAGGAGACGGTAAGCCCGGAGCTTTCACCAAACTATTTAGCATTTAGCATTTAGCAATTTTGTTAAATCGATTTGGCAATTTTGCAATTTTGCTCAATGTTAAGTAATGGAAAAGTAATTTTGATAAATTTAGCAGTTGGTGAAACCGGACCTTTAACCGGTGCAGGTCCAGGTCTGTGACTGGCTTACAATTTAAGTCCAGGTCTGTCGCTGGCTTCCAATTTAAGTCCAGGTCCAAATCCAACTAGAAGTAAGAACTCCAGATCTAGATCCAATTAGAAGTTAGAACACCAGGTCCAGATCCAATTAGAAGTAAGAACTCCAGGTCTAGATCCAACTAGAAGTAAGAACTCCAGATCTAGATCCAATTAGAAGTAAGAACACCAGGTCTAGATCCAATTAGAAGTAAAAACTTCAGGTCTAGATCCAACTAGAAGTAAGAACTCCAGGTCTAGATCCAACTAGAAGTTAGAACTCCAGATCCAACTAGAAGCAAGAGCTCCAAGTCCAGATCCAACTAGAACTTAGAACCGGCCAGTAGTCAGTTTAGACTATGATTGTCGGGAACTTTCAAAGGCTTACGGATGGCTGGCTGATGGCTGTTATTAGCCAGGATGGTTAATAACTGCTGTCGCGTGCTTGGACGCGTGTTACTCCTCGAGGTTCGTTCCAAAGCTTATGAGTTTGCTTATGAGCTTATGAGAACATACTAAAATGTTGCTAAGAGTCTAGCGAATCTCTCATACTCATTATCTCAAAAATCCATGTATATAGCTTTCCTAGTCTCAAAGCAATATTTTGATACATTACTTGGACTTGGACTTGGAGCTAACCTCGAGAAGTTACACGCATTCAAGCACGTGACAATAGCCAGCCAGCCAGCCAGTCAGCCTTTACATTCTTAGCCAGCCTTTACATTGAAATGAAACCTGTGTACCTTCTCGGCTTGTGAATCTCCGGAGTTCCATAGTTTAACACGTCCCATCCTAAAATCTCAAGTGTTTTTAGTCAAACTTTTTAAATAAACCAGCATAACTCCACAATCCTCCATAAAAGGCTAAACATATCGGGCCAGGATGCCAGATTGATCCTTGAAATGGTTGATCCAAGCGGTGAGTCCAACCTAGAGAGAATTCAAAACAATTTAGATAATTTAGATAATTTCTTTACCTTTAAAAACAAGTAGATAAAGTCCTGTGAAAATAATTATCGCCATTGCAATCATTTTCGCGAAAGTGACAACAACCTAGAAACAACAACGACAACAACTATTTTTAAATCTTAAAAACTCTTTTTAAAGCTCACTTGAAATCTGGCCGCATATTTCTCAAGAGAATAGAAATTGAGCAAAGTGAGGAGAGCTGAAAAGGAAGCGATTTTAGAGTAAACGAGGAAACGAGCAAGCGCACGCTTTCTAGTGCAAGCGCAAAGCTTTCTAGTGCAAGCGCAAAGCTTTCTAGTGCAAGCGCACGCTTTCTAGTGCAAGTGCAAGCTTTCTAGTGCAAGCGCAAAGCTTTCTAGTGCAAGCGCAAAGCTTTCTAGTGCAAGCGCAAAGCTTTCTAGTGCAAGCGCACGCTTTCTAGTGCAAGTGCAAGCTTTCTAGTGCAAGCGCAAAGCTTTCTAGTGCAAGCGCACGCTTTCTAGTGCAAGTGCAAGCTTTCTAGTGCAAGCGCAAAGCTTTCTAGTGCAAGCGCAAAGCTTTCTAGTGCAAGCGCAAAGCTTTCTAGTGCAAGCGCAAAGCTTTCTAGTGCACTGAATTCCGTATTTTCTTTTGTTTTCACAAGAGAAATGAGCAATTGAGTGCACTTGAAGGGGTGGGTTTATATGATAGTTAAAAAAGTGCTCACCTAATACAATAAAGCCGGTTGATCGAGTGACCACCTCTTGCCAAACACCGTGTAACGAAATCGAAAAGCCTTCGACTAAAATGATTGATTTATTCAAGTTCTCATTCTCTTTAGTTTACAATTCTCTACTTAATTGAAATCTAAAAAGAATCTAAATCTAAATCTAAAAAGAATCTAAAGAGAATCTAAATCTAAATCTAAATCTAAAAGAATAAAAAAAATCTTACCAATATACTGTCCAAATGTTTGCGCTTGTACGGCCGCACTCGCTGGATAGGTCATCAAGACGGACACCTGTAAACAGACACCTATAAACGGACACCAGCTTGGCTAAGCTTTTCTTTCAAAAACTTTTTGAAATAAGTTTGTTTAGTTAAACAAAATCAAGCTAGAAATCAGGATTTTGAACTGATACTTTTGAATTTTTAGATTGTTTTTGCTTTTTCCGATTCATAATGTTGTTTAGATAGATGTCATTGAAAAAATTGATGTCACTTTCTACAGAGACGACCAAGAATTACCGCAACACACAAAAGGCCTGGCTTTTAACCAAATAAACCAAACCAATATGAATATGCAACCCATCTCGAAAAGTTCACTTAAATCTCCTTATTCAACATATAACAGTAACAAATTAACAATTAAATTCAACTTTGCCTCCATCGGCATTCAGACAGGCCTGCAAACGTTTGGGAAACGCGTTGACGCGTTGGCGAGCAAATAGGCATCATCGAGGGTATCCCATGCTTTGATGAGCGCCTTCTTCAAACTTTTGCTATTTTTATATGGTTTTACACATGCCTCTGGCTTCAAGAACACTCCAAACTGAGTAAATTGTTGATTGAGCTGTTAAACTGTTGGTTTTAAAATAAAGAGTTGTTATCTTAAAAACGCGCATTTATAACTGGACAACCTAATAATAGAACCATAATATATTATAATAGAATCATAATATATTATAATAGAATCATAATATATTATAGTAGAAACATAATATATTATAGAACCATAATATATTATAGAACCATAATATATTATAATAGAACCATAATATATTATAATAGAACCATAATATATTATAATAGAATCATAATATATTATAATAGAATCATAATATATTATAGTAGAAACATAATATATTATAGAACCATAATATATTATAATAGAATCATAATATATTATAATAGAATCATAATATATTATAGTAGAAACATAATATATTATAGTAGAAACATAATATATTATAGTAGAAACATAATATATTATAGAACCATAATATATTATAATAGAACCATAATATATTATAATAGAACCATAATATATTATAGAACCATAATATATTATAATAGAACCATAATATATTATAATAGAACCATAATATATTATAGTAGAACCATAATATATTATAATAGAACCATAATATATTATAGAAACATAATATATTATAATAGAACCATAATATATTATAATAGAACCATAATATATTATAGTAGAACCATAATATATTATAATAGAACCATAATATATTATAATAGAACCATAATATATTATAGTAGAAACATAATATATTATAATAGAACCATAATATATTATAATAGAACCATAATATATTATAATAGAATCATAATATATTATAGTAGAAACATAATATATTATAGAACCATAATATATTATAATAGAACCATAATATATTATAGTAGAACCATAATATATTATAATAGAAACTTTGGTCTCTAAAGATATTCATTTAACCAACTTAGCATCACTTGACACACATTTTGAACGCTAACGCTAACGCTAACGTTATCTATGAAACATTAACTTTTTTTAAAAACTGTTTCACCCATCATATAGCCAAGAACGCAAGGAATTTGTTAGTGTACACTTGAAGCAACTTGGTTTTTTGGATTATGAGAAATTTGAGTTTTTTTGAACGTTGATATTCGACGCTGTTTTAACTACATCTCGGATATCTATCTAATGGAGCTAAGTAAGACCTAGTAAGCTAGTAAGACCTAGTAAGCTAGTAAGACCTAGTAAGCTAGTAAGACTAAATAAGAATTCCCAAAGCTTTACGTTAAGCCAAAGAACTCTCAAAGCTTGAATAATTAATCGATTAAGAAAGTCAATTCAATCAATCAAACGATTAAAAAAAAGCTTATCTTTAGCTTTACTTGAGAAAATCACTCACCCACATAAAGGCGAACGCTAACGAGTGCCATTTGACAAAGCAAGTGTAAGCAAAATCGCATCCTGGATCGGGAATCGATGTGCCCAATTCAATATAACAGATTGAACCTAAACATAAATATTTGACAGTTTTTGCTAATCCTGCTCTGCTAATGTTTTTGACAGTTCTCTAGGATCACGAGAAACAATTGGGTAACTGAACATTGGCCGTTTTTAGAAGCAAAAGCAAAAGCTTGTGCGCTTTCTGACGCTTTCTGGCACACTTTTTTGCTAGTGCGCTAAAAGGCTTAAGTTTACGACCAAAGAAAACCCAGAACGACTTTCAAGAGTCACGACTTTCAAGACTAATCAAATAAGCTCATAGAAAACTCACCAAGTATCGAGACTAAACCGCAACCCGTCCACACGGCCAATGAGAGTCCAATCGAGCCAGTTTGTTCGAGGATTGAGCCGGGGGTGATAAAAATACCAGATCCAATTATATTACCTAAATAATTAAATATTTAAATGTTAGGTGTGTGAAAAAGTAATCCACGTTTTTTATTTTTATCTGATGACTAAATAAGACGCTGTCTTCTCGAAAACCCTCGTTCAACCTCTTCAGAAATAGGCCTTACATTAAATTGTGATGGGTCAACCGTAAGGAAACGCTTGAATGTCATGAATTTTATTAAAAAGTTGGACAAATGGATACCGCATGAACGATAACGCGCGACCACATTTCTCTTTACAGACTCGACAAAAAATCCAGAGTGTTGGATGGGAGGTTTTACCATATCCACCTTATAGTCCAGACCTTTCTCCATCTGATTATTATTTATTTTTCTCTCTGTCTAACTTTTTGGCCAATAAACGGTTCAATTCCGAAGAAGATGTCAAAACCGAGGTTGATCTTTTCTTCGCCTCTAAGGACCAAGATTTTTATTATCGTGGAATGTCTTTACTTGTAGAACGTTGGCAAAAGTTTGTTCTTTCGAATGGTGATTACTTCATTGAATAAAAATTATTTTAACGAAACTTATGGTCTTTTATATTTAAACGTTAAAAACGTGGATTACTTTTTTCACACACCTAATAGAAAATTGAAATATAAACCAACCGACAACATACGAAGTGCACGAGATGAAACCCATCGCGTGTTTCCGCGGCTCTGTCTCGGTTTCCTCCATTTTGACAGAAAATCAAAAAAGTGAATATATCTAGATATTTAGATATTTAGATATTTAGATATTTAGATATTTAGATATTTAGATATTTAGATATTTAAATGCATATTTTTATACAATAATTAAATTTTACTTATGAAAAATGATAGGATTTGAGAAAAAAAAGCCCCAGATATTCTTTCTTGAGCGCGAAATCGATAAGAGTTCACTTGATAAGGCAAAAATGGCAAGTGTTGGGGGATTTTTTAAGAAAAATATTAGATTTTTAGATCATATTAGAAATATTAGAAATATTAGATCAATAATCAAATAAGCTCATAGAAAAGCTATGGAAATATCTAGAATTTTAGGCTCTTGCCCGACATTTGGGCCTTTTCAATGAGTAGTTCCGGTTTAAAGACAAATTACTTTGATCGGGGGGATAATATTAGTTATAGCTTTTTTATTTCATTGTATTGAGGACACTTTAAACTTTCAATTGCTATTAAAAAGGGCTTGATTGGGCCAACAAATCAGGACAAATCAGGAGAGAAAATCGAGAGACTTTTCGAGTATAGAAAAAGCGAAAGATAACTGAGAATGAATTTTCTCGGCATGAAGGCTATTTTCCTAAATCGAAAAGAATAATACGATCTGACCAGAGAGCTTTATCTCTCGATTCTCAACGTACTATTTGAGGGGGGAAACTAGCTATACAACAAACTAGCTATAGATCAAACGCGCTATAGATCAAACTAGCTAAACGATAAACTAGCTATACAAAAAAACTAGCTACACAACAAACTAGCTATACAATAAACTAGCTATACAACAAACTAGCTATAGATCAAACTAGCTATAGATCAAACTAGCTATACATCAAACTAGCTATACAGCAAACTAGCTATACAACAAACTAGCTATACAACAAACTAGCTATACAACAAACTAGCTATACAACAAACTAGCTATAGATCAAACTAGCTATAGATCAAACGAGCTACAGATCAAACTAGCTATACATCAAACTAGCTTTGCACACCTTCTCAACGTATTATTTGACGGAAATAAACTAGCTATACACACCAAAAAGTATCTTTTCCGCATTGAAATCCTCAAAAAAAAACATTTTCCTATTCACGAGAGAATTTTTTTTGCTGAACACTTTTCAAAAAACATATCTAAAGGCTTAAAAAAGATCATGATTCATTGGCATTACACAAATGAAAAAAAAACACATTTGAAAAGGGAAATCTCGCTTTGAAACTCTTTTCATTACGATGAATGAATATTTAGAAAAAAATGAAAACATTTATTATGGCTATAGTTTGACATTATATTTAAATATAAATAAGTACAGTAAAGGTTTAAATTAAACATTTAAATTAGACATTTAAACATTTAAACATTTTTATAAATGTTACGTCCTATCTAGAATCACTCTAAATCTAAGTCTGGATCAGACGTCTGATCTAGACTTAGATTTAGAGTGATCGACTTGATTCTACAGATCAGACGTCTGATTTAGAGTGATCGGTTTGATTCTAGGTCGAACGTTTGACCACACTTCACTCTAGATCGGACGGCTGATCTAGAATCAGTCTAGATCGAACGGCTGATCTAGAATCAGTCTAGATCGAACGGCTGAGCTAGAATCAGTCTAGATCGAACGGCTGATCCAGAATCAGTCTAGATCGAACGGCTGATCTAGAATCAGTCTAGATCGAACGGCTGGTCTAGAATCAGTCTACATCGGACGGCTGGTCTAGAATCAGTCTAGATCGAACGGCTGAGCTAGAATCAGTCTAGATCGAACGGCTGATCCAGAATCAGTCTAGATCGAACGGCTGATCTAGAATCAGTCTAGATCGAACGGCTGGTCTAGAATCAGTCTAGATCGAACGGTTGATCCAGAATCAGTCTAGATCGGACGTAACATAAATAAATCACACCGGTGATCCAGAAAATGGCGGGATTATCACATAGGAAAAGGAAAGTGTACTTTGTGCTCGTGTAAACACACCCTTTCTAGCGCACTGATTTCTTCATTCTTCTTTTGATCAAGACTGAAAAGTGTGGAATTGAGTGCACGAGAAAGTGTGCGTTTACAGAGGAGCACAACTGCACACTGCACAGCACACTGTCTTGTTCTTCTTGTTCTTCGTGCTGTGCTTTGTGCTCACCGAGTAAACGCACACTTTCTGGTGCATTGAAAGCCTCATTTTCCTTTGTTTTCTCAAGAAAAGTTGAGCATTCAGTGCACCAGAAAGTGCGTTTATAGCAGCACAAAGAACATCAAAAAGTACAGCAGCACAACGAATAAATTCAATAGAGTTTTAGCACAAGAATAGCTAGAAATAGCTAGAAATATGGGGAACAAGTTTGCATTGAAAGAAAAGCAATAAGTTAAAGATGCTGTAATTACAGTATATCTGGATAAAAGTATTCAGATAGCAAAGCTGAATGGAAAGGCTCTGAATATCTTTCAAATTAGCTTGTTTAGCTAATTTGAAAGATATTCAGTTATGAATGTTCAGTCGGTATTGTAAAGGATCAAGATACAGTATTCAGACAGTTACAGTTATACATTTCGAGTGTCCCCCTTTGCCTCCTAAGTAAGTACCTAAGTATCTCCCTAAGTACCCCCTTGCCAAAGGCATTTTTCCTTTTTCTTGACTCACAATTTACCAATTGCGCTGTTTTTGGTTTCATTCGATGCGTCTAACTCTCCTCTATCCAATGAAACCAAAAACAGCGAAATTGGTAAATTGTGTGTCGAGAAAAACGAAAAATGCCTCTGGCAAGGGGGGCAGAGACGGGGACACTCGAAATGTATAGTTACAGTATTAATTCGATTTCCAGAATGGATCCAATTGATTGAGTGGATCATTTGGATCGAGGATGGGCTTTTCTGTATCCCCTCGGAACGATGCGTGCAACATTTTCTTCTCCACACGATCCCGAGAATCAGGCCCGAGACAGAATTTTGAGGGATCCGTCAAATCGTTCAGTGGGAGAGGTTGCTAAAAATTGGAATTGAATTGGATATCTGTTTATTTTATGGATTGATATAATGAGACTTTAAATATAGATCCACGATCAAGAATATTAAGTTGAGTACTAATTTCATTTCATTTTCGAAATCTCAATCTATTGGGTTGGTGAATTGAAAACTGCCGGCTATTGTCATATGTGACAGTTTGAGCACTTTCTTCAAAAGAAACCCATTTTGGTGTCAATGAAAAGAGGAAAAAACACGACGAAAGACTGAAAAATTCTGCCGGGTCGTTTTGCGTCGGGTTGCGGTGTCCGCGTTTGGCGCGGACGTCTGAAAGGCAAAGTGTGCGGTTCGAAGGCATCTGTCGTCGGAATTTTACAAGGGGATTCCTTAATTGTTTAAGTAAAATGAAATAAACCATTTGTTTTTCTTTTTTTTTTTATTGGGTTTGGTGAATTGAAACTGCCGGTTTGTCATATGTGACAGTTTGAGCACTTTCTTTAAAAGAAACCCATTTTGGTATCAATGGAAAAGTTGTAGAGAATCAAAAATGAAGCTTATATCCAAATTTTCAGAACGATTCAAAAACTGGTTTTCAAGAAATGCGAAATTTACGAATTTTTGACAAAACTTGCATTTTAAGCGAAACTACTAAGTGTATCTTTTTGGAAATTTGGCTATAAGCCTAATTTTTGATTCTCTACAACTTTTCTATTGACACCAAAATGGGTTTCTTTTGAAGAAAGTGCCCAAACTGGGACATCTCCAGTCCTCCATTTTTGAGTCTCACCCTTGTCTCACACACAAACCAAAATCCTACTACGAAAGAGGAATTCGCAAATTGCCTGTAAAATGGGCAGAAGTCGTCAATAATAATGGAAATTATTTGGAATGAATTGAGAAATGGGTTTTATCTGTGAACTTTCGGAGGAAGCGGTAATGGGTAGGGCCAGGCGAGAAACCCGAAAGTGACCCCAAGCCCGATTTGCACCAGAAGAAGTTTATGCTCTGCGTTTTCTAGAATATGGACGGAGTGGTGTATTGGGAGTTACTGGATAGCAAGACGACCCTTAATGCAATCAAATACAGTGAATTGATAACTTGAGACTTATTCAATTGGAAAATGAAATTCGAGGAAAGACTTTGGTTGATGAGAACAGAAAGGATTTGTTTACAAATTTGAACACAAAATGCATTTTACTAGCTCGTATCTTTCATTTCATGAAGTTCACTTTGTAAACGTATCCCATCTGGCGCACGATTAGATCCAAAATAAGTTTTTATCTTACTTGATTCAAAGGATTGTTTGTCGGCAGAAATCCCACTGTTTTCCCCTTGTCAACATCGAGATTTTGTTGAATTAGCAAAGGTGAGGGATTTTGCTGAAATAGCTCTGAATAATATGATTATATCTATGATATATCCATAAATATAGGCCTGGATATATCATAGATAAGTACTGTATCAAAATTTAATCCATTTCATCAAGCCTACTTGAATCACATTGTTGACCGGAGGCGAATACGGCTTCAGAATTGGTGCCACGACGGCTGTGGGCATCTAGAAATATGTATAATTAGATATAAGTACTTTAGATAAACATATATCGAGTAGTCTAGAGCTAAAATTATCTAAAACTTATGGTTTATAGGCTGTACCCCCCGCGATAGTCATTTTTAGCTAAAATACGGGAAAATAACTCAAGATCAGCACAAATTAGAGATTTTGCTTGAAAATTCAATAAACAAACCCCGCCAATCGCTTCCCCAACCTCGAAAACCCCTAGGTACAAACTTTTGGCTTCATATCTCATCTGAGCAATGATTACAGAACAAAAGAAATTCCTTTGTACAGCGGCGGCGAGGTGTTCTTTGAGCGGCTGCGTAATCGCTCGCCGTCTGGCGCAGGGCTTTTCCGTAAGAGGGGGACTTTCTCTTTGTGTCGAGCAATCTTAGGTTAACTCTGGGCTTATCTGAGGGGTAATAGGTGCGATAGCTTTAGCTTTACGGTAGAGGTATGGCAGGGGTTAGCCTTACGGTAGCATTATGGTAGCTTTATGACAGCGCTACGATAGCTTTACCCTAAGCGCACCCTCTAGAAAACGCTTGAGTACTCACCAATACTAAGTACGATCCTAAAAAGCTAGTTTTACAGCTTAAACGATCTTTTCTTTTGTGCAAACTTTTTCCCATTCACTTTTCATTAGCTAATGATAGGTTTAGCAATTGCAGTGGACAGGAACTTACATTTGATAATTGGGGTGTTGTAGAAGTTGGAGTATTCCTTGGTGGAGTGATCGCGTTCGAGGTTTGAAGCGGTTGTGAGGAGATGTTTTGCGGTGGAAGTGGCAGAGGATCTGAAAGAGCTCTGGATAAGCAGATGATTGGGTGGCTCCGTAATCGGTTTCTGTACGTACTCTACGGTACTGTACGGCTTCCTATAGTTAAGATAAAGTACTGTAACTTGTACATTGATTGTACATTGGATAAAGTACTGTAAGTTGTACATTGATTTGAGCAACGTAGTGAAAAGTGCTCACTTTCAACAATGCTTTTCGGTTGAAGTGCCATCGGGAGTCCAAGATTTGTGTCCAACCCACTGAGTAGGTCCTAGAACTTGAAAATAGAGCTGATCCAAGAATTAGAACTTCAATACCATTGGATTTGTCCTTTGGGGTACTTGCGAAGATCCCTAAAGTTCACAGATTCTTCAGTGTACTTTGTGCTGACTGTAAACGTCCCTTTCCAGCGCACAAAGTTCTTCATTTCTCTCGTGACAATAAAGCCTTGCTTGCCAATTTAGTGCCAAGAAATTGAGGAACTTAGTGCGCCAGAAAGGAGCGTTTCCAGGGAGCACAAAGTACACGATCTTTGAGCAGTATTCTTTACAATAACAGTACAGTATCCTTTACAGTAACAGTACAGTATCCTTTACAATAGCAGCACAGTATCCCACTTGTCCTCTTATTTCATTCTGCGGGGATTGATTTCCCATTCCCGAGTGCCAAGGTGAATTGATGAACCTCGACGATTGAGCCGCTCCTTGGTGCCAAGGTCCATTGGAAAGCTGAAAATGGATCAGGATCGAGTTAGATAAAGATAACAACTCCCTAAGCGTTACCGTAATGTTCAGTGTCCAGTAACGGTGTCCAGAAAGGTGATCAATCCTTCGATACACACCCCACCCTTTCGCCATTAGCAATCTAACTTTGAACTCAAATATCTCGGTGTTGGGCTGTCCAATTTATAAATTTTTGATATCATTAGATGCACCAAGTCTTTCTCTATCGATTGGTACAAAAACTATTTCTATTGAAAAGCTCAACACCGAGATATTTGAGCTCAAAGTTGGATTGCCAATGGCAAAGGGGGCGGGGCGCGTATCAAATGTTCCATAGTACTAATACTAATCCTTAATACTAATCTTTTAAACCCACATTCGGTGAATCGTTGAGTTTCATTGGTGAAAAGTTTCCAGACATTGGAGACTGTTGGTTTTGATTGAACTGGGCTGGTGCCGGTTTTTGAGGGGTTTGAGGTTGAAGATGAGATGTTGGAGTGGCCGAAAGAGGATGGATCGGTTGCTGAGGCTGTTGTAATTGTTTCTGGGATTGTTGCCATGGCTGTTGGTGTTGTTGAGGTTGTTGAGCAAATTGTTGTGGTGGTTGCAACGATTGTGGTTGTTGTTGGTGTTGCTGCTGTTGCTGCTGTTGTGGCTGTGGTTGTTGCTGGGATTGTTGCCATGGCTGTTGGTGTTGTTGAGGTTGTGGATGTTGTTGGGCAAGTGGTTGTGGTGGCAACGATTGTGGTTGTTGCTGGTGTTGTTGGTGTTGCTGCTGTTGCTGCTGTTGTGGTTGTTGCTGGGGCTGTTGCCATGATAGGACAGGTGGTAATTGTTGTTGTTGCCATGGCTGTTGTTGTTGTTGTTGTTGTTGTTGCTGTTGCTGAAGCTGTTGTTGAGGCTGTTGTTGAAGCTGTTGTTGAGGCTGCTGTTGAGGTTGTTGTTGTTGAGGCTGTTGTAGCGGCAATGGCTGAGATTGTAGCTGTTGTTGTCCCGGCAGTGATATTTGTTGTTGGATTGGTTGTAGAGGCTGTTGAGGTGGTAGTAGTTGAGTTTGCGTTTCTTGTTGTTTCCATGGCTGTTGCAACGATGGCTGGGTCGGCTGTTGGAGCTGTTGGTAAGCTTGCTGGTGTTGTTGCGGTTGATATTGTTGTTTGGGTTGTGACGGGATTGGCTGAGGCTGTTGGTACACTTGTTGTACTTGTTGAGGCAATTGCTGTGGTAGTAGTTGCGGTTGTGAGAAATTCTGAGACAAGTTCTGATCTCCAACAGTCGAAAAGTTGTGTTGCAGTTGGCTGAATGTCCCGTTCAGCGATCCCTGCTCAAAATTTTGCATAACCGATGCTGGAGCAGGATATCTTTGCATTGTTGAAGGCTGGCTGTTTGCGAAATTTGGCTGATAAGGTTGTTGATGAGTCTAAAATAGGCTTAGATTTGCTGGAATCTAAGCCATTAGGTCAGGCTTAGATTCCAGCAAAAAAATAGCTCAACCTGTGCATTGGAAAGCTGTGGCTGAATGTTTGGATTCGGGAAATTTCCTTGAACTGGTTGTTGAAGGATTGAAGGCATCTAAATATGATACTTGACTTGGTCACTTGGTGTACTTTGTGCTAATCTGTAAGCACATCTTTTCTATCGCAGTAGTGGGTTTAGAAATTTTTGTACCTGTTTTTGTGGATTCATCTGATATCCAGGCATTCCCTGTGGATGTACTGTGATTGATTGGGTGGGCAGGTTCGTTTGACTGTAGATCCCTGGACCGGGTGGTGGGATTTGATGGGGAACAGAGTATGGAGAGCCTGGCTGGTCGTAGGTTTCCTAAAACATATAGTTTAGTTGTCATAGGCTAGAACTAGGCTAAGCTCTGGCCAGCTATGAAACCAGACACAGGCCAGAACCAGGGTCAAGCTAGGGATCTGAAGCTAGGACCAGGCCCAGGCCAGACCGACCCAAGGCTAGTTCTAGTCAAGCCAAGGCCAGACTGACCCAAGGCTAGCTCTAGTCAAGCCAAGGCCAGACCGACCTAAGGCTAGTTCTAGTCAAGCCAAGGCCAGAGACCTAAGGCTAGTTCTGACCAAGCCAAGACCAGACCGACCCAAGGCTAGTTCTGGTCAAGCCAAGACCAGACCGACCTAAGGCTAGTTCTGGCCAAGCCAAGGCCAGAGACCCAAGGCTAGTTCTAGCCAACCCAAGGCCAGACAAGGCCTATGCTTGCTGCTTGTAGCCTCCTATCAGTCTATCCAGTCTATTCACCTGTCGAATCTGTTGCTCAGGATATGGTTGCATTCGTGGGTATTGATCTAAAATTCGTGTCTAGATTGAAAGTTCATAACTGGCTTACAATCGGGGCTGTGTTGGCTGGAGTAACTCGTGATCACCGATGGAGTTGGCGATGGTTGGGGCTGCGGTCTTGTTTGTCCTCCGGCGATCTTTGCTCGGAAAAACTCCATGTAGTCGGGTCGACCTGAGGCTGGAAATGGGGTAGTTTTTAGACGGAAAAGCTACCGTAACCTTAGCGTAAACAACTGGAGAACCAGTCACAACCAGAACTAGCTTTTCCACAATCACAGTGATTTAAGGAAACAAACCTGTGCCTGGTTTGGGGCTGGGCGAACTGCTGGCACTGGGAAAGTTAGGCAAATTTTGGAGATTCAAATTCGAGGCACCAGTACCATAACCGTACTCTGACATTGCTTCTCGTGCCTCCTAAAGAAAAATGATAGTTTAAAGTTACTGTATAATGAAATAACGATTCTAAAGCGTCATCGTCATCTAAATCGTCATCTTTACTCTTCCTACAGTAATCTTGTCTTTTTTTTTATTCAATCTATCGATTTTGGTCGATTCTGTGAAAAAAAGATATTGAAAAATGCAAAAAAAAAATCGCTCTAGCCAAGATTACTGTAGTTGTAGCCTGTAGCCTGTAGCCAAGCCAAAACTGGGCCAAGATTACGGTAGTTTTCCAAAGCAATACCTTTTCCATTCTCATTTTTTCCATTCTCTCAACAAGCGCTCTTTTCTCAGCGTCTTTCTTCTCCTTTTCAGCAAAATCTGCAAAATTAGCTTAATAATAGCTTAATAATAAACAAAATTTCAATTACAAGCTGTTTCAATTGCATCAATTGCGGGAATTGTTCGCTCGATTCGTTTCTGAATGATTTCTGTGGAAGAAATTGCTGCTTCAGCTATACGAAGAACATCCGCGTAGACGTCGAATGCTGAGATGAGTGAGTGAACTTTGTCGGAACGTCTGGAATGGGGTTTCTTTTGTCAAAAGTGGAGCTTTGGCAATCTAACTTTGGCAAGCTAACTTTCAGCTTTAATTTACAGCTTTTCTTGGTGTTCTACTATTGAATTTAAAGATTCTTGGCGTCATTTGATGTCCCAAGTCTTTCTCTATCGATTGATATAAAAACTATTTAAATTGAACAGCCCAACACAGAGATATTTGAGCTCAAAGTTGGATTGCCAATGGCAAAGGGGACGGGGCGCGTATAAAAGGTGGGACATATGCGCCCCGCCCCTTCTATGGGACATTTGATACGCGCCCCGTCCTCTTCGTCTTCTATTGAAAAGCCCAACAACAAGAAATTTGAGTTTAAAGTTGGATTGCCAATGGCAAAGGGGACGCGGCGCGTATCAAATGTCCCATAGAAGGGGCGGGGCGCATATGTCCGACCTTTTATACGCGCCCCGCCCCCTTTGCCATTGGCAATCTAACTTTGAGCTCAAATATCTCGGTGTTGGGCTGTTCAATTCAAATCGTTTTTGTACCAATCGATAGAGAAAGACTTGGTGCATCTAATGATATCAAAAATTTACAAATTGGACAGCCCAACACCGAGATATTTGAGTTCAAAGTTAGATTACTAATGGCAAAGGGGGCGGGGCTTTTTCTCGAAGGGATTGCGGTTCATTTTCTCGACAGATTTACGGTACTTTCTTGAGAGGGTTACCGTGCTTTCTTGACGAGATTACGGTACTAGATTACGGTCTTGGCAGGACGATGGTACTTTCTTGGCGGGATTACGGCACTTTCTCGATAGATTTACGGTACTTTCTTGACGAGATTACGGTACTTTCTCGACGTCTACTTCATTGTATACTTTCTAAGATATTCAGGCAAACAAGCAAATTCTTACTGTGCATTGTCCGCCTCGACTTTGTGCCGAATCTCGGAAAAGTCGGCATTCGCCTCAGTGAGTGCGTGGAGGATATTTTCCTGAAAAAAAGAAACAAGAATCTATCAAATTTTTGATTTAAAATACATATTTATTATCTAAATATTGATAATTATTAAGTAAATATGGGGGTGGGACAAATGCGACCTTTTTTTTACCTAGAGCACGGTAGTAGGCACCAAATGCGCGGAAAAATTTGTTAGTTTTATGAAAATTAGCTAGTATTTAAGGTTTTTTTTTTTTGATGAAAATGTGTCAATTTGCTAGTTTTATGGGGTCTATCCCGAAACAGCGCCGCCAAAACAGCGCCGTACCCAAAACAGCGCCACCCAAAACAGCGCCAATGCAAAAACGCCCAAAACAGCGACGAGCAAAAAAAATTATTTTATAGATTTTTGCTTTTGCTTTTTCTTTGCTGTTTTTAACTTTTTCTTTCCACTTTTTGTGTTTTTAGGGTAAAAAAAGGCGGAGAATCCGATTTTTTAAAGCTTTACGCATAGAAACTTGCGATAGCGTTTATAAAATTGATTTTAACCAAAAATAACAATTTTTTTTCCTTTTACGGCCTGTTTTTTTAACATTTTCACTAACTTTTTATTTCTACTACGGATCACTTGAAAGCTCTAGCCGTTTATGTTCATCATCGCTAGTGTTATGATGTTTCAGAGTCTCTTGGACTATTAATTTCATGCTATTTTAATGTTTTTTATGCATCGTTTAATTGTTATCGTTTATTGTTGTTGGTCATGTTATTTTTAAATAAATTATCAAAATTAAAAGCTGCTAATAAAAACAATGAGTGTACATTGTAAAAGAAAAAAAAACTTTGTTTTGCATCGGCGCTGTTTTGGGCGTTTTTCATTGGCGCTGTTTTGGGTACGGCGCTGTTTTGGTCGGCGCTATTTTGGTCGGCGCTATTTTGGCGGCGCTGTTTTGGGATAGACCCGTTTTATGATATCTTCCATCAATAGGATGTTTTTTTTCTAAAGATTTTCAGTTAACCAACTGAATATTACCCGACAGATATTTTAAACGCTAAAGATATTCAGTTAACCAACTCACTATCACTCGACAGATATTTTAAACGCTAAAGATATTCAGTTAACCAATTGATTATCACTCGACACACATTTTGAAGAGAGGTAGTCCACATGAGCGTCAAAAATTGAGCGCCAACGATTCGGCCTGCGCTTATTTGAGCGCCGCCGCCGCAGTCATTTGACTGAGGAACGTTCATTTCAGTGCGACTGGATTTTAATATTTTTGCTTTCTACGCTGCTTTTGCATGTTTTTTAGGGTTTTGCTTCTGTTTTTACACTTTTTTCACTCATTTGACCTAGAGGACGGTAGTAGGCACCAAATGCGCGGAAAAAATTGTATTTTATGAAAATTAGCTAGTATTTAAGGGTTTTTTGATGAAAATGCGTAAATTTGCTAGTTTTATGATATCTTCCATCAATAGGATGTTTTTGTTTTTCACCGTTTCTTGCTATTTTCATCTACAATTTGCAGTTAACTTATTTCTTTGTTTAGGCTCGTGAATTGTGCAAGAAGCGGCAACACGACGCAAAATCCGGAGTCAAAGAGGTAGCGAAAGCGAGGTAGGGTTTTATTCTTTATTTTCTAGAGGTTTTTGTGGGGGTGGGACAAATGCGACCTTTTTTTTGCTGGAAAAGGCCTTAGGAAAAGTCGTAGAGCTTCAAAAACGTTTTCGTAGAAGGGAATCGTATGCGTAGATTCCGAATTTCGACAAATCAGACCTCGCTGACACGTCAAATTTGGGCTAAAAGGCAAAAACTACGCAACTTAACGCTTTTCCGCAGTTTTTGCCTTTTAGCCCAAATTTGACGTGTCGGCGAGGTGTGATTTGTCGAAATTCGGAATCTACGCATCCGATTCCCTTATATAGGAATATTTTCGAAGCTCTAAGGCCTTTTCCAGCAAAAAAAGGTGCGCAAATGTCCAGGTGCGCAAAAAAAAGATCGCATTTGTCCCACCCCCGTAAATATCCATCTTTTCCTTCTTAAACTATCATTTCTTTCTTTAAATCATCCTTTTTCTTTCTTTAAACCCACCTGAGCCATCAAATTTTTCTCGATAAACCCAATAGTTTCTTCGTGTTTTTTCAGCTCACGAGCGAAAGTTGTCTAAAAATTGACTAGTCGACAATGTTCTACAGTAAATCCGTATTATAATAACTGCCGTAAATACTGTAATAGTACGTACAGCCGCGTAGTCGCAAAGTCGCGTAGTCGTTTTTTAGTATTTCATTTTTTTTCAAGGCGCCCGTACTTTCAAAAAATGCGTCTTTGGTATCAAAAAATAGCCCTGAATTTCAGCTATTTTTTGATACCTAAACGCGCATTGTAGCATAAACCAGTGCCGAGGAAAACTCGTTCAAAGCTAGACTACGCAACACTCCGCACCGTCATTATGCGCGTGGGGTACTATTACAGTATTTGCAGTATTTATGTTCATTGTTTAGCCTTTTATGAGAACTGACCGCATTGTCGAGATCTCTTTCAGCTAAAAGCCTCCTCCCGACATTGTCTCTTTTCATTTCTTCATCCAACTTCTGCACTAACATTATCTAAATCTAGTTTTTATATCTAATAGATCTAAAGATATAGTATTTACTAGTATTTACTATATAAATCCAGATTTATTTAGATATTATTTACCCTTTGAGCGTTCATCTCCGAGATTTTATCCAGCATCTTCTTCAGCGCGATTCCCTCTTGAGTTTGACCTGTAAGTTTGACCTGTTTCTCCAATCTACTTTGAGCTCTAAACCCATCCTTTCTAGCACACTTGCATAAAATAAGTCACTTACTCGGCTGAAATTGCCCATTCGTCAATCGTTCACCTAATTGGTGAAGTGGTAAAGCTAAAAGATGCAACGAATCACTGTGCGCCGCAATATTTCTTTGAGCTTCCGAATTTTTCGTCCTAAAATCTTCTTGTGCTTTTAAAGTTGAATTTTCTTTACTTTGTTTTGCTCAATTGTTCGCACATCTTATTCATCTCTGAAAGGATCATTTTGTACCCGTCATCATCAAGGAAACTCGGCGAATCGATAGCGGTGAGGCGACGGAGAATCTCCGTCGCTTGATTGTTGATCTGATCGGCGAGAATCGAGCCTCCTCAAGATTTTCAACTATTAACATACCCTAATTCTTTAATAGAATCCTCTTTGTGCTCTTATCTCTTATGTATAAGAAAAAGCTGTGTTCAGCTGCGTCCAGCTACGTTCAGCTGCGTCCAGCTGCGTCCAGCAGTGTTCAGCTTTTTTCTTACTTCTTAATTTCTCCAATAGTTGCGGAAAAGCGTCAGGATGAGCGTTGAAATTCGCATTTCTTTCGAGGAGTTCATCTGGTAGATTTTGCCTCACTTCACCCTCCAATGGCAACTCGTCAGCGCGAAGTTTTTTGAGGAATTGCCTAAATGTTTTTATGTATTGATTTTTATTGTATTTCTTCCATAATACGGTAAGATTTTTGTAGCTTTTTGTATTGTGATATGCGTGATAGCTTTAATTGTTGAATACAAAGTGTCTAATCGCTTTAATTGTCTAGCTTTAAGTGTTGAATAGCTTTAAGTGTCTAGTAGCTTTCAGTTCTAATAGCTTTAAGTGACTAATAGCTTTAATTGTCTAATAGCTTTCAGTGTCTAATAGCTTTCAGTTCTAATAGCTTTAATTGTTGAATAGCTTTAAGTGTCTAATAGCTTTCAGTTCTAATAGCTTTAAGTGTCTAGTAGCTTTAATTGTTGAATAGCTTTAAGTGTCTGATAGCTTTAATTGTCTAATAGCTTTAATTGTCTAATAGCTTTAAGTGTCGAATATCTTTAAGCGTCTAGGTTCAAGTCAATCGATCTAGATCTTGAGACTTTTGATAAACTAATGAAACAGAAAATTGAAACTTTGCAATGTCTTAAAGCTTAAAACAAAGCTTAACTAAACTCAGGAAATGCTTAGATATGTTATTTTTGGATTTTCTATTTGTTACTCCTTGCCTACAGCCAATTATTTGTACAGTACTAAAGCTACGGTATGTCTATAGTGTTTCTACATATTTATCCATCTCTATAGTATAGTTACAGTATATTTATCTATAATTAAAGCAAACTACAGTATCCTAGAATTGATTGTAAGTAAGGAAAAGATACTTTTAAACCATGATAGGGTAGGCTTGCTATCTGTACTTTGTGCTTACCTGTAACTTTCTAGTTTCTAGAGGAGCACCCTTTCTAGCACACTTAAGTCTTCACTTTCATCAGAAAGTGAGGAAGTGAGAAAGTCGTTTTCGCTAGAAAATAAGAAACCAGAAGAAAGGGTGTGTTTACAAGAGCACAAAGTACAAGAATCGATTTCATTCACTCACTCCAATTCAATATCTTTTTGTGAAACTTTCTCGAGAAGATTTCGCTTCACTTTTGCTTTTTCTTCTTCGTATTGACTGACTGCCTAAATATTTATAAGATTTAAGATACGATCTCTAATGCGCTTGGTCCCTGTTCTGGAAATCAGGCGCGGATACTAGGATTACCGGATTCCAGGATTACCGGATACTAGGATTACCGGATTCTAGGATTACCGGATTCTAGGATTACCGGATTCTAGGATTACCGTATTTTCTCTAATAGTAGTGCACCGGGGCGAGTTGATGACTATTTTACGGCTTCCAAGCTTTTGCAGCTTAATCCCCCACTAGATCTCATCGTCAGCTACATTTTCCGACCCCACATCGATAGGTTCTAGCGGTTCTCGAGATTTCGAGCAATTTAGACGACGCTCAGGGTGCACTACTATTAGAGAGAATACGGTAATAATAACAATGTTTTATACCTTTAGAACAGTTGGCGGTAAAAGTGATGCGAAGAGATCATCTCCGCCAACAGATGGATCGAATGGGTCAAAGCCAAGTGGTTTCACTTTGAATAAACCCTGAAAAACTTTAAATTATATAAGCGGAATATCTTTTAATAGTTAGTTATAAGCTTTAAATAGTTAGACAAGCTTTAAATAGTTATAGAAGCTTTAAATCGTTAGTTATATCAGCTTTAAATCGTTAGATAAGCTTTAAATAGTTGTATAAGCTTTAAATCGTTAGATAAGCTTTATCCAGTGCCTCTGTCAAGCTGAGCTCATCGTCTTTCGGAATTCGATCATGATAGACGACATCGTTCTCTTTGCGAGCGTTTTGCTCTCTAAAAAGTTCGTGATCATTATGAGATTGTTTATAGAGAAATTTGATATAAAAATTCTATAATACTATTAAGAAGTTCTATAATTCTATTGCAGAAGCAAGGCCAAAGCCAGGCTAGGCCAGAGGCCTGACTTCTGGCCAGATCTAGTTTTACTGTAGATGTGGATTGGTTAAAAGTATCTGTCAGTTACTTGGCTTCTGACTTGACTAAAGTGGCTAAATGCTAGCCTGGTCGCGTCTGTTACTTTCAAAAATTACGTTCCTATTTGCATTTAATTTGCGTCACTTTTCGACTCATCCTCTCTGGTCAAAGCTAAAGGTAACCTAGGACTTTAGCTTGTTTTGTCTTGGCCTTTAGCTTGTCTTGGCCTTTAACTTGTCTTGACCTTTAGCTTGTCTTGGCCTTTAGCTTGTCTTGGCCCTTAGCTTGACTTGGCCCTTAGCTTGTCTTGGCCTTTAACTTGTCTTGGCCTTTAACTTGTCTTGACCTTTAACTTGTCTTGGCCTTTAGCTTGTCTTGGCCTTTAGCTTGTCTTGGCCTTTAGCTTTTCCGTCCAGCTCTGGAAAAATGCTAAATTGAACGGTCAAGTCAAAAATTACGTTCCGGTTTACATTTAATTTACGTCGTTTTTTCGTCTCATTCTCTGCCCCAAATTTCTTTTTAATTTTCGAGAGAATTTGTGTTTGTGGCTTCGTTAGATTCCTATTGACGTACGGTTTTACGACACTGGCGCGAAAGTGACGCGACATGCTACCGTAACCCGCACAAAGTTCCCCTTTTGCCATTCTTTTCATTTTTACGCCACTTTTTCGACTCATCCTCTCCCCAAATTCCTTTTTTGATTTTTTTGAGAAAGCTTGTGCGTATGGCTTCATTAGTTTCCTATTGACGTACGGTTTTACGACACTGGCGCAAAAGTGACGCGGCACGCTACCGTAACCAGCACAAAATTCCCCTTTTGCCATTCTTTTCGTTTTTACGTCACTTTTTCTCATCCTCTCCTTTGATTTTTTGAGAAAACATGTGTTTTCTTGTTTTTGTTGTTGTTATTAGTGGTTGTTTGTGGCTCCGTTAGATTCCTATTCACGTGCGGTTTTAAGGAACTGGCGCGAAGTGCGGCGTGCTTTCGAAAGCGTGGATGCGCTACCGTACCCCGCACAAAATTCCCCTTTTGCCATTCTTTCCATTTTCCGATGGAATCGTGAAAGTTGTCCGGTTTTTATAAGTTTTCTTCCTCCTTTTGTAAAATCTATCCCCTTTTGTAGCGCGTTTTAAGTTTAAGTTCTCTCCAAAATCCTTTTCTGTTACCGTATTTTCTCTAATAGTAGCGCACCCTGAGCGTCGCCTAAATTTCTCGAAATCTCGAGAACCGCTTATCAGAACCTATCGATGTGGGGTCGGAAAATGTAGCTGACGATGAGATCTAGTGGGGGATTTGAGTGTTGAGCTTCTGCAAAAGCTTGGAAACCGTAAAATAGTCATCAACTCGGCCCGGTGCACTACTATTAGAGAAAATACGGTTTATTGTTCCGCTCATGTTTTCTATTTAAAATTTAAAAATGATTTTGTTTCGTTTCTCTCGGTTTCCTTTTACTTCATTGTTTTCGAATCTTTTTATCTTTTAGTAAAACTACTAAAATATTTTGATATTCCTGCTACTCACTTGAAAAAGACAACATCTCGAATGAAATTTGCGGTCGCGTGCATGTCACTTCGCTTATCTTTTTCAAGTGTCTCCAGAGCACACTGAAGAAGAATTCAGAACTGGTTTAATTCTCCAACTTGTTTCAAAACGTGATATGCTTGTAAATGGAAACGCACCCTTTCTAGCGCACTGAATTCTCCATTTTTGTTTCTACAGAAAAAAATGAAGAATGTAGTGCACCAGAAGGGAAACATTTACATGGTAGCACAGTACACAATCGATCACTGCTTACCTTCACGTGAGCCACTGATTTCGCATAGTAAGCCAGCCGAAGACCGTACTTGTTCTCATCTTCAGCCTGGAAATAGAATGCTAATTAGAATTCGATTTAGAATTAGAATTAGAATTAGAATTAGAAATATTTCACAATATGCTAATTTTCTCAGTCTCACCTTCATTCCCATATACAGAGCGGCAATCGCTCCATAGAGTTCCGATTTCGAGGAGCACATCCGGATCCACTCCTGAGAATCGATTAAATATTATATTTACATAATAAATAATATTAGATAGTATTAGATAAACTATCTAATTAAATCTAGATATGGTCTTAAATCATTATTTTAGATTATGCATTAGAGCGCAGCAAAGCCTATGCGTACTTTGTGCCCAAACGCGCACCCTCTGGAAGTGGTATGCTAAATGGTGTTTTCTGTGGAAAAGAGGGGAAAAGAACGCGCAATTCTAATTTCCTTACCTTGTACTTCATCGAGGCGATCGCGTCGGCGAGCGCCGAGTTCTCGAGGTAATTGCTGCATTCTCTAAAATGGAAAAATAGTTACAAGAGATCAGAGATAAAATAAGATAAGTTTAAAAAAGAGATAAGATATCTAAAGGTATATTTATATTATTTATATGCAAATCTCCTCACTTGTAAAGTCCTCTCAAATGAATCGACAATTTGGCGACTACTTCATTCGAGCGATGATCGATGAGACTCTTCTCGACAAGGCACTCTTGCGATTGGGCCTGGACAATGGTAAATGCTAATTTTGATGTGTAAGCAGCTTTAGGTAAATGATGATTAATATGATTTTTACCGTAACTACTGTATTTTGTAAGCCGTACTTTGTGCTTACGCTTAAACGCGCGCTTTCTGGTGCAGAAAAGGCGTTCTTTGTGCTTAGGCTTAAACGCGCGCTTACTGGTGCAGAAAAGACGTACTTTGTGCTTACGCTTAAACGCGCGCTTTCTGGTGCAGAAAAGCCGTACTTTGTGCTCGCGCTTAAACGCACGCTGTCTGGTGCAGAAAAGCCGTTATTTGTGCTTACGCTTAAACGTGCGCTTTCTGGCACACCAAGCAGTGCGCTAGAAGCCGCAGGAGGCAGCAAAAGAACGCACAATTCTTTCACTGTTCGTTCTTTCGATGTCATTTGTAGGAAAAACGGCATCTGGCATACTGCTGGGCGCCAGAAGACCCTCAGCCGGTTTAATTACCCAAGTTTATGCGTTCTCCAGCCAAGAATCATTATTTGGCGCTGATCTCGATGCCAGAATGGCCAGAATGGCATCGAGAGCGCCAAAACTGATGCCAGAAAGCGCGCGTTTAAGCGAGAGCACAAAGCACAGCGCTCAGCACACCTTCTCAGCCGGCTCAATTACCCAATTTGTATCTTTGACTGAAATTTGAAAAACTCAACCAACCAGCAGAATATTTACGAAGAAAGTGAGGAGTTCTTTGTCGAAATCGAGAGTGGAGAACTTGTCGACGTTCATAGTGTCACGAATCTGCACAAATATTAGGCAAATCTTGTGGAAATTTGATATCTTATCGTACAAAAAACAATAGCAAGATTGAAAACATATAACGTTAAAAATTTGAGCCAAAAAACCTGTTGAAAGGGCCACGCGGCGTACTGGAAATGCATGAAGGCGTTTTTGATTGACTGAAAAAATGGGAGAATTCAAAATGACAACAATTTCCTCACATCTTCGCTCTCTCGATTCTCGATGGCGCCAATATTTGCATGAACAGCTCCAATATTGAAAAGAATGTTTGCGATTTCGAAATTGATGTCATTGTAGCCGACGGTGTGTGGAAGGTCCGAGGTACGGTCAGGCCTAGAAAAATGGATTATTATTATTTTAGGCGAACAAAGACATTGACATTGAGTCTATTTATCCAGCCTTGTAGCCTTTCGAAAAGGGAAATCCCTTCAAAAACTGATCATTTTTGAAGAAACCCAGCTTTGAAGCAAAAAAAATGATTTAGTGCGGAAAAAAAAACGACTACGCGACGCTCCTCTGTTATACTATAAGGAAAAAACGGTACTCCATTATCTCACTCTCTTCCAAAACGGATTAGCATTCGAAATTGTTTACAGGATATCAAATACATGGTGAAATAATGGTGTACCATTTTTTCCTTAAAGTATAACAGAGGAGCGTCGCGTAGTCGTTTTTTCCGCACTAAATCATTTTTTTTCTCGCGAGCCTCTGAATTTGTTTGGATTTTTCTAAAATTACTGTCGATTTCTCGATTTTTTTTTAAAATCCGAACAAAATCGGTTTAGAAGTTCGCGAGAAAAAATGATTTATCACGGAAAAAAACTACCCTACGCTCAAAAACTACCCCTTTTCATCGGACAAGCAAGTTGGCTATCAGAAATGGCACCTTACGAAGCATTAGGAAGCATACTATTAGGAAAATACATAGCATACGGTATTGGTTTTTGTTTTTTTGGTTTTTGTTGAATCTTTCTTTTTTTGTCAAGCTTTTATGTTGGCTCAATATGTAATGTCTATTAAATTACTACAGTGCCGCTCAAAGCTCAAAGAACCCCCCTCAAACTTTTCAGGTTTGTCATATAAAATAAATGCACAGAGTAATATGTTTAAAAACAAAATGTAGATTTTTCATAAACATGCATAAATATTTTGGTTTCAGCTATACATTTCGAGTGTCCCCCCTGTGTCCCCCTTTTCCCCCTAGAGTGTCCCCCCCCCCTAGTATCCCCCTAAATTTTTCCGTTTAAGATGTTTCGAGTTCGATGCATTTGCTGATCATTGAGTTTAAAAAGTTAGAGCACATTTGGAGAGCAAAAAGTTGTGATTTGATATGAAAAAAAATAGGGGGATACTAGGGGGGGGACACTTTAGGGGGACAAAAAGGGGACACTTTGAGGGGGACACTTAGGGGGCAAAAGGGGGACACAGGGGGGGACGCTCGAAATGTATAGTTTCAGCTCATTTTGAATGCTTTCTAAAACATGGCATAAAAAGAAAACTTAAGGTCGCTCAAAAGTAATGACCCCCCTTGCAAATGCTGTAAAAGTTTTCGAGCTCTAAAGATATTTGCCTTTGGGACAAATAATGGATACTGTACGTCTGAGTCTACAGTAAATTCATTTATCTTTATCATTTAGATTCATTTATCATAATCTATAATCAAAATTGATTCATTATCGTAATCTTTCTATTGTGGACTATTTAGAATAATGTATGTAAGTGGTTTTCCTCTAGTTTTCATTAGATCTATCTTTTGGCATCGTTTATGAACCGTTTGGCTTTTGAAAAACCAACCAAACATTAGAAATAACCAACCAAACATTAAAAATAACCAACCAAACAAAAATGAGATCATCGGAAGATTCGGATCTCATCAATTCATCGCCTTCTTCCATCGGGAAACGATTCTTCATCATTAGCAATTGAGCGTAATATCGTTTGAGGACACATGTCGATTCAACGCTCACTTGCGGGTTCATCATTTTCTGAAGATGCGCAGAAATTTGTACTTCGAAAGATTAGTTTGATCCAAAAGTTACTCTACTTTAAGGTAAGTTTACTTTAAAGTTGAAAAGGATTACTGCAAGTCTCGAATCTTGCCCCCCTTTCCGACTCACCCCTTTCAACGCGATGATCTCTTTTATCGGGGCATCGTAATTGTGTGGATCATCTTGGAAATGCATCAGAATGTACTCTTTCATTCGTAGAATGAAATCTTCTGGATAGCCGATGCTGGTTGCCTAAATATTTAGAAATTGAATCCGAAATCTGAATTGAAAATTGGTTTTAAGAAAAAAATAAGTTTCCTTCATTTCTGGGGCGAACATCGGGAATCTCGGCAAACCCTCCATCTCTTCGAATTGATTGTTTTGAATTTCAAATGAGACTTATCTACCGTAATACCTGGAATAGGTCAGTTTTGAGACAAAAGTACAGTACTTTTGTACACTTGTACACTTTTGTACAGTACTTTTGTACACTTTTGTACAGTACTTTTGTCTCTTTTGTCCTATAGTACTGAATTCTTCAATTTTCTTACAGCAACACTTTGGTTTCTCAAGAAAATTAAAGAGTTCAAAGCGCTAGAAAGGGATAAACTGATAAACACAAAGTAAACACAAAGTACAAAAAAAGAGAACGAGTTTTGTGTAAACGCAAGCGATCTGGTGCACTGAAAAATTGTATATAAAATGTATGATGATGTAAAAACATGGAAATTTGATAAAAATCAGTTCAAATTAAAAGTTTTAGCTGATCAGCTAAAATCTTTGAGCCACGTGGTCACATAAAATGAAAAAATATATATTTGCAAAAAAATAAAAGGCTTGATATAAATTTAAAATAAAATATCGAAAAAAACAAAACTAGATGATTGACCGGGTAAAAATTATCCCCGCAATTGTTTTTATGCTTTTTATTTACGCTTTCATAACTGGTTCCACTTCTGTGCCACTGGGCTCCTTTGTACATTTGTCTCTGGGGTTAATTGGGTAGTTGTATGCCGACGTTCTCGATAAATCGCTTATTGGATCTCGTTTTATTGAGGGGACGCTTATCGAAAAAATAATTTTATAGAAAGTTTTTGTTAAATTCTAGCAGAATAATTGTTTTCTAAGGTCTGGGCCTTAACAGAAAATAGCGTAGCTGTAAAATGCGGGGAAATTTGTATATATGACTAGAATTTTATATTTAAATTAGGGACTATATCAAGAGGGACTATATAAAGAGCGCCGTGATCAAAAGGGCGCCAATGCAAAAACGCTCAGAACTGCGCCAATGCAAAAACGCTTAAAAGTGCGCCAAGCCTTAAGTCTTATTAAATTCAACCACTAACTGCGTTTTAACCTTTTTTCTTGTTTTTTTCTTGAAAATTTCTGTATTGATTCCAAATATTTATAATGAATTCCTTTAACAATTTAATAGAATAATAATGAACAATAAAATAACAATGACAACAACATTTAAATGTAATGCAAAACGACCGAGATTTAACATGTTCAATATGCGATTATCCTAAGGCGCCATTTCTGATAGCCAACTTTCTTGTCCGATGAGAAGAGCAAAAATGAAGATTGTAGCAAGATTGTAGATTAGTTTCTTTATCTAAAATTAAAAATTTAGACAATAAAAGAAAACAAACAACAAAAAAAGATTTCTTTTGATAAAATGCGCCTTACCTTGACTGTCGTTACTGTCTTGCCGGTCGTTTTCTGCCAAAAACAACGGCGAATTTGAATTCCCCGTCGTTCTTTTACCTAAAAATAGAAAAAATTGTAAATAAACATAAAAAACCAGCAAAAACATCAAGAAAAACGAAAAAAATTGGGGCGCAAAAATCTATTCGCGCTCTTGCGCGTTTTGCATTGGCGCTGTTTACGATTACGACTATTGATTACGGCGCTCTTTTGATATAGTTCCTTAAATTATTATAATATATATGGTGTTATCAATTTAAATATATGTTGTGTTCGATTTGGATTGAGTTTCGTAAATTTTCATTAGAATCTTCATTAGAATTTAAGTTTTTAACCAAACTTTTTGTCATTTTTCCTGATTTTTACGGCATATGGGCCAACTGGAGAACAAAAAAGTAAAATTGATCATTTCAAGCGCTTCCCCACCTCAAGATACGCAAAAAATCCTAAAAATTAAGTATAAGTGCTCATTAAAGGGTCTATAAGTGTTCATTAATGCTATTCTAGTCTCTTTTTACGCAGAACCTTTTATACAGATTCATAAAAACTAAGAAACACTCAAGATAAGAGTTTAAAAAAACGTTATTGTAGCGCTTGAGATTGTTTCAATTTTGATTTTGATTTTGATTTTGCCGATTTTGATTCAATATATGTTTTTAAATTTTCGTTAAGAGAATCTATTTGGTCATTTGTTTTTTTTTTTACTGTTTTTTGTCCGTTTAAAGCTAAAAATTGGGCAAGAACCGTTTTCTAATGAATCTGGGTGAATATAAGTCAACTTTGAGACAGAAATCGCAATATTATGGATCGTTTATGAAAGCTTGAAACGAACGATCGTTTATGAAGGCTTGAAAAGAACCTTTCAGCTAAAGCTTTGGTTTAAGATTTTGATATTGCGATTTTTTTTAAGAATTCATCTTTTTTAAGCTACAATTAATCTATTTTTAAGGACAATCGAGGGATTTTTAAGGTATGTTACATAGAAAAAACACCTAATGTTGCTATTTTGAATGAGCAATCCCCAGCAAAGTAACGTTCAAAATCCCGTGCGCTGAAGTTTTTACGGTTTTGAGCTCCATGATTCGGTTATCCACTTAACTTTTCACCATCCATTGACATTTGACTTCTAATGTTCTCGTTTTGTTAAAATTTTGGCAGTAGATTATTTATTTTTCAATTTTCAGACTGCGATGCGCGATGAGGTCTACTATTCACCGGTTCCTGGCAGCTCCAATCATGTGCCACCCGATCCAATTCCATCAGTCGAAGACAACGAGACATTGTTGCATGGTCCCGAGTAAGTTTTTAAACCTTTGGATAACATATTTTAAGCTTAAAAATATGTTAATAGCTTGAGCAACTATTGGTACTAATAAAGTTCGGCACTTTGCTCTGATTTGGACAGATCATATTTTTCGATTGTTTTGCCAATGTTATTTCATTTTTTCTGAGGTAATCAAACATGCTGGATCTATTGGTGATATTTTTAGAAAGTTTTGAACATTCTTTGTTAATATTTTGTTGAGCTAGCTGACCTATAACTGTTGCACGCTAAAAAATGAGGCCAGGGGTGAAATACAAAGTGAAAACTATTCAAAAACTTCAAATTCAACACTCTAAAAATATCACCAATAGATTAAGCAAATTTGATTACCCAGGAAATGCAAAACTAGACTAGAGAAAACACGTAAAATAGGTTTTGACGGGGTCAAGTCAAAGTATGCCCCGAACTTTATTAGTACCCAATTATTTAATGTAAAAAAGCATCGTTGTTAATAACCCGATAACTCTTTAAAATGAGGCGTGTTAGTAGACTGAGGAATCATTTAGTGTAAAGGTAGCTTATTCTCCAATTTTGTTATATTTGTTTGTCAACAACGGAACGTTTAAAATTTGTTAAAAATTAAATGTTCTTTATTATAATTTCAGGGAATAGGTTGAGATTTTGGAGCCATTTTGATATTTTTAATAGCTGTGATAATTAATTAGGAATAAAATTTAGGATTATGTCCCAGCCGCAGCCACAATTGGAGGTTGCTGAGGTTGTGGAGATCGTGGAACCACAAACGAAACAGCGCATGTACGCCAATTTGACGACAGGAAAATGCTCCTGGGATCCCCCGATCGGAACAAGAGTGTAAGTGTAACATAAATTGAATTTACCTTCACGGAATTTTATGTTTTTCGTTTGGTTAATTTTTTATTTAGTAAACGAACGCACGAGAATCAATGGTGGGAGTTGTTTGATTCGAAGACAAATCGCTTCTACTACTACAATGCATCATCTATGAAGGTTAGTAAAGGTTTTTACTTGGTTATGATTTTACAAGAATTCTAATTTCAATTATTTTTAGACAATGTGGGCGCGTCCGACTAGCGCCAGTGCAGACATCATTCCTTTGGCTAAGCTTCAGACGTTAAAAGAAAATACGGATCAAAGTGAACATGCTAGGGTTGGTTGTGTGTTTTTCTGCAAAACTTTGCCTTTTTGTCCGTTTTGATGCATAGTTTATTGAGGACCGGCGTCTTTTGATTTAGGTTGTTTTTTTTGGAAATGTGCTCGATGAATATACATAAACAATTTTATTTAAAAAAATTTATTAAGTCAAAAGAAAATAGTTAGAGTTAGTCAACAAAGAGTTAGCATTTTCTTTTTCAGACATGATTCATGTACCATAATAAAACTATTCATTTAGGCTCGAAAACACTGCGAAACACAAACATCGCCAGCAGTTCGTCGTGCCGGTCCTCGACGGATAATTGCGCAAAATATTGGACCAGAAACTGGTATCGTCACTACGCGAAGTCCAAGCTATAGTCATCGTGATTTGGATACATCTTTTGATGTAAGTTGTTTTGAGTAAAATTTCTCTATTCAAATTTAGATGCTTTCTCTTGATGATGTCTCGGAAAGGTCGCTCACTTCCTCGCAAATTGGTCGCCCATTTCCTCCATTTCCGACAACGGCAAGTCGAATGTCGACAGCGCCCTCGGCCGACAGCTTGCCCACGAGATCCAGTCGGCAAGTTTTAATAAGTTACCTAGACATGGCTTTTTAATAAGTTACTTTTTAATAAGTTACCTTTTAATAAGTTACCTTGTGGCTATAGAGATCATGAGCGGGGTTTAATCGAAAAATTTAGATCAAGTTCTCCACCGCAACAGAAAAGAGGGCCGTTCACTTTTTCGACGAACACTGGCACAAAAACAAAATCACCAGGAGGCTGGGCAAAAGATGCACCAAAGGCACCTTTAACGGCGCCGGATAACAAGGTAAGCTCGTTAAAGTTTTATTCATCAATCTTGAACTTTAGGCTCTCCGGAAAGAATCGGCGGCCATCTTCAAACTTATTCAATCGTACATGGGTGATAAAAAGAGCAAATTGTCGCCGGATCAAGTAAGCTATAAAAGGAATTAATGCAATGATGTTGATAAAACTTATCTTACTTGTTTTAGCTAGCTTTGTCACTTTGTGAAACGACAACCGGGAGGAAAGAATGCGCTGATGAAGCAATCGCTCAACTCATGCAACAATTGACCGATAATTTGAAATCCGACAGTTTGAGGTAGTTGTAATCGTGTTTTAATAGGCCAAGAACATTTTAAATGAGGATCAATTAAAAACTCTTATGAACTTGTTCAAAATTGTATTTTAGACGAGGATGGGAGCTGTTAGCAATCTTGTTGGCTCTCGTAGCCCCATCGACTGAAATGGCCGATAAATTGTCTGTATTTCTTGATCGACACTCCGATAGTCTTTTGGATTCGCCAGAGGTTTGTTAAATTTGCTTTTAGCTTACATAGAAAATTCAGGTCGCAGTCTCTAACTTTGCGCATCAATGCCACAAACGCTTGGAGAAAAACCAACCAAAATTCAAGCCGACTCTAGCTTTAGTGCAGGTAGAGCTTTCTTTAGTTGATTTGATGATTCATGTTGTTTAGGAATCACGAGTACACATCTTCAACCCACCTCAATTTTCGGCAAATCTTGAAGAGCTGATGGACATGCAAGCAGCCCGTTACCCACATTTGCAGGTACTTTTAGGGAACAAGATACTGATACAAAAGCTTTTTAGTTGCCTTGGATTGAGACGACGTTGATTGAATTGATTTTACGAGAGGGCGGAACGCTAACCGAAGGGCTTTTTCGAGTGCCCGCCGATCCCGAACAGATGAACACGGCAAGGGCACGGTTGGATCAATGGGTACGGTTTCGTTTCTTAAAAAATAATTTTTTGAAGCACTTGAACGTTTGAGACTGGTATTGAATTAGCTTTCATGGAACTTTAAAAGTGAAGCTTGTGCCAAAATAAAACCTGTTTTACAATTTCAACGTTTAGGTTGTTCCCGTTCTTCGCGATCCTCACGTGCCGGCCGGTCTTTTGAAGTTGTGGCTTCGACAACTTCCTGAACCACTCATTCCACATTCTTTCTACACTCGAGCTTTAGCCGGATGTGATAACCCTCTAGAAGCTACTCGCTTGGTTGATTTGTTGCCTAATGGTTAGTGCTTTGAAAATTCTCCTATGCAATTATGTTTTAGTGAATCGCCTTGTACTGGCTAAGTTGATCTCCCTGCTGCAGGATCTTTCAATGGAGGAAGTAATTGTGCATACGAAGATGGATCCTTCGAATTTGGCGATGGTAATGGCTCCAAATGTTCTCAGGTTTGTTACATAGCGAATATAAAATTATGTGATTGTATGTAAAAATTAATATCAAAACATGATTTTTAGTCTTTTTGAGCAAAGATATACTTCGAGTCAAAATGATTTTGCAATTTCCAAACTTTAGATGTGAATCCGAGGACCCACGAGTGATTTTTGATAATACTCGACGCGAGATGACATTTTTGAAGTACGTTAACTATTAGGTTGATGCAAAAGTCTTTTTCATTTTTTTCGTACTTCCGTTAAAAAGTAACAAATGCACCAATTGAACAACGGTTTATTGCATTCGAAAGGCCAATTATTTTTCTGCAAAATGACATTAAAACGAGTTTAAAATGTCTTATGTCTAGATTTTTTTGAGAGCCTGAAGTCGGGTAGTCAAAAAAGGCGACGGCTCGATGATGCATTTTAGACGCTTTAGCTAAGGAAACCAATCTTGATGTTAATAAATAAAAGATAGAGCACAAAAAGTTAGATATTTTTTCAGATTTTCAGAGAAATTGATTCAGCCAATTTCTTTATCGAGGTTTTTATAGATTTTTATGAAAAACCCGTTTTCACTCTCGAATTTGCTTGAAAGTGAACCCAAATTGACTTAAAAAGATGGGAAATTGAACAATAAACACTTTTCATTTAGAGCAAACCATAGGTTAATTGATGACTTTGTTATTTTTCAAAAGAAGTACGAAAAAAATGAAAAAGACTTTTGCATCAACCTAATAGCAATGTTAGCCGTTAACTGAATATTTTTCTTTTAGAACTCTCATCACTCACTACGATACGGCATTCATCCGAAGTCTGTTGTAATTAAACCTCTTTAGCATATCTTTTTATTCATTTTAGCATTATAGCATGCGAAAAATCCTCTTTCTTTGTACTTATTCCGCTTCAAGCCTTTGATTACCTCTCATTCTTTGTTTTTCTCTTCATTTTGCCTTTTTTTTTTCATTTGTGTGAATGTTATCATTGAAATCTTTCACTCCTTACACTCCCCTAGTCATTTCATTATGTACGAATGTTCTATTTTTTGGTGCAATGCGTTTTGCCACGATATCAGTTATACCACACAATGTATTACAATGAGCTGAACTTTTCTCGAATCTTTTTGTCAAACGATAAATATTCTTTGTAAAAAGCGAATTGAAAAGATTTGTTTTATTCGAATTTTACCACACTTTCAAAGTTGCCTTGATGATCGTCAATTGAAATTGAAAGGTCTAAAAAATGCTAGACAATTATTTTTTTATCGAAAGTTAAGGCCGAAATGGTCGATATCGAGGACGGCTACGGGGATCTACCGGGCGTCGCTGGGAAATTGACTGAAGATGTTAGTTTACGATATTTTATTACAAGAACCTATAAAAATCGCTCGAACCAAAACTGCTCTTTTTTGCCATTTTTCAATCATTTTTTTCTAAGCACTGATTAATGCTAAAAATATGTGTTATATCTCAAAAAGTCACCCATCTTCTCTACTTTAATTTGATACCCAAAAACAAACGTACTGGTGTCGAGGTATGAGCGTTTGTTTGAGAGTAAGCTTAAATTACGCGACGCTCCTATAGGGCGGGGCTTTTATTAGAGTAAATACGGTAATAAAAAATGGAGCGCCCGTCTATTAGCGCTTTTACGGTATGTAGATTTTTACATTGTTTAGAGGTGACTCAAAACTTTATAAAAGGCTTACTTTGTAGAATTGACTTTTTTTCAAAAGTTCAACTAAACTGCATTCTTGTAGGTGACGATTCGGATACGCTCCACGAAGAAAGCGCCCGTGCATGAGGAAAAAGGACACATGGATTCGTTTGTGCCCGGTTTGTTTTTTTTAGTAGATTTAAGAATAAATCAAGCTTTATAAATGTCAAATAGTACCAAACGATGAGCGAATATTAATTTTTTTGTGTCACTAGTTTTAGTGCCAACCAATTGTAACAATTGTAACCTTTAATTTTAGGCACTTGCTCGGTTTGGATGCGAACATGGGGATGCAGCCACAACTCATCAGACTCGGAATACATGGCCGGAATATTGATGCGGGTCGGTTAATGGTTTTCACTTTTTAAATGGAAATTTTATAATTTGCTGAAGAAATAACGTCCAGTTTTTTTAGGATGGCTATCGAGTCACACAGGACAAAGACAATGCTGATGTTTGGGTGCTGAACTCGTGTACAGTCAAGACTCCATCAGAACAGCAAGTAAGTGAAAGAATCATGGCTGTAACATTTTCACTTCTAGGCGAGTAACTTGGTAACCGAGGGGCAGAAAAGCGGCAAGAAGATTGTAATGGCCGGCTGCGTATCACAAGCGGCACCCAATGAAAAATGGCTGCAAGGAGTCTCGATTGTCGGCGTCAAGCAAATTGATCGGATCACTGAGGTGGTTTTAGTTTTAGACTTGTAAATGTACAGATACTATTAATTGCAGCTCTAAAGATGGATAACCTATTAAACTTCAAGTTTAGATTGTTGAAGAAACGGTCAAGGGGAACACGGTTCGCCTTTTATCTCGTCGTAGACCCGATGCCGGCCTAGCGTTGCCTAAAATGAGGAAAAATGAACTGGTTGAGGTAAATTCTAATAAACCTTCGTGTTAAACCAATTTTCTTTTAGGTGTTGGCAATAAACACGGGATGCCTCAACAATTGCACCTATTGTAAGACAAAATTGGCGCGCGGTGATCTCAAGAGTTATCCGATCAAAGAATTGGTGAGTTTTTCTCGGTGCAACTTTATGTTTCATCAAGCATATAGGTTGAACAAGCTCAAACGGCTTTCGAACGAGACGGTGTTAAAGAGTTGTGGCTGACAAGCGAGGATTTGGGTGCCTATGGAAGAGATATTGGAGTGGTGAGGAGAAAATTTGAAACTTAAACTGATCTAATCGTTAGTAGAACATGCTTAAATAGCAATTTTAGGTTCTTCCCGATCTCCTTGACGAATTGGTGAAAATTATTCCAGACGGCTGTATGATGAGACTCGGCATGACGAATCCGCCATACATTTTGGATTACCTGGAGGTATTTTGGCTTTAGTTTCACATGCTTTAGCGAAGATTTAAATTGGTCTTAACTAGGCTTTGAAAGTATACTATGTTACGTTTTAGGAAATTGCTACGATTCTTCGACATCCCCGCGTTTATGCCTTTCTCCACATCCCGGTTCAAGCAGGAAGTGACGCTGTTTTAAGGTTAATTGAGCTGTTATTAAGCTAAAGTGTTTTACTATTCGAAATTTAGAGACATGAAACGAGAGTACACATCGGATCACTTTCGAAAGATTGTCGATTACATGAAGAAAAAGTGTGTTGTTTTTCCATAAGTTTTTAATCTATTTTTTAGTGTCCCTGGCATCTACATTGCCACTGATATGATTTGTGCCTTTCCCACGGAGACAGAGGAGGATTTTGAGGTACTATCGTTCATCGAATGACTATTTCTCGATATCGTTTAGGAATCAATGCAATTGGTGCGTGACTACCAGTTCCCGTCGCTTTTCATTAATCAGGTATTGGATTTGGTTGAATGCGTTTAAAACTTGAATCTCGTTTAGTTCTTTCCTCGATCTGGTACCCCGGCCGCTCGAATGAAACGCGTTGATCCGGTGGAGGCAAAAAGACGAACGGCTGAGATGAGTCGACTCTTCAGGTACGTTAAAATTGGCAATGGACCTCTAGAAAGAATTGAAAACTGTTCTAAACCTTTTAAAATTATAATTAAAAATCCTGTTTTATTTAGAAGCTATTCCCGTTACGAGGAGTCCCGAGTCGGCGAGGTGATGGATGTTCTCGTCTGTGAGCTTGCTTCGGACAAGCTGCACGCCGTTGGTCACAACAAAAACTATGAGCACGTTCTTGTACCTGATCCAGGTGAGGTTTCATGCTTTTTGTAATCTCTCCTCTTTCTAGGTGAGGTGATGGGTAAATGGGTCAAAGTGAGGATCGTTGGCGTTTCGAAGTTTCACATGCTCGGCGAACGCATTGCAGCGGATGAGTGGGTTTTGATTTTATTTTGGTTTCAGATTACTTATTAACTCGTTTCTTAAGTGATTTTAAAATGAGTAAGACTAAAATTCCTCAAAAAAACAAATTACTGAAACATTTTGAAGTTATAAAGATGTAACTAGGGATATGCAACCTTTTATTAGATTATATGGTGCATTATAATTTCAGAAAGAACCAATCATCTGCAACAAGTGTACCGACAAGTACTGCGTCATTGGGCTCGACTCTTTTCCGTCCGCTCCCGATTTTCGTCTGCATAATGGCCGCCTTGTTGATGTTTGTGATTTTTGAACTTTTACCTAGTCTATTCTGAAGGAAATCTGTTAAGTTTAGAACTTTTTTTTTGTTATTCACGAAAAAATACTCTTCAGAATGATTTTTTTTGTTTATTTCTCTTGTTACCCGGATTGTTATTTTTGAATGTTTGTTGGCCTAGTTTGACGTAAATTTTGAAAACTTTATTTCAGGTAATTTACAGTAAATGTAGATTATATCAAAAAATCGAAAGGTCCATGAGAAATCCTTGAAGACTTATTATGTCACTCGGGGTTTTTTTTTGTTTCTATTTCAGCTTCACTATATACACGTGATTTTGGAGAGAAATTCGAAAATTCTAGACAACTGCTGACGGAAAATTGGTGAGCTTTTGAGGTGAAGTTTTGGAAAAAAATGAAAAGTTTTTAGAGCTATGTGCAAATGAAAGCTTTTGTACAGTACTTTTTACAAAATTTAAAGATGTGCAAATTTCGATTCCTAACCAAATTTTAAAAGGTTTCTGTTTTGCCAATAGGCTTGAAATCAAAATTTTCCATCTAGGGGCAAGTCGGGGAGCTTTTTGTGGGGCCCTGAAAGTTCGGTAACTAAAAAATTATGGGAAAACGATTTTAGGATTTAGATTTAGAATTTAGATTTAGGAGATTTTAGGATTAAAATTTAGAAAAACAACCATTTCATGGAATTTTGCGAAATTTGCCAAATTTTTGGACAAAGTTAATTTCTCCGCAATCGCTTCTTTTGTTGTTGGCGAATCTGTTTGTCGAGCTCTGAAAATGGATATCAGAATCAGACCAAAAGTCGATAGATTGGAGATTAGAAATAGAGACATGGTTACGGTAAAAAGAGGACACGTTTTAAAAAAAACAGTAAACCTCTTTCTGGGGTAGGCTAGTTTCCGCAACTTTTTTTGCGCAACTGGGTCGTTTGCGCAACTCACCATAACTTTCTTCTAAGCGGGTTAATCTTTATGATTTTGATTTCATTTTGTAGATCTCAATAAGTGCAACAAAATGAAATCAAAATCATAAAGATTAGCCCGCTTAGAAGAAAGTTATGCCGAGTTGCGCAAACGACCCAGTTGCGCAAATGACCCTGTTGCGCAAAAAAAGTTGCGGAAACTAGCCTACCCCCTCTTTCTCGATTAAATCGGCGATTTATCACAACTCACTGTTATTCTCGCGACACGGCACCGCTTTCTTGTGCTCGAGACATGGTCGTTTTGGTTTGCGCTGGAAAAGAAAGTTTAACTTTTGCTTGCGTTGTGCTCGGTTTGTTTCAACGCACCCTTTCTGGTGCACTGAATTCGGCTTTTTTTTAAGTGAAACTAAAGCATTATTGTGAGAATTCAGTGCACCAGAAAGGGTGCGTTGAACAAACCGAGCACAACCGACCGAGCAGGTTTCATTTAAGATTTCATTTAAAGCACAAAGTTGTTAGCCTGGGAAATTCACCTGTGCCTTCGTGGCATTTTTCCACACTCGGTGATCACATTGTGGTTCAGTGACGCGGCTCAACGAGCGACTCCGAGAGATCGTCGAGCAATATCCCTGCACGGTTGGGCGCTTTTTCTCCTAGAATTGAAGATTTCTATGAAAATTTCTATTAAAAAGTATATTTAAAGCTTTAGAAAGGCTTTATTACAGTTATCTTTATAATATTGAGCTTTAAAAAAGCTTTAAAAACCCTACCATTTTTCCCCTTTTCTCAATGTTCGTTGAAGTATTCGAGTAGCCGTAGCAGACCTCAGATCTTTGAGACTGAAAAGTTTTGATGTACTTTGTGCTCACTTGTAAACGCATCCTTTCTAGCGCATTGAACTTTAGGAAAAATTGAGGATTTCAGTGCACTAGAAAGGATGAGTTTTCGAAAAAAAAAAACCCAACCTTTCTGAGTGGATTTTGCTTTTTCTCTTGAATCGATTCGGTCAACGAGTACTCTTTACGAAGGACAAGGCTTGTCTAGAGGATTTGCATTAGAAAGTTTGCATTAGAAAAATCATTTTATCAAGATAATTAGCTTTTTTGATAAACTTCAAAGCTTTAAAGGCCTCACTTTCTCTTTCTTTTCACTCTTCAACGTTTCCATTCGAAAATCGTTCCAACAAGGCTCCGGTCGACTTTTGCATGGCTAAAATGAAACGATTTTTTTTCTATTTACAGTGCATAGTACTGTACGATAGTACCGTACATATGCATAGTACTATATGTACATAGTACTGTACATGTGCATAGTACTGTACATGTGCATAGTACTGTACATGTGCATAGTACTGTACATGTGCATAGTACTGTACATGTGCATAGTACCGTCTATGCATGTACTAAGACATAGTACGTGTACATAGTGTACATGTGCATAGTACGTACATGTGATGTACCGTACAGGTCTATATGTCATGTACTGTACATGTGCATAGTACTGTACATGTGCATAGTACTGTACATGTGCATGTACTGTACATGTGCATAGTACTGTACATGTGCATAGTACTGTACATGTGCATAGTACTGTATGTACATAGTACTGTACATGTGCATAGTATTGTACTGTAAGGAGAAAAGAGGGAAATGAGGGTTAAATATCATTAAAAATAGTGTTGTACATATGCATAGTACTATATGTACATAGTACTGTACATGTGCATATTACTGTACATGTGTATAGTATTGTACAATTGCCTAGTACTGTACTATAGTATTGTACGTGTGCATAGTACTGTACATGTGCCTAGTACTGTACACGTGTCTAGTACAGTCTGTGCAACAATACGTGTGTTTGTCTGTGCATAGCACTGTACATGTGCCTAGTGCTGTACATGTGCATAGTACAGTACTGCAAGGAGAAAAGAGGGAACTGAAGGTTAAATATTGTTAAAAATAGATATCCGATATGAAAATTTTAGGGAAAGCAGTGTGATTGAGGGATTCGATGGAAATTTTGACGCGTCTCTGTTCCCCATGAAAATATCACCTCCAAAATTGCGATAGAACTTTCATTGATGGTCAGATTGTTAAAAAATAGGCATCTGATGTGGATATTTTGAAGAAAAGCCCACCGTAAATACTGTAATAGTGCCCGATACGCGCATAATGACGATGCGAAGTGTTGCGTAGCCCTAGCTTTGAACGCGTTTTTCTCGACACTCATTTATGCCACAATTCGCGTATAGGTATCAAAAAATAGCTGAAATTCAGGGCTATTTTTTGATACCTAAGCGCGCATTGTAGCATAAACCAGTGTCGAGAAACACTCGTTCAAAGCGGAGCGTTGCGTAGCCCTAGCTTTGAACGCGTTTTTCTCGACACTCATTTATGCTACAATTCGCGTATAGGTATCAAAAAATAGCTGAAATTCAGGGCTATTTTTTGATATTAAAGTCACATTTTTTAAAAAGTACTGGTGCTAAAAAAAGGAAATACTAAAAAAAGTTGCGACTACGAGTGGTTGGGCTACTATTACAGTATTTACATTAGGTACGGTACTAGTAAATAGTACAGTGATTACTGTGCGCATAGTACTAGTACGTAGAAGTTACAGGGGACTTGTTAGTAACGTTTTTGTAGTTTTTGTCAGCACAAGTTTTTTATCAAACCTTGTGCTGCTTGGTGGGTCGATACTGTTGCACGGCGGTTGGACGGTTTGGCTTCTAAAAATACGAATGATTATAGAAAATCGATTATAATATTGTCATCAATCTCTAATCTATATAAAGAACTTATTCTGACAAATTATTATGAAAATTTTACAAACCTTGCTCTCTTTTGGCGGTGGGATTGGGCCTTTTCTCGTGAATTTTGGAGAGGAAACGGCTCGGTTGAAAAGCGCCTAAAAAAAAATCGTTTGTTTTTATGAGATTATAAATGAAATTGGTGTATTTCTAATAAAAATACTTTAAATAATTATATCTCGAGTAGTCTAGATCTAAAATTACCGTATTTTCTCTAATTTTCTTTAATTTTCTCTAATATTTCAGAGACGGGGAGGTGTTCTTTGAGCGGCCGCGTAATCGCTCGCCGTCTGGCGCAGGGCTTTTCCGTGAGAGGGGGACTTTCTCTTTTTGTCGAGCAATCTCAGGTTAACTCTGGGCTTATCTGAGGGGTAGGCGGTTCTGCGTTCTTATAGGTTTTACCCCACGATAAATATTCGTACGGGGAGAATGACTCAGGATCAAGAAGATCGACCCAGAAGCTTTAAACGATTGAGATTCAGGTGATTGAGATTTTGCAATAAAAAGAATACAGTATAGGTAGCTAGGAGTACGCCAGCTCGGGATACGGTGGCTTTAGCTTTACGGTAGGGAGTACGATAGCTTTAGCTTTACGGTAGGGAGTACGATAGCTTTAGCTTTACGGTAGGGAGTACGCCAGCTCGGGATACGATAGCTTTAGCTTTACGGTAGGGAGTACGATAGCTTTAGCTTTAGGGTAGGGAGTACGATAGCTCGGGATACGATAGCTTTAGCTTTACGGTAGGGAGTACGATAGCTTTAGCTTTAGGGTAGGGAGTACGATAGCTCGGGATACGATAGCTTTAGCTTTACGGTAGGGAGTACGATAGCTCGGGATACGATAGCTTTAGCTTTACGGTAGGGAGTACGATAGCTCGGGATACGATAGCTTTAGCTTTACGGTAGGGAGTACGACAGCTACGGTATTTTTACGATGTAGACACATTTTGAGGCTCAATTTTCCAACTCAAAAAACAAATGAATGAGTTGAATTTATGACTTAGCTTTTATTTTTTTTTGTCTCCGATATTTAGGTTTGATTTTATCTATTTATCCAGAAAATAAACTCGATTTACCTTGCTGAATTTCGGATTGCTTCTGGGCATTGTTGGTGTTGATTTTTGAGCAATTTTTGGCATATTTTGAGGATGTGCGGAGCGTCGAGAGAATCCATCGGAAGTCTAGAAAGAGATAGTTGTGAAAATGGTTGTAAAAGTGGATGAAGTAAAAGTGGAACTCCTAAAATAGGAGTTCTCATCGATTTTTCGATTTTATTTGCTTTTTAGGCTATATCTATTATCTAAATCCGTTCTATTGTCTAAAGCGGTTTGCTGAAATCTTTAGATTTCAAGAATTGTAGAACGTTACATAGAACAATCTTTAGATTTCAAGGTCTTTAGATTTCAAGTTCTTTAGATTTCAAGGTCTTTAGATTTCAAGGTCTTTAGATTTCAAGGTCTTTAGATTTCAAGTTCTTTAGAATTTTCCCGCATGAAAGATTACGATAGAGCCCGATAAGCTATAAGTATTGGGTTGGTGGAAAAGTCCTTTCCGATTTTTTGGCAGAGTACCTTAAATTTGTCGAATTTTGACGTTTTATAGCTCATCCTAAAGCTGAATTCAAGACGGATCGATTGGTAAAAACCGTTTTGAGATATCTCTTTTCTAAAAGTTTTTACAGCTATTTTAGTAAAGAGCCAAAAAATAGCTGTTTTCACGTTTCGTTAGTTTTCCGTGCAGAAACCTAGGCTAAAAACATGTGTTTCGTGATCAGCGTCAAAAATAACCCCTAGACACGCATTTTCAGAATCTTTGCAAAAAAAGCGGCTCTGCCGCCCTTTACTAAAATAGCTGTAAAAACTTTTAGAAAAGAGATATCTCAAAACGGTTTTTACCAATCGATCCGTCTTGAATTCAGCTTTAGGATGAGCTATAAAACGTCAAAATTGGACAAAGGTACTCTCCCAAAAAATCGGAAAGGACTTTTCCATCAACTCAATAGTTGAAGATTCAGCAAACTCCCTACCTTTATATAGTGTCGATATTTCTTCCCAACAGCTGGTGGTGGGGCCATTTTGTGCGTGATTTCTCCGCGTTTTCCTAACGACACCAAGCGGGGACATTGTTGGAAGGAAGAATGGGTGGAAATCGGCTAAAAAAAAGTGGATATTTTAATAGATGTTTAGCTCGTAGTAGGTCCATAGCCAGGGGGGAAGGGGGGAGGGGGGTAAAACGTATCATTTTTTAAAAGAAAGTTTACCCTACCCTAAATCAGAAAAGTGCCAAGTAAATCAGAAAAATGCCAAGCCAAGTAAACCCAATACAATTAATGAAAATTTATTCTTTCTCTTCTTTCTGTTCTTTCTTTCTGTTCTTTCTGTTCCTTCTGTTCTTTCTTTCTTTCTTTCTGTTCTTTCTTTCTGTTCTTTCTGTTCCTTCTGTTCTTTCTTTCTGTTCTTTCTGTTCTTTCTGTTCTTTCTTTCTTTCTTTCTTTCTTTCTGTTCTTTCTGTTCTTTCTTTCTTTCTTTCTGTTCTTTCTGTTCTTTCTTTCTGTTCCTTCTGTTCTTTCTTTCTTTCTTTTCTTTCTTTCTTTCTTTATTATTATGCCTATATTTCATTAGTTTATATTAATTAATAAAAAGTTTATTTTATTTCTCGTTGTAGAGTTATTTTGGGAAGCTAATTTTTTTGGTCATCAATATTCATAATGATATCTATTGAATGAGATATCATGATGAATATTGATGGTATCACTCATTCCAAACGATCACCTCCACTTCAGTCCATTCCCTTGTTAGCTCTACCCTGTATCAAACCTTTTGCTGTCTTTTCCTCCAACTGACAGGCGGTGGTGGAGGTGATTGAGTGGGACGCGGTGTCCTTTCGGTTGTCGGACGTTTTGATTGGCTGAGAGTTGGGCGAAAAATCTGAAAAAGATCGAGATTTCGATGCTAAAACTTGTTCAAAAGGTTCAAAACGGAATAATCCTATCACAAAGCCATCTCTATATCTCTAAGCCATCTCTATCATCTCTATCCTTTCCAAAATGGTGACATCTTTCGACTACTTTAATCTTGGCTTGAGCTCGAATCTAGGTGAATCCCTATAGTCACAGTATGCCTATTCACTGATCTTCTTCTCAACGATAGCTTTAGCGCTATTTCTTCTTCACAAATCGTTTTCCAAACGTATCTTGTTTCTAATTTTCTTCAATCTATCTACTTTTGATCGAATTCTATGCCTGATCTATCTAAAAATGCCTGATCTATCTTCATCTATCTAAAAATCCTTTACAATTTTATCTTAAGCTTAGATATCAATCTGTATAGTGTCTATTTTTAAATTTTAATCATACCTTTCTATGCGTAAAGCTTGGTTTCAATGAGATGTCGAAATCGGGCAACGGAGACGAAATCGAGGGAACGACATAGATCGGGCGATTCGGTGATGACTAAATTTGAATCAAATTTCATTTAAATGATTTTATATGATAATTTTCTCTAAGTATTACTGTAATCTCGTCTAAATAACCCTATAGAATCGAATTGTTTCTCAAATTTTTCAAAAATGCAAACTCACCACAAGTGTTTCTCCCTTAAAGACTTCTCGGAGAGCGCATTGATTGTCGGTGAAGTTCTGCAAAGAGAAAGATCGATTTGCATTTGAATTTAAATTAGAAAAACATTAAATACATTCTATTGGGTTGTCCAGTTATGAATGCGCGTTTTTACTACTTTGTAAATTTCTCAAGATATCGAACAGATGTATATGAGTGTTATATATCATTCGAAAGCTGAAGATCTCCTCTACAGTTGAGCTTAGAGCTAGAGCTTTAGAGCTAGAACTAGAACTAGAACTAGAGCTAGAGCTTTGGAGCTAGAACTAGAACTAGAGCTAGAGCTAGAGCTAGAGCTAGAGCTAGAGCTAGAACTAGAGCTAGAACTAGAGCTGCAGCTAGAGCTAGAGCTGCAACTCTAGAACTAGAACTAGTACTCTAACTAGGCACTTGTTTGTGTACAGATGTCTGATCTATTCAGCCACAAATACCAGCTGAAATATTGGGTTGTCCAGTTATGAATGAGCGTTTTTACTATTTTGTAAATTTCTCAAGATATCGAACAGATGTATATGAGTGTTATATACCATTCGAAAGCTGAAGATCTCCTCTACACTTTGGAATAAAAAAGTTTTTGAATTCATTCAACTTTTTGGGAAATTCACTGCACAAAGGGAGAGGTCGTTTTCGAAAAAACTAAATACCGTAATCTAGCTATTCTAGACTGAATATCCTATTCTAGATTGAATGCCGTAATCCAGAAAGTCTAGGCTGAATACCCTAATCTAGACTGAATACCCCATTCCAGCTTAGCTATTCCTCAAGTTTTATGGTGTAAAATAACCACTCAGAAAATGAAAGAAAAGAAAAGATGCTCTGAAATTGTTATATTTCAAAAAAAGTTGTATTGATATATCTATTGACCAAACATCAAACGGTTAACTCAATTTGAGCGGAGCCAAAACTTGATCCAAAGGCACCTCGGCTGGCTCTGAGTCCTGAGAGCTGGCTCTGAGTCCTGAGAGCTGGCTCTGAGTCCCGAGAGCTGGCTCTGAGTCCCGAGCGCTGGCTCTGAGTCCTGAGAGCTGGCTCTGAGTCCCGAGAGCTGGCTCTGAGTCCTGAGAGCTGGCTCTGAGTCCCGAGAGCTGGCTCTGAGTCCCGAGCGCTGGCTCTGAGTCCTGAGAGCTGGCTCTGAGTCCTGAGAGCTGGCTCTGAGTCCCGAGAGCTGGCTCTGAGTCCTGAGAGCTGGCTCTGAGTCCTGAGAGCTGGCTCTGAGTCCCGAGAGCTGGCTCTGAGTCCTGAGAGCTGGCTCTGAGTCCTGAGAGCTGGCTCTGAGTCCCGAGAGCTGGCTCTGAGTCCTGAGAGCTGGCTCTGAGTCCCGAGAGCTGGCTCTGAGTCCTGAGAGCTGGCTCTGAGTCCCGAGAGCTGGCTCTGAGTCCCGAGCGCTGGCTCTGAGTCCTGAGAGCTGGCTCTGAGTCCCGAGAGCTGGCTCTGAGTCCTGAGAGCTGGCTCTGAGTCCCGAGAGCTGGCTCTGAGTCCCGAGAGCTGGCTCTGAGTCCTGAGAGCCAAAACTTGATCCATTTTTTGGCCACCTCTTCTTCTTCTTCTTCTGTGCAGTCAATTTGCCCAAAAACTGGACAAATTCAAAAGCTTTTTATATCAAAATGTAGAGGAGATCTTCAGCTTTCGAATAATACTCATACATATCTTTTTCTTGATTTCGGTATCTTGAGAAATTTACAAAATAGTAAAAAACGCGCATTCATAACTGGAAAACCCAATATTTAATACATTCTATTTAATACATTCCATTTCATATATTCTATTTAATATATCCTATTTAATCAATTCTATTTAATAATTTACATTATTTTTAATATTTAAACCAAATTATAACAAATTTAAACCCACATTTGCCCATTGAATGAGCGCTTTGACCGCTTTCATTGCCCATTCTTTGCGAAGCTGCTCACGAGTACAATTACCATAAGTAAACGATCGCGGGGATGAGAGCTGAAAGAAAAATAGCTATAAAATAAAAATTAAATAATATTTATAAGTAGATAGACTCTTTTTTATCCTTTATGGATCAAGATTTGACTAGTTCATTTCCATTTTCGACTATTTAAGCCTAAAAAGAGCCTACCGCCATTTCTGTCCAAGATTAACTTCTTTTAAACTATTCAAAGTACCATCTTTACTATGTACGCTTAAGTACTAGGAGTTAGTTTTATTCTCTAACTTTATTCTCTAACTTTATACAGTATTAAAACCTGAAACCTCACTTTCTCATTGGGCCCAAGCGCCGACTCGATCTTCGCGGTGCCAAGCGGGTGAATCGGGGCAAAGTGCTGAAATTTCTCTGCTAAACTCTAAGAAATCGAAATAAAATTACCTGCAATCGTCCCAATCGCCGGCTCTGCAGGCCGACGTCAATGGGGGACAAATCGAGCAACATCTCGCCGCGCATTGAACCCTGAAAATGATTGGAGATTCGAGAATGAATACAACTAAGCCTAGGTTTGGGTATACATATAGTCAGGTACTGTAGCCAGAATCAGGTCTAGATCAAGTACAATAGCCAGATCAGGCCTGAAAGGTCCAGGTCCGGGTGCTGTAGTTAGCGCCAGGTACAGCCAGCCAGATCCAGACCTGGATGGGCCAGAGACCAGGTCAGGCCAGTCCAAGTCAGGCCAGGCCAGGTCAGGCCAGGTCAGATCAGGCCAGGCCAGTCCAGGTCAGATCAGGCCAGGTCAAGCCAGGTCAGATCAGTATTGCATCCAGGCCTGACTCAGAACAGCTCCAGTTCTATAAGTGTGGTCCATTTATTAGCTTGTTTGATTCTAGAACTAAGGCTGCAAAGCTGAAGTAACTGTAATTCTTTAAAGTTCTTTAACGTTAAGGACGGATCGCATTTCTACACGCTCAGGCTCAATTTATACGCTCAATTTTCTACCTGATACACTGCCGATCTTGGTAAATTTGCCAGCCATGTGCTCCCAATAATTTGCACTATCGCCAAGCCGATCGCCGAACAAACGAGTAGCGAGCCGAAGACGAACGGTCGATTCCTCTCGCCGCCAATCCATTGATCGAATGGGGACTCGAATTGTTTGGCTGAAATAGAAACCAAATTAAAAGCAATTAAAAATGGATCACAAATCTTATCACCGTCTAGAATTGAAGTAAACGATTTCTCACCCAGAAAATCGAGACGTCTCGACGTTTTCTCAGCGGGCACATATCGAAGAGCCGCCTCATTCTCGAGTGCCTCATCTTCGTCAACCAATGACATCTAAAATTTCGAAAGTTCTTACTTATTAGGTCTAGATTTGTTTAAAGTTTAAAATTTCTGGAGTTGCAAAACTTTGCGTTGAAAAAACCGCATTGACTCTAGCTTCCTCTCCCGTTCAGTCTTCTTATTTTCCAACCTGATCATCTTCCTCCTCTTCATCTTTCTCTTCCTCCTCATCTTCCTCATCATCCTCTTCATCATCTGATTCCTTTTCTTCCATATCTTCATTTTCTTCTTCACTTTCTCCATTCTCCATTGCCTCTTCAGCCTGGCCCACCTCGCTCAAATCCTCTTCCAGCTAAAATTTCTATTCGGCTCTCAGTTCGATTTCTCTGACCTCCAAATCGCTATCCTCTGTGCTCACATCAGAATCACATTCGGAAAGCTAAAAGAAGAAATCGTTTTGAGAATCTAGTAATGTCTGAATCTAGAAATATCTAGAAATATCTAGAAATGTCTAGAAATATCTAGAAATGTCTAGAAATGTCTAGAAATGTCTAGAAATGTCCTTAGAAATCTATTCATAATCATCATAATCATCATAATCATCATTTACCTCATCCTCATGTTCCTCATTTTGTTCACCATCACGAAACGATGAGCAATAGGAAATTGATGAGGAGAGATTCGTTGAGGCGGCCGATGTGGAACGCTGAAATCAGTAAACGATTTATGCGCAATCAAGTATTCGTCTTAGTTGCAAAAAGTCAAATCGATAACAAAGCATGCAAAGCAGCAAAGATTTAGACGTATTTATATCCCAAAAACTCACATTGATGACACTCCACGAATCAGTAGACGAGTTGCTGTCCCGGCGACGCGTCTCCCGGCCACCGATCGACTCCATACCTGGAAACATGGAGGATTTTAGGAAACAAATAATGAACACAATAAATGAACGAACGAATAAACGAATCCAATAAAACACAAATAAATGAATGAACGAATAAATGAATCCAAATGATATCAAAATACCGTATTCTCTCTAATAGTAGTGCGCACTACTATTTTTTGAACCCCCTCCTGGACCGCAATACTATTAGAGAGTGCAGTACTATTAAAGAGTTTTATCATTTACCAAAGTAAGACAGATATAAGATTTGTTCCAAAAATTCTTGCAATTCTTTCACGTACTCCTTTGGCTCCTTTTGACATACAGTTGTGGGCCGGCAAGTTGACAATTTGTGTCTTGACAAACAACAAAAAGATGTTTTTGCACTTTGCACAACAATTTTAGATTTTTTGCTAACTTTTTCATGTGAAGAATAGTTAATAAATGAATAAAAAAAGCCTCACTTTTGCTTGCTTGAATAGCTTTAGAATGTCACATAAACATAAAGTCAAAAAGGTTCGGATGAAAAAGAGGCACCAGAAATTCAAATTTTCGGGGGTGCACTACTATTTTTTCAATTCCCTCCTGGACCGCAATACTATTAGAGAGTGCACTACTATTAAAGAGTGCACCTCTATTAGAGAGAATACGGTATGTGATTCAAAGAAAGTTTTGAGCTTTCTTTGAATCTCAAATCAAATTTTGAACAGGTGAAGGCAAGTTTCATTAAAGCCGTTTCATTAAAGCCGTTTCATTAAAGCTATGAATTGAATCCGTAGCTCAGATAATTAATTCTCATATAGATATTTGAAAAATCGATCAATTAAAGGGTACCAGGGGGGAAAAAAAGTGCCAGGTTGATGTTTTACTTACAATAGTTGACAGAGGAGAATTGTTCAAATTTACAAACAATTGAAAGAGAAATGGAAAGAGGAATGAAAGAAGCGAAGAGAAAAATGGGGAGCGAGAATAAACGTCGCGCAAACACAGTGAGAGTTGGGGGTGTCCTGGTAGTGCAAGGGTTGAACCCCCGCCGTTCCAGACCTTGAACACATTTTTTCTCGACACCTATATTAGTAAACAACTCACCACTACCTTATTCCGTCTTCTGGCTAAAGCATAAGCCGTTGGCTGGCTGGCTAATGACTGGCTAATGACTTTGGCCTTTGCCTGGAATTTCAACCGTGCCTTGGTTGGATAACAAAGACGACCAGGCAGGCTTTTTCCAACCAGGCTCGCACAAAAAAGCTTTCACTTTCAAAAATGGCTGACTGAGCTAAAAGAAAACTTTAAGCAACTGCTTGTCAGCTGATTTTTGAGATCGGAAAAAAGATATTTCAATCTTTCGAGAGAAATTTGGGAAAAATGATCGATCTGTTGAAGCGGCAAGGTAAAAAAGATAACTTGTGCTGAATAAGTGAATAAACGCACCCTTTCTGGCACACTCTCCATTTTTCTCACAACAACCGTCTGGTTTCCAAAGAATGTAGAATTGAGTGCACCAGAAAGGGTGAGTTTAGACGCAGAGCACAGAACAGAGAGCACAAAGTACAAAGTACGCAAAACGTGTACGCAAAGTACAAAGTACGCAAAACAAGCTGAGCCGTGTAAACGCCCGGCTCCTTGTGTACCGGTAAAATCGAGTCAAAAGGCACAATCAATAGCCAAAAAAGGATGAAAAAGTGGGATTTCTCAAGGAATATAAATAGAAATGAGAAGTAAATGGGTGAAAAGGCAAATGAATGGATATTCAATATATGAGGCCAAAGGGGGGGGGGAAGGGGGAATTGGAGATGGAGGACCTCTCCTCTTGTTTACACTCTCCGATTTCTGAAATCTCCCTCATTTTCTCTAACACTCCCCATTTCCTCATATATTTGCCCCAACTTCAGCTGATCCATTTCAGAGCCGCTCGAAAAAGTTATTATCGTTGTTGCTGCAAAAATCTTTATCCAGAACTTGAAACGGACGAAATCTGAGGGAAAGGTTTACGGTACCTTGATGATTGTACAGTGATCGGGATACTGTACTGTACTGTACTGTACTGAGTACTGATTTGCTCTGGATAAATGCTTTAAACAAACAAAAGTTAATAGCAGCTAGCCGAGCTAGCCGAGTCCTAGACTCGGATGAGATTTCCCGCGCAACACCGTGGGAATCACATGATTTTTGCATTGAGGGAGAAAATGACTAAAAAAATGGTGGAAAAAGAGAAGAAAAGGCTAAATATCTTCTTTTTTTTGGAAAAATTGACAAGGCGGGAAAAGTGGGAGGATTGCCAAAAAGAGACAGGGAAAAGGGATGAAAAAAGAAGGGAAATTTGATGGGAACAAAGGAAATAGAAAAGAGAACACCACAAAAGAAATGAAAAGAAATGAAAAGAAATAAACACTCATCGAAATCCCCTCAAAAAAAAAAGTTCTGTGGTCATGAAATTTGACAAAAAAAGACAAGAAGTATTTGTGTTTTGATTGTATTTAAAAGATTCTTTTAATAAAAAGCTACCGTAGTCCTGGCAGGTCTGTACCGTAGTCCTGGTAGGCCTGTACCGTAGTCCTGATAGGCCTGTACCGTAGTCCTGATAGGCCTGTACCGTAGTCCTGATAGGCCTGTACCGTAGTCCTGATAGGCCTGTACCGTGATCCCTAGCCCTACACCAAACACCAAATTACCCAGCTACTCACTCTAGAATCTTTATCAAACCTTACCAAACCTCCAAAGTTACTTTTGGTTTTGATCTGATAGCCCTATTTGGTTTGAATCCAGCGCCCATCCCTCGATTCACTCACTTAGTACTCAAGTTTTGGAATCAAGTACATGAACCAAGCTTGAACTGTCTAAGACTGAAGCTTAAACTGTACAACCAGGGTACTCATCCATATCTTGACAGTAGCGTCAAGATATGGATGAGTACCCTGGTTGATTTGTAGGTATTAAGCTGCTAACATTGTCGAGTTTCAAGAAAGTCGATGTGAAGGAAAAGACGAGAGAGAGATAGTCACGAGAAATCAAAAGAGTGAGCGAAGAAAAACCGGGGTTCATTGTTGACTTTACTCACGAGTTGCTTGAACTAATGGCAAATAGGTGAAGAAGGGAAAAAGGGGAGACAACTCTGAAATCATAACACTAAACGGCAACAGTTGAGTTCCCAAAAGGAAATGGGTCACGGTGAGCCTAAAGAGTAACTAAGTAAAAATGATATCCTAACTGAATGTTCACAAACAAATCCAACTCGATCTTTAAATTATCGGCAAGAGAATTTGGAGTCCAATTTCATCCAATATCTGACTCGAATCGGCAAATTTTCAAGGCACAACCAATCAAGGTCAAAAGGCAAAAAAGGGGTCCAGAAAAAACGAGTGGAAATTGGGAAGGAGCTAAAAAAAGGAAAAATGGGAGAGAGAAAGTCCAGACTAGGGCGGAGAAAGGGATTGGCAAGGGGGACCCGAGGAGAGACGAGGAGCGACGGGGACACACATCACGTGCCATCCGTGCGGGGAGAGAAAGAGGAGTGCAGGGGCAAACGGCGGGTGGAAGAGGAAGGGAAAAGGGTCGGCCAGCTGGGTGGATCGACGAGGGAAAAAGGGAGGAGAGGGGTGTCCCCTCTCAGCCATGACTCCATCAGCTATCAACCAGTCACCCACTCATTGTTGAGTCGATAAAAATACCCAAAATCCAAATCAACGAGACCTTGATCGTCGGCTCTTTTACCTAACAGACCCAGCTACCTATTGCCACCTGAATATTGGTTATCATGAAAGGTGATTTCATCCGAGTATCAGATCAAGAAATTTAGCAGACCTAAATTTCCTAAGAGGACCCTCTAAAGCTTAAAGTTTATTTTACAGCTCACAAAATCACAAACTACTCACAAGGAATGATGTAAATACAACTAAAAAGTTTAGATACAAAAGAAAACACGTAGAACACAGCAAAACAGGTACCATAAATACTCGAACAAACAAGAGACAACATTAGAATTCTTTCAAACATTAAGCAGGCATAGGACGTCGTTGTTTAAGGCGAAGGCGAATCCCCTCAGCTGGGCGAAGAATAAGCTCCATTTTGTGCGAAACATCACAGCGGCGATCGACACTTTCTAGAAGGTAAAGTTTAGTTATGTTTTCGACTTATCAGTTTTAAATATCAATATTTCTTCAACAAAATCTACTCACCAATATCAAAATAGTAGAGCATCCAGGCGAGCACCGTCTTCATCTCCATGTATGCGAACCGTTGTCCAATACAGTTGCGACTTCCGGCCGAGAAAGGTATCAACGAGAAAGCGTGCCGCCCCTTCATATTCTCAGGGAAAAACCTAAAAGCTAGTACGTGCAAAAACTAAAAATCAGAGTAAACCTTTCCGGGTTAAAGCGTTCTGGTTCTGGCCATTGTGCGGGATCCCGATGAATCAAATATGGATTGATGATGATGTGAGTTCCGGACGGAATTTTGAAACCGCCTATCATCTAAATTCTGAACTTGAACAACATAATAGAAGATAAAATTTATTCATAAAATAATTGTTTGAAACATACCTGGTCATCGCCCAATTCTCGCATAATAGCTGGCACTGACGGGTAGAGTCGTAGCGTCTCTTTGACACAGCAGTCCAGATATTTCAATTCAGAGAGCGCTTCGGCTCCGATCTCGCCAAAGTCCGTAATGATCTAAAATAGAGAATAGGTACCTAATTCAAGTTCTCTTTTTACCCGATCCACTTCTTCTTGAGCCTTCTTCATAATTTCAGGGTTGTTGCCCAATAGATGTGAAGCCCAAGCCAAGCCGGTCGAAGTTGTGTCATGACCTTCAAACATGAAAGTGTCAACCTAAAATTGAACGTTTTAAATTTGTATAATCAAGCTACCTCAGGCTGAATATCATCATGACCAATTTGATCTTGCCGGGCCATGTCCAGCAGAAGATCTAAAAAGGCAAGCCTTCCCGTGAAATGCCATTCGGCTTTCTCGAGCTCGATTTTCCTTTGTGCAATCACCTAAAAATTGAAAACTTTTTGCCAACTAAACCACATTTACCTTTTGTGTAAACCCATGGAGGACTTCCAAACATTCGTCGTGAACTTTTCCCTCACCGAAGCTAAAATAAAAAAAAATCTTGATTTAAACTTCAATTTACCGATCGAAAATCCATTTGTTCCACATCAGAGGGTTCTTTGTGCGATTTTGTACAATGTCGTTGATCCGGTATACTGCCTAAACGTTCGTAAATGCATGAATACAAAAGTTTACTCACTTTAACATACGAGCTATTGGCCTCAAGTTGCGCGTTTACTCGTCTCCCCATCGATGTCTCACAAATAATGTCCAAAGCACACAGGGTGACGTAAGAGTCAAAATTGATCACCTCACTAAATAAAAATTAAAAAGAACAAAATAGCAACGAACTTTTCTTTAACTTCCGCGAGTTTTTTCACCAAAATCATTGCATGATAGTTGAAGACGGGCACGAAATCCTTTAAGATATCGTAGTGAAATGTCGGTGTCAGGAGCTTTCTTTTTGGTCGCCATCGTTCAGCATCACTAAAGAAGCATTAGTTCTCCCTTAAAATAGTCTTTATACACGCTTGAAAAAAACAGGACAAGTCAAGTACCAAGTATTTTAGGAATTATTCATTTGCATTTCAGGAATATATAAGTTTGATCATGGCGATGATCATTAACTCTGATTTAAAAGCATTCTATTAAAAATAAGTTGAAGGAAACCTCTAACGGGATTGAAAAATTTCTCTGATTCGCCTAGATCACGAGGAATTCTAATTCCGTAATTGGCATCTCATTACCTAGTAAGCAACGACAATCCAAGCCATGGGTGCAGCAAATTGTAGGCGAATCCCTTGTTGAGATGTTTTGATGAAGAAAGAATCGGTTCAGCCAGTTGGGCGCTGTAGATCATCAACGCCGGATTTGGGCCGATCCAGAAGAGAACCATTCGTGGATTGTCCGGATACAAATGACTCATTCCCATGACCTAAACATGAGAATTGAACAATGAAATAATTTTGATCACACTTGATCCATAAATCCTTCGGCATCGGGTTTGATGACCAACGCTTGGCCGATGATCGGAAATGAGCGAGGACCGGGAAGTCCTAAAAACAAACAATCAGAATAACATTTAGTAGCTATTAACCATGTAATACAAACAAAAGATACAAGATTCGATTCAAAGCTCAGAACAATGAGCATCGTCAATCTCTAAAGCAAGCCTCACCTTTCAATTGATCTCGAATTTTGAGGTGTTTCAGGAAAAAGTACAAAATCGTCGACACAATCAACACCGCCGCCGCCACGCCCAAGATACCCATTTCTAAAAACAAACCTTTTAAACTGACAATGAACAAGCACAGAGAGATAAAATAGAGGTATGAAAGAATAAATCTCTGATCAAAATATGCATTCACCACTAGAGTTGCTTATCGATATTATCAATACAAACAGCATGCTCCTGTTTGACCATTCAGACCTCAGTTTCTAGAACAGCTATCAATCCGCAAATCGTTTCATTGGAAAGCTAAGAGTGTCAGCTTCTGATTGCTATCTCACACATAGCAAATTCTCATGGAATGAGAATGAGTGCTTTAAAAAGTTTATCAATACTTCTCGATAATTGATACTTTCGATATCGATAAGGTTTATGAGATGGTTACTCACCAAAAGTCGCTATGTATAAAATAACAATCAAAAGCTGACATTCTTGACTTTCCAATGAAACAATTTTCACTTTGATAGCTATTCTAGAAACTGAGATCTGAACGGTCAAACATGAGCTTGCCGTTTGTATCGATAATATCGATAAGCAATCCTTATCATCACATCGAAAATAAGTCAGATGAAATCCACCGTTCGCCTACCGTATCTTTTTGCCGACAGTCGTAACCAGTTGTCTTTTAAAATCGACAAATCTCTAACTTTTATGAAAAACTGAATATCTTTAGAAACATTTGTATATTTACAGTTCTGTTTTATTCGAACTTATAAATCGTGTATTCGTTTTAGCTTTTCTGTTACCATAAGTATCATTTCTCGATACAACCATTTATAAACGTTTTAACAACAATAACAAATAAAATAACAACATCGTAACAATGGAACAAACGAAACGTAACAAAATTGAATTTTCTTTTCTTTTGACCGTTAACTTCTTCTTTGCTTTCCACCTCTCATATGAGTTCGTTTGGCCGACCGGAAGCCTGCGTCATCGGGGCTAAAATTAATAATATAATTGTTAAAGCTATTGAGAACTTTTAAATGGATTGATCATGACAGTGTTCTGAAAGAATTTATCGGGCTATATCATGTTATTTCTTCAAAACTTACCCAGCTCTTGCAGCTTTCACTCCCTGTTTGGAAATTCCCGCCAAAGCCAAAGTAAAGTTCGACTTTTTTCCCTGAAATTAACAAAAACCTTGGAAAAAATGGCCGCAACATTTACCCTTTTATTTCCCCTTTGAGCTGATCGTCCACCTTTCTAAAAACAACCATTAAACAAAGGCGCCACATTCAAACAAACCTTATGCTCATCTTCCTCAACGGCACGCATTCTCTTTCCGCGGCGAGCTCGTTTTGCTGAACGTGCTTGGAATGCTTGCACTCGCTCCAAATCCTTTTCTTCAGTCTAAAAAATTCTGTCTCAAATGTACAAAATTAAAGCCTACCGTTTTTTCGGTCTTCTTCTTCTTAAGCTCCAATAACTTCAGTTTCCGGTTTTCTTCGCGTTTTCTTAGCTTCTCTAAATAAATCAATTGAACAGTTTAACAAAAGTAATAGGTCCTGCTGTTCAAAAACTCACCCGCATCAGTAGGTTCTTTGATCCATTTTCTGCCATCTCTCTCCGTTTTTCCTTTCTCGAGACGTTCCTCCGTCCGCTTCATCTCTTCCTCAGCTATACGCATGGATCGTTCAGCCTATAAAACAATAAGCATTTTTGTATCAAAATAGTATTTACCTTTTCATCTTCTTCAATTTTCTGAATCGATTCCTCCAAGTCACTAATACGGTTATTGTAAGCTTCGACGACTTCTAAACGTTTGATTTGTAAAGACTTTTCTTTGAAAACAAACCAGGTGAAACCACTCGCTGCTTCAGTACTTTATCTTGATTGTTCACCAAGATTTCTTTGAAAAGTTTGCGATCATCTTCACCAATAAGAGAAATTGAGCGACCAGACTAAAAGAACACAATTTCAACCACATAAAGTTGCAAACCTTTCCAGCTCGAGCAGTTCGACCAACACGATGGATGTATTGCTTGACATTTGACGGCATATGCATATTGACAACCTGAAAGAATTCCATAAGTTCCTATGCAAATTAATTAACCTATGCAAATAGTTGTTGACTACTGACTAGCATTTTCACCCTTTCTTACGCTAATTTTTATAAACAAACCGTTTGAATTCCTTCAATATCCAAACCACGAGCAGCTAGATCTGTTGACACGAGAACATCAAGCTGAAAATTTAGAAAAATAAAAATATGCATTCTTTTTACTTAAAAGCCCAACCTCACGCCGTTTGAACTTCGCAAGTGCCTCAACACGTTGCGCTTGCGTCAGACTGCTGTGCATTTGCCCAACCTAAAACTCAAATTTAGGATTTGTTCTATAAAGGGTCCAATAACCATTTTAAGGTACATACCTTGACACCGAGTAATCCCAGCAAAATTTGCATTCTTTGACAGTCCTTCTTTGTCTTCACAAACACAATCGTTTGCTCCTAAAACAAAAAAAAAATAGTAAAAAAGACAAAAACCCACTTGGAAAGTTCTTGTAACCATTGCCGAAACTATCGCTTCTCGATCTCCTTCACGTGCGCCACGGATTCGAATGAACTCTTGACTGAAGAAACAAACTTTAATACAAAGTAACCGACTAACCGCAATTTGTTAGCAGTCTCCGTATTCTCGTTGATGAAAATCTTCACGGGTTTCTTTAACGACATACTAGCAAGATGTTCAATCTGAATATGAAAGTGAAATGTATTATTCAAAAACTATTTCACCTGATCGGTCATTGTGGCAGAGAAGAGCAAAGTTTGTCTTTTAGTTGCACAAAGACGGATGATTTCTTTCATTTGCTCCTCAAAAGCTTGCTCGAGCATTCGATCGGCTTCATCCAATACCAGAACCTAAAGAAATTACGTTTGGAGCAAAATAAATGCCGTCTGGTTATTTTGAAGTATGACACATTAGACTATTTCTATAACTGTAAAAAAACCTCAATAGTCGATAGTGTAAACGATGGAGCATTGTGTAAATGATCGAGAAGACGTCCAGGAGTCGCCACCACGATATCCGGTCCCAGACGAAGAGCTGCCTCTTGAGCCTTCAGATCAAGACCACCTAAATCAAAAAGTTAAGTAATGGGTAATGGTAAAGTTCATATGAAGCATATTTAAAGCCTAGCAGTAAGTTTTGATTCAGCTAGAAAATCGGTTCAAAGTCACAGTCACTCCATTTTTAGTTCATATAGATTTGAAAGTGCCACAAAGAGTCCAGCCACTCTGAATCGAAATTTATTACAAATGGCAAAGCACAATAAAAAACGCGACAACCAATAGGGCGACGTGTCTCCAAAAAAGCTTATTTGCCCGAATATTTGAATCCATCGGAAAAGCGCAGACTTTACCATCACAAATCGCCAAATAGCCTCAACATTTTGTATTTTTATTCTTTCTCTTAATTTTAACATCAATTGTTTCTCTGTCCAGAAATGGGACAAAATAGAGGAAAAAAATTCGATGCCGTATTGTGAATTCCCATTGTGAAGTCCAAAAATCCCAAGTTTGCTCATCTGCACGGCGCGGAAAACGTCAAAAAGGATAGTGTTCAAAATGGAAATCCTCGTCAATCGAGATAGCTAGGCACATTCGGGCTTATTGCTCTACAGAGTCTCCAATTGATAAGAACCAAATGTTGCCCAATTGGCTTTTGTTATTTATAATTTTCAACCATATTATTCAAATCTTATATCATTCTTTAATATTAATTGTAATTTTTAAATCTCTTACAGATAGAATGAATCGAAAAGAACGGTCAAGGGCCGAAATGGCTCTGCTCGTTGGCTCCGGATTCTATTACACTTGTGATCACTGGACTCGTGTTTTGTTACCATTCTTTCAAGTAAATCAAGCTTATAACCGAGATTTTACCTAATTCGGCACCTGTTATCAACAAAGCAACTTTCTAAATTCTAAACCTAATCCACTTACCGATTCTCGCTAATTTCAGTGGCAACTCCTTCCACCAGGCAATTTCCAAATTGTGGTGATGGTTACAGCCATCGGGGCCATTTCTACCGGAATCGGCAGCTTCATTGTGGGTCATATGGTGAGCATTATACTGATTGCAGAGAAAGTTACTTTCAAAATAGATCGAACTGCTTGGAATTCGAAAAACCGCAATCATCATTACTTTGATAACGGCTTTGTATCAAGTCCTTATTACGAAAGTCAGTGGAATCTACGTTTTTATTGCATTGCAATCGCTTTTGTTCTTCAACAATCTTCCCGTAGTTATCGATGCTCTCGTATGCCAGGTGACAAAACATTAATAACAAGAAAATTTAAATTTTTAAAGATGGAAGGCGAAGATGGTGATGACAAGAAAAGATCTCTTCTCATCTCACGGCTAACAATTCCACAAAGTATCGCCTATGCTCTCGGACCATATCTAGCTCTTCAAGTAGCAAATTACAATAAAAACAAAAGCAAATCTTTTTAGACCCTATTCATCATCACCGCCTTTATTCATGTGTCTCAATACATTTGTGTGGCGCTTCATCTTTTGACCGTACTCCCATTGATCTTCATGACTTTCCCCGAAAGAGAGGATGGTCAGAAAACAATACCATTCAAATTAAACACTAAATTTTAGACAAAAAGTTCAAACTTACACTGCCCTCTTTAACCGACTACTACGAAATTATGAAAAATGAGAGAATATCACTTTGTTTGGGGCTTCTTTTTGTAAGTTTAGAGGCTCAAACTTCCAAAAGCTGCTTTCAGGCCGTGGTCGGACCATATCAAGCGTATGATCAAGTGATTCGAGCACAACTCACTGGTGCAGTTGTTCGCGACCCAACAAGCATCATTTATGTGGTAAGATTGAAGATTTTAGTGCTAGAAACAAGTCCTTATTTTGGTTCCTCGTGCTTGGTGGTACAACTTTGATAATGAATCTTTGGATCTACCCCCGTTTACAGCTACGTTTCAAGCCACAAGAGGTAAAACAACAAAATCATGAAATCTTGCAACTAAACAAAGTTTCAGATTCTCTTGGGATCATTCACTGTTCTGACAGCTTCCTACATTCATTTGAGTTTCACCAGTGGAAATGACTACTACAGAATGCTTGGTGGACTTTGTATTCAAGTCGCTTTTGTCGCTGTGGCTATTGGAGAGCTTTCCTCACAAATTCTTTCGACGGTTAGCAAGAAAAATGCCGGAAAGGTTTGCTCAAACGCCAAATAACTGAAACATAAAAACTAGGTGGCTGCCTTGTTACGAAGTGTTCATTTACTCGGTGCTGGAATGACGCCATTGATCGCGGGAGTTTTCATCGAAGAACATGATTACGCATTACTTTGTCATTGCGGGGCTCTCATTTCCATCTTGGCTATCCCAGTCGTTTACAAGTTTGGCAAATTCATGAAAAGTCAATCCGCATTCCTTCCAATGACCGGCGTCTCCTTTCACAGTGTCCCCAAGCTCGATTAACTCTTTTTGTTGCAAATTGTTTCGTTTGAAAATATACAATTGTTTTTCTGTATAAAAATCTTTTTTGGCATCCGCGAAAAAATAGAACTTGAGGGAAGAAAGAGGCGGACAGATTCACGTTTTCCATGGCCTAAAAACCGGTTATGAACACGAGCACCTATTCTCTTCACCGCCGCGCAGAGGAGGAGAGAGGCGGGATGGATCGTCTCGCTGAAGACATCCCTCTTTCAGGCAATGGTCAACGAAAATAAAAGGCAAAAGAAAAACAGGAGAGTGGGTGAAAAGAGATGAGACCTGCATGGATGCATAGCGCGAGTTCCCCCTCGAGATACAGAGAGACATAAAGTGGTGAGAGAAAAAAGGTAGAGACTGACAGATTTCCTCCCCCACTAACCCTTTCTCCCACTCAACATCCCCTAGAGGCAGTTTGTACGGCAAGGATATTGCGCAGTCCTTCACAAAAGAGCTCCAATTATTCAAAAATAAGACCGTCTATTAGTTAAGTAACCGTTACTCGGGTATTCACCTTGCAAAATGTCTCTCGAAAGGAAGCAAAAAGTGATGCTTGTCTTATGTCTAATATTCGGTATCTGGCACGTGGGTACCCAATGGACGACCACTCTACTCTCATTCCTGCAATGGGACACCGATGAGGTGATGACCATCGTTGATTTGGGGTACATTCAAGCATTCGGATCGCTTTGCAACGCGGCCGGTGCCCTGGCCTTTGGGCAAATTGCTGACACGACTGGTGCACAGACTATGTTTATGCTATCCTGTATACTCACCGGTATCTATTACTGTGGAATCTCGTTTGCAAAATCTTGGTACGCTTTCTTCTTCCTTCAGGTAAAGAATCTTTTGTTAACGACACCAAGTTCTTACTAGATCTTCCGATTCGGATATCAACTTGATTCTACAGCGGAAATGTACTTGGCAACAGTGACCACCGAAAGGGAGCGAACAGGCGCCCTCATGAAGTTGACTATGCCTCAAGTTGGTAAAACTTAATCACTCTAAAGTGATCACCTAAATTTTGCATAAGCACACAATTTACAGGCAGTTGCCATGTTCTTCGGTCCAATCGTGGGCTCAAAATTAGCCGCATGGACCTCGCTTCGTTTCTCGCAATTGATTTGCGGAGTTGCGATGACGAGCGCTTTGATGCCTGTTCTCTATTTTCTCCTCCCACAAACCCACTCAATTCCCAAGTTGGCATCAGCCAAGTTGCGTCCACAAGACTACTTCTACATGCTAAAGTAAAGCTGAAACCAAATTCAAGAATAAAAACAACTTTAGACAAAACACTCATCTTCGTGAGGGTCTAGTTGTGAGAGCAATGGTTGTGGCCGCCTATGTCTGCTACGAGATGATTGCAAGGAACTTTTTGCTTCGTGCCTATATGAAGGATACCAATGACTCGGCCTACGTTTTGCTTGTGATGGCTGCCTCTCTTCTTTCTGTCCAGTTCATCATTTTGCCAATCCTTCAAAGAAATGTCAACCCCAAAACTCTTTTGCAGGTAAGCAAGTCCAGGATCCAAGAATAGCCTAAATTTTATAGATTGCTCTGTGTGGTCTGTTCTTTTCTTATGGATCAGCCACCTTCACAACGACCTTTGAGCAACTTTTGGTGATCACCGCTGTTCAAACTGGTTGCTATGCTATCGCCTATGCTGAAACTTCAACTCAGATCACCAGGTAGCCAAATTGATCATTTATCAAATCTTTTGTAGTTTATTTTTGATTATCCCCGGTTACAGTATTGAAGTCCTCTAGAATGCAAAAAATCTAGCCCCTAGCAAGTCCTTCATTGGATTGAACCATCAGCACGCAATGGCTCAAAAACCCGTTTATCCAAGAAATCCCTTTTTCATTGATCGCTCATGGAGAAAGGAAAAAGTTTCAAAAATGGCTAGGGGTTAGAAACGCAGGTTTTTTCAACAAAAAGTACTCCAAAGCAGAAGTTTTAAACTTGAGCTCTTCTTGGATCACCTAGGTAATTAATTATAGCAAAAAAACAAGGAGCTTGGGGCAAAATTTCTAAAAAGTGGTGTTATTTACAAGAGTCTATGTGTAGTAGCACCGTAAGAAATTACAACGCTAATTTAACTCAAATTCTAAATTAAAAGCCCTATCACAATCTTTACAGTGCTGTCGAGATGACTGATTTGGGCAAAGCCACTGGATTGGCATCGATGTGCCAATGGATGACCCACTTCATCTTGCCAATCTATGCTTCCAATCTTGTCCAACATTATCATTACACCTATGCATTCTATACAGCCGCTTTGATGACCATTTCCACCCTTGGCTATGTCACTTTCGTTGTTCGGAACGCAAACAACCGCGTGCAAACCCTATTACCATCGCTTGCTTACTAATTTTCCTAACTCAACCCGAATTTCAGGTGCTCCCACTCTTAATTTATCCCTTCTCAAACAATTCCACTTTCTTTCATATGCAAGGCGACGGGTTAATGCTCCAATTTTCACCAACTTCTCACAAAATTGTGAACTTGTGTTGTGATATCTATATCCTCATTGCTCAGTAGTGAGTTTTTGACATTTTCAAGGCCAAATAAAATTCTAAACCTTAAAACTTTACAGTTACTTTGATCTCCAAGTCATTCACAGAGAATTATGTCTTTATCTCTACGTGTCCTAAAGTTAAAATTTCTTTCTTAAAACATAGCTAATGGCAAGCCAAGCGCTGCTCTCTTAAAAACCGGATTCGGAAAGGAGCTTGGTGTGACATAAAATCAGCCCTCGGCAATGATAAAAGAAGCCATCCTTTCAACATTTCAAAACTTGCCATACAAGCTTTCAGGAGCTTTTTAAGAAATAATAATAAGTCATCGTTAAAATCAAGCACTTGATTTGTTTGCAAAATATTGAGATATTGAGAGTTGGGTTCGCAAATTTTGTTTCAAAATTGTACTTTGCCAGTACAGTTATCTTCACAAACACATCACAAACCTGCACAGAGGCAAACATCGGGAGCATTGGGAATAGTCGCCGATAACTTCCGGAAAACTTGAAACACTTGAATCGCCAGCTCACGAGTCGGCACCAAAACAAGAACGCTAAAAATAAAAGATCTGTGAATCGAACTGACTGCCAAATTTTACCGTGTAATCGATCGTTGACCAGGACGATATAACAATCTTTCCAAGATTGGCAGTGCAAACGCCGCCGTCTTACCGGTACCGGTAGCTGCGCAAGCACCTAAAAAAACAGGATGCTGAATCTGACTAAAAATATACTTACAAATATCCTTTCCAGCCAGCGCCACAGGAATGCATGCCTCTTGAATCGGTGTTGGGTCAGTAAATCCAGCGGCTCCGATGGCCTATTTTTTCCATAAATTAAAGTTAATATGAAAATGATACTTTGAGTATTGGCCGACTGAGATTCATTTGTACAAAAGTCAATCCATCGGTAACGTTTTCCATTAAGTGTTCCTCGAAAAAATCATCGACTTTTTTCTTTCCCTTCAGTTTTCGTTCCTTTTCTTTCAGAGCATCTAAAAAACAAGGTTTTTTTATTTTTTAACAACTAAACCTCGAGTTGCTTTTCCCAATTGTTCAACTTCAGCGTCATCATTTTCAGGCTTTGCTTCCAACTAAAATAGAGACTAAAAATCTCGCAGAAAATTTTACATCAATCTCTTTCGATGTGTTCTTTCGTAAGCGCTCGGCAGCAATCTTCTCTTCCAGAGTTGAAACTGTGGTCTTCTTCAGGTACCTAAAAATGTATGGTTTGTTCTGACAAGAGCTGACAATATCGTTATCATTCACTTCTTCAAATCATGAGTCTCGCGATCTACGTCCATCGCATCTTCGAATGGATCAAAATGAAAAGACGAAGCGAATTCTGGAGCTGCTCCGGCTATTTTTTTCTTTTGTCGTACCGACAATGCCTGAAAGTATTTACAAAGTGTCATTCTTGCAAACTTGTAGGTACTATGGGCTTTGGGGAGAGGGTACTTTTTCAACGAAACCATTTTTCCTGGGGTAATTGATGACGCTGATCACGAAAAAGTTATTAAGGCAAGTTAGTAATAAAAAATGTCCGGTTTTTAAAACTCAAGGTGCTATAGTAGTTGGGGGGCTCCTAGACTTGGGCTCCGCACCGCACGTGACTTGCCTCTAAGGTGCGGAGCCAAAGCCTAGGTAAATATAGGCGCCTATAATATTATAGTCAAAAACTCCTGGGTGCAAAATCAGCTCATTTGGAGAAAAAATTTTTTGTCCGGCCCCCCAACTACTATAGTACTGAGTTTTAAAAATGGACATTATTCCATTACTAACTTGCCTTAATAACTTTTTCGTGATCAGTGTCATCAATTACCCCGGGAAAAATGATTTTTGGTGAAAAAAGTGCCCTCCCCCAAAGTACTAACTTTTTTAACAAGCCTCTCGATGTAACTTCAAATTATAAACCAACCTTTTGCTCATCTTCACTGCTTTCTTCATCTTCTTCGAGCCAATCCTCGTTATCGCTCTCCAATATCGCTGGCGCAAACAAATCCACCATCTGGTGAAACTTTTTGTAAGTCTACAATAATTTTTCTTTCACAATACTTCTTAATAGCTTTGGAAGTGTTCACCCAAATTTTTTTAATTGAAATTTTCGTACACAATTTATTATTCATTAGGGTACCAGTAAAAACGCTGAGATCAAAAATGAACCATGAGGCACTTGAAAGAAACAGCACGTTAACACCAAGAAAATGTCAATATACAAGAAAAAGAGTTAAAAGAAATCTGTGCTTTGGCGGCCTGCAGCAAGCGCTTGCATCTAAAAATTACCTTTCTATTTTTGATTTCAGAACTATTAGGCTGTCGGGTTTTGAATGCGAATTTTTGGCAAAAATATTCTTTCCAAGAGAACGAAGCTATTACAATTAGTCCAGTTTGTACCATTAGAAAAGTAAATCTGTGTTATACTTATACAGCGTTTTTGAAAAAGCTCCAGTTTTGGCAATTTTTCAGGGATCCAAAGACAAGTAGTCAAAATCGTTCAGTTGGCAAATTTTTCGATGGAAAGTTAGCATTAATTTTTTGCTCAAATGAAAGACGAAGCATTTATACATTTTCAGTCGAATCCGTCCAGCAGTTTTTTCTAAATGTTTCAAATTTGTTCGAAAAGTCTCTCAGATGAGCAAATACCCTTATTTTAATGTATTCTTCAAACAAACATTCTGAAAAAACGGCTGAACGTATTTGGCTGAAAATTTGTTGACATATGCAATGAGTTGTTCAAAAGTTGAGTAAAAAACATTCCAAATCGATTCCACAAAATAGGTATTTGTCGGCAATTTTCGATTTTTGACGATTCTGAATACTTGTCTTTGCGTCCCCGAAAAATCCTCAAAACAGAAGCTTTTCAAAATTGCTGAAAAGCCCAAAGCACAGATTTACCTTTCTAATGGTACAAACCGGAGTAATTTGAATAGCTTCGTTCTCTTGAAAAAAATATTTTTGCGAAAAATTCGCATTCAAAACCCGACGACCTAATCGAACTGAACTGGAAAAACGCAAATAAAAACTTACACGCTTGTCGGGGATATCGTATCTTAGCGCATCACTTGCATGATTGCCTGTTGGCGTGAATAAAACCGCAATAGCTACAACACCCTCCATCTTCAAAGCCATATCTAAACCTTCAAATATTTTTGCCAACTTTAAAAACGATACCATGCGAAAAATCAAAACATAATTTAGCCGGTTTCCCTTGATCGGAGGCATATATCAATGGTCCAATCTAAATGCAACTAATTAGCCAATAAAAGTTTCTTTTTACCTTCCAATTTGGTGGGCGATCCGGAAACAATTCACTTCGAATATAATAAAATACTCCCATCTAAACACAAGCAACTAATTTAGTCAATAATTATATTTTTTGTAGATATCTAGTTTTCTAATATTATAATTTACCGCACAATCAGCAGCGGAAACTGTACTCGGTAATCGGTAACGGATTGAGGCGTGTAGCTTTTTGGCGACCAACAGATCTAAAAACACATAACAAAAAACAAAAAGCATCTAACATGCGTTAAAAACAGACTTTCGATTGGCGTTGTCACCAAAATTTCTGGTGAGTAATCCGATTTTCTTGAAACACTTGGTAGACGATGTCCGTCAATCGATTTAGGTAAGACCATAGTTTCCATCTAAATTCAAGTCAAATTTGTTGCGCAGTTGGCTTACTACCGGTAGTGGGATATCCCTTGGAGCAATGTGTCCGAGATCAACGTTGATGCGAACATTATTAGCAATGTCGCGTCCAAACAGCTGCACGAGTCTAAAAACAAATCATCAAAGAACACATTGAAAGACAAACGGCGTTTGATACGCTACAGTTTCTTTTAGAGATGGTCGAGGCAATGATCCATTCACGGAACCATCCATAAATAGTGATGATCCCTGACTCCCACTTGCTAGTTGCGACATCTAAATTTGATGTTAGCGCTTCAAAAAGGTTATTTCATATATACCTTGATTGGAGGATTATTTTCAACTAATTTCGGCTTTTTGATCAGTGGCACGGAAGCGAGGTGAGCTAAAAAGAAACAATAGACACAATTTTAACATTAATGTAGCGTACCAAGGTTTTGGTGATGACGAGAGCGAGCAAATCGTGCAGCAGAAGGAACCTAATTATCATAACAAACTTGTAGGCTTAAAACTTTGACATACATTAACGGTCGGTCTAATACCATAAATTATTGCACCATTCTGTGAAGCAGAAGCGTGATTTCGTTGTTGCAACATCTAGGTCATAATACATGTTAAAATATTCAAAGTCTGAAATACTGAAGGAATTCGAAGATCCGTGTGACTGGATCGTGCTTGACTGCTCGTTTCATCAGACGTTAAGGCCTAAATCAATAGAATTTTCCTGAAGTAATAAGTTTATGTATTTATTTCAATCTAAAACATACTGCTACTTGCGACCGCAGTATCACCAATGACTTTTGGAATTCCAGATGAGTCTCCTTTAGTAGCTTGTACTAAAATTCAAATGGTCCTTTAAATAAGTATTGAAAAGCTACCTTCTCATTCATGTCTTTTGCAAAGATAAATACATCGGAAAACTTGTTATTTAATGTTTTGATCGTTTGCTCGTCAGTTGCATGTCGTTGTTTTAAGCTATAAAAGGATTTGCATTTTTGAAAAAACCAAAACTTACAGCCTTCTTTCCGTCAAGCATTCCTTATTGGTGCAACAAGCATTCAGTCTCGCATGAACATACTAAACATAAAATGTTGGTTGCTTTTAGTATTAAACGATACCCATTGCTTACTAAACTTGAGCCCTCAACATAAGACTTTTTAATGTTAACGTTTGTTTAAAATGATAATTATTTTTACCCGTTTCAATTCGGGACGAGTCAATCCCAGCACTTTGTTGTGCCCATCCGCTTCTTTGATTCCATTAAAGCAGTCTTGGTTTTGTTCTTGTGAGTGAGACTAAAAACAAGGATTTTTGTCGTAGGAAACAAAATTTGTCAACCTCATAGAGGTTGTGCTGAATTGAATCACTGAACGTTGTCACTTTGTTGATATCCATGTCAAACTCCTCATTCGTATCTGCCTTTGACGTAGTGATAGGAGCATCGGATGAAACCTGAATTAATTTTTTAGCAAATTATGCTAAAAGCGTTACATTTTCTTCTGGAGTAACTTTTTGGACGAGATCATCAATTAATCGACTTATTGCCGCCTAAAGCCTTCAGTGTAAAATTTATAAATCATAATAAACTTGATCATCAATGGTTCGAAAGTCAGAAACTTGATGGTCACCTAAAATGTCAAAAAATTAAAAACAAGGTTTTATGGAATATAAGATGTACTTGAACAAAATGATTACCATTCTCGGTCGCGTCTCTTTTTGATAGTGTGACTTCTGGTTTTCCACCAAGAATTGTTAAATCGTCAATTTCTGAAATATTCGATGCCCATTCGGTGGTCACTTCCTCTTTCTCATCAGTTCTTTCAAACAGCGATTCAATTGTTAATTGGTCATCGTGCATGTTTGGGCGATCCTCAGCGTCTTCAAAATTTAGGCTTCTCATGAACCCTTCATTGTCACCGGTGGCACACTTCGGCTCTGTCTAAATACACAAAAGTGATTGTAGCTTCAATTTCTGTTCATTCGTGCCAGATCTGGCAAATATTCCGAAACAAATTCACTTCGCAAACTCTTACCTCTTTCTGCTGATTAATTTCATCAATTTTGGGCACTTCATCCAAAAGAGCATGCTAAACAAATCAATTTTTAAAACACCATTTACAAATTACTTCATCCAAGTCATCAGTGATAATAATACAATCGTCGTCAAGCACACTTTCGTCGACCAATGTGTTGTTGAAAGTGTGATGCTCTAAAGTGAACATTGAATATTATTTTCTTGCCAAGCACATACCTAATTCATCAGTTTGCATCGTTTCTTCAAAGCTCAAAAGGGTCGAGTCCATATTTCACAGCTCATACAAATTTTGACTAAAGAATTTCCGTATAATAAGTTTCTTGTCGTTTTCATATTAATAAAGGTATGTACAGTTCAACAACAAATTCAATATGTCAAAAACTATGTATAAAACCATTTATCTGAAAATAAAAATCTATGTTCAAAGCAAAAATGCAAGACAAGCTCACCGTATCGTCAAAATCACAAGTAAGTACACCAAACTTAAACAAAAAGTTCTCCTAGAAAACGTAATAAACTATCTGAAGTTATGAAAATTATTCCTGCTCCAATTCGACCAGTACTCCGCCACAATCTTTTGGATGAAGAAAAACGACTGGTTTGTTGTGGGCACCGATTTTTGGCTTCTCATCGAGGGGACGAATTCCAAGAGCTCTAAAATTTAAAAAATTGAATCACAAAATCTCGACAGATGATTCTGAACGTTCCAAACAGCAAGAAAAGTTTGACATTTCTTGAAAGCTAATTGAACAAAAGTATTGTACTTACTTGACACTTTTCAGTGCTTTTTCGATGTCTTTAACTTCGATGCAGATGTGATGCATACCACCATTCTTATTCTTGTTCAAGAAAGCCTAAAGAAAAAAAATAGTGTTGACTTTTGGAGTCAGCCAACCTGAATAGGACTCTTATCACCCAGCGGCAACAAAAGTTCAAGTTTTGTGTTTGGCAGCTCGACGAAAACCGTGTAAACCCCATGTTCTGGTAGTGGCTGAACAATTTATGGAGGTTGAAATGAAATAAAAATGTTATACCACAGTCTCGCTGACTTTTGCGCCAAGATCTTTGTAGAATTTCGCAGCTTTCTCTAAATCGTTTGTGGCAATTGCAACATGATTGAGACGCCCAAGTAGGCCAGCCAATGGATGTGATGCGAAGCCCTGTAAAAATAATAAAATGCCATTTTTTCTTTAAGTTACCTTTCTCGCTGCCAGCGAAACGATGCCCCTTGATGCTAATAATCCGCGACAGAAGCTCATTTCTAAATTTATAAGCTCGTAAGTTTTCTGATTAAGGCAAAAATTCCAAAACAACAAAACAAGACACAACCATTATCTACAATCTATATTCCGAAAAACACCCGAATCAACTTTTCGGCAGCCAGTCCAGGCGTAATTTTTCCACTCTGCACTTCTTGCTCCAATGTGGCGGTTAAGGAGGCAATTCTTGGATGTTTTGAGAAAACGTTCATAATCTCATCCCTCACGTGGCTCCACATCCATTTGGTCAATTGAGACTTCCGCTTTTCCATTAGCGTTCCGTTACTTGATATGTGCTCCCAAAAGTCGTACATTTCATCGCAAACTTTCGAAACCGATTCTGGCTTCATGATTGATGATCGAAGAACTCTTGGTTTCCAATTGCGAATCCTTGGCCTCATGAATTTCAGCGCCGAAATGTATTCCGCTTGAGTGATTTTTGCTTTCGTCTCCAAGTCACCATCATCTTTTGTCACCACGAGCAAATCGGCCAACTCCATGATTCCTCGTTTCACACCCTGTAGCTCATCACCATGTGCCGGCGAGAGTAGGAGACAAAAAAGATCACACATTTCTGCTACTGCATATTCCGATTGACCAACACCAACTGTTTCAATGATCACAACATCATATCCAGCTCCCTCACATAAAATGATTGCTTCATGAGTGCCTCTTGTCACACCGCCAAGCGATCCAGACGTTGGTGATTGTCTAATGAATGCTCGTGGATTCTTCGAGAGCTCCTGCATCCTTGTCAAATCTCCTAGCAGAGATCCTCCTGTACTTGCACTAGTTGGATCAACCGTCAAAATAGCAACCTTCTTGTTCCGTTTCTCTATCAATTCGGTGCCAAGTGTTTCAATGAAAGACGATTTTCCTACCCCAGGGCTGCCCGATATGGCAATTCGGTAAATCATTGCATCTTGTCCCTTTTCGGCATGTTTCTTTCGTTCCGCAGCTAGCAATTCTTGTAGTAAGACGTTGCCACGAGCCCGTTTCTGTGGATTTCTCGATTCAACCAAAGTTATCGCTGAAGCCAAAGCAGATCTACTTCCACGAAAGAGCTCTTGCTTTAAATGTTGAACGGCCTGATCATCAGCGGTGATTGTATCATCAAAGTGTACCTTCTTGTAGTCGTCAAGAAGGGTTTCGATTGGGCGTGATTTCTCCACACTTTTCACACTCAACGGAATGTAGTGCTGCGTTGTGGCATAGGTTCGTTGAAGGGTTCCAAGTAAACATCTCGTGCTCGCCACAGCCATCATCAAGGTCCTAAAAATAATATTAATATCATGTTTGGGATACATAAAGGATAAAGGATTGTATAAAGGATAAAGAAGAAACTACATACAACTACATAAACTACATAAAACTAACGTGAGGCTAACAAGACCATGAAAAATCGAAAATTAGTGGTGAAACTTTTGATCGGTATTATATAGGCAAATTAACTGCTCAAATTTAATATCTTGCTTCTAAATTGAATACTTTGAATTTCTCTAGATTGCAAGTATATTTTTTGGACAACAGCGCCGCAATATATGAAAAACCATGGGAGTGGGACAAATGCGACCTTTTTTTTGCGCACCCGGATATTTGCGCACATTTTTTTCCGCACCTTGCCCATTAGCGCACCTTTTTTCGCGTTTTAAAAAAGCTCTAAAAAGCTAATATTAACCAATTTCTATTCCAAAAGTTGTTTTTCGAGGTAATTTTAGGGCGTAGAATCGAAATTTTGACATATCAGAGCGTGTGGAACCAATTTGAAAGACAAAACGGCTAGATCAAATTACAGAAAATTATCGATTTTTCTCTTTGTATAACTCCGTCCGTTTGTTTCCACAAGCTCTGATATGTCAAAATTTCGATTCTACGCCCTAAAATTATCTAGAAAAACAACTTTTAGAATAGAAATTGGTTAATATTAGCTTTTTAGAGCTTTTTTAAAACGCGAAAAAAGGTGCGCTAATGTCCGGGTGCGCAAAAAAAAGGTCGCATTTGTCCCACTCCCAAAACCATTTTTAAACTTTGATAGTCAAGCAATTGCTTTGCTCATCAAAATTTAGTGCTGAAAACAAAGGTGTTGTTGCAAAGTTGCATGATATGATCCCACAAAAATGTTGTGTCGGGAGAAATTCCCAATTTTAAATCGAACCTTTCTCTATGTCTCGTCCCTCATTGCAATCACTTGCGCATACTATCGACGTGTTTTGGACGCGTAATCGGGGTCCCCAATTCCATCTCATAAAATATCGGCTTTTGCTTTAGCTCTATAACTTTTTCGAAGCAGAATCATTTAGCTTAAGAAAGCGTAGAACCCTTTAGGATGCCCGTTTAAGACTTATTCCTCAACTTATCCCACCGAAATCGGGAGCATGTCATGTTGGGGGCTTTTTTCGTTTTTCTGGACCAGTTTTTTTGTGCTGATTATGAATATCACACTTAGAATTTGGAAAGCTCCATTTTAAGCCTGTTTTTCACGTGTTTTCAAAACTCCCAAAAATCGTGTTGTTTGGTCGAAATTAGCATTTCATGTGCATTTTTGTGATTGGAAATGCACTTTAATGAAAATGTCAAGAGAAAAGACCTTTGAAAATTCTTGTGCCATTTTTTAAGAGTGAAATAGATCCGCCAATTTCAAAGCAAATGACCCCTTGAGAATCAGTCGCTGGAAAAACAGCTGGAAGTGGCCGAATCAACATGGATCAACAGATTGGAAGACCAGCATCTCGCGCCCGACTGCAAAATGCAACCCTCGGGATGCTAATTTCGACCAAACAACACGATTTTTGGGAGTTTTGAAAACACGTGAAAAACAGGCTTAAAATGGAGCTTTCCAAATTCTAAATGTGATGTTCATAGTCAACACGAAAAATTGGTCCAGAAAGTGTTTTCCAGAAAAACAAAAAAAAGCCCCCCTCCCCCAAGATGACATGCTCTCGAAATCGATGTGTTTCTAAATTTCGTCTTCATTTTATGTTGAGCTCAGTCAAATTTAACTTTTTTAGGATAATGTCGGCTTTGTCAGAGTCAATAAATGGTGATGGAGGCGCTTCCGTGGATCCAACAATGCAAATCGACATCGCCGATCAAGCGCTTAGCCCCGAACTCCTTCAACGTTTAATCGCCTTTTGCAGGAAGAACAATTTACAGGTAAAACTTTAGGAATTTGGTATTTGTTGCTAAGTCTCTCGAAAAATTACTCTAAAAGTTTTAGCAAACCGAGGAAGCACTGGCAAGAGAGGCCGGTCTAACACAAGGAAATGCACCTGGTGGCCTCATTCAAAAGTTTGTTTTTAAAAATTTATTAATTGTAAGTATTAAAATGAGGGGAAAGCTTTACTATCTCCCCGGGGCTTACTACCGCCCCTACCAGTGTAAAATCAATAGAAAATGGGAGTGGGTTTACTAAAGTACCCCTTGGGAGGTGATTGTAAAGTTTCTCGTTAGTGCACAATGAGGAATTATTCTAAAAAATGTCGATAGTGTAGTAGTATGTGGGGGTAATGGGTAATAGTAATATGTTCCCAATGAACAATACGCTCTCGTTCAATTTTTAAATTAAGTGTTTAGTGAGAAAATCATGGCCGATTTTGCGTCGTTTTTAAACAACATTGAAGGAGCTTACGATGTGCTTCAGGTAAATTTTTGTGTAATTTATCGCTGAATCGCTGACTGTGCTAGAGTAAAACATATTTTTAGGCTGAACTTTCTCTGCTTTTGTTCCCGGTTTTTGCACACTCCTATTTGAAGCTCCTTTTCGATGTTTCACCGTCAATGGGTGGATTATTTTTATTTACTTATGGTTTAAATCTGTTTTTTAGCTCGAACGTTTTACGAAAGATTTCATCTGCGTATTCCACGGGCCTACGAGGAGCAAGTGATTGAACTTTCTCGCTGCACTTTCCCCGAAATTGCAAAGGATAATGAGCTAGTGCAATTATTAAAGTTTGTTTGCATTGTATTTTTTGCCTCAACTTTTTTATTAGATCACAGCACTTTACTATTCGAATTTCGAAGACTTGCAACGCTCAACTGGATCAATTCATTCAACGGAACGCCACTTTACGCACTATCATGAAGGAAAGGATTATGGTTGAAAGTGAGAAAATTGAACTAAATTTGGGATATGTATTTGATTCTAGATACGGACCTCCTATCGAAAAATCGTCTAGCAGTTGAATGGCAAATGGGTGGTTTACTTGGCCATCCGTCACTTAAGGAACAGAAAAAGCATAAGGTATCGCGTTTTGATAGATTTACTTGATTTGCTAATTATCGATTTCAAAGTTACTTACGATTCACTCAAGTTTCCCGTTTAGGTGCTTTATGCGGTGGCTCGGGAGGATAGTCCCTACGTCGATAAGCGCAAATTGAAAACTAAAGAATCAAAAGAGTAAGTAAAGCTACAAATTATAGAAGCTTACATTGGTTTAGCAAAAAGCGAGAACAAATGGTGCCAACAGCTGACCGGATTCCTTTGCCATTGAGCGATGTTTTGAGATTGGAACGAGTACAAATGCAAAAGGTTTAGAAAATCGATTCTGTCGAGAATTAACTGTTTGTACTTTCAGGAAGCAAGTACCAGGATGACTTATGTGAATGCCGATCACCCACCATCAATTTGTTGCTTTACTGCGCTGAATGCTGGAAGTGGTGTATCTTCGTGTGATGTCTCGGATGATACGTCCATTATTGCTCTTGGGTATGCCAATAAACAACTTATTTTATGAAAGTTGCTACTTAAAAAACTTGCAGAAGAGTACAACACCAATGTTTGTTTTTAGAATGGGTGATTCGGTCATTTCTCTCTACGCAGTCGACGAAACAAAGCAATTAAAACAACTGAAAGAGGCCGATGAGCTTGACAAAGTTAGTCAAATCTTTTACCTTTAAAAAATTTTTTAGATTGACTTGGAGACTGAGCCAGAACTACTTCGAGATTTGATCTATGATGATGCAAGTGCTTGTAAAACCCGAACACTAGGGGTCAGTTATGTGTCTTTGTTTTGAATAATTTTTAATTTAGGGGCATTCGGGACCGGTTTACTCACTGAATTTCGATCCATGTAAACGATTGCTGATCTCTTCAGCAGCTGACTCAACGATTAGACTTTGGAGTGTTGATACTTTTAGGTTGGTTAAAGATTTTTATATTTCATTCTAAATGCTTTGAACTTGGTACCTTTAGAAATGTTGTCGTTCATCGCCTGAGTCGGCCGGTTTGGGATGTGAAATTCTGCTCTCGTGGTTTCTACTTTTGCACGGGTGGAGCTGATCGAACGGCCACCGTTTGGTCAACGGATCGAGTGCATCCATTGAGAGTAAGCTTTTTGAAAACTGTCGATTGTTACCTAAGTATGTGTCATAATATTATTTACTAGTTTAGATATTCCCTGATTGTTACGGACACGTGACTTGTGTTGACTATCATCCAAATTGCAATTACATAGCCGGAGGCAGCGATGATAGGCATATTTCGAAAGTTTTATCTTAAAATGATTAGTTTCTAGATACGTCCGTTTATGGGATGTGCTTTCTGGTGCTTGCGTCCGTACGTTTAGTGGGCACAAGACGGGTATTCGCGGAATTAAGGCATGTTCCAGGAAAAATATCTAATTCTTTTACGAAAAATTTTATGTTTAGGTATCACCTTGCGGAAGATATATTGTGTCGATTGGCGGTGATGGAGCGCTTTGTGTCTGGGATATTGCTACTCAAGTAATCTTTTTAAAACGCAATTCTTAGACAGTCTAACCTTGAAAATGTGCAATTTTGACTTTTAGCGAATGATTGCAGCAGAGACGAGAACAATGCCCACAATCATGGCGTCAATTCAGTTCACACGAGAAGGTTTCTCTTTTGGGGTTTTTGAAATTAGCAATATTCTTCCTTAGGTGATACTTTTGCTGTCTCTCATGGAACCTCTTCGATTACTCTCTACTCATTAGAAGCTTTGATTCGCAATCATGGACATCAGGATAATTCGATCTTTGAACCAAAGTTTGTTACAGTCTTTATATAAATTAACATTCCGATTCAGAATAAATCCCGACGGTTTTCAAATCTTCCACTATCCGACAAAAACGACACCGGTGGTTGGACTCCATTGGACGAGAAGAAATCTCTTGCTTGGCATTGGATCATTTATGCAATAAATTTTGTTGGTTTTCTTTTTTATTTATTTATTTAGTTGTTGTTTACTTTCGGGTCTTAATGATATCATTGTTTACGTGTAATTGATTTGTTTTCGAATAAATTGTTTGCTTTGTAGTGAAGATTAATTGTCTCCGGGAAAGGCATTCTTTGCCATGGCTGTAGTTTATACAGCGGCCTTATCTTTCGAATTTTTTTTGATAAGTCTGGCGATTATTTTTTGCTAATGGTTCTTATTCATTATCCTACTCATTCGGGAAATGAGGTTTAAGAGAAGATCTAGCGTAAAAGAAAACATTTCAGATGCGGATGGCTTATCCGGAAAGTCTCACCTCGCCCGAGGTGGAAATCGCCGAGGGTGGAATTATGTTGGATAATAAAGCGTGAGTCTAAATTATTTTGTTTACTTTGAAAACTCAAAGAGAACCGATTGAGCATTTATGGATTAAATTAGTCTAAGCTCTATTAGAAAGTATGCTTGAATGAATTGTTATAGATACAAGTAATGTTTATGTAATGTATTTCCAAATGTTTCCCCGTTTCAGCCGCTTTGCCGATCTGAAAGCGATGCTCGACTCGTCGAAAGACACCCTCAAAATGGATGCAATGAAGAGGATTATTCAGGTAAAAATGAAAAAGCAACAACAATACAAACCTCCCAATTTCAAGATGTTGGCCAAAGGAAAAGACGTCTCCGAGTTGTTTCCGGCCGTTGTGAAAAATGTGGCCGCGAAAAATTTGGAGTTGAAAAAGCTCGTCTACGTCTATTTGGTGCGCTACGCTGAAGAGCAACAGGATCTCGCTTTGTTGTCGATATCGACATTTCAGAGAGCGTTGAAGGTGAGTCTTAATGGGGGATGGTCCAAGTTTGGTGATTTGGTTTATGAATTGGAAAACTCAAGCAAATAAGTCAATAGATTTGAGCTGGGCTTTGAAATTTGCAGAATTTGCATACATAATGCATAATTCATTTATCTGTTTCCATGCAAATCGAAGATCATACACCCATGACGCAGTTCACTACCATTTCCAGGACCCGAATCAACTCATCCGCGGCTCGGCCCTCCGGGTTCTTTCGTCGATTCGAGTGGGAATGATCGCTCCAATAATGCTTTTAGCGATCAAGGATTCAGTGAGGGATATGAGTCCATATGTGAGAAAGGTATAGAATTTTTGAATTTTTAAGCGACGTGAATTTTTGACGCTTACAAATAGCTTTAATCAATCTCCGACTTGCATCCACTCTTTTGAATTCCTTAGGTTACTGTATTTGGTGAGCAAGGATACATTTTAGAAACGCTAGTAATGGATAGAGAAGAGATAGAATTTGGATTCAAGAATTGAATTAAAGAATTGAATTAAAGAATTGAATTAAAGAATTGAATTAAAGCAAATCGTTTCTAGGTGGCCGCTCATGCAATCCCGAAGCTCTATGCACTTGATTCGGATCTCGAAATGGAACTCGTTGACTGTATCGATTTTCTGCTAGGCGATCGACGAAGTCTTGTGGGTTTTCAGAGTTCTTATCGTATTTGCTAAAACATGACAACTTTTGGAAACTACCGTAATTTCTGATTTGAACAAAAGTTATGGAAAATTAGACCCAGAAAATTCTAGGTACTCGGCTCGGCCGTCTATGCTTTCGAGGAGATTTGCCCGACTCGTTTCGACATTTTGCACAAACATTTTAGGAGTCTATGTCGAGCGTTGGCTGACGTTGATGAATGGGGACAGGTGACGAATTTCTGAAAACATTGAAAACAGTCAAAACAGTCAAAATTGATTGTGATTTGATTGATTTGATTGTGATTGATTTCCAGATTGTGATGATCAATTTGTTGGCCCGCTATGCGCGTTCCGAGTTCGCCGACCCGGAGAACGCGAAAGTTGATGCGGATTTGCAGCTTTTGCTTGCAAGTGCCAGACCACTGCTACAGGTTTTGGGATTTTCAGCTGACCAAAGTGACAGGAAGCTTTTTTTAGAGTCGAAGTTGTGCGGTAGTGATGGCGGTCACTCAACTGTACTATCATTGTGGACCGAAGGTGGGTGAAAACTGGATAAAACTAGAGTCAGTATGGTAGTTATATCAGCTTTAATAATAATAATAATCAAAGGTAATTAAAATGGTCACAAAATGGCCACAAAATGGTCACATTATAGGCTCAACTGGGACAAGTCGGCAAAGCACTCGTTCGTCTTCTCAGGGGTCCACGAGAGGTTCAATATGTCGTTTTATTGAATGTGGCCACGATGTGCGAGAATCAACCGGTATTCGAGGGCACTTTTGCTATCAGTCGGGTGAGCGGGAGAGATCGATGAGGCCAATATACAGAAATTTTGTGATAGAAGCTTGCCGACTGTAGTTGTTGAGAGAGCACATGAGAAAAAGGCATGCTGAGATTTTTTTTGTTTGTGTTTTACACACAGAAATGCTCAATCGGTTCTCTTTGAGTTTTCAAAGTAAACAAAATAAATTATTCAGTTGGATTTGTGTAAAATAGCGCAAGACTTATTCTTTAGTCTATGTTGGAAGCTTTCGAAAAGCTGCCCTAGTACTTTTCTTCTTTAGCTACCGTACCAGGGATTCTAGAGGCTACTGATTGGTTTACGCTGGCTAGCTGGCTGGCTAGCTGGCTTACACTGGCTGGCTGGCTGGCTGGCTGGCTGGCTAGCTGGCTAGCTGGCTGGCTAGCTGGCTGGCTAGCTGGCTGGCTAGCTGGCTGGCTAGCTGGCTGGCTAGCTGGCTTACACTGGCTGGCTGGCTGGCTGGCTGGCTGGCTGGCTGGCTGGCTGGCTGGCTGGCTGGCTGGCTGGCTAGCTGGCTGGCTGGCAGGCTAGCTGGCTGGCTGGCTGGCTAGCTGGCTGGCTGGCTGGCTGGCTGGCTGGCTGGCTGGCTAGCTGGCTGGCTTACACTGGCTGGCTGGCTGGCTGGCTGGCTAGCTGGCTGGCTTACACTGGCTGGCTGGCTTACACTGGCTGGCTGGCTTACACTGGCTGGCTGGCTTGCTAGCTGGCTGGCTGGCTGGCTTACACTGGCTGGCTGGCTAGCTGGCTTACACTGGCTGGCTGGCTTACACTGGCTGGCTGGCTTACACTGGCTGGCTGGCTTGCTAGCTGGCTGGCTAGCTGGCTGGCTAGCTGGCTTACACTGGCTGGCTGGCTTACACTGGCTGGCTGGCTGGCTAGCTGGCTTACACTGGCTGGCTGGCTGGCTCACGGTAGCCGAGTTCCAAATAGACTGGGATACGGTAGCTAGACGAGAAGCAGACTGGGATACGGTAGTTAGACGAGAAGCAGACTGGGATACGGTAGTCAGACGAGAAGCAGACTGGGATACGGTGGCTAGACGGGAAGCAGACTGGATACGGTAGTTAGACGGGAAGCAGACTGGATACAGTAGTTAGACGGGAAGCAGACTGGATACGGTAGCTAGACGAGAAGCAGACTGGATAAAATAAGTAGCCAAGGACACCTTTTAAAAACGATTCACTAGTTATGAAGAGAACCGATTGAACAAAAGAAAAACCCTCACTTTTTACAACTTTATAGTCAGTAAAAAAGCACAAAATGGCTCGATGTGATGAAATGAATTTTGTTCGGACATTCCCCCGCTCGCCTTGGTGTTGTTGTTGTTGTGTAAAGCAGTCAGAATTCAAAAGAAAATCCTTTTTCTTTCAGAATATGTTCGATCCATTCTTGAAAAGTTTCTTCGTTCGATCGTCGGATCCGTCTTTTGTCAAAGAGTTGAAACTCTACGTGATGACGTCACTCGTTTCTGAGTCAAATGTTCATGTGATTTTGAGGGAATTGCAGGTACAATTTAATAGTTTTTGGGTTAGAAAGGGTTTTTTTTGACAAGTTCTAAAGGAAAAAGTTCAAATCTAGTTGGTTAAAGGGTTTAAAATCTTATAATTTAGAATAATCCTTGTTTTAGACGTACGTCTCAATGTCGGAGCTGGCTGGCGGAGCTGTGGAAGCGATTGGACGGTTGGATTTGTAAATTCTGATACAAATGATGATTGATTCTGATACGATGATGAGATTTCTAAGTGTAAGCTCAATTATTTAGCTGTGCTGTTCGTGTGGGAGCCGTCTCGGACTCGTGCATGGCGGGACTCATTCAATTGATCGCCTCACCAAACGAAGAAGTCGTTTGCGCAGCTGTTTGTGTGCTCAAAAGGTAACGAGCTTAACTTTCAATAGCTTAGCTCTCAATAGCTTAACTTTCAATAGTTTGAATTGATTCATTCAATTCATTTCCAGACTTCTGCATGCATCGGCTCCAATTCCTCTCCTTTCTCGTCTCATCCGTCTAACCCATTCAATCCAAGCACCACCAGCTCGTGCCTGTGTTGTTTGGCTTGTTACCACTCATGTTGACAAGGTATTCAGAGATCTAATTAAAACAGCGCTGAATAGAAAACGAGAACGCTAATCTACTATCGTTAATCAGAGCTAATCTAAGCTGATCTATTGGAGACTGATCTTCTATTGGAGACTGATCTTCTATTGGAGACTGATCTTCTATTGGAGACTGATCTTCTATTGGAGACTTCTATTGGAGACTGATCTTCTATTGGAGACTGATCTTCTATTGGAGACTTCTATTGGAGACTGATCTTCTATTGGAGACTTCTATTGGAGACTGATCTTCTATTGGAGACTAGTCTTCTATCTGAATTTGTACGTTATATCCCAGTTTTGGTGAATGTTTCAGACAAATACTGTTGCTGGGGTTGATTTTCCAGGCCTTTCCAGATTTTCCAGGCCAAACCAGTTATTTTTACTCATGTTCGCGTAAATCCCAGACCAAGCCAAGTGAAAGCCAAGTTTCTAGATCAAATCCAGCAATAAGATTTAAATTTTGGGCCAAGGTCAAGTAAAAGACATTGGTTTTGGCTCGGATTGCTGTTTTTTTATTGGCCAGATAACATTGTTTCAGACTCATTCTAATTCTGTTTAGGTGATCGACATGGCGCCGGATTTGTTGCGGATTTTGGCTAAAAATTTTGCCAACGAACATGAGAGTGTTAAGGTAGGAAAATTTGGACTTTTCTTCTTTTGCGTTCTTCTCAAGCTTTTGCGTTTATTTTCAGGTGGAAACCCTGAAACTAGCGGTTCGTTTGTGGATGGTGCAACGGGAGAAAGTCGACAAATTAGTCGAGTACGTCTTCCAATTGGCTCGTTTCGATCGAAGCTACGATGTGAGAGATCGGTGAGGGAAATTTTGTATTCTAATCCTGTATTCTAATCTTGTTCTTTACTATCGTAAATATGCTAATAGAAGCACTCCCTATCGTCGCGTCGCATAGTCTAAGTTTACTCTCCAAACAAACGCTCATATCTCGACACCAGTACGTTTGTTTCTGTACGTTTAAATATCAAATTAAAGTAGAGAGAATGGGTGCTTTTTTGAGATATAACACATACTTTTAGCTTTAACCAGCGCTTAGAAAAAAATGATTGAAAAGTGGCAAAAAAGAGCCGATTTTTCATCAACCTCAAATCAACATCTCAAAGAACGGCTCATATCTCAGCACCAGTACGTTTGTTTCGGCGCGTTTAAATATCAAATTAAAGTAGAGAGAATGGGTGCTTTTTTGAGATATAACAAATATTTTTAGCTTTAACCAGCGTTTAGAAAAAAATGATTGAAAATGATGAAAAATCGGCAAAAATTGGCTTTTTTTTTTTGCCACTTTTCAATTATTTTTTTCTAAGCGCTGGTTAAAGCTAAAAGTATGTGTTATATCTCAAAAAGTCACCCATCTTCTCTACTTTAATTTGATATTTAAACGCGCAGAAACAAACGTACTGGTGTCGAGATATGAGCGTTTGTTTGGAGAGTAAACTTACATGCTTTAAACTAGCTTTGAACTAGCTTTGAACTAGCTTTGAACTAGCTTTAAAGATCTCTAAATCACCTTTCCAGGTATTGTACCTAAAAAATGCATCAAAAAAGATAGGGTTTTCTAAAATAGAGTTTTTCTTTAGTTGCCGTTTCCTCCGAAATCTCCTCTTCAACACGAGCATTCTCTCATCACACGCCGAAGAGATCTTCTTGGCGACGAAACCCGCGCCCGCATTGCAAAGCAGCTTTAAGGGTGAGGAAAAGATTGTGATTTAAAGAAACAACATCTCACTCAACATTCAGTTAACAAGCTTTTCTGTTTTCTAAAGATAACTTCTTCTTTTTAGATCGTGCCCAATTCCAACTCGGCTCCCTCTCGCATGTGCTCAATCAGCGGTGCTCGCTTTACAAAGATTTACCCGATTTCCCGGAGGTATTGATTATTGAATAATTGAATATTTAAAGGATCAGCTTCTTTCGATAAAAACCGAGTCTTGCTCTAGTTCTAATTGCTTTCTGCTTCTTCTAATTGCTAATTTTGCTAATTCTGTTAATTTTGCTAGTTTTGCTAATGCTAATTGCTAGCTAATTGCTAGCTAAGTCCAAATTTTGTTAAAATAACTTGTTGCTAAATTTCGTAAGTAAATTTTCACTGGGATTAGATTTCGGTGTTATGATCCAGCCAGATGATCTAGCCAGATGATCTAGCCAGATGATCCAGTCAGATGATCCAGCCAGATCATCTAGCCAGATGATCTAGCCAGATGATCTAGCCAGATCATCCAGCCAGATGATCTAGCCAGATCATCCAGCCAGATCATCTAGCCAGATGATCTAGCCAGATCATCCAGCCAGATCATCTAGCCAGATCATCCAGCCAGATCATCTAGCCAGATCATCCAGCCGGATCATAGCCAGATCATCTAGCCGATCTTTTTCATTCAGATCTCATCCGATGCCACACTTCGTAGAGAGGCGAACGTCGTCGATCAGACACAATGGTTAGAAGAGGGTGAAGAAGTTGAAGAAGATGATGAGGATGAGGATGAAGATGAAGAAGAAAGTGATGGAGATGAAGATGAAGAGGAGGATGAGGTTGGTTATCGGACAGTTTCACTGGGATTAGATTTCGATGCTCTGTTTCCAGCCAATAAGTAGCTGGGGAATGGGGTTCAGTTATTTAGTGCAGGGCTCTAGGGATTTTGGTAGCTTTTTCTTGAGCGCACTTTATAGGAAAGTGACTTTCATTGTGCAAAATAGAACAATTGAACAGGAAGCTTTTTAGGGCGATGAAGAAGATGAAGATGAAGAGGATGATGATGAAGATTCGGTTAGTCTGTTAGGCTTTTCAAAAAGTCTTTTCTGAAAAGTCTTTGCTTTTCTTTTTACTCTTAAATTTGCTTGTACGTGAGCCAAAATTGACTTTTAAAAAAATGGGAAATTGAACAAGAACTTTTACTTTCCAATAACAATAACAATAAACGCTTTTTATTTCGTGGGAATCATACCGTAAACACTGTAATAGTACTGTAAACGGCTAGCCGTACCCCACGTGCATAATGACGGTGCGGAGTATTGCGTCGTCTAGCTTTGAACGAGTTTTTCTCGACACTGGTTTATGCTACAATACGCGCTTCGGTATCAAAAAATAGCCCTGAATCTCAGCTATTTTTTGATACCTAAACGAGCGTTGTAGCATAAACCAGTGTCGAGAAAAACTCGTTCAAAGCTAGACTACGCAACACTCCGCATCGTCATTATGGGGGTGGGGTACTTACGGTAGGTGAATTTGTTATTTTTCATAAGAAAATCAATGAAAAGCCTTTCTGGACAGATCAAAAAAAGATTTCAATTCAATTTTAGGATGAAAATGATAGCAACGAAGAAAGTAGTGAGGAAAGTGAAGAAGAGATTGTACCACCAAAAAGAGCAGCTCCTCCCCAAAAAGTGGTCAAAGTCGTGCAACCTGTCAGCAAACCGGTAAAACCGGTAAAACCGATAAAACGAGAAATGGAAAAGGCGAAGAAAGTTGGTGAATTTGAGCATTATAATTATATATTTTTATAGTTACAGGGTGGGCCAAAATTACCGTTACATATAAAAAAAAGTCTCTGTATAAAAAGCAACTCAAAAGGTCAAAGGTTTTTCTTAAATAACTTTTATTGTCTCATAGCAATTCATAAAAACTATTCCTTTTCAAAAAGATCTCCAATAGCTTTTACACAAGCGTCCAAACGTCGTAGAAAAGCGTTGATCGTGGCGAGAAGGTATAGGAGATCCAGCTCTTCTCAAGCCTTTTCGAGTGCTTTTTTCGAACTCTTAACAGTTTTGTGTGGTTGATAGCGTCAACTGATGGCATTTTTGATTTATTTTTCTTGTAGGCCTTTAGCTTGAGCTTGTTTTTGATGATTCTTCTAAGGGATGTTCGCGAGGGAGCCTAAGCCTAAGCCTAGCCTGAGCCTGAGCCTGAGCCTAAGCCTAAGCCCTAAGCCTAAGCCTAAGCCTAAGACGTTCTACGCTATGTCAAAAAAATCGTAAAATCGACTTCTTATATCTCCACTTCCAGACACGAGAGTGACCTGAAATTTTGTAAGCATCCTCCCCTGGGATTCCAAAGCACAAGGGCAATAGCTTGCACCTTAACTCCGGGAAGCGGCTGAGATCCAGAAAATGGGGGTTCAGCCCAAACCCAAATAGACTTAGTGCGAGGCGCTAGCCGCTAGCCTAAGCCTAAATCCAAGCCTAAGCCTAAGCCTAAGCCCTAAGCCTAAGCCTGTATCCCCATTTTTTTGTGACATTTTCCGCACCGATTAGTTTGGCGTTTTCAACAGGCGATTCTTTTTTTGACATTTGCTGAAGTTGTTACCGCTCGCTTCCTTCCATTTCGCTTTCGCATTTGCGCGTGAGTGAGCATTGTAACGGTAATTTTGACCCACCCTGTAGCATAGTAGTGACATTAAGATATATTATTGTAACCTTATTGTAACCTTATTGTAACCTTATTACCCGCACCTGTAACCAGGAACCCGCACCTTCATCAGCGATGGATCTCCTTGTCGACCTCGACTTTTCCACGGCCGGCACACGGACTCTCGTCGAGCCAACAACCCTTCCGGATAAGGTAGACAATATAAATACGATTAAAAATATATATTATTTTAATATTGATGCTAAAACTTGATATTTTACAGAAAATTACAGAAAATCGACCTTCTCAATGTGGTCGAAGGCGGTGGAGTTGAGGTGTCGCTGGAGTTCGCGCGGAAAAACCAACAACAATACACTCCACTTATCTTTACAGGTGAACAAGAAAAGCGTGGTAGATGTCAAGATATCGTGGTAGATATGTAAATTTCAGTTTCGAACAAAACCGATGATGAGATGAATGAGGTCGAGATTTGCCCGCCAGAAGAGATGGACACAAATGGAGAGAGAAAGGTGAGAAAGTACTGACGGGTACTTTGTGCACACACGTAAACGCACCCTTTCTGGAGGACTGAATTTTTTAATCCTTTCCTTTCCAGATCGTTTCCCTTTCTGCCGGTGCGTCAGTTTCCCTCAAAATCGGTGCCGATTTCGGGGATAGTGGCCGTAAATCGGAATGGACTTTGACAAGGGATGGAGGTGATGGAAGAAAGATCGATTTAGAGGTGCATAAAGGAGGAGTAGAACAGTAAAACCTATCTTGCTCCTTAAGGTCCCACTCGGTGAACAATTGCAACCGGTTAAAATGAGCGAGTCGGAGGCGCTAAACGAACGGAAACGCCTTTCTGGACTGAATCGACATCAGGTTTGTGCAGTACTCTGAAAGTAAACAAAACTAAAACCTTTTCAGATCTCGATTGACACGGAATGGACCTCAGAACAAGTGCTGGCCGTCGCAAATTTGCATCAAAGTGGCGATGAGGTGATCAAACATCAACATCTACAGCTTATCAACATCTAGAAAATGAAATAATATTCTTTTAGCTTTTCACCGGTCAGACTCGATCTCGTAAAGATCTCGTCATCGCCACGATTACCGCTAAAAGTATAGAAGTAAGTAATTTCAAAGTGACATAATAAGATGGCATTAAAAGTGACATAATAAAATAACATTTCACTTTGAGATCAAAGAAAGGACCGCAATTTTTCAGGTATGCTGTGACAATTCGGTGGTCGGCCGAATGATCGCCGCCGCTATTCAAAAATCAATTCAGCATAAATAAGATGGCATTTTTAAAAAATACTTAGCTTACTTATACTTAAACCTTTTCTATTTATTGGCCTATACTTTCAGCCATTCCAGTCTAACCCTTGTGATTTCCCTATCATAACTTATTCCTATCAAGTATTCGATTTATTTTTTATTCTGATAAACTTAACAAAAATCTGATAACAATCACAAAGTAACAAGCTAAAACGAAAAAAAAATAACCAACAACAACAAGGGAAACAATTACCGTAAATCTTTAAGCGAATGGACATCACTTGATATGCACAAATCCTCCTCTTCGCGGATGAGAATCCCGATGAGTGCGTGAAGAGTGTGCTCTTCCTAAAGAAAGTACTATACCAATAGTGAGTTTTGTTCTAAAAGTCAAGCAATTATTTGCAAATAATGCGGAATTTAACCTCAACTTTATTCAAATTAGTTTTTTAAAGCTGTACAAACCTGAGCCAGCAAGGTAGGTGGTTTCATTTTTGGTGGTGGTGCATTGGGATCAGCCTAAATGGTAGTTATTGGGTTAGAGAGTACGAAATGGCGCTGACATTCAAAAGTTTTTCTGGAACGCATCAAAGCTTCATATAAACCATTGTTTCTATAATCAAAAAGGCCTATCATTGCTCTACAAAATGCCTTTGAGAGATTTCAAAAAGCTTTTGTTTTGTGGATTTTATGGGCTCCTAGACGCAAACAGTCAAAATGACAAGGAGTCGGATTCGTCGTTTGACACGTTCCTTACACATAAACTTAAGTTGATGTCAAAACAAAAAATTTAGAGCACATTTAATTACATAAGTAGCCAAATTTTGTAGTGATCTCGTCAGTCATTTTCTCTAAATGACGATTTATTGATTTTCTGAAAAAATGATCTATTGAATTGGGGCGCTTTTTGAGTTCTATCTCAAATATAATTTTGTAGAGAAATAAGTGATCTTTTTAACGATACTACCCGCGTGTCATTTCATAAAGATTACTCAATGTTATAGAAGTTTCTTTCAAATCGGCGCCATTTCATACTCCCCAACCCAATATAATCAATTCAACATCACTGAAAATGATTAGCCTTAATCCCTTACCTTTTCCGATGTTGCCTGATCGAGTTCCCTCAGCAACGGATAGACGCCCTTTTTCCGCAATGTCGTTCTGCCACGGCGAGTCGAACATAACTAAACAAGAGCTGACATAAGCGTTTAAGTATTACATGAACTTTTCAAAATTTTTTAGTATGTTTCTCAACACATTCAGTTAGAACCCAACCTGATATAACGACTCAATAATTTTTTGACGTATGTGCAGTGATTTCTCTCTTGATCCCTCAAAGTATTGAAGTGAAAGCGGCAATTTCTGAAATCAGTAACATTTAAAACTACAAAATGTTTCAAAAATACATTTCCTAAACAATAAACGGCAAAGCCTACCTCCATCTCATCATCATCCAAATTATCACCGGCATCAGCAAGTGGTGTTAGAAGCGTGATCAGAAATTGATCGTTTTCATCAAGTAGTTGTTCATGTAGACCTAAACAAAAATCTACTGCAAGCTGAACAAATCAAGCTAACCATCATCAAAGCACAAATTTCGGAGGATATCAGCGGCGATTTCTCGTTTTCTTTCGTCTTCACTAAGCGTAAGCACGGAGCGAATTGGTGGGATCAGCTCGGGTTTCTAAAAAAATGATGTTTTAAATGAAAGTTTAGGTAGATCGGTTCAATTACATGGAGGGAGGTTTTAGTTTTTAACGGTAAATTTTTCAAACCCACCTCAATGAGATCCTTTCGTATCGGAGCCAGAGTAGCAAGATTGACGAGAACATATCCGAGAAATGTCGCAACATTACTCTCTTCACTTGCATTCAACCATTCTAAAAATATTTAGGTATATTTTAGCATTAAATAACTTACCAATGATTTTCGGCACAAATTTGTCAGCATTCTCATTGAGCAAAGAGTAGACCCGGTCGGGGAAATGCCTTGATAAATTGGCAAGCAGTCGTGAAGCGTATTCAGCGTAGGGGAGCCGTTTAATACACGCATTCCAAGCCTAAAAGGATGCATTATGGTAAAGCCAAAAATAGATGTAAGTGCCAGCAAACTCAAAAACGCTTGTTTTTAAAAAGCCTCGTTGAAAACCCTACATCAACAACAAGTTCTTTGTGTTGAAGAACGTGATCAGCAGCTTCCGGTGATCCTGACGTGAAATTTGTTAGCGCGGCGTAGCACTGATTTTTGTCGGACATCGTCGAGCTGGCGAGTTTGAGCAGAGCCTAAAAATAAGGTGCTTTAGTAGTTGAGGAAGCGGCAGTTTCTAATCCCCAGTTTTTTCGAACTTGCCACTAGTTTTAAAAACTTTTTCTCGGGTAATTAATTGCACTGAATCCATTGGAAGCATTTATAAACTATTTTGAACAACTTTTATGCCAATTTGAGCAACATTTCCGAGCCATCAAGCGTGGCTCTATTTCCACAGGGTGCGCGACCGAATTAAGAGGCTTAAAACCTCAGTAACTGCTTGAAATAGCTTGAAAGGTTATTAGTTACAGCTACCAAAGCTTAAATAAATACCAAATTAAGAATCTACGCCATTAAAAAGCAAAAATTAGTGCGCTCTGGCTCAATGGAGATCAATGTACACTGGCCCAACTACTATAGCACCAAAAATTATCTATATTTTGTCCCAATTTTGATTCCCGGATCATCTTTTGGTCAAAAAAGGATAACTACTAATAAGATCAAGATAAATAATCACAATTTACAAGACTAAACGGTACTGAGTAACCAACTTTTCCTAAAAGTTTATCCTCTCTCATATAAAGCGTGCCGGCCGATCCATCCAATTTGGCGCTCGCTTCCAAAATGTACGTGAGCGCCGTCCGTCGAACATCAAGCCTAAAACAAAGTAGGGTACTTTTCCAAAATCGGGGGAGCGGAAAGATTATCGGGGGAGCGAAAGGAAAATCGGGGGAGCAAATTTTGCCCCCTCGAAAAATGCATTTCCGGGACTGTATTTTAACTCCGACGTTTTTTTAAAACTTTAACGACGATGCGCTTCTCCGATATTTGTGCGTCAAGAAATCGACGGCAATCGATTATTTCGTCACTAAAGGAGGCATCCAGTCGTGGATTTGCAAATGTGGCGAATCGATGAAAGTCCGCTCAAAGGGAAAAGATCTATTTCGCTGGGTATGTGACACTTGCGCACGGCGAAAGGTTCCCAAGCATTCAAGAGGAATTCGAGTCGATAACTTTTTGCAACAAAGCAAGCTCCCGTTCGTCACAATTTTAAATAGGACATATGTAGCGCTGCCAAAATTTTCTCCCCCGATTTTCCTTTCGCTCCCCCGATATTGGAAAAGAACCCAAAGTAGATACATTATTTTTAACTGAACTAGTTAACTAGAACTGATTCTACAAATTAAATGATTTCTGAGAATAATAAAAAAACCACCTCGTTGTTGGCTCCAGAAACGTGATGAGGTCGCGGAAATCATCATTTTCGGCGCTCATCTAAAAATAGAACTTTTAAATGAACATGAACAAAATAGAACTTGTAAATGAACAAAAGTTAGCACTAAAATAATAAGTTTAAATATTTAAAACTGTACTTTTTATCTAATTTGTGTTATTTTATCACATGAAAATCGTGAGCTACGAGAAGCAACTTTTAGGAAAACCCAATGAAAAGAAAGCCCAAAAGTCCCTTACTCAACACTTTAACGTGTAGAAATCTCAAATAAAAATTTATGAGAGCCGATTTAACACAACATAAGCTAATTCTAAAGTAATATTCAGTTGCACCCTTCACAAAAAACCTTAAAAACGAAAAAAACTGTTATAACAAACAAATAACTTATAAAGAAAAACGTGAAAATCCATGACGAGTATCTAAAGTTGAAATCATCATAAATAAATAATCAAATTACACAAACAGATAAAAGTTTTAGTTTTGAAAAAGGTTGGGTAAATCAATTTTCGAAAATGACAAGGAAAATGGGAGTAGGCTAATTTCCGCCATTTTATTTCCGCAAGTACGTTTGCGCAACTGGGTCATTTGCGCAACTTTAACACTTTAATATAACTTTAGGGGGAGTGAGACAAATGCTACCTTTTTTTTGCGCACCTTGCCCATTAGCACACCTTTTTTCGCGTTTTAAAAAAAGCTCTAAAAGCTCTATTAACCAATTTCTATTCCAAAAGTTGTTTTTCTAGGTAATTTTAGGGCGTAGAATCGAAATTTTGACATATCAGAGCTTGTGGAACCAATTTGAAAGACAAAACGGCTAGGTCAAATTACAGAAAATTGTTGATTTTTCTCTTTGTATAACTCCGTTTGTTCGCTTCCACAAGCTCTGATATGCCAAAATTTCGATTCTACGCCCTAAAATTACCTAGAAAAACAACTTTTGGAATAGAAATTGGTTAATATTAGCTTTTAGAGCTTTTTTAAAACGCGAAAAAAGGTGCGCTAATGGGGAAGGTGCGGAAAAAAAGGTGCGCAAATGTCTGGGTGCGCAAAAAAAAGGTAGCATTTGTCCCACTCCCACTTTAGGGGCTTTTGGGGGCTCATTTCCGCCATTTTATTTGCGCAAAAAGGGTCATTTGTGCAAGTACGTTTGCGCAACTGGGTCATAGCGCATTAACTCTGTATTAAGCACTCGGGTTTTTATAACTATTTTCATTTTTGAGCTTTTTTTATTGTTTTTTTAAAAATTTTCTTCTATTTTTTATGAAATCTTCCAATTTTTTGCGCAATCTTTCAATATTTATCTAAATTGGTCCTTCCTAAGAGCTAATAACCATTAGTAAAATATTTTATTGCTTTAACAAAAAAGTGCAACCGATAACAATGAAAGTTAGGACAACAATAGCAATGAAATTTAGGACAACAATAACAATCAAACTTTCTTAATATAAGTCAAAAGCTGAGAAAGATGTTGCACAAAATCGCAACCGGGCGACCATTAGAAATAGCAGTAAAACGTCGAGCCAATACAATTCTTTTCTTCCGTGCGTAGTTTTGTCCAACAGTGAGATTGATAGCCGATGAAAGCTTGAAACGGTTGATTATTTACGTCATTTCTTCGTAAAGTCTGACCGCAGTATGAGATGGATGCGGATTCTTGGGTTCTTTCTAAAAAAGTCTGAGTTAAAAGATTAGAAAGCTTTCTAGCAAACCTTCAATAAAGAGTGAAATCCCTCTTGAGCAGAGTTTCCAATCTGTTGACCAAGAAGTACAGGCTCATAAGCGTTCCACTTATTTATCTCATATGTTGCTGGCCCACGAAATCCTCGGATGGTAAAACGTCCCAAATGTGATCGCTCGAACGATTTGTAAAACCCTGAGGCAAACATTTTTCAGTCTAGTTTGAAAAAGAAACTGTAGATTTTGGGAAGAATTTGTGCATTCGCATTTACATTTGCAGACTTTTTCAGTTCTTGAAAATAGCGATCGACTTCTAATGCATCAATGTAGGCAAGCGCCATCACACTCTGCATATGAGTTTTCTCAAAAGGCGTCTGCACCTCGTGATGTAGGCCATATTTCTGAAATAAAAAAATTTGATATTATACCAGCCATTTGGATAAGCAAAAAGCCACCTTATACGTCGGAGAATATTCTGGAAGAAATGAAAACAGCAAAACAGCTATGTTCAACAAGGCCATAAGCAAGACAAAATCCCGCATACATACCCCGAAGTCTAAAACAGAAAGTGTTATTCAAAAACTCATATATGATGCCACTCATCAATATTTTTGGAGGAGCTATTCCTTCACTGATGAGATAGTCGAAAAACGATTGATAAACTGGTGCTTCTTTACTTCCAATGTAGGCAAAGAGACAAGGAATGAAGAGTTGATCCAACTAAAGATTTCTTGGGACGTCGATTAAATCGTCTTTTTTAGGCACAAATTTACTACTTCAGCTTCAGCAAATTTACTACAAATTTACTACTTCTTTCTACTTCAGCTGTCCCTCTTTCACCATATATTTTCAAATCCAAATGCTTGTTTGACTCGTTTTGTTTTCCTCACTCAAAAGTTTTTGCACACCAAAGACAACCGTAAGACATAGCACACGACATTCCATTAGTCGATAAAAAAGACAAATCCCCACCAATGAAGACTTTGTAGCCGGCATTTCGAAGTGCTTGGTGACAATCAGAAATTTGCTTATTTTTGAGCGACTCATAGGAATCAGATCCTACCCAGGCTTGTACAGGCAAATAATTGTAGTATGACAACGGCCTTGGATGGTCGACAAATGAAATAGTAGAGACAACTCGTCCTCTACCTTTATCCAAAGAAAATACAAGACTTGGCTTTGCGTCTTTATCAAAACCCAATCGCATTTTTCGCCCTTCAATCACTTTTAGCACATCGATTATGTTAAACCCACCATCGAGCGATCCGGTGTTTTCGAACTTAATTCGCAACTTGTCCAGCTCTCTCTTTGCACCAAGAGGAAATCCATAAACTTCTTTCATATAATTGTTGATATCAAGAAGGCCTGTATCGGATAATTTTACTTTTCGTTTCATTGCTAGGAGCTTTTCACTGTCAGATGACGGATTTGACGAAAGTCGTGCCTCTTGGTGATCGAAGTTTCTCCTTTAGGTTCTCCACTCTTTCCGAGCTTTTGCTCTCGCTACGGTGTTTTGTCTCCTTTTTTCTTTTGTCGCTTTTTCCTTTCTTGTAAACGCTAACTTATTTCGCATCTGTTGTTCATCAACGTTGTGAAAGCTTTGTTGAAGTGGCAAAAGAAGAGTTTTTGAATCTTCTGATCTTTTCTCTTTCCTATCACTTTATTGTTTCGTAAGATTTTGGCACAAGTCTATTGACGATCCGTCCTTTTTTCAAATTGCTTTTGGCTGCTTTTCGTTTCCGCGTAGTGGGCACCATCTAAAAAGAACACTAACATAGAAATAAAGGAACAAGCAATAAAACAACAAAATAAGCTATTTTACGAATTCAAATACCGTAAATACTCTAATAGAAGCGCACCCTTCCCATACAAAATTGGTCGCCCAAGATCCAAAACAATGGAGTGAAAGGAGCCGAAAATAAAACGAAATAAAACCATCCTAGAATTTTAAACAACAAACTATGAGCAAACAATATAAAAAGAAGGGAGCGAATGAGGGGAGAAAGTACTTTAAACGTACTTTAAACGTAGTAAACGCGCTACAAAAACAATGGATTTTACGAAGGGGAAAGAAAACTTAGCGGGACTCGGCATAAAAGCCGGACAAAGTTCCCGATTTCACCACGGAATAAAGGAAAGTGAAAAGAATGGCAAAAGATAATTTTTGTGCGGGGTACGGTAGCACATCCACGCTTTGGAAAGCGTGCCGCTCTGCTTTCGCGTCAATCCCTTAAAAAACGCTAAAAAAAGTTGCGCAAATGACCCTGTTGGGCAAATAAAATGGCGGAAATTAGCCTACCCCGGAAAATGAAGTAGATCCTTATAACTAATGTTTAATAAAAATACTCAGCCAAGGTATTTTATAACTATTACAGTAAGCTTTTTTTATAAATAAGGAATCGGCTTCTCTAAAAATCATTTTTTTTTCATTTTCAATTTTTTTCTCGCGGTTTAGATCGCTTTATACCGTTAATTTCTTTCATTTTCTCAAACATTCACAATTTTTCTTTTTCAAGGTAAACATGGGCGCCTACAAGTACATGCAGGAGCTATGGAGGAAGAAACAATCGGGGGTGATGCGATACTCTCTTCCGATTCGATGCTGACAATACAGACAGATGTCAGCCATCTACCCAGCACCCACTCGGCCTGAGAAGGCGCGACGACTTGGATATCGTGCTAAACTAGGTACCTTCTTTTTTACCTAGAAACAACATTTTTGATATTTATTGTGTTGCAGCATAACGTGGAACATGGTATTAATAAATTTGGGCGGGGTGGCACTTTTTTTCTTTAAAATCACTTTTTCTGGGATAGTTTTATGCGTAGATTCCGAAAAACACAATAAGAGCTTGGGAAAAGGCATTTTAAGCCGAGTTTCGGAGCTCCAAAGTGCGCGCTTCTATAGTGTACTTCTAGTGAAGTACTTCTAGTACTATCGAGCCCAAGTTATCGACTATTGGGGCACTTTTCAAGGTCAAAACTAGAGCCAAAATCATTTTTAATCACTAAATATTCATTTTCTAACCTACTGATTACGTTTCTGATCAAATTGAAGCAAAATAAAAACAAAATATTTATATATTTTTTTCCAAATTTCGACCATGTGGCCCCCCACATGAGTCAAAATCGCAGAAAATATTTTTTCAATTTGTTTTACCTCTACCAGTCAATTTAAGCTAGAAAATGAATGTTTAGTGGCTAAAAATGGTTTTGGCTCTAGTTTTGACCTTGAAAAGTGCCCCAATAGTCGCTTGGGTACGCAGATTTAAAGAGCAAAAAAAAGTGTCATTTTCAACGCGTCGAAACGGCGGTTTTTTTTAGTTTAAAACTTATGCTAAAACTATCAAATTCGTGCTCAGCGTCCTCGATTACCCCTAGAAAAGTGGGAAATCAAAAATATAGGTGACCCAACCCATAAAGTACCGAGATTTTTGATTGAAGCAAGTAGAGTAGCTAATAATTATTACCTGCAACTGGGGATACTGTATTTATTCTAATAAAAGCACATGTGCTTCTACGGCCCCGCCCACTCACGTCAGGAGAAAAAGTTTCACCAAAAATTCAATTTTTAACCTATGACCATGAGTTTGGTGTCAAAAGAAAGAGAATTTCGCATTCTATTAGGGTGGTGCAAAAGAAACTGCCGATTTGACGGTAAATTCGAAAAAAAGATGGCGTTCGATGGTGACATGATCACAATGGAATATTTTCGCAAGATCGCGAGGAGATTGGCATGGATCGGCCTGAATAAGCTTGGCTTGGCTTGGCTTCGTTCACGACTTCTGGCCTCGAGCCGTGCTCGTAATCTTCCAAAGTCTCGTCTCCCTCTCGGAATCGTTGAAACCAGGTCTGACACTGCCTGAGAGACAAACTGCCATCTCCGAAAGCAGCACAGAGAGAACGATGCGATTTGGCAGCAGACTTTCCAATTTTGAAGTTTTTAAAGAAATAAGGAACCAAATTTAGAGGGATAAGGAACCAAATTTAAAGAGATAAGGAACCAAATTTAGATAGTAATGCTGCTCGTAGCACAAACTTTTGCTCGACCATGATCTAAACAAAAAAATATAAGCATTTTAAAATAAAATAACCAAATTATTTATAAACAACCAAAAAATTCAAACGTCGAAATAAATAGCAAACAAATATGCGAACAAAACATTAAAAAAACAATGCTTTTAGCATCGCTCGTTTCTGATAAATGAGAGCTGATACCATCGGCAGTTTCTTTTGCACCACCCTAATATTATTTGACACGAAATTCTAATAATTCTTTTAACTTAATGTACCTTTTCTGTGATGTGATTGCTAAGAAGTAGCCAAGTAGCCAAGAAGTAAGCTAATTATCTTTGTTAACTTAAGATACGATCTCATTTGGTCCGTAGAGGTTTGAAATTTGAAAACTAACGGTTCAGCCTTTTCCGCCCAATTAAGCATGTATGGTTTTTCAAGAGTAGTTCATCAAAAAACCCACGGGTAGATCGATTCAATTACAGCTTTTTCTTTTGTTGCTGGTTTCTTTTCTTTCTGCGGGCTTCTCTAGGCCCTCCACGGCTCTCACAATGTCCCCATTCCGCCCTCTAAAGGGCCCCCTTCCTCTCTTCGAATTCTCCATCTTTTCCCCGAAATTCTCCAGGAATGATGTTGAAACGTCTCTTTTCCCTATTTTCCTTTCTCTAACTCCTTTTTTGCACATTTTTGGTCGTTGTTTAAAAGCCGAGCCTTCTTGGCCCCTTTCTCTCCACCAAAAATCCTATGTTTATCTTGCATTTGCTTTCTCGGAACCCCCGCTTTTTGTCTTACGTCAAAGAATTGGCTTTAATCAGAATTTTAAAGATTATCGGATCATCTTTAGCTAAAATAAGTTACTGTTTTGAGTACTCAAAGCCGATGCACTGTATCGTACTGAAGCCGATGTACTGTATCGTACTGAAGGCGATGTACTGTATCGTACTGAAGCCGATGTACTGTATCGTACTGAAGCCGATGTACTGTATCGTACTGAAGCCGATGCACTGTATCGAGCTTTGAGAACGATTTTAACTCTACAAGCTCCTTTCAACAAGTGAATGCTCACTAAACTTAATAACATTTACACTGAAAAGAGCTTATTTTGAAAAATGAGCCGTTAACTCTTTGAGTTCTTTGACTTTTCGAGATTTCTGAAAGGATAGTGTAACCACTCTTTTGAGCTTTCTCTTTTGAGCTTTTCCTTTTGAGCTTTCAGCTCCCCTTGTCACTTTTTATGACACCTCAAAAGGGATCAAAAAGGAGAAATCCATTCTTTTGTTACTTTTTCGCACATTTGTTAATTTCACTAAGTTTTATCCCCTTTTTTTAGGTACATTCACTCAAATCGATATGCATTCATTGAAGAAATGAGCTGGTTGGCGGATTTGCTCGTCAAAAATAGCTCGGATCCGAGGTGAGAAACAAAAGATGCGCTAATCTTTTTGGTAATTGGATGCAGTTGAACTTTTGCTATAAGAATGCTATTTTGATGCACTTGGTGCTCTTTAAGTTAAGCTTTTTATTCTGACATTGACAATCTTATAAAAACTTCATTCAGAGAACGTCTCGAATTGGGTCAAGCTCTGGTTTCGTCTCTCCAAATTCAACCACTTCCCACCGATTCCACGCAACTCAACGACTTTTGCGATATTGCTTTTCAATGGCTTGCCGGGAGCAATTTTAAAGTAGGAAAATTTTCGCTTTAAAGTAGGAAAGGTTTCGTACTCATTTCGAGCTTTTTAGGTAGCCTTGTTAGCCTTGGAGGCTCTAGATGTGGCCGTGAATGTGAACGGACCCGTTTTGATGCCATATCTAATTGATCGGATTACACAAATGATCGATCGGTAAGCGATTATGATTAGCTTAAAGTTAAAGCTCCTTTATAGTCCCTATTTAGTTCCTTTAAAGCTCCTTTAAAGCTCCTTTAAAGCCCCTATTTAGTTCCCTTAAAGCTCCTTTAAAGCCCCTTTAAAGCTCCTCCTGATATGTCGTAGCCGATTATGAATGAAATTTTTTGGTAAATCTTTCTAGTAGAGCAACCCTTTAATGTATGAAGACAATATTATATCATCCTGTAGCGAATTAGATTCTGCCTCGATTAGTACCAAATTTGTGAGTTTAGGTTAAAAATTGCCGGCGCTACAACGTTTCATTCAAAATCGGCGGGACCCCCGTAGCCGATTATGAATGAGTGGGTCTAGGAGCATCCAACCATCAAGTATTTGGTATCATTCAACGCAGAATCATTAATAATTATGTTAAATTTTTAAAATTAGAAAGATTGGATAAAAAGAAAAAAAATTGGAGCAAAAAAACTATTTGTTCAAGAGGAAACTTTGAGGCCCCATAATTTGTGTTCTTTTTATCCAATCTTTCTAATTTCAAAAATTTAACATAATTATCAATGATTCTGCGTTGAATGATACCAAATACTTGATGATTGGACGCGTTCGGATCCACTCATTCATAATCGGCTACGACAGATATTCGTTAAACTTGTTTATCGATCAAGTTAGTGCCAAATAGGCTCATCCGATAAGCGATTTGACTTTTCGGTGACTTTTCGTATTTTCTATCGTTTTCAATTCTGCATTAACTCATCGTTTAATCATTTAATCTGCATTTAATCTGCATTTAATCGATAAGCAATTTATTTGAAAATCTGTTATCTGTAAAATTTAGACTAGGCGACTCAAAAACGGCAGTTCGAATGTCGACATCCGATCTACTCTTCACAATGGCAACGAATGGCCCACAGGTAGACTGAATATATTTTATCTAAAGTTAAAAGTTTGATTGGCACGGGGGTGAGACAAATGTGACCTTTTTTTTGCGCACCCGGACATTTGCGCACCTTTTTTTTGCTGGAAAAGGCCTTAGGAAAGGTCGTAGAGCTTCAAAAATATTTCCATATAAGGGAATCGTATGCGTAGATTCCGAATTTCGACAAATCAGACCTCGCTGACACGTCAAATTTGGGCTAAAAGGCAAAAACTACGCAACTTAACGCTTTTCCGCAGTTTTTGCCTTTTAGCCCAAATTTGACGTGTCAGCGAGGTCTGATTTGTCGAAATTCGGAATCTACGCATACGATTCCCGTATATGGAAGTATTTTCGAAGCTCTACGGCCTTGCCTAAGGCCTTTTCCAGCAAAAAAAAGGTGCGCAAATGTCCAGGTGCGCAAAAAAAGGTCGCATTTGTCCGACCCCCCTTCTTTTGGCATAATTTAACCTACTGGTTACGTTTCTGATCAAATTTAAGCAAAATAAAAGCAAAATATTTCTATTTTTTTTCCAAATTTCGACCATGTGGTCCCCCACATGAGTCAAAATCTGAAAAATATTTTTTCAATTTTTTTACCTCTACCAGTCAATTTAAGCTAGAAAATGAATGTTTAGTGGTTAAAAATGGTTTTGGCTCTAGTTTTGACCTTGAAAAGTGCCCCAATAGTCGGTTGGGTACACAAATTTAAAGTACAAAAAAAGTGTCATTTTCAACACGTCGAAATGGGGATTTTTTTTAGTTGAAAATTATGCTAATACTATCAAATTCGTGCTCAGCGCCCTCGATTACCCCTAGAAAAGTGGGAAATCAAAAAGAAAAGTTGAAAATCAAAAAGAAAAGTGGGAAATCAAAAATATAGATCACCCAACCCATAAAGTATCGAGATTTTTGATTGAAGCAAGTGAAGTAGCTAGTAATTATTACCTGGCAACTGGGGGTACCGTATTGATAATTTCATATCTAAAACATTTCAGATAATTCTGGAAAAAGTGATGCCAGCGCTGGGGCACCGAGTGTGGATGGTGAGATGCGGGGGAATGGACGTGATTACGAGAATCGTCATAAATAAGTTCGTTTGGGGAATTTGCTGTAGAATTTCTGTAGAATTGCTGTAGATAGCTGTAGGATAGCTGTAGATAGCTGTAGATAGTTGTAGCTGTAGATAGCTGTAGCTGTAGATAGCTGTTGATAGCTGTAGATAGCTGTTGATAGCTGTAGATAGCTGTAGGATAGCTGTAGGATAGCTGTAGGATAGCTGTAGATAGCTGTAGATAGCTGTAGATAGCTGTAGATAGCTGTAGATAGCTGTAGATAGCTGTAGGATAGCTGTAGGATAGCTGTAGGATAGCTGTAGATAGCTGTAGATAACTGTAGATAGCTGTAGATAGCTGTAGATAGCTATATAGTCAATAATCAAGAGAAACTAGTTTTCTAGGTAGTTGATAACTTGATAATTAACCAACTAGATAATTATTCTAACTAGATAACTATTCTAACTAGATAACTATTCCAACTAGATAACTTTTGATGCTGTTTTCGAGTTTTAGAGGTTTCAATCAAAAGAAGGCATTGAATTTCTCTCAAAAATCCCTAACCTTCTTCAAATTCTTGTGCAAGGTGTGTAAAAAGCCGTAGATAAAAAAAATTTCTCACATTTATCAGTGAAATTTTTTTTTTGAGAGGGCCATGAAGGGGTGTGAAAGGCTGGGGGATGATCACGTCGCCTTCAGCCAAGAGAGATAACAGCTGTGAGTCATCCCGAATCTCAATGCACATTCATTCATTCGGCTTTTTCGATTTTTGAAAAATGTTTCTTGTTTTTGGAAATTGAAAACAATCTAAAGATGGCTTTTTTGGAAGTTTTGGAAGTTTTTCTTTTTTGAATTTTTTTTGAATTTTCTTTCGAAGTTTTTTTCCTTTTCTAATCGATAGCTAAAGTTATTTCTATTTTTTTTAATGGCTTATGCTTCTCTTAAATCGTATCTCTTGATATTTAAAGGGACATACTCGTTAATAGGGACATACTCGTTAATACTCCGGCTTAAAAGTTAACTTTGAAGAATCGCGTTAATTTATATATGATTCGATGCGCTTTAATCTCCTCTACAACTATTTTCTATATGAAAAACGCGGTTTCCAATCGAAAAATGAAGAAAAACGCATTTTTTGCTTTCCATCCCACCGTAAAGCGTTGATATTTAGGCAAAAATTATACAAAAGTTCCGTCCAATTGCAATTTAGCACTTGCGTTCTTTTCTTCTATGTGAGACAAGTGTGAGACTCAAAAATGGAGGACTGGAGATGTCCTAGTGTCCCAGTTTGAGCACTTTCTTCAAAAGAAACCCACTTTGGTGTCAATGGAAAAGTTGTAGAGAATCAAAAATTAGGCTTATAGCCAAATTTCCAAAAAGATACACTTAGTAGTTTCGCTTAAAATGCAAGTTTTGTGAAAATTTGTAAATTTGGCAACCAAATCTGTGGAGAAAAGGAACCAGCTATTATATTCCCAACAGTAAGTTAGGCCAATTTTATAAGCCAATTAACTACCAATTAACTACCAATTAACTACCAATACAGGGTTACTGTAACTTTAGTAAAGCTGATCAAGTTTTATAGTTCTAAAGTTATACAAGTTATACCATGTGCGCTTGGCGCGACGTCGATGTGGCGTCGATGTCGATGTCGATAACGTCGATTTGGTGCCTCCCATGTAACAATAGATTGGCCCTGAGCAACCAAAATTTGCATACTTTGTATACAAAATTTGGTTGCTTATCAACTTGATGCTTTAAAAAATCTAAAGCAAAAAAAGCTTGGAATGGACGAGAGAATCGAACCCGACACTCCTTTGGGGCTATCGTTTTTTGGCCGGGAAGCTAGCCACCTCGATCACCATTCTCTTTTAGATATCTTTTAGATAAGCAAGCAAGTCTTTTAGATAAGCAAGCTTACTAAGACTGATCAAGTTATGAACTGTATAAGCTTAATAAACTTTAACCTAACCTTTCCCCTAACCTTTCCCCTAACCTAGCCTTTACCCTAACCTAGTCCTTTACCCCAAAAAAAAGAACACCCGAACGGTGCATAACTTTTTTTTTTCTTCCTGTTAGAGTGACTTGTTAAACAAGTTTTGTCTCTAAGCCAACGCAAAACCTCAAAAATCTCCTCTCACACATCTTATGTTTTACAGTTTAAAAGGGATAGGATGAGTGAAAAGAAAAAGAGGGAAAGATGGCTGACCTCAAGGGGTTTTCTTCAAAAACTTTCCCCTTTTCCTCTCTTCTTTTTACCATTCAAACTTCTCTGTTTACCCAAATCGGTGACCTGCTATCACTTGAGGGGGAAAAATGAGCAAATCGGTCGGACAAATCGGCCGGACAACCCATGTTCTTTTTCTTCTGATTTCTCTTCTAATTTCTCTTCTGATTTCTTCTGATTTCTCTCTTTACTCAAATTTCGATGCACAATGAATCATTTTTCCGATTCTTGAATGAAATGAATGAAATTTAAGGAGAAATTTTGTCGTTTTGGGTTTTTACAGAACCTGTTTGATCGGTTTGATTAGCTTGATTGATTCTTGAAGATTGAAGCTTGAAGCTTGAAGCTTGAAGCTTGAAGCTTGAAGCTTGAAGCTTGAAGCTTGAAGCTTGAAGATTGAAGCTTGAAGCTTGAAGCTTGAAGCTTGATTCTTGAAGCTTGAAGCTTGAAGCTGGACTCTTGAAGCTTGATTCCTGAAGCTTGATTCTTGAAGCTTGATTCTTGAAGCTTGATTGATTCTTGAAGCTTGAAGCCTGAAGCCTGAAGTTTGATTGATTCTTGAAACTTGATTCTTGAAGCTTGAAGCCTGAAGCTTGATTGCTTCTTGAAGCTTGATTGCTTCTTGAAGCTTGATTGATTCTTGAAGCTTGAAGCTTGATGCTTGAAGCTTGATTGATTCTTGAAGCTTGAAGCCTGAAGCTTGATTGCTTCTTGAAGCTTAATTGATTCTTGAAGCTTGAAGCTTGATGCTTGAAGCTTGATTGATTCTTGAAGCTTGAAGCCTGAAGCTTAATTGATTCTTGAAGCCTGAAGCTTGATTGCTTCTTGATGCTTGAAGCTTGATTCTTTTGTTTGTTTCGTTACCCAAGACAGCTTTTGTTCAGAAAACTGTTTCTTCTCGAAAATTCAGGTCTTTTCATCGTAAAACTCTATCATATAACCCAAAACAAAAGCCAATTCACTCCTGTGAAAGTGCAGCAATATCTTTACTCGAGTTTAAACTCTTGTATCTTCAATTGATTATAAATTGTAACCACAAAATTGATTATAAATTGTAACCACAAAATTGATTATAAATTGTAAATCTGATTTCCTATCCATCCACCGGATTCTTTCAAGTGGTGTGCGTTGTTTGTTGGTTGGGAAATGAAAGAGTACAAGTGGATTAAAAGAGAGAAGGGGGAGGGGTGGGCCTTTCCAACAAGAGAACCACAGATATATGGCAGCTGGAGGCGCGAGAAATCGAAAGGAGGAATATCCGCTAGATTATTACCACCTCGTACTCTCCTTTGCAAACATATGTTCAAACTTTTGTCTCTTCCGATTGAAAATTTGAGGAAATTTTATAGTAGTTTTTGAGATTTTTGAATTGAAAACTAGACTGTATTGAAAAATTGATTCGTTGAAGTGTAAAATCTCCTTTAGAACTATCGTAATGCTATCGTTTTGCTATCGTGACGCTTTTCTATGTTCCCCCAAAAAGCTACTTTAATACAGATCTTATAAAAAGCTTTTAAACAAGAAAATCCCTGAAATTGAGCTGATCCTGTGAGTTTCCCTGAACAATTCCTGCTTCTATTTGGTTAGCTTTGGTTTTGCCATCTAAAAATCCCAAGAGAAAGCCCGTTTTTACAAATAGTGTTCGAAATTTTCAAAATTTTCAAAATTCTTTTCAAAAATTCAATTTCTAAAGTTTCAGCAAAGCCCTAACACCGCAAATCGCTCGATTTTTGCCGACTTTTTGCGCCCTCATGGCCGATCCGAATCCAGAGGTAAGAAAGATGAAAAATACCGTAAACTGCGCATCAATTGAGCCCAATTCTGAAATCTATCTGAAAACCAGGATGGATCTGAGCTCCTAGTGTGCCTAAAAACTAATTCAGGTCCGAGAATCGGCGAACGAAGCCTTGGCCCAATTGATGGCGGCGTTTGGACCCGAGATTGTACAAAGCATTCAACAGCAAAAGTTGTTGCCTGATAAAAAGTGAGTGACAATTCGAATTTGCTTTAAAGATTTGCTTTAAAGAACCGAAATTGACTTAAAAAGATCGAAAATTGAGGAATGATCGGTATGCGAACCAAAACAAAGACTTTTAAAGTTTAAAGAACCGTAAAAGTTGGTGGTTGGTTGTCCATATGACACTTTTACAATTAAAGTCTAAAAAACTGATTTGTAAAGCTAGGTTATCGGCTAGCTAGCTAGCTAAGCTAGGCTAGGCTTTCGTCCCTTTTCCTACTTTCATTTAAAACCAACAAATGCATCAATTGAACTAATCAATTGTTTGTTTTCCACTTTCGAATTTTCTTTAAAGTGAACCGAAATTGACTTAAAAAGATCGAAAATTGAGGAAATTCGGTTCAATAATATTGACGAAACTTGAAAAATACTGGAGCTTTAAGCTGCTCACACACAGCCGAAAGAACTTTAATGATATTGTCTCGCTTGCTGATCTTGAAATCCGGTTCGCTGGCTCGAATGTGATCATGAATTCTTTCCATTACGCCTTTAAATTGTTGAAAGAAGTAAACATTCAATGGTTCAACGAGTCCTGAGGCTCTACACCCCGCTTAAACTCGCCTTGTCAATCATTAAATAACATTATACAAATCCTTGTTAGGTCTCAAAAAATAGCCCTGAATTTCAGCTATTTTTTGATATCAAAGACGCATTTTTTGAAAGTACGGGCGCTTTGAAAAAAATGAAATACTAAAAAACTAAAAAGCTTTTGCGACTACGCGACTGTACGGGGGCGGTGCGGTACTATTACAGTATTTACAGTAGGTTAATTGGTGCACTTGTTATTTTTCAACGAAAGTAGGAAAAGGAACGAAAAGACTTTCTGGAAAGCCTCGTTTACTTGTAGAAAACTATGCTTGCACGCGGGATCTCAATTTCTCATTGTCAGTAATGACCTCAAGTTTGATTACTGAACCCCGTAGGGAGCCGTGAACCCCGTAGTAGTCAAGAACAAGAAACATACCAGTCCAAGAACATAATGACAAACTGACAAAGTGACAAAAATCCGACAAAAAAACAAAAACTCAAAAATTTAGACTAGAACAACTGGCTGCACGCTGCGAGGAAGCGCTACGAAACAGCCCGGTGAGGAGCTCACGGCCAACTACACGAATAGCCCAAGTCAGACGTTTCCCACCGCCCACCCAACCACAGCCACAACAATCATTTCTCCCGCAAAGGATGAGTAGTCACGGTGAGGTGGAAAAATTTTCAAAATGATTGAACTGTTACAGTCATTACAACTAGCCACCAAAAAAAAGACGAAAAAGAAAAAGAAAAAGAAAAAAGACGGAATTCAACCAGAAATTTTAAAGTATACAGTTGGACAATTGAATACCCATTTTTATCAGATTTAAGCCAAGCAAGATGGCAAAAAAAGTGGGAGCTGATCAAAACTAGACTTGCTTATTGATATTATTGATACAAACGGCAAGCTCATGTTTGACCATTCAGATCTCAGTTTCTAGGACAACTATCAATCTGAAAATTGTTTCATTGAAAAGTCAAGAATGTCAGCTTTTGATTGCTATTTTATACATAGCGACTTTTAATGAGTCTTAATGTATTAATGTAACCTCATAAACCTTCTCGATATTTGAGTATCGAGAAGCATTGATAAGCTTTTTAAGGCACTCACCTATGAGAGTTTGCTATTTGTGAGATAGCAATCAAAAGCTGACATCCTTGGCTTTCTAATGAAACAATTTTCAGATTGATAGCTGTTCTAGAAACCGAGATCTGAACGGTCAGAAAGGAGCTTGCCGTTTGTATCGATAATATCGAAGCTTATCGATATTATCGATACAAAGTCAAAACAGCGCCAGCCAAAATAATGCATTTGCGGTTAAATTTATTTGTGTTTCTTATTTTCATTGGATGTAGAAAGAAATTGGTGCTATAGTAGTTGAGGAAGCGGCAATTTGTAAACACCAGTTTTTTCGAACTTGCCACTAGTTTTAAAAACTTTTTCTCGGGTAATTAATTGCACTGAATCCATTGGAAGCATTTAAAAACAAACTATTCTGAACAACTTTTATGCCAGTTTGAGCAACAATTCCGAGCCATCAAGCGTGACTCTATTTCCACAGGGTTTAGAGGTGCGCGGCCGAATTAAGAGGCTTAAAACCTCAGTAACTGTTTGAAATAGCTTGAAAAGTTATTAGTTACAGTTACTAAAGCTTAAATAAATACCAAATTAAAAATCTACGCCATTAAAAACCCTAGAAGCAAAGATTAGTGCGCTTTGGCTCAATAGAGATGAATGTGCACTGCCCCTACTATAGCAACTACTATAGCACCAAAAAATTAGCTATTTGCTGAATTTTTGGAGCCATTTAGAACAAATCTGGGTACTAATAAACTTCCGGGGGGCCATTTTGACCCGACTTGGCCAGATCCTATTCTAGGCGTATTTTTTCTGGTCTTGTTTTGCATTTTCTGGGGTATTGACGATATTTTTAGAATATTTTGAGCAAATTATCACTTTGTATTTTGCCCCTCTCTTCATTTTTAAGCTCAGCAACACTGCAGAGGCAAAACTCCAGCTAGCTTATCAAAAATCAATAAAAATTGTTCAAAACTTTCTAGAAGTGTTATCAATAGATTCATCATGCTTGATTACTCAGAAAAAGTAAAATAACGTCAATGAAACAGTCAAAAAAAATACAATCTGACCAAATCGGGTCAAAGTGGCCCCTTAAAGTTTATTAGTACCCAAATCTGGGATGAGAAAATGCCAAAACAACGAAAAAGGGCTTAAAAAGAGGTCAACTGGGGGGTGGGACAAATGCGACCTTTTTTTTGCGCACCTGGACATTTGCGCACCTTTTTTTGCTGGAAAAGGCCTTAGGAAAGGTCGTAGAGCTTCAAAAATATTTCCATAGAAGGGAATCGTATGCGTAGATTCCGAATTTCGACAAATCAGAGCAAAAAAAAAGTGCGCAAAAAAAGGTCGCATTTGTCCCACTCCCGTCAACTGAGCTTTTCTCGAAAACAATTCTGTTTTAAGTGGTCCCAAAGTATACAAAATGTAGATAATTTTATTCTGCATCCAATAAGAATAAAAAGCACATAGAAACTTAACGGCGGAGGCGCTATTTTTGCCGTGACGTTGTTTTGATCAACTCCCCAAAAAGTGCATTATTTTTCATTTTTTTTCGCATCTCTTCAACTCATTCCATCGCGGCCACCCATTTTTTCGTCTAGTTTCCCTCAAGCGATTTGATGTCTTAATGCATTTCTTATTTAAGAACCCAAGAACACACGCGCAACACAACAGCGTAATACAAAGCACAGAACTGGCGCGTTGTGTCTTTTTTTGAGCCCTCTTTCCTCACACGAAAAAGATCTGGTTTCGATTTGAACATTGCATTCTCTCTTTCCTGTGTACCTGCCTAGTTCTTTCATACGTTTGTTTAAGAATGCCGATTCTCTTAATAATAATCATTTTTGATAAGAATCATTATATTTTGGGTAATTTAACTTAAATCAATTCATGGTGTTAAGCTTTTTTGGCGGCAAAGAGTTAATAATTAGGGTTTTTTTCTAGTCATGTTTAGCGTTTACTTTGTGTTTAGATCCAACTCAACTCAAATTTTCTTTTTAGATCCATCCAGAATCGATAACGAGATGAGGAGCGCGAAATTAGAAGCCGGGGTAATAACCGAAGAGAATATTCGCGATGCCTTCCCGCAAGCACCGCCGCAACTTACTCGGCCGTTTGCAGAAGAATTGGAGGCGGTGAAAGCAATAATACTAGATATTAACCTGGATTGGGCGAAACGACAGGCAGCTGTAAGTTTTTTAATGAATACGAAGTGCCTAGCAGCTACTTTGCTTATTAGTAGAACATCAAATTGATCAAATTATTGACCACAATCATGTCAAAGTTTAGAGTGTCCTGTTAATCATAAGTCTAGATGTATCCTAGAATCATAACCTAAATTTTTTTAGCTCAAGCGAATTCGTGAAGTCGCGATGTTGGACGAAGCAAATGGCGAAGTTTTTGCAGCATCTATCAAAGCAATGACGTCTGGGCTAACGGCAAATTTAAAGGACCTTCGATCACAGATCATGAAAGAGACTTGCATCACGTTATGGTATTTTTCTCTTCATTTTTATTCATCTTGTCTTTTTAGTTTTCTTTGTGAACGTTTTGGATTGCGTATGATGCGCCTTGGTGAAGCTGTGATGCCCGCTCTACTTAACCATCTAAAGAATTCACAAAACGTCTTCTGGTCATGTGCGCAAGTAACAGCTATGGTTATTATGCAAGTAAGAGCTCTTTTTAGTTTCCCAGTTATTTTTATTTTAGTGCATTCAGTCACCGGCCATAATACAACCAATTTTGAGGGAGTTCGACTCGAAGGCCAAAAAAGTTCGAGAGTAAGTACTTTAAGAAGTTGTCATGTATATTCGATGGTTTAGGGCTGTGTTAATACTTGCGGAGAAAGCACTGTCATGGCCGCCTCAATTTCTGCAAGACTCGATGAAGTCGATTGAGAAAGCTATCAAAAATGGAATATGCGATGCGGATGCAGCAACGAGAGCTGCTGCCAAAGTCACTTATGGAACTTTTGAGGCGTGTTGTCCAGAAAGAGCGCAGATGCTGTACTTGGTAGTTTTAAAGATTTTCTTTCAATTCTCAATTCAACTTTAGAGTCTTGGGCCTGACGGTCAGAAACGTTTGAATGCACCTGGGTCCAAGCCGCAATCTCGATCGACATCTCAACAATCGTTGGTAGGCAACGATGCTGGAACTATGCGAAAGCCTTTCATGCCGAGATATCCTTCGAACGACCGACGAGGGATTGCGGGTATATTTTTGAAGTTTATAAGTATGTAAAATATGTGCTAACTTTAGATATGAATTCATCGTTTGGACGATCTGCTTCAGCAATCGATGCGTCTGCCGTGGCGATGCTTCAGTCAGGTCTACGTCGTCCTAAGAACCCGTACTTGATGGGAAGAACTCCAGTCAGGAACCCGATTGTCACCAGTCAACGTATGATAACTCCTTATGCCACAAAATGTACAGTTTTTTAGCGCCATCAAGATCCGGAAGTCCAACTCGAATGGGGAATGGGCGTGGTGCTCCTACTCGACAAGTGCAACCTACAGCAAGAAGTATGCGTTTACGTAAACCTGCCATCAAATTGCATTTTATAGTTAACACGGGGCTTGTGCGGCCACAGAACCACATTGCGGCCTACGGGAGGCAGAAAACCCAAGAAGATATCCAGAAAGCACTTCGACAAGTTCAGGTATGTTGCTTTAGGTTTTGTACCATCTATAGTTTGATTTAGGCGAACTTTGGCTTTGACGAAAACGGATTTGGAGAATTTGCCCGACCGAAAGTCCCGCCAGCACGTTTTCAAAAGAGTCAAGAAATTAACCTGGCAAATGTGATTCAACTTATTGAGTCAAATGAGGTAACGGATACATTTTTGAAATTAGGCTAAAACGTAATTTTAGGATATCGAAAAGAGACGTGGCCTCGAGACGTTGAATAAGATGATTTCACAAAAAGCACCGTTGAGCTCCGATGACATCAAGCTACTTTCGGATGCGTTGGGTCGAATTGTAGCCGGTGCTCGTCACGGAGTAAGTTACTCTTCGAGTTATTAAATTTTGATGTATTTCAGGTTATGGCTTCATTCTCCGATATGATGACAAGCTTCATTGTCACGTATGCCAAGTCTTTCGACCTCAACTCATTGGATTTCCTTCTAAGACAATTGATACTTAAAGCGGCAATGGAGGTTTTGATAATTTTGTCTATTTACATTTACGAATTTAAGGTTTTACCAGCTAACGCAGAGAGGTACACGAAGGTTATCGGATCCATTCACGCTCACGTCGACGCGCAAACGCAATTGGTGCTCATCAGCAAAAAGATTCAGGAGCCGCACACCGGATATTCACCCAAGGTTAGCTCTAAGCAGAGATGATGGGGCCAAAGTTTAGATGGGAATTGGTGCGGCGAAAGCATAACATTGAAAAGCTTGTTGTTGTGTTTTTCTAGTACCATAAATCAAAAAATGTCTCGCACTTATGATTTGTTGGTTTTCAAAAATAACGAATCAAGCGACTGGACATTGATAACACTATTAATAGTTTAGAGTCATTTGCATCATTGTTGTTTTATAATTATCACAATCAGTTTTTCCCAGGTTCGCCTTCGCATGCTTCAATTTTTGGCCGACGTTCTGAAAACTCCCGATGCCTGCCTTTCCCTAAATAGTCCAGAAGTGAAAGCTGCCGTTCAACAAATTTTGACTCAGATCCAGGATCAGAAGTTTGCGATGTTGAAGCCGGTTGGTCTTTGCAATTATACTGAACTTAGTATATCTTTTAGATCAGCGAGCAAGTGATTCAGAATTTGTTTGCAATCTCAGTTTCGGAGTTCTCTGCCATTTTGTCGCAAATGCCCAATCAGTACAAACAGTTGGCGCACGCACTTTTGAAAAAAGATCCGCCTGCGAACGGGTATGTTGTGCACTTCAGACTATTTAAACACACAAAATTTTAGTTCGCCGAGTCATACTTCCTCATCGATTCGGGAGATCACTCAAAAGGTTTTAAAGTGTGGTTTTTTTCTTCTAACAAATGAATTTAGATGCAAGCGTGTCAGATGACGCCAACACCTGAAACGTCAACTTCAACACCAGCTTCACTTCGAACAACATATGCATCACCGACAACCACCGCAACCACAGACGAAGACGGAACAAGTGATTCTACGGATTTTGTAAGTATTAGCTTACGAAAAGTTTACCTTAATTTTTCAGGAAATCTTGGAAACCACGCAACATCTAACTCATGACATCCCACGACAAAGCGACCGTATCAAAGACATACTACAAAGTTTGAAATCCTACACAAAGAATGCGCCTTATGATTCACGCAACGGGTTGAGCTGGCTAAACCAGGTATGTGTACAATAACTATGTAACCATAATCTTTTGTTTAGATGCTCAAAGACAAATCGTTCACAGTGTGGGATGAATACTTCGCACCGTGCCTTCTTGCCATCTTCGATTTGCTCAAAGTCGAAGACGATGTGGTCGTGAAGATGTCGCTGCGACTTCTAGAAAAATTCTGGTAATATTTAAAATTAGCGCATGAGTTTTATAGTATTGTTTAGCTTTGCTCAACCGCAACGTTTTGGACCATTCGCTGTGACGACGATTTTGAAAGTCCTGGACGTTTGTAGAAACACGAATCCCGTAAGTTTACTCTTTATTTTGAGCAATGTTCGTCATAGTTGCTTGTTGACTTCGAAAAAGTTCTGGTAAGCGTAGCATGCAAAAACGTTTTTAGTTTTTCTAATCAAAGATCTGTTTTGGAGAGTTCATTAATTGCAATATTAAATTCGAGTGTATTTGTATACTTAACTGATAATGTATTCGTTTTTTAGACTGTAGTTCAAATTGCTGAAAAGTGCGCTAGTTCAATGGCCAAACTTTTGCCTCGCGCCGATGTCCTTAAAGCTACAGTGACAATTATCCAGGAAGAGGTAGGCATGTTTTGGTCTCTGAAACTCGTCGTCTTTTTAGAAGGATCCCCGAGTGCCAGCAGCTCTCAAGATGCTTGCGACGCTTGCCAACAATATCGATGTGTCGGAAGTGGGTGGACTGGTGGATCAGGTGGCAAGCTACGTGATAACGGTATCGGTTTGATCTTTTACTCTAACTTTGGAAAGTTTTAGGCTTTTCAAAACGATGAGGTGACAGCGGTGCGAAAAGCGGCAGTGACGGTGATGGTGGCTTTCCACAAGAAGGTGCCAGCGATCATGACAAAATACTTGGACTCATTGCCGGCCAAAAAGGTATTGCAAATGTTTGAACTTGTCGTCAATTCTTACTTCAGAGAAAACTTCTCGATGTCTACATCCAACGCGATCAATCGGCCAGCACACACTTCTAAATGATTTCGAAATGTTTGTTTATTTAGTTTTTGCAGCGTATTAATTTTTCGGCCATGTATTTTTGTAGCGTGTTAATTTCTGTATTATGTATTCTGATAATACGTGTCTTACGTCTGTACGGGTGATATAAATAGTTTAAACTTCCGTCCGAATGCCAAAAAGCGCCTTTCAGAGAGAAGACGAAGGATTAGCATATTAACCAAAAAATTAGCATAAAAGTAAAAGACGTGGGGAGAGCAGACTTTTTTGTAATCATTTGAAATCGCTTCTGAACTGGCCTCTATTCAAATGTCCCACTCGAGTTTTGTCCGATCGTTTTATTATCACGTAAGTTTTGTATGTGTCGGGTATATTGTCGACAAGTTCGTCTTGAGCACCGATCAAAGTACGACTTTATGCTTATTCTTTTCATTGGCTTCATATAGTTGTATTGCTGACGTTTAACCCCAACTCACGAGTCGTTTTGCTAACATCGCCTTGAATTGATTACGCCATCTTTGTTGAAATCTTCTTTTCTTACTTTTCTTTCAAATCAAAATTTCTTCTAAGTAATGCGCCTACATTGAAACGAGCCGCTTAAAGATTTGTAGTTTTGGTTCACTTATATGATGTCAATTGTGGAACGGGAATATCGGCAGTAGAAAAACGTAAATGTGCTTTTGTCATACCATTATTCTTTCGAATTCTAATTTTTCTAACGAGTCCTGCGCTGCGACTTTCACGCGGGTTTTTCGATAACTCGGATTACTGGATGCTTTTACATTTAAAAATTATCGGTACTTGGTTTAATTCTTATATGTATGATATGTTCGCTTAACATTGTCTTGTCAAAAAACCCTCTCAATGCTCAGTAAAATTTTACTTAAAACATTTAAAAGTTTCGAATGGAATTTGCATTTAAATATTGTCAAAAAGACCCGCTTGTGATCACAACTTAAAAACTAAATAAAAAAAAATAACAACTCAAAACTATTTCTTGTTGGCTTCAATGAGTTGTCGGAAATTCGCCATCACTTGATCCTCACGTTTTCGGCGTTGTTCTTGTGAAAAACCACTGAGCAGACGTTTCTCTTCGGCCGTCAAAACCTAAAAACAGATGACAGTTATAAAATGCATAGGAGTATTAAAAAAACAATATGCCTGCAAGCAACGTACTTGATTTTCCTTTCGTAACCGTGTAGCCTCCATTGCTTTGTGTCTTGTACCAGACATGACATAACCAGCCTAAAAAAGTTGGCGATTTTTGAACTATGGTAATTAAAAAATACCCTCTCAAAGTAGGAAATCTCATTGCTGCTCAATCCGATCTCTCCTCGACGAGGAATTCGCTCTCCACGTGCTGCATAAGCGGCCATTGCTGCCGCTTCTCCACGAAGCATGTCTTTGCCATAACTAAAAAAAGATGAATATAGGAATATAGTTCAGAAGCTGGATGCAGGTAGGCAGTTTTTATATAAAACTTCAATCGATTGAAGCTATTTTAGGTCTTTTTATATGAAAAGAAAACTGACTTGATTTTGTCGAGATTGTATTGTTTCTCGCTTTGAATAAACTCATCGGGAATTGCCGGCCCGGCCACTTCGTCCTCAGATTGATTTGAGTCGATCTGTAAAAAAAACAAGTTGGCAACTTTAATCTAATCAAAATCCAGTTTAGCTTATAAAAAACTTTACCTTTTGAACTTCTTCATCACTGCTTTCCTTTTTCGAACGTTTCTTCTTTTTCTTCTTTTTCTCGGGCTCTAAATAAGGCTAGATTCATCATTTATTATTTAACATACCAGAATCATCATCCGAGTCATTTCTCCTCTTCTTTGCTTTGCTCCTCTTTTTCGCTTTCTTTTCCTTTTTCTCTTTCTTCGCTTTCTTTGATGATTTCTTCTTTTTCTTTTTACCTTCATCATTTGAAGATTCCTCATCACTGTCGCTCTCGGATACATTGAAGCCTAAAAAGTTGAAAGATTAAAACATGATTTAAAACAAATCTACTCACCATCAGCTCTCATCTTCGCTCGTCTTTCTTTCTCGCGCTCTTTCTGTTGTTTCTCGAACTTTTTGTGTTCCTCCAGACGCATGCGCTCCGTTTCTTCTTGCCTAAATAAAACATTTGACTTTTACAAATCTTGAAGATCTTAAAAATGCCAGATTGGAGTGTATGACGAGTTAAGAGCTCAATAAACATTTCTGAAGCTGTCAAGCAATGTGTAACGTCAATTTTTTTTACTCTAGCGTTGTTTCTGTGTCATCATTTGAATTGGGTAAATGATGAGTATCGCCAACGCAGATTAAAAGTATTTGTACATCTGATGAGTGCAGATTTATGCAAATATTAATGTTTTTAAAAACTTACAACAGATAGACATCTTGAATTTCCCCGTGAGTCGGCGATTTGGCCCAAACATTGAAAACGCCTTCTTCAGAAACCACGTCACGACGATCACGACGTCTGATATTTACAAAGTTTATAAGTTAAACAAAACCATCGGTACTTTGGTGGTTGGAAGGGGTCACTTTTGGCTTGCTTAGTTGAATCTAATCTTTTAAGCGGTTCATGTTGATACTTTTCTTTTCTTCTGAAGCGATTGGTGCTAATTTAAGCACGTTTTTGATAATCCTATTCGATGATTTGCCCTATGTCCTAGCCTGCTGTACTTTAACCACCAAACGTTATCTCAAAGCTGCAATTGCAATCTCAAAGCTACACTTGGGAAGTTGCAATACTAACACTTTAGAAATACTCTAAAATTAGCACTAATCGCTTCAGCATTTATAATTACCCTGGAATAGAAGAAAAGTATCGACACGAACCACTCAAAACACTAGATCCCACAAAGCCAAACCAAAAATGGCCCCTCCCAACCACCAAACCATCCCCATTGCCATCCAAAACAAACCTTTTCCATTTTTTGTCCTCTTTAATCTTCCATTCCGATTCACCGCGTTTTCTCTTCTCTTCTTCATCCTCATCCGATCGGCTGCGTGATCTTCTTCGAAACGATCTAAAGTTAGTGAAGTTAGCAACAAATTGGCCACCAATACCTTGTTTCCTTTTTCTTCCAGTTTGGACTCAATTCACGTCGAACGGGTCTTGGTGATCGTGATCTAAATTGAAATTTTCATGAGGCCTTTTCAGAATTGAAAATCTCTTTTAATCCCAACCTATTGCGACGTTTTGGTGCGTTCTCATCGTTTGGCGTGTTTGAGCGGCTTCGACTTGAGAGTGCGCGTGGCCAGCGTCTCTTTTGATCGCCACTTCTTGATCGAGAGCGTCGTCTTCGAGGTGGTGAACTAAACAAAAATTAATTAGAATGAAATGTTTAAACACGTAAAAAGCTTTAACAGAGTAAAACTGTCCTGTTCAACAATTTTTAAATTACCTAATGAAAAGATAACTACGTACTTGCTCTCTTTCCTTTTGCGATCCGCGTAACGATCAGGGACTTCACGAGATATGCTGCGCTTACGACGATGTCGTTGAGGAGAAGGACTTCTAAATTATTGGGTTGCGGAGAATGAAACTACAGCTTTAAAGACAACTTAAAAGCCGAACTTTAAAGACACTTTTTGCATGCCTAAAGCCTTCTTTAAATACACGTTTTATTTCATCAAAAGGATCCACTATTTCTCTACAAAATTACTTTTGAGAGACTCCACAAAGCTTTTCTTTCGTCGAGTTTATGGACAGCTAGTCAAGCTAGTCAAAATGACAGTCCGACTCATCGTTTGAACAGTTTCTTCCACATAAACCTCCTTTATTGTCTACATAAAAAAGATAGAGCACACTCAATTACATAAGCTGCCAAATTTTCAGGAAGATCGCTCCAACAAGTTTTCTCTGAATAACAGTTTCTAGGTTTAGTGAAAAAAATAGCTTTTGTCGAGCTAAGGCGCTATTTGAGTTCTCTTTTAAATGTCATTTTGTAGAAAATTAGTTAACCTTTCTACTGATATCAAACGCGTATCATTTGATGAAGTCTAGAAGTTTTAGAAATTTCTTTGATTTTTTTGGCGCCATTTCATTCTCCCCAATCCAATAGTTATTATTAAGCAGCTTGTTAAGGTTATCTGAATAGAAAATCATTTCGAAAATTTGAAGAAAAAGCGCGTAAACTTTGGCAATTTAAAAATTTACCTAGAAACCTCTCGCTTCGGCGATTTCGGCTTCGATTTAGATTTAGATTTTGATCGACTGCGTGAGCGTGAAGATTTAGAAGCACTTCTTGATGATCTAAAGTTAAAAATTCAATAAAACATTAAAATGTTTGAAAAAGATAAATAAATAAAACGAATCTCATTATGGTTAGACTTGCAAATAAAATAGGACAAAGTTTGAGCTTCATTCAATTCAACTAGGATCTTGTGAGCCCTCTAACAGTAGAAAACGCTCAGTTTTTACGGGCAATCAACATGTGGACTTTTAGATTTATTATTTAAAGTTTTAATCAAAATTTACCTATCCCCATTCGCCGGAAACATCGGTTTTGAGTTGTCGGAGCCATCCGATTCAGAGTCATTCGATCGAGCCATCTAAAGTTTAAAGTTTATGCAAATAAAGTGTTAAAGTTGAAAAGAAATAAAGAACTGAACTAGAAAAGAAGCAGCTGCCAAGATAATTTTTCGAAAAGTCTTCTTTTCACAAAAAGCTATAGGAAGCGAGTGTAATTTGGTGTCACCGGGAGTGGCTTATTCTTGAGTTTAGTATCGAAATCTACTGCAAGACTTGGATAGTTTTTCAAAAGCAGGGGGAAAAGTAGGGATTGATGCTAAATTAGCATCAAGTAGATGATTGGGGAAAGCAAGATTCACTTAAAGTTTCAAAAAAGGTCAACTAACAAGGGAAGGTCAACTGGCTGAGTCAAATGCTATGAGACCCATACTATTCGACGCAGAATTTTATGCTGATTCCGCTTCTTGAAAAAAAGCAAAAGAGAAAGCGAAAGCAAAAGAGAAAGCGAAAGCAAAAGAGAAAGCAAAAGAAAAAGAAATATTCATAGTCGGGATCGAACTTGTGAGGTCTCGCTTTAATGAACGCTGTACCACTCAGCCAATCGAATCGAATTTGGCCCGTAAGGAGGCCGCTAAGACCCAAATGACTACATTTTCAGTAGTTAAAAGGCCTGCTTGCAGACCCAATTCGGTGCCGCGTGGCTTGGGCACCGAACTTGTGAGATCACTCTCTGGAAAAGAACGCTGTACCACTGGGCCGCAGCTGCACCTAGCTGGATCCACAAGGAGGCCACTAAGACCCAAATGTCCACATTTTCAGAGTCCTAACAAAACTTTAGGCGCTTATAGTTATAAGTCATTTAGCAAAAACGGCAGATTGTCATTTAGCAAAAACGGAATACATATTCGAAATCAGCATAAAATTTTGCATCGAATGGTATAGATCGCATAGCATTTTGCCCGCTCAGCCCTTGTAAATTCTGTCATTCTGTCGGAAACTCAGCGTTTAAGTACCATTTTTTGAAATTCTATTACGTTTTCAAGATATTCAGTTGACGCTTTTGCGCACCACAAATCATAAAATATTCAATCTACCAGACTGAATACCTTAAAAATCCGTTTAAAACGGTAAATAAAAGAAATTTATTAAATTTTGTCAGATTTTGTCGGATTTTATCATTCTGTCGCTCTTTTGGCTTTAATTATCTAACTTTTACAAAAACATTCCCATTCACGCGCATAATGATGAGTCACACACCTACACACAAGAAACTGATAAGAGAAAATAGTTCGAACTTTTCTCCGCTCAATTATTAGTCACTTTTTTTTGCGAAAAGCTTGCTATTTGCTCTATTGAGATTCGATATTGAATGCTTGGGGTTGAGATTTTTCTATTTCTCTTGTTGTGTCGAGAATTGGTGAGCGCCAAATGTGGACAACAGCAGGGACAATTCGCGAATGCGCTTTTCTCGAAAAATACGAGTGCCGTGGTCTCGAAAGGGAATTCGGGGAAAATATCGAATGATGTGAGTTTGATGAGAAGTTGCATGGAAATAGAAAAAGAAAGAAAAGCAATCAAAAAATCAAATTTTTGTTGAAAATCAAAAAACCGAAATCATAAAAATTCTAGTGTGATATCTATTACCCTAAAGTCTCGAGTATAAGTTCATCCGAGTATAGGTTCTACCTTAATTTACATTCGCTTTAATTGCTTTGAATTTCTTTTGTTGGGCTTTTATTGTTATATAAACTTTTATTATTGTTCTTGGAGCGCGGGATACTACAGGGTGACAGCCTATCACCATTCATTTTTATGTGCATGAATACATCCAGACGATAGTGTTGAAGAAGACGCTGGAAAGCATCTCTTTCGACCGTCGACGTGGACTTTGGCCGGATGAAGAGGCCAGGGAGGGATCCGTAAGACTGAGCACCGGAGAGGAGCAGAGCGGACGCGCCGAGCCACGCCCGGAGCAACAAATAACAGCATAAAATTGCTATAACCCTCAATAAATTTACTTCTATTATTGTTCTTAAAAAGCAAAAAAGTTATGCTGCAGCGGGGTTCGAACCCTCGACACACCGCACCGGAGACAGCCGTCAATTTGCATGCGAAAACCAAACGGAACTTATACTCGCGACTTTAGGGTAGGTTGATGCATAAGTCTTTTCGTTTTTTTCGTACTTCTGTGAAAAAGTAAAAAATTCACCAATTAATCTATAGTTTGCTCTATAAAAAAAGTGTTTTTTTGTTCAATTTGCATCTTTTTAAATCAATTTCGGTTCACTTTCAAGCAAATTCGAGAGTGAAAAACGCCTTTTTCGTAAAAATCTATAAAAAACTCTACGGAAAAATTGGCTGAATGAATTTCTCTGAAATTTTGGCGAAATATCAAACGTTTTTTTTCTCTATCTTTTATCTATTGACACGAAGATAGGTTTTCTTTAGCTAAGGTGTCTAAACCGCATCATCGAGTTAGCCCTTTTTGACTACCCGACTTCATACTCTCAAGAAAATCCAGGCATTAAATATTTTTAAACCCGTTTTAATGTTATTTTGCAGAAAAATAATTGCTTTTTCTAATGAAATCAACCGTAGTTTAATTGGTGCATTTGTTGGCTTGAAACGGCAGACGAAAAGGAACAAAAACACTTATGCATCAACCTATTAGATAAAAGAAAAAACGAAATTTAAATAAAATTGCTCTTGTTTAGATTCGGATTTTTGATTTTCAAGAAAAGATTTATTCTTGATGGCTGAGGCTCAGACTTAGGCTTAGGCTTTTAGGCTTAGGCTTAGGCTTAGGCGTAGGCTTAGGCGTAGGCTTAGGCGTAGGCTTGGACTTAGGCTTAGGCTTTTAGGCTTAGGCTTTTAGGCTTAGGCTTAGGCTTAGGCTTAGGCTTAGGCGTAGGCTTAGGCGTAGGCTTAGGCTTAGGCTTGGACTTAGGCTTAGGCTTTTAGGCTTAGGCTTAGGCTTAGGCTTAGGCTTAGGCGTAGGCTTAGGCGTAGGCTTGGCTTAGGCTTGGACTTAGGCTTAGGCTTTTAGGCTTAGGCTTAGGCTTAGGCTTAGGCTTAGGCGTAGGCTTAGGCTTAGGCTTGGACTTAGGCTTAGGCTTTTAGGCTTAGGCTTAGGCTTAGGCTTGGACTTAGTGCGAAGGCTAGCGGCTAGCGCCTCGCATTAAGTCTATTTGGGTTTAGGCTGGACCCCATTTTCGGGATCTCAGCCAGTTAAGCTTAGGCTTAGGTTCAGGCTCAGGTTTAGGCTTAGGCTTAGGCTCAGCTTTAACCGCTAAACTATTACATCCAATGGAAGGCTAGCCAAACTAGGTCCTGTAAGCCTGAGCCTGAGCCTGAGCCTAAGCCTAAGCCTGAGCCTAAGCCTGAGTCTAAGCCTGAGCCTAAGCCTGAGCCTGAGTCTAAGTCTAAGCCTAGGCCTAAGCCTAAGCCTGAGCCTGAGCCTGAGTCTAAGCCTGAGCCTAGGCCTAAGCCTAAGCCTAAGCCTGAGCCGCTCCAATCAGCTCAATTTGGTATAATTCAATGAGGAACCATATGGCTCAGTCAATGATATCAAAATTGAGCTGATTGAATGTGAAACAGCAAGTAGAATTACTTGGAAACTTGGAAAGTTGGGTAATTTGTGATGTGATGCCCTTTAGAACAAATTAGATCAAAAGGATCAAAACGAATTAGATTTCAGATCATCGGGGGAAATCAGGCGTATCTCGGGCAATGGCCTTGGCAAGCATTGATCGAATTCAGGTAAAAGACTTGGAAATTGATTGATCTTGCCCATTCAGCAATTCACACGGCCAGTCGACATTGTGCGGGGGTACATTGATCTCAGCACAACACGTGTTAACAGCTGCACATTGCGCCGTGTAAGTTACAATAACCAATAGCTTTTTCTATTACAGGTTGTTTACGGTAACTGCCGAAAAGTTACCGTAATCCAGGCCCCAGTTTTACAGTAACCAATACAGGCTAGACTCTTACGAAAAGGGTTTTCTAAAGGCTTCTAAAGCTTTCTAAAGGTTTCTAAAGCTTTCTAATGGTTTTCTAAAGGTTTCTAATGGCTTTCTAAAGCTTTCTAAAGCTTCTAAACTACCGTAATCCAGCTGTGATTCAACAGCTGTAAAATTGAAGCGTAAAACAACTCTAGACTTCTGTTCTTTTTCAGAAATCCGTGGCTGCTCTCCACTTAATAGCGCGCTCCAATTACCGTACCCCGTCATATAAATGAGCGCTTTCCAGTTCATTTTTTCACTGTAACAATTAAAAATTAGTACATAAATTTGATTATTTAATAGTTTTATGTTATTTTATTTTGCAATAAGGTAAGAAAAAATGAACGCAAAATCCTGCAAAATCCGTAATCCAGCCTGAGCCTGAGCCTAAGCCAAGCCCAAGCCCAAGCCTAAGCCATAAAACTAATTGATGAGCTTGTAAAAACTGAAATATTTCAGCGATTGCTTGGATTTCCTGTTCATCAAAAAAATTTTGCCTAAAACTCTTGGAATGAGCAGCTCCATGAGTAAATGAAATCCGACTTTTTGGCTAATTATAAGTCCAACATTGTTCTAGGGCTTACAATAGCTTTTTTGGGGAAGTTTGGGGGAAAGTTGTGTCAGCATTGTACCAGCAGTTGTACCAGCAGTTGTACCAGCATTCTACCAGCAGTTGTACCAGCAGTTGTACCAGCATTCTACCAGCAGTTGTACCAGCAGTTGTACCAGCAGTTGTACCAGCATTGTACCAGCATTGCATCAGCAGTTGTACCAGCATTGTACTAGCATTGTACCAACATTGTACCAACATTGTACCAACATTGTACCAGCAGTTGTACCAGCATTGTACCAGCATTGCATCAGCAGTTGTACCACCATTGTACCAGCATTCTACCAGCAGTTGTACCAGCAGTTGTACCAGCATTGTACCAGCATTGTACCAGCATTGTACTCTGCTCATGGAAACACGGCCTTTTTGGTACACTGCTTGAATCGATTGAAAATGAAGTTTAAGTATGTCTTAAGTAAGTTGTAAGTTGTAAAAAGTTGTAAAAAGTAAATTGTTGTAAGTAAGTTGTAAAAAGTAGTGGTTTCTTAAAGAAAATGCGAAAGTAAGGTAGGTTTCTTCGAAAAATCATTTTGTAGAAGTTTTTAAGGTCGAATCTATCTCAACTTTTGTTTCTTCTTGAAAATAAATTGTTACAGTGAAAAAATGAAATAAAGAGCGCTTATTATATATCCGCTTTGTTGGTGTGATGGTACGGTAGCTGAGGCTCGCTATTAACTTGTTGGTGTGATGGTACGGTAGCTGAAGCTCGTTATTAACTGAAGAGTAGCCAGAAAAAGAAGGTCTGAAGCGTCTGAAGCGTCCAGAAAAAGAACGCCTGAAGAGATGTCTGAAAAAGAACGGAAATCAACCGTAGTACTGTAAGACGATGCAAAAAATGTTTCCAAAATTCAGAGAATTCGAAAATCGACCCAGTCTAGCGAGCGTCTGGGTTGGATTGATCGATTCTCATCGGAAATCTCCAGGCATCTTTGTTGGGGTCAGTTTTTTTTCTAGCATCACAGTCTAACCTTTCACAGCTAATCTGATTTCAAATTCTGATTCAAATTCAAATTCAAATCAGTCAATTTACCCGACATCAACCTGAATGGATAGCTTTGTGAATGAGCACTTTGCTTTAAAGCCCCATAACTTTCCCCCAAATACTATATTATTCCTAACTTTTTATGTCATTAAATAGAGGAGATTTCAAGCGTTCAAATAATACCAAATAGAGCTTATTTGGATTATCCATTCTCGAGAAAACAAGCGACAAAGACAAGAGTTGAGTCGGCTTTGTTCAGAGTTGGCGGAGATCAGAGTTGACTTTGATTCACCTAGACTGGATTGTCCAATCGAACACTTTTTGGTATCATTTGAAAGCCTGAAATCTCCTCTATTCAATGATATAAAAAGTTATGAATAATATAATATCTGGGGAAAGTTATGGGGCTTCAAAGTGAGTCGCCTTTTTCCAAAAACGCGACTTCTAAAAATGGTTTATATAAAAAGATCGATTTGAAGAAATGTTTTGTAAATTAATAGAATTAAACACAAAATTATATGGAGATTCTGAATTTGAAATCAGATTTGGAAAATATTCTCTGAGGGAAAAGTTATGAGAATAGAAAGTGAAACTGGCAGCTTTCTAGGTAGCTGCCGTCTCAATTCACAGTGGATACAATGGGAATCAAAAAGAGTTCGAAAACGACATTGCTGTGGTTACGGTAGGGAAAGATCTTGAAGATTGAATGGAAAGATTGAATTAACTTTAGCTAGGACAAGCCGTCACATTCAGCACAACAATTCAGCCGATTTGTTTACCAGAAAAGGACTCGATTCCGAGTGGCGATTTTGTGGTGACCGGCTGGGGTCTTTACAATCGTCAGTCAACTTTTTTTTGGCATACTATAGCCTATAAAGCTTGCAATTTGGCATACTGTAGCCTAAGCTTCCAATTTGGCATACTGTAGCCCATAAAGCTTCCAATTTGGCATACTGTAGCCCATAAAGCTTCCAATTTGGCATACTGTAGCCCATAAAGCTTCCAATTTGGCATACGGTAGCCTATAAAGCTTACGATTTGGTGTACTGTAGCCTATAAAGCTTACTATTTTGCATACTGTAGCCAATAAAGCTTACAATTTGACATACTGTAGCCTATAAAGCTTACTATTTGGCATACTATAGCCTATAAAGCTTACAATTTGGCATACTGTAGCCTAAGCTTCCAATTTGGCATACTGTAGTCAAATTGAGCTAATAAACTGTGCCTAATCTTACAGTATTCTTTAAGAAGGCACATCGATCAGCAAAGACGCAAGCCAATTTCTTCTTTACTCTCCATTACCAAATGTACCGCTTGACACATGCAGGTATTCGGTTTTTGATAAGAAAATTGAAGAATTCAGTGCGCTAGAAAGAGTGCGTTTACAAAGTTCAACTTGTTTTTCAGCTGCAGAATTGTTTAGAAATCTCTGGCAATCGCTTTCCGCCGACTACACTACGGATGGTTTTGTGCCAATGGACACGCAAATTTGCGCCGGATCAAACGGACATGGAACTGCACAAGTAAATGAGCTTTTTTAAAAATAAGATTTGACATTTTTAGGGTGATAGTGGCGGGCCATTGTTAATAAAAAATGGGGACGGAAGTTGGACGCAGGTAAGAGGAAATTGAACCGGCTGAGGAAATTGAATGAGCCTCACTTTGAAGCCCCATAACTTTTTCCAGAGATTATACTATTCATAACTTTTTATATCATTGAATAGAGGAGATTTCAGGCTTTCAAATGATACCAAAAAGAGTTCGATTGGACAATCCAGTCTAGGTGAATCAAAGTCAACTCTGATCTCTGCCAACTCTGAACAAAGCCGACTCAACTCTTGTCTTTGTCGGTTGTTTTCTCGGGAATGTGTAATCCAAATAAGCTCTATTTGGTATTATTTGAAAGCTTGAAATCTCCTCTATTTAATGATATAAAAAGTTAGGAATAATATAGTATTTGGGGGAAGTTATGGGGCTTTAAAGCAAAGTGCTCATTCACAAAGTGTCCAAAACGAAACATTCAGGTTGGTGTCACATCTTTTGGGATAAACGAGGATCCATTTTACTATAATCAAGGCAGAGCACCAGGTTTGATATAAAAATATGAGAAAATATTGTTTTGAAAGTTTTGTGAAAGCTAAATGTGTTAAATATCCATTTTTTGCTTGTGAATATGAGGATTAGGTTTTACTTTTTAAAACAACTTTAAAGAGCTTAAAAGAGCTTAAAAGAGCTTAAAAAAACTTTAAAGAGCTTAAAACAACTTTTAAAATCTCCTTTTTAGGTATTTACACAAGATTGTCAGCCCATTGTGATTTCATCAAGAAAGCCTCGGATCAAACAGCTACTTGTGGAGCGAATTTGCTAACCATTCACAAAATGATTGGCATTTTCTTGTTGCTATTGTTAACTTTGTGATACGAAAGCTACAGTGTAAAGAAAAATTGCGGGTTATGATAAAACTTCTAAGAAAAAGGAAGAAATTTAAAAAAAACAAACAAACAAACAAAAAAACAAAAAAAACAAACAAACAAATAAATTGGCGCGAAAAAATCACGAGCGTCGACTTATATGACTCCTTTTAAAGATATTCAGCTGTTTAACTGCTTTTTTTGACAAATTCCCTTCAAATATCAAGATATTCAATTGTTTAGCTGATTTTGCGGAGAGACAAATGCGACTTTTTTTTTTGCTTTTTCGGGGTAGGCTAATTTCCGCATTTCTATTTGCGGAACTGGGTCTTTTCCGCAACTCGTCATAACTTTCTTCTAAGTAGGCCAATCTTTATGATTTTGGTGTCATTTTGTTGCGCAGTTGTTGAGATCTACAAAATGACACCAAAATCGTAAAGATTGGCCGACTTAGAAGAAAGTTATGACGAGTTGCGCAAAAAATTTGACTCAAAGTAGCCACTCTCCAATAAAGTAGAGCCTTATGAGATTTATAATCGATATGATTAACAAAAAGTATTCAGCCAAATTGTTCTGTAACTACTACAGTAAGCTTTCTCCGTCGCAGTGCGTAGCTGCCCGATTCTTTGGGTTTTGGTTTTGAAAATCAAAAGATTAAATTTTCCACTTTTTTCCGCTTAGAAGCCTGGTGAGAATCGCTACTTTGCGCCAAATTTTTTGCGCAACTCACCATAACTTTCTTCTAACTTAACCAATCTTTATGATGTTGGTGTCATTTTGTAGATCTCAATAAGTGCAACAAAATGACACCAAAATCGTAAAGATTGGCCTACTTAGAAGAAAGTTATGGCGAGTTGCGGAAAAGACCCAGTTCCGCAAATAGAATTGCGGAAATTAGCCTACCCCTATTTTGCAGAAAAATAATTGATCTTTCCAATGAAACAAACCTAGATTCAATTAGTGCATTTATTGGTTTTAAACAGAAATAAGAAAATAAATGAAAAGACATTTACCAATCTAATGTAGATAGTTGTTGATTAATTAAAAGTGTTTCGAACCGTCTACCGTACACTTTGCCTTTCAGACGTCTCCGCGCCAAACGTCGGAAACTACCGTAACCCGACGCAATAAAAGGACCCGGCCAAAAAGAATTTTTCAGTCTTTCGTCGTGTTTTATTTTTTCACTCTTTTTTTCATTGACACCAAAAATGGGTTTCTTTTGAAGAAAGTGCTCAAACTGTCACATATGACAATAGCCGGCAGTTTCCAATTCACCAACCCAATAAAAGTGTTGAGCTGTACTGTGTATTGCGTCATTTAATACAATATTATAAATCAGATTCTCAAAAATATTAAAAAACAAAGCTATCAATTGATTTTTATAAAGAATTGACAACTTTCTTATTTCACAACATTCAAAACTGAGCTTCTTACGCAATTCGTCTTTGATTTTCATTTAATTTCAAAAGAAAACCAAAAAAATAGCAAGATTTTACCCAGTCTATCTTTTTCCGTAGCTTCCAATAAGAAAAACATCTTTTTTTTTTTTGCTGACTCTCCCCTTTCCCTCCTTTTTCTTTTGGAAGAAATTGATGAGTCACAGGTGAATGAAGGAAAAATTACTAAAAATCCTTCATTTTCCTTTTCATTTCGATCACTTTATCTTTAGTAAACCTTCAAAAACTTTATCTTTTTGTCAAAGTTTGTCAAAATCAAAGCTCCATTTACAATATTTTTTTAAAAAAGTTCTTTTAAATATCGTAATCTTATCTCTAAAAGCTTTAAAACATGTAAAAATTTAGAAAAAATGATTCGATCATTGCTTTATTTGCATTTATTATTGGTTTTTCTGAAAATTTCATTCTCTTTTCAATGCGGGATCCAACAGCATCAACTCTCCAATATTTTGTTTTCAAATACAGATACATCAAAGGTATTTTTGTACTTTTTGCTCAAGTTAACGCTCAAATTAACCTACTTTTCTGGTGCACTGAACGAAAAAAAACCATCTCTGCAAGAAAATAGAGGATTCAGTGCACTAGAAAGGATGTTGTTTATGTTTAGAAGATCATTGGTGGATCACGGGCAAGAATTGGACAATGGCCTTGGCAAGTGTTGCTCGAGTTTTTGTAAGTGAAAGTCCAAATCTTCTCTAGAAATTCTCTAGGAATTACGAGAATCACGTGACAACTTGTGGAGGGACACTCATCTCGGAAAGACACGTGTTGACAGCTGCACATTGTGCTGTGTGAGTTCGATAGGGTAGCCAGTGAGCACATCAAGTACAATCGTATACTGTAAACACTACATACCAAGGCTCAAGTACTAGAGATCAATTGGCGTATGCTAGATGTCGTTTACCGTATACCAGAGATCAGTTACCGTAGATTTAGAGTAAGGAACTGAATGGCAAAGAATTTAAACCAAAGGGAATCAACCCTCGACGTTTTGGTCGGCTTATCGGATGCTGAGCTGAGCTATCAGCTACCACTGAGCTATTAGCTCCTTCTTTCCCCAAGAAATATGAAAGACAAGGAAGAGAAAGGAAGAGAAAGAAAGTAAGTACACCTTTTATAATATTTCCAATTCAGCATGATTCAACACTCTCTCGACCAAGCGCGAGCCTTTGTCTCAACGATTCATTCAAAGAATGAAGATCGGGGAATCTCGTTGGAGGTTTGCTTGAAAATCTATCAAAAAACAAAGAATTTAGATAGCATTTGTGAAAATCCACGACGAATACGATTTCCGGACGAACAGGAACGATATCGCAGTGTTAACCGTTCGTTTAGCTGAATCACTGAATCACTGAATCATCATTAAAACTGTAGTTCGACTAAAACTCTCGCAATCCCTGTCGCTAAGCTTTAGAAAGCTTAGGCTTAGGCTTAGACTAAAAGAGAAGCTAAAAGCTAAAAGAAAAGCTAAAAGATAAGCTAAAAGCTTTTCTGGACAAGATTACATTAGTTTTCATCAAATTTTACCTTTTTTAGTTAGCAAAAGCGCTCTCCTTCAATCCGACGATTCAGCCGATTTGTTTCGCTGAGAAGAATTTCGAATTCCCATCAGATGCTCGATTTTGGACCGCTGGTTGGGGTGCATATAATCGTGAGTATTAGCTAAAAGAATATATAAAATAAAATATAAAATATAAAATATAAAATATAAAATATAAAATATAAAATATAAAATATAAAATATAAAATATAAAACATAAAAAAACATACCTAATATTTGAAAATTCCAGGCGGTAAATCGATTGTAATCGAAGCAAGTGATCGCCTTATGTATACCAGTTTACCAAATGTGAACCTCAAAGAGTGCAGGTATTTTTAGTAATTTGGTTCCTTATCTCTCTAAATTTGGTTCCTGTAAAATAGTAAAGAAAAGTGCAAAAGAAAAGCGCATCCAGTGCACCAGAAGGTTTGCGTTTACAATTTCGAGCATCACAAAGACACAAAGTCACAAAGTACACACAATTGTACATTGTACATTGTACAAAATTGTAAATTTAGGCGCCTTTGGGCTACCCTCACCGCCGATCATTTGCAGGGTTTTGAGCCAGATTTCGATTCCACCCAAATTTGTGCCGGGGATGATGGACGAGGAACAGCTATGGTAAACGAGTTGCAAAGAAAAGCAAATTTTCTATTGCTTTGCTTATCAATATTATCGATACAAACGGCAAGCTCCTTTTTGACCGTTCAGATCTCGGTTTCTAGAACAGCTATCAATCTGCAAATTGTTTCATTAGAAAGGCAAGAATGTCAGCTTGCTTTTGATTGCTATCTCACAAATAGCAAACTCTCATAGATGAGTGCCTAAAAAGCTTATCAATACTCCTCGATACTCAAATATCGATAAGGTTTAAGAGGTTACATTAATACATTAAGACTCATTAAAAATCCCTATGTATAAAATAGCAATCAAAAGCTGACATTCTTGACTTTTTCAATGAAACAATTTACAGATTGATAGCTGTTCTAGAAACTGAGATCCGAGCGGTCAAACTTTGAGTTTCTATCCATAATGTCGATAAGCAAGTCTAGTAACTATAATTATACGATATCTACCTAGATTAGATTGGTCACAGCCTTGATTGGATAAAAGTTAAAAATAAGATTACGGTACTTGCAAGAGTCCACGGTTTTAGAAGGCACCTAAATTCAGGTCAAAAATTTCAGGGTGACAGCGGAGGGCCACTGATGATCGAAAAAAACGGGACTTGGATACAAGTGATCACCAAGTTTCCGATGAAAACAACAAGAATTTAGGTTGGAATCACCTCATTTGGAATAAACAACGACCACACTCTGCTCTACAATCAAAAGAGAGCTCCAGGTACACGATTTAAGAGAACATAAATTAATTTCAAACATCCAGGTATTTACACGAGAGTCTCCGCCTATCATGACTTCATCGAAAAATCGCAGCTTCATTCGATGGTTTCCTCGGATAATTCCACATCAACACATCACATCATTTGTGTCGGGATTTTCTCTTTTCTCGTGTTGACATTTCTTTATTTGGCATTTTATCAATAAACCAAATCATTGGTGTCGGGATTTTCTCTTTCGGTGTTGACACTTTTTTATCTGTGCAAGAGCCAGCTACATCTGAAATGTGCCTTTTACAGTCTACCTCAATACCAAATGCAAATATGCAGATTTGAACTGTGATAAAACTTCAGTTGCATCCCATAAAAGTAGTTTCGGTTTTTTCAAAACCTACACTTGTTATAATCATATTTTGCGTTGCTTGAACATATTTATTACAAAACTAAAAATGGCAACCTAAAGATAAAACAGCTAACTCAAACTTAAACAGATAAATACAACAGTTAAAAGTCGCCAAAGTGCAAAAAACAAATAATTATCACAAATACAAAAGTAGTTTTCAAATGAACGTGACTCTAGCAAAGCACAAATCATTTACCCGATCAAGTCCTCATCTGTCTCACTATCCTCTTCTTGAAATTCTTCTGTTGATAGACATTCATCCGCGTCCTCCACTTCTTGATGCCATTCTTGATCCGAATCAATCTAACACAGGTCATAGAGTTGTTCTACAAAGTGTATTTTCAACTAATTAATTTAAAATAACCTCATAATCTATGTCTTTCATTTTTCCATATGGTCGCCTTCCACTAACGCCATCTCGTAGTTTCTTTCGCCAGGTTCCATAATAAGCAGGACGAACGTTTTCGAAAAAATCGAAGAGCTTCGCTTTCGGGTATCTGAAGCAATGTTCAATCAAAACCAGCCGAGTCGAAACATACGCTCGCTTGATTTGTTGAACAGGCGTTTGCTTCCTCATTGGCAAAGCGTATTTAAGTAAAGCATTTTCCTGAATTTACAGTATCAAATAATTTTTGTATAAAGAACCTGAATTTCTTCTAGAGACCAAGTCGCAAAGTTTCCAGGCATTGCTCGTGGATCCGCGCTGACAACAAATGGTGGCAAATCTATTAAAATGATAATTTGATTAACCCAACAATTATATTACTTGCGAGTCGTTGAAGCTCTTGTTCATCTGAAGTTTCTTTCCATTTACGCTCCTTCTCCTTCGCATCCTTTTCCTTTTGTTTCTCCTGGATCTTGCGTTGTTTTTCTATTTCTTTCTCTTCCAATAGTCGTCGAAGTCGTTGAAGCTCTTGTTGGTTTGAAAAGTTCCTTTCCGTTTACGCTCCTTCCCCGTTTGTTTCTCCTGGATCTTGCGTTGTTTTTCGATTTCCTTCTCTTCCCGTCGTCGCTCTTCTTCATTTCGTCTTTCCTTTTTTCTCTCTTCTTCCGCTAGTTTTGCTTCCCGCCTTTGCTGGTCTGCTTGCCGCTTTGCTTCTTTCCTTTCGTCTTCCTCCTTTTGCCTTTCTTCTCGTTTCCGTTGTTCTGCGACTTTGCGTGCTTGTGACTCCAAAGCCTAAAATGAAGTATTCAGTAATTTAGAATTAACATGCCTTAAACGGATTTATAAAAATATTAACTTGCCTCTGCTTGTCCTTGTAAAGTGGACGGTTTAAATGGAGGGAAACCCGTGAGACGACGCTAAACAAAGCAATTAGAAAAAATCGTTTCTGTTTCTCAGCTAAAAGTGTACAATATAAAAACTCACAGCAAATGTATTGAAAGACCACGAATGGCCGATCTGCTCATCTCGTGGAGGATTAAACTAAAAGGAAATTTTACGCTTTTTTCGACATCAAACGTACGCGAGGTTTCTTAGTTTGAACCACATCCTGATCGTCATCTAATTTGCGTGTCTTCACCTAAAAACATAAAATATAAAAAGAAAAGCAAAGAAAATCACTGTGCAATTTCTCGAAACTTCCATTCTTTCCTCGTCGATAAAATTGTTCAATTGGAGTAACTCTTCTGTGACCAACCGAGCCTAGAAACAAACATAAAATCAGTAATGTAACATTGCTGAAACCTGCGGTTCGAGCATCGTCGACGATTTAGGTCCGTCTTTCACTGGTGTATTAAGCATGGAGACCGGGATTGTAGGCGTAAGTATCTAAAAATAACTTTAGCATACGCTTCAAAGAACCACAAATAAATTGACACTTACCTTAACTTCTTCTAACAGTCTTTGAATATTCTCGCTGCATTGGGCTTTTCTGGCTTTGCATTCTTCGCTCGCATTCATCAGCGCTTTGATTCGGACATTAATGGTCGCAATTCTTCCGTCGTAGGTGGCAATTTTCTTCCAATTTGACGCGATTTCGTCGGTCAGCTTGGCCTGCTTTTCCTTGCGTTGAGGCATGGAGAGTACCTAAAATTAGAATCAACGTAAATAAACAATAAATTAACAAACAAGTAAAAAATTTTAGATTTGAAAAAGGTTGGGTAAGTCAATTTTCGAAAATAACAAGGGAAATGCGGTAGATCCTAGGTTAAACTTTTAGAATTTTTAGCACTGGCTTTATTTTATTGATACATTTTTATAGATTTTGAATAAGTCACTCGGAAAAAAGACTCTCTGGACAGCCTACCGTGTTTAGTCTAATAGAAGCACTCCCTATAGGAGCGTCGCGTAGTCTAAGTTTAGTTCCTTTTGAGTCGTTTCTGCGTGCTTAGGTATTAAATTAAAGTAGAGAGAATGAGTCATTTTTTGAGATATAACGCATATTTTTTTAGCATTAACCAGCTCTTAGAAAAGATAGTTGAAAAATGTTGAGAAATCGGCGAAAATCAGCTCAACAAAGTTACTGCTGTCGAGATATGAGCATTTGTTTGAGAGTAAACTTATACTAGGCGATGCGACGATAGGGTCTCTTCTATTAGAGCTTGTATGGTAAACATAAACATTTCGAAATCATTTAGAAGCGTGCTGGCCGATTGATCACGTTGGATGATATCCAAGCCGGCAGAAACAAACGTACTGGTGTCGAGATATGAACGTTTGTTTGTTTGAGTAAACTTAGACTACGCGACGCTCCTATAGGGAGTGCTTCTATTAGAGTATTTACGATAGGCTGTCCAGGAAGTCTTTGTTCCGAGTGACTTATTCGAAATCTATAAAAATGTAAGTAGAGAAATCAATAAAATAAAGCCAGTCATCATTCAACCGAAGATTCTAAAACTTAATCCATGTACACCCCATCGCTTGGTAAAAAGTGAAAAGCCCCTAATTATATGCAAAAATAAGAATAGTATTATTTAGCTAGTAATATGCAAACAGACCGGTTGAATCATCCCGGCATTTGCTGTATTTTCGCCAGGATTTGGTGTGCTCGAGCTGCCAACCGCCGATGATGATGCAGAAGCATTCGAATCTGGCCTCCAAGTTCCCGCGGCAACTAAAAATTTGCGTTGAATAGGTCGATGAAAACCAAACATACCTCCATTTTGAGCCGATAATAGTACTGGCCTAGGCGGTGCGCCATTCAATGTGATAATCTAAAAGAAAAGTCTCATTCAAAAGCACAACACAAAATAAGTACAGCGAAAGTTGCATTGTTTTACCCACGAGAAGTTAAATTTAAAAAAATTCAGACCTCAATCTCACTTGAGCTATTTCCGTTATTCTTTCTGACAGGAGTGGTAGGAATACTATTTGGTGCAGTCACTTCAGAAGTTGAGGGTTGTGCAGCTGGAGAAGTAGAAATGGTGGTGGAACCAACTTCTTTATTGGCACTCTCCGTTGATGCATTCAGTTCCTTTTGTCTGGTTGCCTTGACAAGTGAAGCTTCGGTAGCTCTTTGAATTTCATCGTCATCGTCATCGTCCGAATCGTCGAGTGTAATAATATCATCGTTGGGTGGAGGACACTTCTGAAAAAAACTATATCACCGTTAAATCAAAAACTTATTTGGGTGTAAAACAGATAACATAATAAATCTTTACCTTCTTTGCTGGTGGTGGTCCAGAATCGGTGCTTGGGCGTTCTGTCTTTACGGTACTTGCATTTGCTTGGGTGCTTGCAGCTGGCTTCACATCTTCATCGTCATCAGAACTCAATGCAAATGCCTAAAAAGTCAACGGTTTAGCGTCAAGAAGCCGATAACACCTCTTCGAAAATCACTTTCCATCCACCATCGCGCAAAAGTTCCACTTCATCGACATCTTTGCTTGTCTCGTTAAGCACCTTGACAAAGTACCTAAAAAAGCATTTTCTATTAATCACACGATCACTTACTCATCAATGAGAAGGCGTTCATATGGCGCAGGATGAGAGCAAACAGGACATTTCCAAGTCGGCTTTTTCTCATTCATTTGGATGTAATTCTCTAGATCATAACATTGAAGGTGATCACAATCTCGGCAACGAATTGGAGTAGACAACCGTGTTCGAGTCAACTAAAAAATGTGATTCGCAATAGCAAAGGCACTTGAAAGTTGGACAAAAATAAATACTCACTGGGCATTTGACACTTGCTTTAATTTGCTCCAGACAAATACCATCTTCATCTCCAGTAGTCAAACGTCGAATAATAATCTATATTCAATCAGTGATTAAGTTTTAAATATGGATCGTACCTGTTTTGTGACATTTTGTGGCTGAACACAATTCACCTTTTCTTTCAATCGTCTAATCAAAATTTCCGAATTAAGGCGATAAACCTGAATCTGGAGTAATCACAAGAGAGCAACAGATAACTTACAAAGTTGACCGAAAAAGCCCAAGCACGTCGATCAGCGGTCCAGTCTACGACGAGACGATGTTGCCGTGTTCCAACACGTCCAATATTCTAAATTAAGCTGATTCTAGAAATAAAACAAATTTATTACCTGGATAATCGGTGTCAAGTTTACTGGCCGAGATGGTCGCTTTGGTTCGACGTTTTGGCGGTTCGTTGGAATGACAGGCTATAAACATCACTTTGTCAAGAAAGTATAAAACAAACAAACCGGAAGCGAAACATTGAGCTCATCGAGATGAACTTGGCAATTCAATGGAAAATCGTCGGGCTGTGGTTTTTGTTGCCAATTGTCTCCAAGGTGAAAGAACCTAAATCAGTATGATATAAGTACAAAAGTTAAATTCAAACCTGAGCTGAATTTCGTATCGTGGTAAAGCGCGACTTTCCGAATTGTAGTTGAGATGGTTAGCATGTTGTACCGGGATCGTGAATGTAACAGTTTGCTAAAGCTCAAGAATAAAATAGTCCAATTAAATTATCTATGTAGAATCGTCGATTGGCGTATAAAGTTTCAAACCTTTGCTGGCAATTTCACATGGCCCGCTCCTGCAGGAGGCAATTCCGTTGGCTGAACAATGCTCTCGATGACGTCAAAAAAAGGTAGTGGCACCGGATGTAGACCAACAACGACCTGTAAAATTCCAAATAAATCACTAAACAAGCTTTTAAACAAACTTTTGGGGGAAATTGTTGCTGAACACCATAAGGGTAACCGCCTCCCGGCTGTTGTCCAAATGCACTGTAAGAACTAGTTTTTGAAATCAATTGAAGAACGTACTATGGATTGACTGGAGGTATGTAGCCTGTTCGCATCAAATTGGAGGTCATCAGTTGTTGATACTCTCTGATCTAACGAACACGAAATCAACCAGAAAACCCTTCTTCTAAACTCACAACTCGGAAGCTTCGGTCCTGTGAAGCAGGATTCCGCAGAAGCACTGTCAAACGCTCCAACAATTCTGCCTTCTTGCCGATTTTACTTCTATTCAAGTTCGCAATTATGTGTTTGAGGTCTTGGAGCTTCAACCGTTGCAGTGATTGCTAAAGAAAAAAAGGATAAACTGTTATATTAACAATTACAATACTTTTTCGTTTCATTTCTCGTAAAAGTATTAATAAAGTTGTTACTGAAAAAGGCATTCAATGCCGGAAAAGATCAATAAAGAACCTCGACTTGCTCCAATTCTTGTCTGGACATCGGCATCGTGAAAGATGACGACGTATTAAACCCACCCTAAAATGAAAATGCTAGCAAAGTCATAACGAAAAGAGATATTATGCGCATTTGTTCAATTACCCCCATACAAGCCTTGCTTTATCCACTTACCTAAACAACACAAACAAACAAAATAAAGGCTAATTCTTACAATCCTACAACCAATTATCTCAATCTCCCTAGAGCTAAGGCCTGCATAGGAATTATTGAAACACATGAAGCGCAACGGCAATTCAATAACCTTCACATAATAAAAATACGACAGAACAGATTCTTTATTTTCAAAAATTAAAGTAACTTTTCGTAAAACAAATGACTATACAACATCAAATAGAGCAAATGGCTAATAACACATAAAAGTAACTACACACTAAGCGCTCGTTCAGAGGCAACAAGCACTAAAGGCAGAAAAAGTCTTATGCAGCGATACCAAAGTTCAGCTTCACGTTTTCGTTTGATCTTTTGATCCAACCTAATGAGGTTGGCAACCTGAAATTTGGTACACTTTTTCGTATCTTGCATGAAACATATTTAAATTGAATTAGACTTTTCTCGTGTTGACACTTTTTTTATTTGTGTAAGAGGTAGTTACATTCGAAATGTTCATTTATAGTCTACCACAGTACCAAATACAAATGGGTCTTGAACTGAACTGTGATAAAACTTCAATTGCATCCAACCAAAGAAGTCCTGTTATAATCGTATTTTGCGCTGCTTGAACATATTTATTGCAAAGCTAAAAATGACCACCTAAAGATAAAACAGATGACCCAAACAAGTATCTAGATGAATACAACAGTTAAAAGTCGCAAAAGAACAAACACCAAAAGAATCATGTCTAGTTGAAAACTACTACCTCGAGGTGTTCGCAAAATGGTGGCGCCTTGTCATACGATGGACCAAGGATGTTTGGAGCTATGGTCATCTTCTTCTTTTGGATTGATTCCTCCCAAGCTTTGGCTCGATTGAGTAAGCGTTGCTCGCGCATCTCTTTCGATTCTTTTGGTCGTACGAGTGTCGAGTCACAAGAGCTGTCACCTTCTCCCTCAGAAAGATGGCAGGCAGGCACACGAAAGCTAAAAAAAAACAATTTTAAAAAGCATAGCGCATGGAAGTCTTTAACACAAGTAATGTTTTCAAATGAATGTAACTCAAGCAAAGCACAAATCACTTACCCGATCAAGTCCTCATCTGTCTCACTATCCTCTTCTTGAAATTCTTCTGTTGATAGACATTCATCCGCGTCCTCCACTTCTTGATGCCATTCTTGATCCGAATCAATCTAACACAGGTCATAGAGTTGTTCTACAAAGTGTATTTTCAACTAATTAATTTAAAATAACCTCATAATCTATGTCTTTCATTTTTCCATATGGTCGCCTTCCACTAACGCCATCTCGTAGTTTCTTTCGCCAGGTTCCATAATAAGCAGGACGAACGTTTTCGAAAAAATCGAAGAGCTTCGCTTTCGGGTATCTGAAGCAATGTTGAATCAAAACCAGCCGAGTCGAAACATACGCTCGCTTGATTTGTTGAACAGGCGTTTGCTTCCTCATTGGCAAAGCGTATTTAAGTAAAGCATTTTCCTGAATTTACAGTATTAAATAATTTTTGTATAAAGAACCTGAATTTCTTCTAGAGACCAAGTCGCAAAGTTTCCCGGCATTGCTCGTGGATCCGCGCTGACAACAAATGGTGGCAAATCTATTAAAATGATAATTTGATTAACCCAACAATTATATTACTTGCGAGTCGTTGAAGCTCTTGTTCATCTGAAGTTTCTTTCCATTTACGCTCCTTCTCCTTCGCATCCTTTTCCTTTTGTTTCTCCTGGATCTTGCGTTGTTTTTCTATTTCTTTCTCTTCCAATCGTCGTTGCTCTTCCTTTCGCTTTTCTTCCCGCCTTCTTTCGTCCTCTTGCCGTTTTTCTTCCTTCTTTTTTTCTTCTTCCTGTCGTTTTTCTTCCCGACGTCGCTCTTCTTCATTTCGTCTTTCCTTTTTTCTCTCTTCTCCCGCTAGTTTTGCTTCCCGCCTTTGCTGGTCTGCTTGCCGCTTTGCTTCTTTCCTTTCGTCTTCCTCCTTTTGCCTTTCTTCTCGTTTCCGTTGTTCTGCGACTTTGCGTGCTTGTGACTCCAAAGCCTAAAATTAAGTATTCAGTAATTTAGAATTAATATGCCTTAAACGAATTTATAAAAATATTAAATTGCCTCTGCTTGTCGTTGTAAAGTGGACGGTTTAAATGGAGGGAACCCAGTGAGACGACGCTAAAAAAAGCAATTAGAAAAAATCGTTTCTGTTTCTCAGCTAAAAGTGTACAATATAAAAACTCACAGCGAATGTATTGAAAGACCACGAATGGCCGATCTGCTCATCTCGTGGAGGATTAAACTAAAAGGAAATTTTACGCTTTTTTCGACATCAAACGTACGCGAGGTTTCTTAGTTTGAACCACATCCTGACCGTCACCTAATTTGCGTGTCTTCACCTAAAATCATAAAATATAAAAAGAAAAGCAAAGGAAATCACTGTGCAATTTCTCGAAACTTCCATTCTTTCCTCGTCGATAAAATTGTTCAATTGGAATAATTCTTCTGTGATCAACTGAGCCTCGAAATAAACATAAAATCAGTAATGTGATATTGTTGAAACCTGCGGTTCGAGCATCGTCGACGATTTAGGTCCGTCTTTCACTGGTGTATTAAGCATGGAGACCGGGATTGTAGGCGTAAGTATCTAAAAATAACTTTAGCATACGCTTCAAAGAACCACAAATAAATTGACACTTACCTTAACTTCTTCTAACATTCTTTGAATATTCTCGCCGCATCGGGCTTTTCCGGCATAACATTCCTCGTTCGCATTGATTAGCTCTTTGATTCGGGCATTGTTCGTCGCAATTTTTTGATCGTAGACCACGATTTTCTCCCAATTTGACGCAATTTTGTCGGTCAGCTCGGCCTGCTTTTTCTCGCGTTGATGCATGGAGAGCACCTAAAATTAGCACCATCACAAACAAATAAAAAATTTTAGATTTGAAAAAGGTTGGGTAAGGTTGGGTAGTTCGAAAATGACAAGGAAAATGAAGTGGGGATCAGGCTTGCAGGCGAAAAAAAAAGCGGAAGATCTAATTTTCAAAGAATTTGTTTTTGTTTCAAAGAAGGAAATGGGGCAGCTACGCTTTTTCGGAATTTTTTCCGCTTTCTCCGTCGCAGTGCGTAGCTGCCCGATTCTTTGGGTTTTGGTTTTGAAAATCAAAAGATTAAATTTTCCACTTTTTTTCCGCTTAGAAGCCTGATGAGAATGGCTACTTTGCGCCAGATTTTTTGCGCAACTCGCCATAACTTTCTTCTAAGTAGGCCAATCTTTATGATTTTGGTGTCATTTTGTTGCGCAGTTGTTGAGATCTACAAAATGACACCAAAATCGTAAAGATTGGCCGACTTAGAAGAAAGTTATGACGAGTTGCGCAAAAAATTTGGCTCAAAGTAGCCACTCCCAGTAAAGTAGATCCTTATGAGATTTATAATCAATATGCTTAACAAAAAGGATTCAGCCAAGGTGTTCTGTAACTACTACAATAAGCCTTGTTTTATAAATGAGCGATTGACTTCGCTAAAATTTAAATCTTTATTTTTCTCACATATTGTGTCGTTCGTTTCGTCGATTTCTGAATTTTCTCAAGCATTTATAATTTTTCTGTTTCAAGGTAAACATGGGCGCCTACAAGTACATGCAGGAGCTATGGAGGAAGAAACAATCGGAAGTGATGCGATACTCTCTTCGAATCCGATGCTGGCAATACAGACAGATGTCAGCCATCCACCGAGCACCAAGACCCACTCGGCCTGAGAAGGCGCGACGACTTGGATATCGTGCTAAACAAGGTACATTCTTTTTTAGCTAGGAACAACCTTTGGGACTTTATGGGTTACCCCTGCCACCTATCTTGCCATTATTGCCACTCGTGCCACTTTTCTAAGGGTAATCGGGGGCGCTGAGCACGAATTGGGCAGTTTTAGCATTCAACTGAAAAACCGGCATTTCGACACGTTGAAAATGACACTTCTGGGTCGTATCGCAATATCGCACACCCGTAGATCTGACTGGACACAGGCTATAGCACGAGCTCCGTAACGGCTTATCCTCGGTCAGGTCTCCGGGTGTGCGGAGCCATAGCCTTGGAAAATAGAAGTGTAATTTGTGTCTAAATGTCGGTTTTTCAGTTGAAAATCTATGCTAAAACTGTCAAATTCGTGGTCAGCACCTTCGATTACCCCTAGAAAAGAGAAAAATAGGTGCCCACCCCCAACCCACAAAGTAACAATCGTTTTTGGTGTTTATTATTTTGTAGCAAAACGTGGAACAGAATACTGAGCCAAAAATACGGATTAGAGATTTTTAAATGAAACAAGTAAAGTAGCTAGTAATCATTGCCTGATAACTGATTTAATTCTTTTAGGCTATGTCGTCTACCGCGTCCGTGTCCGCCGTGGAGGTCGCAAGCGTCCGGTCACAAAAGGACAAACTTATGGAAAGCCAAAAACGCATGGAGTCAACGAACTGAAGAATCAGCGAGGACATCAAGCTGTAGCTGAGGTATGTTTCAGTGAATCTTAACGTGGAACGTTTAGGCTTACCTGACTCATTCATTTGTTTGTTGGAACATCTTAGTCACCTTATAACTTTTCCGTTTTAGTGCCGAGTCGGACGTTTGTGTGGTGGTCTCCGTGTGTTGAGCAGCTACTGGATCGGACAAGACTCAACTTACAAATTCTTCGAAGTGGTTCTCATCGATCCCGCTCACAAAGCCATCCGTCGCAATCCCGATACTCAATGGATCACCAAGCCAGTGCATAAACACCGCGAGATGCGAGGACTCACTTCGGCTGGACGCAAATCACGAGGACTTGGGAAAGGACATCGCTTCTCGGCTACTCGTGGTGGATCACAGGCAAAGAATTGGCTCCGCAAAAACACTAAAGTCCTCCGCAGAAAGCGTTAATTTTATAGGTTTCACTCTTATTCTCTTCCTATCTTTGTTCTTTGTTATTGTCAATAAATAAAAGTTATACAATTACACGCAAAGAAAGTGCATCATTTGTACAGATCGGGATAATCGTTCTTCAGAGTGATAATTTCGAAATTTGGCTTAATTTGCATTCAGTGGACCCTATAAACGAGTGGGTTCTGTGCAGTCTGTGCGTGTTTTGAATTCATTTCTTACACTCGACAATGACTCGTGCTACTGTTGAAGAATTTTCTCTGAAAAAAGCGGGGATCTTTGAGAAGCTTGGTGCCCCCTAGTGAATGAAATTGTTGATCGACTGGTTGAGTTGAGGGAGGGACCCTCGTTTCTTGCCAGCTTCCCCCTTCCTTCGCACCGATCGGAGCCTGTTGTAAAGCTGGCCCGCGGCGAGAGGGGGCGTCGATCGGAGCCGCTCTCCTCTAGTTCTTTTCTCTGGTCCACCCTCTCTTTCCTATATTACAAACGCCTTTCTCGAATCTCTATTCACCTCTTCAATCCTCCGCTCAACGAAATTTAACAACCTGTGCCCTCTTGTCTCTCTTTCATTAGACTCTGAGGCCGAGCTCAACCCGGCCCACTCCTCCTTTCATTTCTTCCCTCCCCAAGACCCGCGCCCGATTCTCCTCTACACACAGAAATGGTAACGGTTTTTGAGATTTTATGGATTCGACTTTCATTGACTTTTAATCGTGCCTAACGGTTTATAGAAATTCGATATTGACTTGAATGATCTAGGCCGGGGTTTTGAGCCGATTTTCAGCAGATTTTTTCCACTTTTTAGTTGATAGGATAAAGCTTTAGCTCTAAGGTTCTGAAATTTGCATTTTCAATAACAAAAATTCAGGCTGAGGACATCGAAGAGATTCTTGCCGAGATCGATGGCTCCCAGATTGAGGGTTGGTTTTGGTTTTGAAAAACAAAAAAAATAAGGAAATAAGTTCATGTTGATGTGTGCTTTGACTTGTAGATTTTGTAGAATTCAACGAAAATTTTTTTGCAGAGTACCAGAAATTCTTCGATTTGTTCGATCGCGGAAAGCAGGGCTACATCATGGCCACCCAATTGGGGCAAATCATGAACGGCATGGAGCAGGATTTCGATGAAAAGGTGAGCAGGATTTCGATGGAAAGGTGAAAATTGGAGAGACATTGGAATTGTTGGAATTGTTGTTGTTGGAAATGGAATGCTTTAATTGGAGATTGGAGATTGGAGATTGGAGATTGGAGATTGGATATTGGATATTGGATATTGGATATTGGATTATTGGATTATTGGATTATTGCTACCGTAATCCGATTCTTTGAATTGTGAAAGCTTTGGTCTTTACGGTAACCAGTTGATTTTAATCCAATAATCCAATATCCAACCAGTCGACTTGAGTGAATATCTTTAATTTCTATAAAGAAGGGTATTAGTGTAGAGGACAAAGCAAAGATATTTCCTCTAGTCGTCTAAATTTTCTGCTCGTTTTACTGTAGTGAGAGAGAGAGAGAGAGAAAAGCCTGTGATGTTAGCTGAATAGCTGAATATCTTAGCGAATAACTAATGACTGAATATCTTAACCAAAGCTATAAGATATTCGGTTATTTAGATATTCAGTTATTCAGGTATTCAATTATTTAGATATTCAGTTATCCAATTATCCAATTATCCAATTATCGTATTCTCTCTAATAATAGCGCACCTTAAGCCTCGCCTAAATTCCTCGATATCTCGAGAACGGTTTATCAGAACCTATAGATGTGGGGTCTGAAAATGTAGCTGACGATGAGATCTAGTGGGGGATTTGAGTGTTGAGCTTCTGGGAAAACTTGAAAACCGTAAAATCATCACCAACTCGACCCGGTGCACTACTATTAGAGAGAATACGGTATCCATCTTTTCTCAGTGTCCAGGAAAAGTTTATCTTTCAACCAGCTCAGGGTCTTCCTTAAAAGGGGAAAGAAGAAGAGGAAGAAGAGGAGGAAGAAGAGGAAGAGGAGGAGGAAGAGGAGGAAGAAGAGGAAGAGGAAGAAGAGGAGGAAGAGGAGGAAGAAGAGGGTCTTCTTTAAAACCTTAAATTTCTCAAAATCGATCGATATTTCTTTACCTAAAATCTTTCTGTTTTCCTGGAATCAAATTTCTTTTCCCATTCGTTCTTCTCTTGATCAACCACTTTGGAGAATGACAGTTGTTTAGGGGAAAAAAGGGGAAAGAAGAAGAGGAAGGAGAGGAAGTAGAGGAAGGAGAGGAAGGAGAGGAAGGAGAGGAAGAAGAGGAAGAAGAAAGAAAAGAAATCGAGAGATTCCCACTCAATCCCGAGTTTAAGAAAAGAAGCACGATCAATCTGCGGAAATTGGGAAATTGAAAGAGATCGAAAAGGCTCTGGAAGAATTGGTTAATGACATATTTATTTTATAAAACTATCGTAATCTTACTGCCATTTTGCATCCGATTAGCCATTCCAGCCATTGACTGAGCTTCTAGCCATTGACTGAGCTTCTAGCCATTGACTGAGTCCCTTCGAGCTCAGCCATTCTGAGCTCTAGCATTGACGAGCTTCTAGCCATTGACTGAGCTTCTAGCCATTGACTGAGGTTCTAGCCCTTGACTGAGCTTCTAGCCATTCTAACTGAGCTTCTAGCTATTGACTGAGCTTCTAGCCATTCTGACTGAGCTTCTAGCCATTGACTGAGCCTTTCCTCATCAAATCCCACTAAAATTGAGCTAATTGAATGGAAATTGATCGGGATTATGGTAGTTTTGGTAGACTATGATGGTAGATGTTTGATCACTTTTTGGCCGATTACAATAGTTTTGCCTACGCTTTTGGCGAAGCTGAATTGAAAAACAGCTAACTGAATATCTTTTTTTGACAATAAAATATGTAAATTCTTTTTTCAGACCCTCCGAAAGCTCATCCGCAAATTCGATGCCGATGGCTCGGGCAAATTGGAGTTCGACGAGTTCTGCGCCTTGGTGAGCAGAGAATTTGAAATAAAAAGCTATAATTGAAAAAGAATTGATAGAAAATTGATATTTAATTGATAATTAACTAATTTTCGAACAAAATTGAACTCTAAAGTGAAATTAAAAGTATTTTGGAACTAAAATTGAACTAAAGATGCTCATCTCAAAGTCGATAGTTCATCAATACTTTGCGCTTTGTAAACGCATGTTTTCTAGTGCACTGGATTATTTCTAAGTACGTGGAAACCTCGAGAGTCTCGTTCGCTAGAAAGTGTGCGTTTCTGCGAGCACAAAGAACAGATTGACTAAGCGAAACTTTTGCTGGAGTTAAGCCTACAGAAGTTAGTCAATCTCAACAGTTTGCGTTAGATTTTATAGAGAAAACTTCAAGAAATTGGAGAAAAAGCTATTTGATATAAGAATTTATAAACTTAGTATGATTTTCTGTATCTTATACATGTTTTCGAACTTTTAGGTGTACACTGTGGCCAACACGGTCGACAAAGAAACCCTCGAGAAGGAGCTGAGGGAAGCCTTCCGTCTTTTCGACAAAGAGGTCAATAGAAAAAGAATTTAAAGCTATATAAAGCTATATAAAGTTATATAAAGCTATATAAAGTTATATAAAGAAACCTAAAACAGATCGTGGCCTTGTTGGCGCCGTACTGATTGGATAAACTAGTATCAATGATCAACAAGTGCGCCGCACTAAATATACTTTTGAAGTACCACCCACAAGTGTCCGCATTGCCGGTAAACTATGTTTTTTGCCCTTTTCTCACGGATCAATTGACCGATTTGGTTGGCTACAGTTGGCTTTATTCGATTTTAATCAGGGAATGAAATCAACTGTAGCTAAATTTAGCCCAAGTTGAAACTGAAGCTTTTCAGTTGCAGATTTCCAAAAGAAAAGAAAAACGGAAATTCTGTGCCAAGTTTTCGTATCGAATAGATATAAAACTATCTATTAAATCATCGATTAAGAGATAAAACTATCTATTAAATCGATTTCCTAAAAAAACAAAAGCAATTCAGGGTAATGGTTACATCTCTCGACCCACATTGAAGGCTTTGTTGAAGGAGATCGCCGATGATCTCTCCGACGATCAACTCGAAGCTGCCGTCGATGAGATCGATGAGGACGGGTCCGGGAAAATCGAGTTTGAGGGTACTTTTTAGAAATGAAAATGAATTGAAAATGAATTGAAAATGAATGAAAAATGAATGGATGAAAAAAAATGAATGAATGAAAAAAAATGAAAATTAATGAATGAATAAAAAAATGAAAACATACCGTACCAGTCGAACAACCGCCAAAAAAACCGCCGAAATACCGCCAGCCGAAAAACCGAAAAACGCCTAATGGCAGGTTTTTCAGGGGGTTTTTCTCGCCAGTCTTTGGGTTGGCCGTGGAGCAGTCGGGAGCGCGCTAGGCGGCAGTTGGCAGGTTAGGGGTGACACGGTCTGGGTTCGATCCCCTTAGTGTCTCTCAATTTTGATTTTTATGCCCTTTATATATGAATTTTAGATCTAAATCTATTTAAATTTGTAACCAAGGTTTGAACGAAGTTTTTGAAGCTTTAAACGGTAGCAACTCAAGCTTTAAACGGTAGCAATTCAAGCTTTGAACGGTAGCTTTAAACGGTAGCAACTCAAGCTTTGAACGGTAGTAATTCAAGCTTAAACTTTGCAAGTAAGCTGGGTTAAAGTTAGAATCATTTTGGCGTCAATTTTCATCTAAAAAAACCAAATCGAATGCTAAATCGAGTTAAAAATAAGCTAAAGAAATATAAAAAGCTAAAAAATATTTAAAATTCTAAAATTTTTAAAATTACGGTTCCAATACGGTTCCTATTTTGATCTAATACATTTCCAATACGGCTCCAATACGGTTCCAATCAAGAAAACATTAGAAAATAACTGAAAAACATCGAAAAATATCTAAAAATATCGAGAAATATCAAAAAACATCAAAAAATCCGCAAATTTACGCAAATCTTTCAGAGTTCTGGGAGTTGATGGCCGGCGAGTCCGACTAAACGGAGGAAACAAAAAGAAAACGTGTAAATATTTGGAAAATTAAAGGTAAATGGTAAAGAATTTTAATTCCTTGATTTTGTTTAATTTTCCCCTCAAAATCGCTAGAATTGCTGAAAATAAGGAAAAATTTACAGATTTCTATAAAATTCCGAACTTTCAACACGTCGAAAGATCCGCCAATCCGTTAAAAAAATCTCTTTTTCTTGAAAACTTCAACTGAAAACTTGAAAACTTCCTCTCAAAATCCCCCCCACTTCTCCTTTTTCTCTGATTTGCAAAAATTTTTCTTCAATTTTCATGATTTTCATGATTTTCCTCATTTTTTGACTTACAAAATTGTTCACTCGTAAATTTTTACAAATTTTTTTCATTCAATAGACTGTTGCTCTTTATCGGTGACACAAATGGAATAAATGGTTATTTTGGAGGGGATTTTTGAGAAGCACTAGACAAAAGATTGAAGAAAATGCACTAGAAGAGGCATACTTGCATGAAATCGCAAAAAACAGCACAAAAAACAGTACAAAGTACAGCGAAAAGTAAAACGCACGCTCTCTGGCAAACCAAACGCGCATCAATCAGGCCTTTCGCATAATCCGTGAGCAGCTTTCCGTGTGCGATTTACCTGGAAATTAACAAAAATTATAAATTAATTATAAAATATGCACAACAAAAGAAAAAACTTTTAAAAAACAGCAAACACAAGTGTAGTTGTCGCTACACTTGTGACCTGTGCCACGACAGACCGCTGAATGAGCCCTGAGAACAACGCATCGAGCCCTTGAAAGGAACCTCCTCGGCTACAATAGGAAGACGCAGCTCCACCAAGACCTAAGAACGCGACCGTCTCTGCCACTCTTGTTCTCCACCTCGTTGCTGGTCTTCCGATGGGCCTCTTCTGGACCTAAGAACGAGAGCTGACGCAACGGATATGCGCCAGCTCTCGGGACTCAGAGATCCAGTGGAAGTGATTGAGAGAAAAAGACTCAGATGGGCCGGCCACGTAGCCAGAAGAACAGACGACAGATGGACGATACGGATCACAGAGTGGCTACCACGAGACCAGAAGAGGCCCATCGGAAGACCAGCAACGAGGTGAAGCACAAGAGTGGCAGAGACGGTCAGAGAAAGGATGGCTAGAGTGCAACCACCACCAGCACAAGCAAGTCGAAGACTTCGAACCAGGAACAATCAAGCTAGGAAACACTGGATCACAATAGCAAGGGATAGAGAAATGTGGAAGCAGGTTGTGATCTGCGCAAAATAGGAACACCTAAGTGTGAAGACAGATAAAAAAAAACAGCAAACAAAAGTGTGCTTAAGAATTTGAAACGCACTGTATAAAGTCGATGTCTTGGATAAAACCAGAGCCAAAGGTACGGTAGTTTCAAAAATCGACGCGTTTTAGATGTTCTCGATGAGTTGGATTCAAAACGAGATGCGGTGGATTGGATAGAGGTAAAGTAGTACTGTGCATAGTACTGGTACGTAGCGACGTACTGTATATGGTATTGGTGCGTACTGTACAAAGTACTTGTACGAACTGACGTACTGAATCGAAAAACACAGAATTTTTACCTTTTCTTCAGCTAAACCCGTTGGAATTTGACTCACTATGTATAATGGTACACTGTGGAATTTGTACAATAGTACACTGTGCCAAGAAGCATGTGTGTTCAAAGAGAAATCTAACAACTTCAATTTTTATATTAGGTTGGTGCAGATGGAACTTCCGTTGGAACCATAAACAAAATTTATTATAAAAATCCTAGTACAGAACCTCAATCCAAAAGATATTCGCCATCATTATCAATGACTCTTTGCCATCTTCCACGCAGAGAATGGATGCCCTTTTCGAAGAACTCCGGCAACTGCGACTCGAAGAAGTTGGACACTCAACTTCTTCGCGGTTTTTGAATTTTTTTTTCTGCTAAGGAGTGCTGCATCGACCGAAACAAGTGGTAGTCGGATGGGGCCAAATCCGGGCTATATGGCGGATGTGGCAGAACTTCCCAGCCCAATTCCTCGATTTTCTGCTAAGTGATCTTCGCCGTGTGGGGTCGAGCCTTATCGTGGAGGAATTTTGTAGTCGCCGTGTTATTGCCTTGACGAAGCAATGTCTGGTCCAAGCGGCTCAATTGGGCTTTGTAGAGATCCGCCGTGACTCTTTGACCCAAATCCAGCACCTCAAAATACACGAGACCTTTACTGTTCCACCAAATACAAAGCATCACCTTTTTTCCGTGGATATTCGGTTTGGGAGTCGGTTTTGGCGGTTCACCGGCCTCCAACCACTGCCGTTTTCTCGTTGTGTTGTCGTAACATATCCACTTTTCATCTGACGTAACAATGGAGTCGAGAAAACCGACGGTCTTTGCGCCATTGTAACTCGATGTTTGCCCTTGTTTGCGTCGCTGAGCTGATGTGGCACCCATTTTCCACACCGATTCGTCTTACCAATTGCGTGCAAATGGCGGAGAATGGCTGTATGGTCGCAGTCAAACAGCTCTGCAAGCTCCCGAGTTGTTTGGCATGGGTCCGATTCGATAGCGTTCTTCAACCTATTGTTGTCGACAATTTGAGGCGGATTCCCGCGTTTTTCGTCTTCCAAACTTTCATCACCGTCTGAGAAGCGCTGAAACCAAGTCCGGCATTGATGTTCGGACAACACGTCATCGCCGAATGCTTTGCACAGTGCACGATGAGATTCCGCAGCCGTTATGCCTTATTTAAAATCATACAACAAGCAAAATCGCACTCGAAATTTTTGGTCAACCATTTTCAAGAAGCTATAAATTACTTCAAATTAAGTAAAACGCATAAGTCTTAGATATCAAAAGACGCGCAAAGAGACGCTCTTTCAGATAGACAAATATCTTCAATAAAAACTTTTATTAGATCCAAAATATAAAAAAACAAGTGTGACGGAAGTTTCATCTGCACCAACCTAATAGTATACTCTGGTTATTCTAATAGATCAGTCTGTTGTGGTCAATAAGAAAGTCTGAATGGAGGAATGACAAGATTTCAAATGGACAAATCCCTCCAAATGTCCCGTGAGTGTCTCGGTTGTGGTCACTCTTTGTGTACGGGTTGTGCGCTGAGAGTTCGCCAAGAGCGTGAAGAGCGATCAGTTAGTGAAAGCAGATTGTTTAAAAGATGGGCTCAAGGAAAAGCTATTGTCATCTAGACTTACTTGTTTGCTGGAAAAAGCGATCAATACAACATATCTACCGTAATCTAATCTTTAATCCCTTGGGCTGTGTTTCTTCAACATTTACCAATGTCATTTGCACTAACGTTTATCCCCGAATTTCAGCTCAGATTGCGAGAGAAGTCTTCACGATCCCAAGAAAACCTACAAGATCATCTGAACCTACAAGATACATCTACAAATGCCAGCTCCAATCCTGTTTCACCGCCGATCGACAAGACGCCGATTTTCTTCTTGGTTACCATCAAAAAGCTCATGGGAATTAAAAGTTTCAGAAATTCTTCAACAATTAAAAGATCTACCGGTTAGCCCTATCCGATGTGTTGATTGTGGAGCAAAAGTCGGTGAAGCTCATCTTAGAATTACTCCAATCCATTTAGCGGATCACTGATACAGTAATCGACTGTAAAACCTGCTCATCCAATACTGTCCCTTGTTTGGTTAGTCCAATAATGCCAAAAATGAGTAAAAACTCTTTCAGTTGTGCGCAAAATGTGCCCTTCGACACCATAAGACCCATGGAATCGTTGAAATTCTGGATAACTTGGTAGAATGAACAGGTTCTATTCAAAAATCTCTAATACTTTCAGAAAAACAATATTTTGCAAGTGTTAGACTATGAGATCAAGCAACGAACCAACTTCGAAGACCTTGACGCTTATAATCGAAAAGTCGATGGCTTAATTGAGCCACCTAAACAAAGTGAAATAAGTTTATTAACAACAGAAAACAATTGTGGAGACCTTTAGAATAATCACAATTTACAAAGAGAATATTTTTTGACACCAACGAACGTAATAGTAACCGAAAAAAGAACGAGTTCTGTTGAAGTTAGTGGCGACGATCACGGCCTCGGAATGGAGATGGAGAACGACTGAAAAAAACTTTATAAATAAATCATACTTTCATCATTTTTGTGATCGTATTAAAGCACATAAAATTTTTTAAGCGAAGATTGACATACCGCCGACGGCCAAATCCGCGAGTTTTGTTGAAGCCACGACGATCATCGGCTGGGCGTCGATTTGCATAACGTTCGCGGGATCCGGAGCGAGATCTTGAATGCGACCGAGATCGAGAACGTCGGCGATCTTTGCTTGCAACTCCCTAAAATATTAGGCTGTCCAAAAAGTCCTTTCGTACTTCCGTTTAAATCCAACAAATGCACTAATTGAACTACGGTTTGTTTCATTAGAAAGGCCAATTATTTTTCTGCAAAATAACATTAAAACGGGTTCAAAATGTCTTGTGTCTGGATTTTTTTTTGGGAGTGTGAAGTCAGGTAGTCAAAAAATGCGACGGCTCGATGATGCGGTTTAGACACTTTAGCTAACAAGGGAATGGTCCGAAGTGAATATGAGCGTTTGGGATGAGCCATACCTCATTCAAAGGATCTCATGGTGAATATTGATTTCCAAAAAAATTAGCCAACAAAAATTGATTCCCAAAGTAACTCTACAACGAGAAATGCGACCGACAAGGAGCAAAAATCACGTTTTTAACCCTCCTTGACAGAGCTGGAACTTTTTACTGAATTAATATTTTTGAATAATCTTTTTTTGCATGTAATAGAACTTGAATAAAGCTAAAAAATAGCAAAATTTGATTTCCAAATCCAAAATTTTACATTTGAAAGCTATTAATTTTAGCCAAAGTTTACTGAACTTTTTTTAGCAACATTGTTTCTATAATGAATAAAAGTTTATTTTTTAGTTTCATTCAAGTTCTAATACATGCAAAAAAGATTATTCAAAAATATTGATTCAGTAAAAGTTCCAGCGCCGTCAAAGAGGGTCAAAAACGCCATTTTTATCGTTTTTGCTCCCTGTCGGCCCCATTTCTCGTTGTAGAGTTACTTTGGGTAGCTAATTTTTTTGGACGTCAATATTCACCATGAGATCTATTGAATGAGGTATGATCCATCCCAAAGTCATATTCACTTCGGACCATTCTCTTGTAAGGAAACCTATTTTGGTGTCAATAGATAAAGCACAAAAAGTGGGGTATTATTATGATTTCACAAGCTAAGGTATTTCAACGGTCCTTAAAAGCTTAGCCGTAGAAAACTACCATGAAATTCTCAAGTACCTGATGATCTGGCTGTCCTTCCGGTTTATCCTTGTTTTCTTGCTCCTCACCACCACCTTCTATCTCGAAGAACTTGTCGTGGGTCCAAACACCGTCAGCTGCTGATGATCTAAAGTTAAAGGATAAACTTGAATAAATCCAACAAACCTTTCAAATTTGCGGTTGAAGCTAGACGAGCCGGTGTTAGGCTAAATGGTCAGATAAAGATGGCTGAAATTACACCTCATACCCGATCGAAACCTCGCCATGAAGTTCCGCGATCATCATCTCGATCACGACGTCGATCATTTCGAAATCCATTGTCTCGACGCGGATCGTAGAGGTCATTCCCCTGCCATGTGTCCTTTTCGCGGCTATCGTGCTAAAATTAAAAAATCATTTTGATAGCCAACAATGTTTCTTCCAACAGTTTTTAAGTATCTTCGCATTTAAAATTTAATTGTCTTCGTAATACCCACACTTTTTTAAAAACTTACATCAAAATATCCACGACCTCGTGGAACAAATGCCGGATCAACCAACTTTAGTTGGGGCTTGCTTGGGTCCATTGGTCCTTCGTCGTAATCTCGCGTTCCTTCAGACTTCCGTCGACTCCGTTCTAAAACTTTATCTATACGCAAATTTTAAATCAATAAATACCTGAACGATCAAAGTTTCTTGAATCTCGAGAAGCATTGAAGCGTACCCCTCTAGCAGGACCACTAAATTTACGCATACCAACGAGTTTTTCACAATATGTTTACCCTGCAGGGAACGAGAGCCGCCCTCCATCCAAACGACCCCTCCCGGTTACATGACGGCGATCCGATCCAAGATAAATTCTAAAAGCAACCTTAACTTCGAAAAAACTAAAATAACAACCTTCTGTCTCCGGGATTGCCGCTAGTAGTAATTGTCTAAATATTGCATAACATTAAAAATCAAACAAACAACGCTTACGATTCGTTGTCTTTGTTCACCAGCACTATTCGGATCATCTAAAAAGAAACAAAGGCTATTATTCAAAAGAATCAAGAATACCTGAAGACTTCTTCCTTTTTAGTAGCGACAGCTTGTCCAACTCGTTCATCCCTCTGAATCTGAAATTTGATATTTATAGAGCTTTGAATAAAAACAATGGCACAAAATAGAGATCAGATCTTCGAAATAAACAATCTAGGCCTATGAATTAAGTACAATAAACCCGTAAACAAAAAAATGGCACATACGTTGGAGCAATTGACTATCGAAAAGGACTATTTGTTTTTATTTTCATGCTTCCTAAAGCTTTTCTGTTTTGGGATACGAATTTGAGGAGCAATTCGTCGATAAGTGTTAATGACAAGATATCGACTAAACAACACATACAAATATCGAAACCATAATAGTTGGGATCTATGTGCCCGCATCGCTCTCCATGCGGCAAAAAAGCTTCGCATCGTTGCAAAGTAACAAAACGGAGATTGCACAATCGACAGAGAGACGTCGAGGATCCAGGCGTATTTGCGAAGAACACTGACTGTGTCAAGACAGAAAACTTGTGTGTTAATTGGAAGCTCTCCACGCGAGTACAACTCCTGTAGGGCATCGAAGATCGAAATGTGATTTGAATGGTGCGACACACCGCCATCATCAAACGAAATGATCACCTCGGCATCCAAAAGCTTGATTTGCTTTAGCAGTACGTCAGACAATTCCAAGTGATCCCATTGGTGGCCATCCTTGAACTTGTCGTAATCCAAAATACTCACATCCGACGGATTGATGCCCAAGAATTGCACAGCTTCTCGTAGTTCTTTAGCTCGTAATTGTCCTTGTCCATAGAAATCGCCAGTCGATGTGCATAATAGGAACACTCTGTGGCCTTGCTTGGTGAGTTCGGTGATCGTCGGCGCGAAAAACATCGTTTCATCGTCGGGATGTGCGATCACAAGTAACACTTTAGCGGGCAACGAGGTGGGAAACGGGCGATTGAACCAGAATTGTCGAATGATGAACACGAAGAGTAGCGAGATGGCTGCCAGAAAGCACATCCACCGATTGAACACAAGCTCTAGTAGGAAAATCGTCGACGAAAGAAATTGTGAGAACATGGAATTTCATTAGCCGGCACAAAGTGACCACTCATAAGTAATTTGTAATTTTTTTCTGCAACTACGCGACGCGACAAAAACATAGCGCTCTTTTCTTAGCCGTCGATTGGATTGGCCCGTTTCCCAGGCAGCCCTCTCACACCCGCAGAGTCTCTGAATTTTTTTTGTCGCATTTCGTTACAAAATTTTTTATTTGTTTGTTACTCTAAAGAAATTTAGTCTTGCCTAATCTTTTCCAGCGATTTGTACGGTTTTTCAGCAAATTTTGAATATCTGTCTAAGTAAATCTGGAGTAGTTGTTAAAAATTGTTCTCTCACTACTCTCAAGAATTGTTGTATTGCTCTTGGCCTCGAGAATATAGAACGCGTCACAAAATAATGTCACTTTAGTCTTTTTAATCTTTTTCCTATTTTATGACCCATAATTTGCTGCTTTTTCAGGTATGCTACAGACACCTTTGCGGGCGATTGCCGCGCAAAGCGTCCGCCGGCTTGCAACACCGACTTCAACACTCGAACTAACGGTTAGTTTTGTTTGGTAGATTAATTAGATACTTGGATAACCGCTTACATAGAAAACTATGATTATATTTGACATTTTAGGGAGATGCCCCAAAAGGGTTGAACAAAACTGGCACGCCTTTCACCGCCCCAAACAGTACTGCCGAATATGCCTTGGCTCGACTGGGTAGTAGATTTTATTAGATTATTATATTGACTAAACCTTTAGAAAATCTTTAGTTATATTGTTATTTGATTATGAGTCAAGCAATGCTAATCGTCTTTTTTTAGATGATGTGATGAACATGGCACAAAGAACATCGCTTTGGCCGCTCACTTTTGGACTTGCTTGTTGCGCCGTCGAAATGATGTTGGTTTATTTTTACTTTGCTTTACTTATGATCAATTTTAGGCACTTTGCCGCTCCTCGTTATGACATGGATCGCTATGGAGTTGTGTTTCGAGCGTCGCCTCGACAGGTTCGCTTAATTAATTTTAAAAACGTTGTAAAACGTTTAGTGCGATCTCATTTTTGTCGCTGGAACTGTAACGAATAAGATGGCTCCCGCGTTGAGGCGCATCTACGATCAGATGCCGGAGGCAAAGTGAGTAAATTTGCTTTTTGCTTTAAGCTCTAGAAATTATGCCTAGTAGTCAGTTGAATTGCTTACCTATTAATTGGTCTTTAGAAAAAAAACATTTTAATTTTTTGATAACACAATAGCAGCTATATTTGTCTACGTATTCAATTATTATTTTCACAGATGGGTAATTTCTATGGGTTCGTGCGCAAACGGAGGAGGGTATTATCACTACGCCTATTCAGTTCTTCGTGGCTGCGATCGAGTTATTCCGGTGTGTTAACTTTAATTATTTTGTAAAGTACAACTTTAAAAATTCCCTTTTAGGTTGATATTTACGTGCCTGGTTGCCCTCCAACCGCTGAGGCTCTTCTTTACGGAGTTCTCCAATTACAAAAGAAGATCAAACGAAAACGTGAAGCTCAACTTTGGTATCGTCGCTAAAGATATTTTTTTCTGCCTTTAGTGCTTGTTGCCTCTGAACGAGCGCTTAGTGTGTAGTTACTTTTATGTGTTATTAGCCATTTGCTCTATTTGAGGTTGTATAGTCATTTGTTTTACGAAAAGTTACTTTAATTTTTGAAAATAAAGAATCCGTTCTGTCGTATTTTATTATGTGAAGGTTATTGAATTGCCGTTGCGCTTGATGTGTTTCAATAATTCCTATGCAGGCCTTAGCTCTAGGGAGATTGAGATAATTGGTTGTAGGATTGTAAGATTGTAAGAATTAGCCTTTATTTTGTTTGTTTGTGTTATTTAGGTAAGTGGATAAAGCAAGGCTTGTATGGGGGTAATTGAACAAATGCGCACAATATCTCTTTTCGTTATGACTTTGCTAGCATTTTCATTTTAGGGTGGGTTTAATACGTCGTCATCTTTCACGATGCCGATGTCCAGACAAGAATTGGAGCAAGTCGAGGTTCTTTATTGATCTTTTGCGGCATTGAATGCCTTTTTCAGTAACAACTTTATTAATACTTTTACGAGAAATGAAACGAAAAAGTATTGTAATTGTTAATATAACAGTTTATCCTTTTTTTTTTAGCAAGCACTGCAACAGTTGAAGCTTCAAGACCTCCAACACATAATTGCGAACTTGAATGGAAGTAAATTTGGAAAGAAGGCAGAATTGGTGCAGCGTTTGACAGTGCTTCTGCGGAATCCTGCTTCACAGGACCGAAGCTTTCGAGCTGTGAGTTTGGAGGAAGGATTTACTGGTTGATTTCGTGTTCGTTAGGTCAGAGAGTATCAACAACGGATGACCTCCAATTTGATGCGAACAGGCTACATACCTCCAGTCAATCCATAGTACGTTCTTCAATTAATTTCAAAAACTAGTTTTTACAGTGCATTTGGACAACAGCCGGGAGGCGGTTACCCTTATGGTGTTCAGCAACAATTTCCCGGACCGCCAAAAGTTCGTTTAAAAGCTTGTTTAGTGATTTATTTGGAATTTTATAGGGCGTTGTTGGTCTACATCCGGTGCCACTACCTTTTTTTGACGTCATCGAGAGCATTGTTCAGCCAACGGAATTGCCTCCTGCAGGAGCAGTCCATGTGAAATTGCCAGCAAAGGTTTGAAACTTTATACGCCAATCGACGATTCTACATAGATAATTTAATTGGACTATTTTATTCTTGAGCTTTAGCAAACTGTTACATTCACGATCCCGGTACAACATGCTAATCATCTCAACTACAATTCGGAAAGTCACGCTTTACCACGATACGAAATTCAGCTCAGGTTTGAATTTAACTTTTGTACTTATATCATACTGATTTAGATTCTTTCACCTTGGAGACAATTGGCAACAAAAACCACAGCCCGACGATTTTCCATTGAATTGCCAAGTTCGTCTCGATGAGCTCAATGTTTCGCTTCCGGTTTGTTTGTTTTATACTTTCTAAACAAAGTGATGTTTATAGCCTGTCATTCCAACGAACCGCCAAAACGTCGAACCAAAGCGACCATCTCGACCAGTAAACTTGACACCGATTATCCAGGTAATAAATTTGTTTTATTTCTAGAATCAGCTTAATTTAGAATATTGGACGTGTTGGAACACGGCAACATCGTCTCGTCGTAGACTGGACCGCTGATCGACGTGCTTGGGCTTTTTCGGTCAACTTTGTAAGTTATCTGTTGCTCTCTTGTGATTACTCCAGATTCAGGTTTATCGCCTTAATTCGGAAATTTTGATTAGACGATTGAAAGAAAAGGTGAATTGTGTTCAGCCACAAGATGTCACAAAACAGGTACGATCCATATTTAAAACTTAATCACTGATTGAATATAGATTATTATTCGACGTTTGACTACTGGAGATGAAGATGGTATTTGTCTGGAGCAAATTAAAGCAAGTGTCAAATGCCCAGTGAGTATTTATTTTTGTCCAACTTTCAAGTGCCTTTGCTATTGCGAATCACATTTTTTAGTTGACTCGAACACGGTTGTCTACTCCAATTCGTTGCCGAGATTGTGATCACCTTCAATGTTATGATCTAGAGAATTACATCCAAATGAATGAGAAGAAGCCGACTTGGAAATGTCCTGTTTGCTCTCATCCTGCGCCATATGAACGTCTTCTCATTGATGAGTAAGTGATCGTGTAATTAATAGAAAATCCTTTTTTAGGTACTTTGTCAAGGTGCTTAACGAGACAAACAAAGATGTCGATGAAGTGGAACTTTTGCGCGATGGTGGATGGAAAGTGATTGTCGAAGAGGTGTTATCGGCTTCTTGACGCTAAACCGTTGACTTTTTAGGCATTTGCATTGAGTTCTGATGACGATGAAGATGTGAAGCCAGCTGCAAGCACCCAAGCAAATGCAAGTACCGTAAGGACAGAACGCCCAAGCACCGATTCTGGACCACCACCAGCAAAGAAGGTAAAGATTTATTATGTTATCTGTTTTACACCCAAACAAGTTTTTGATTTAACGGTGATTTATTTTTTTCAGAAGTGTCCTCCACCCAACGATGATATTATTACACTCGACGATTCGGACGATGACGATGAAATTCAAAGAGCTACCGAAGCTTCAATTGCCGAGGCAACCAGGCAAAATGAGCTGAATGCATCAACGGAGAGTGCCAATAAAGAAGTTGGTTCCACCACCATTTCTACTTCTCCAGCTGCACAACCCTCAACTTCTGAAGTGACTGCACCAAATAGTATTCCTACCACTCCTGTCAGAAAGAATAACGGAAATAGCTCAAGTGAGATTGAGGTCTGAATTTTTAAAGTTTAACTTCTCGTAGGTAAAACAATGCATCTTTCGCTGTACTTTTTTGTGTTGTGTCTTTGAATGAGACTTTTCTTTTAGATTATCACATTGGATGACACGCCGCCTAGGCCAGTACCATTATCGGCTCAAAATGGAGGTACGTTTGGTTTTACTGCCCTATTCAACGCAAATTTTTAGTTGCCGTGGGAATTTGGAGGCCAGATTCGAATGCTTCTGCATCATCATCAGCGATTGGCAGCTCAAGCACACCGAATCCTGGAGAAAATACAGCAAACGCCGGAAACATTCAACCGGTCTGTTTGCATATTACTAGCTAAATAATACTATCCTTATTTTTGCATATAATAAATTGTTAGGGTCTTTTTAACTTTTTACCAAGTGATCGAGTGTAAATAGGTTAAAGTTTTAGACTTCGGTTTACTGACTTTATTTTATTCATTTTCTACTTACACCATATAAATTTTGGATAAATCACTCGGTTGTTTTGCAATATTTGTTTTTTAAAGTATAGCATTTTATCGATTAAGCTCTTAGAGCACGATTTTTGTTTACCGATTTTTATGAAGACCGTAAAATTTATGTACTATATCAATAAAGCTTTGCGAAAAAACCGTGCATGGAAGTGATGAAATTTTTTTGCTAAAGCATGGCAAGCCCGAGCCTTTAGCCAATAGTTCTGTTTCTGTTGAACTTTTAATAAACTGGACAAAAAATCAATCACCCGATCGTTTTTAGTTTTTCCCTTTGGCAACCACTCCACTCACAGCGACAGATTTACTAGCTCGAGTGGTGAGAATGTGATAATTGTTGTTCTTCTCCGCGTCATGTAGTATAGAATCGTTCTATCCTTTCTGGGCTTTATGATACAAAAGTATTCTAATCTTTAAATAATTAAAAGTTTTAGACCAACGAGCTTACGTTTGGTTTGGATGAGAGATCGATCGAGAATGTCACTCGTCTTTTGTCTGGCCACACACCAGAGCCCCTAAACTACCATATGAATTTCAACCAAATGCTTCTGGATCGGGCTCAAAATCCGCACTTGTGAGTAACTTTTTGAAATAATACGGGGAAATGTTTTGTAAAATGATAATTAATTTTTTACTTTAGGCAAACCGCCCTTGCACAATTCCCGGCATTCACCGGAGCCAACTATTCGAACTACGCAAGTTTTTCGAGGATTTTCTCAAACCCGGGTGCTTCTTCGAGTGGATCGTCGACTTCGCACCCTCATGGACCACCACAAGGCTTCAACTCATATAACGGGTACCCCTTTTACTTTTTTGTTTCTTTTATGGAACATTTTAGGTACCCCTGAAAACGACGCTCACAATTTGCGAGAAAGTGATCTCCCCTCAGAAAATGTTCGGTGATTTTGTTGTATAGGTGAAATTTAAAGTGTTTTGTTTTTATTTTCTTATAAGAGAGCGTTTAAATCTAACTTACCTTTTTTTCTAACCCTTGCCAAGATGATTTAATATTTATCGTTGCTTGTTTAAAGAATGATTAGTGCATATCAGGGGTAGTTGGAAAGCTGTAGCTTTAGACGAATAATTTGTCTTTTGATACCTGAAACGGGGTTTAGTGTATTCCAACCTTTGGGTTTAAAATTTCTCAAAATTCCCAAAATTCCTTGAGTTTTAATATTTCATCAAATTGTTGCTCTTTTTAGTGAATTGAATAATTTCCGATATTGTTGAATGTCATTCGTTACGTTTTTCTTTTTTTGATTATGCTAGATGAATGTCTGCTTTTTTGAAGTTATTGCTTTGTAAAACTGGAACTTACAATGTTTTTATACCTTTAAATTTATTCAGTAACTCGTAAAAAGCACCGAGATAAAAAAAGAAAAGAGTGTGTGTCGACAGTTTTTCTGAACAAAGAGACGAGAGGAGACTAGAAATACAAAAATTTCCGATACTTTTCCGGGAAAGGACTATATTCTTTGAAGACTCTGAATTAAACTGGCTCCTCGTAAATAAAACCATTCTCAAATGTGCGTTTGGGGGAAGATACCGTGAACCCAATGCTTGGATGAGAAATCAGCCTGCTTTTTAACCTCAGGCGGGCAAAGTACTTCTCCGAGCGCATCTTTTAGAAGTCGCTTTAGCGCGAAAAGCACAGCAAAAGCATACTTTGTATGGAAAGAAATATGAACAAACAAAAATAAAAAAGAAAAGAACTCCTCCGACTACCATCCACAAAATTGGGAAAAGAGACTAACAGAGCATTTTCCTCTCAATTAGTTTAAATTTTGATGCAATTTGCATAGTCAGATGATCTTTTTCTCAATGACTCTGAGCTTACGATAACTTTAGTGCAACTATCTGCCTCTTCAAAGCGTTTTCGAAAACTTGTCAACTTTCGCGCGTACCGTTTCTTGTCTCTGCTTTCTGAGACAAAAGCAGATTTTTAGAATCTACCATACCCGCTATAACCTTTACAAACCCCGAACCAATCCAGGATTAACTTTGCTGGCTAAATTCTCAGATATAAAGTCGTCGAAATTTTTCCAAATCGATGCTTACGACGCTTTCTAAACTAGGTGTCTTTTAAAAAACGCAAATTCTAAATCAAAGACCTATCTTGATTCTAAACTGGCAGTTGGTTACGGTAGCTTTTCTAAAATAGACGCCTTTTAGCAAACGCAAGCTCTAGATCAAGGCTTAGTCTTGATTTCATGCAATTCTTAATGCCACTCACCAACAATATCACATTCGGCATCAGTGAGGTGGCGGTTATTTTTCAGAAAAATAATTGGCCCTCCTAATGAAATAAACCGTAGTTCAATTGGTGCATTTGTTGGTTTTAAACGGAAGCATGAAAAGGAACGAAAAGACTTTCTGCACAGCCTAATACTTGATGGTACTTGGTTGGACTTGATTAACGAGAGCTTTTACGAGTAAAGGACGATAAGTTGAACTTTAGGGTTGAACAAGACAATTTTTCAGACCAGACTAGTTTAGGCAAGTCAGGCAACGTCAAGCTAACTAGGGATGCTCACAGATTTGCCATAGCCTTTCGAAATGAGATCAAGGTCATTCCATTGGAAATTTTTTTTCTGATTCTGAATATCATAGTTAAATGTGTGTTAAGGGTGGAAAAAGGTAAAAAATGGCAAAAAGTGAGCCGTGGCCTAGTGGTTAGTGTGGCTGCATGATACGTTTTTGCTTCCTGCTTCGATTCGGCGCGTAGTTGACCTTTTTGCTCTTTGTGGTAAGCCATAAACATACATTTTCTGGCATAGTAAAAATGTCTATATGGGCCCTTTGCAGATCTTCCCTTCCTTCTCTACTATAGTCAGGCTTGTAAGTGGAAAATTTAGGGATCTACTCAAAGTAGCGCCTCAAATCTAAAGATTTCAATGTAGATAGTGAGAATTTTATTTCTAATGATTCTAATGAAAGTAAGCAGAAGTCGATTCCGCTTTTACATCTTGATTTATCGACCCTTTTGAATTGAACTTACCCTTTTAGATACGTAGGTCAACTTTGACCGAAAATTTCCCTATGTTTTTTTATTAAAGTTGACTGCGTAAATTATGGTTTTCTATAATAGAATTTCATTAGATACATTTTAAGACCAGCCACAAGTTGATCGGTCAATTGGAAATGGAGATATGGGGCAAAAGAGAAGAGTAGTCCAACTCCGATTCTCTGGAGAAAAGTAGAATCTTTGAGGATGGTACCATCCTCTAAAAAGGTATGGGGTAACCTTTTAATATCTATTTTTCTCTATGTTTTCCTCGGTAAATCAATAAAACAAATTATATATTTCTTTAATGAAATTTAACGTAAATTCTAATGAAAGTAACTAGAAGTCGATTCCGCTTTTACATTTTGAGTTATAGACCTTCTAATTGAATTTACCCTTTCAGATAAGTAGGTCAACTTTGACGGAAAATTTCTCTATGTTTTTATATTAAAGTTGACTGCGTAAATTATGGTTTTCTATAATAGAATTTCATTAGCTACATTTTAAAACCAACCCCAAGTTGATCCGTCAATTGGAAATGGAGATATGGGGCAAAAGAGAAGAGTAGTCCAACTCCGATTCTCTACTCCCCCCTAGACAAATGTCCAGGGGGGGGCGTAGGCACTTATCCGACTTTGACTCTAATTTTCTCTATGTTTTTATCGGTAAGTCTATAAAACAAATTAAATATTTCTTTAATGAAATTTAACATAGATTCTAATGATAGTAAGCAAAAGTCGATTGAACTCTTACATCTTGAGTTATAGACCTTTTAAATGGATCGACCCTTTCAGATAAGTAGGCCAGCTTTGACCGAAGTTTTCTCCATGTTTTTATCTTAAAGTTACTAAGGAGGTTGTCGATTTCTAATACCAAATTTCATAAGGAACATTTTAAGACCAACCACAAGTTGATCGGTCAACTGGAAGTGGAGATATGGAGGGAAAAGAGACGATACCCCTATAAAATCTGCCTACCCCCCTAGACAAATCTCTAGGGGGGTAGACACTTTCTCGACTTTGACCCCGATTTTCTCTATGTTCTTATCGATAAATCTACAAAACAAATTATACATTTCTATACTCAAATTTTGTGTAGAATCTAATAAAAGTAACCGCTAGTTGATTCGACTTTTAGATCTCGAGTTATAGACGATTTCAGCGAATCACCCCTATAAAATTTATGAGATTTGGTGAAAAGGTCGTATTTTTTCCCAGGAAACCCCTAATTTTAAGTAGAAATTCGGACTCTCCATCAAAAATCGACCTTAGAAAAGTGTTTTTTATTATACTTCTGCGTCTTTACTAATCTCTAGGTCGAAAAGTTGAGGATGGTACCATCCTCAACGACCCTACTTTTCTCTATGTTTTCCTCGGTAAGTCTATAAAACAAATTATATATTTCTTTAATGAAATTTAACGTAAATTCTAATGAAAGTAACCAGAAGTCGATTTAGCTTTTACATTTTGAATTATAGAGCTTTTAAGTGAATTTACCCTTTCAGATAAGTAAGCCAACTTTGACCGGAATTTTCTCTATGTTTTTTTATTAAAATGTAGCAAATAAGTCTTGGATTTCTATAACGGAATTTCATAAGGAACCTTTTTTCATAAGGAAAAGGGTAAGTTCACCTAAAAGGTCTATAACTCAAAACGTGAAAGTGGAATCGTCTTTTGCTTATTTTCATTAAAATCTACGTTAAATTTCATGGAAGAAATATATAATTTGGATCCATACTCATCGGATCTGGGATCCTACCCATTACTGAAAAGGCTTTCAGGCCTAAAAAGCTTTCATTACTGTTTTTCATTACAAGCCTTTTCAGGCCTGAAAGCCTTACAGTAATGAACCTAATGAACCCATACCCTCTGACTCAAGTCAGTACTCTGATTGGATGAACTTATTCTTATAAAAATGTATTCAATTGCAAAATAATATGGAGTGAGTTAAAACACCAATAAAAAAAATTGGATTTATAAAGATTTGTTCAACAAATATATAAAAAACGAAAGCGGGGCAGATTCAATTTGTTTACAAATCCAAAAAAATGAACTCAAATAAACCACTAGTTAATCTTGAGAAAAAAATGAGTGATGCAAACATAAATCTAAATGCAAAGAAACCGCTACGAGGTGACCAAAATGACTAATAAAGTGGTTAGACTTTTGCGCTAATTCTGACGAATGCCACGAAAACCGATGATCAGAAGGATCAACGGTCAAAAGTCTAGCCACTTTATTAGTCATTTTGGTCGCCTCGTAGCGGTTTCTTCGGAAACGGAAATCCAAAAAAGAAAACAGCTACAATTTTGAAACTAGAAACGCAAAAGAGCGGAAGAACATAGAATTAGAAAAGGTTAAATCAAACTCAGATGTTTTGTCGACAGGCGGCACCGAGCAGTTTTCCATCACGTGCTCGAGCTTTTGCTTCATCAGCTCGATAGTGCAACGTGATATCAAAACAACGTCTGAAATCAGAATAACTTATTGAGGTTAACTTCTGAAAAAAAACTTACGTATGCCACCATTTCAAACACGCCTTGCCAGACATCGTTTTGTAGCACTTGGGACAATCATTATTTTTCTTGATGTGATTACCTATAAAATCAAAAGCTCTTTTTAAGTCGAAAATTTATTACTTTCAAAATTGTAAATAATGAAACAATTCTATAAAATCTATTATTGGAAAAATACAATAGAAATTTGACGTACGTTGGTTTTCATCACTCGATGCATTTTTCGTGGCCACGGAGTTGAGATGTTGATATATCAATAAAGTCGATAAGAGCCCCGTCTTCATCACCATTATCGTCCTTATGACGCATCTTCTGAAAAAATGGAAAATCAAATGTAAGAGTGAATACATATAAAAAATTTAAATAGTAGTAAAGTTTTACCTTATTAGAAGGGCCTGCTTCATCGGAGTCAGAACCGGACTCAGCTTCCGTGATCGCCTTCAAACTATTTTGACACAGATCACCTGAGCGACGTCGCTTTTGAGGAGTAACAACAGCAACGGGCGATTTGGAGGGCATGTCCTGTACCATAGAAGAAGGATGAATCACTAAAAAAAATAGATTAAATAGAATGACTAGATTATAAGATACTAAGTAAGTAGAAAATATAAAAGGTGATTTTGAAATCTGAAATAAAACAATTCTTACTAAGATCATCAGCTTGTGTAAGACCAGCAGCAATCAAATTGCGAAGAACAGTAGTGTGTACGAGATCTAAAAAGAAAAACTATTTCCACTAAAACAAAAAAATTCACCTTTTTGAGGCAATTGAGTTGATGACGAAGTCAATGGAACTGTAAAATTTTCATATTATTAAGTCTCTCGCAAAAGGTCTCTCACCAAGACAAGCAGCAAAGCCTGCGGCATCCAAATTGCGAAGAGTCGTGGTGCATGCGATATCTGAAAAGAGAAAATAGAAATGAGATTATGCTAGGCAGATTTTTTTTAAACAGCATTAAACATTACAATTACTCTTATTAAAGAGACCAAATTGACTTACTAGAGCCAATTGAAGAGCCAGAAGAAAATGATCGAAGTCGTTGAGGAGGCGATCGAAAGATTGGAGTACGCGACCGAAGCGATGGAGTAGCTGACATCAACGAAGGAGTCGACGGTGATCGAGTAGGCGATGAATTCAATGAAGTCGATACAAATGCAGAGCGGTTCTGAAAGAGCAGGCCATCCAACTCTTGGAAGATCCTGGCTTCAGGTTCTTCAAGAGGCAGCTCAACACCTGCAAAAATTAGCAAGGCAATGTCTGCCGGATTGGCCTGCGATTTGCAGAAGTCCGCAAATCGTTTTGCTAAACAGGTTAAAATAGATTAGTTTTGGAAATGGAATACCGTAAATGTGACTGGTTTCGCTCCTTGTTTCACTTTAGTGCCATATTTCATAATTGACACGCTCGCCTGATAAATAAAGTAATAAAAAAAAAATAACCGCCATGACAGCCTTCCGATATTTTGTTGCATCTTCGTTGCAAAGTAGCACTCCATCTTTCTGTGATAGCGACATCCCTAAATGAAAAAAGATGTTGTGAAACAAAAATTTTGCGCAAGGTGCTTAAAAATCTTTTTAAAATAAAAAAATTTACAAGTTGTTATGAGAAATATAAAAACATTGGGGTTGAAAAATCTAAACGCAGTCTCTTTGGCACTATTTTTGCCTGGCGCTGTTTTGAAAGGAGCTGTTCTGTAAAACGTTCAATCGTTCAACGTTCAATGAAAGGAGCTATTCAATCAACGAAATGAAAAAATGAAACAACGGAGTCAACACATATTAATGTATTTTATTTTTCGATTTTGACTAGGTCCCAAAATTTAATCTTTTGATTTTCAAGGCAAAACCCAACGAATGGGGCAGCTACGCACTGCGACGGAGAAAGCGCAAGAATGTAGCTGCCCCTTGACTTTTTCTTTGAAAGTTAAAAGATATTCAATCTTTCGCTTTTTAGTGTCATTTATTTATAATGTACTTTTTAAATTCATAATTCATAATCTTTTCGTTATCTCACAATCTGGGGTAGGCTAATTTCCGCAATTCTATTTGGGGAACTGGGTCTTTTCCGCCGCTCACCATAACTTTCTTTTAAGTGTGCCAATCTTTATGATTTTGGTGTCATTTTGTTGCACTTATTGGGATCTACAAAATGACACCAACATCATAAAGATTGGCACACTTAGAAGGAAGTTATGGTGGGTTGCGCAAATGATCCTGTGGCTCAAATGACTCTGTTGCGCAACTGGGTCTTTTCCGCAGCTCACCATAACTTTTTTCTAAGTCGGCCAGCCAATCTTTATGATGTTGGTGTTATTTTGTAGATCTCAATAAGTGCAACAAAATGACACGAAAATCATAAAGATTGACCATAAAGATCAAAAGAAAGTTATGGTGACTTTGCGCAAATAAAATGGCGGAAATTAGGGCAAAATTCAGTTTATGGGATTTTCTCAAAACAGTAGAAGTAGAAGTTTCATTTTTCTTTGACTAAAAGCCTTTCGACACTGAGTTTAGCCCAAATAAGCAATAAAAAAAGTCGGAAAAGGTTTTTCGCTGAGTTTCGAGCATTTTTTCAAAATTCCCCCATACTTCTACGTAGATGCGAAGTTTAGGGAACTCTCAAAATCTAGTTTCTAAATCTAAATCTCAAAACAACTAACAGTTTTTACAAAATGATGATCCGGTGATAGTTTTCATCAACATCAACAATTCTCGATCACCCAAATCACCCAAAATCAAGCCATGAATCCGAAGTTCGTTTAGCCATTGATTTGTGGAAAATCACTCATGAATGTCAGCTAATCGAAGAAAATCGGACATCTTTTGGAAACTTGGAAGAAAATAAATATTTTCTTTTTTCAAAAAATGTACATTTTTGAAATATGGTAATAATAAGCACCACCAAAACGCTAAGCCTAACAGTGTTTTGGCCGAAGTTCGTTTTAGTCGAAAGTCGAAGCCTAACACTAAGCCTAGTCCCATAAACCTCACATCTATGCACTCAAGTATATGGCATTTTAAAAAATGCCCAAAACTCAGCGAAAAACCTTTTCCGACTTTTTTCTTGCTTATTTGGGTTAAACTCAGTGTTGGAAGGCTTTTAAGTGAAGAAAACGCTGTTTTAGGAAAATCCCATAAACTTGAATTTGGTCGAAATTAGCCTACCTCCGTAAACCTTTTTAACAACTGTATTCAAGGTTTATGAACTTATTCGACCCAAGATTTGTCCTGGCAAAGCTTGTTCAAGAAATTGGAACGAAGCCGCTTACACGCCCGCTTTCTCGCAAAGAATTAAAGGTAAAAAATTACTCTCATCAAACACTGTTAAAGTTTTAAAGTTTCAGGTTTTTGGTTATGTTCAAAGATTACTCACCGAGGACCTTGAAGTAGAAGAGGAAGAAACCTTTCTAAGATTTACTATGTTATCTGTTTTAGAGGTGAATGAGTTTTTGATTTAACAGTATTAAAGTTTTTTTTTCAGAGGCGTCCTCCGCGCAACGACGATTCATACGATGACGATGAAATTCAACGAGCTCCAAATAATATTTCTACCACTCCTGTCAGAAAGAATAACGGAAATAGCTCCAATGAGATTGAGGTCTGAGTTTTTTAAGTTTAACTGCTCGTAGGTAAAACAATTCACCTTCCGCTGTATTTTTTCGTGTTGTGTTTTTTCTTGCTTTTAGGCTTTGCTTTTAGATGGACAGAGTGGTTGCCTCGCCGCCTACCCCTGACAACCGCCGCCGCTGCCCAGGATTATCAGCTCAAAATGGGGGCACGTTTGGTCCGGACGAAGACGATGGATTTCAACGAGCTATCGAAGCTTCACTGGCCGAGACAACCAGGAACAAGCAACCAGGAACATCTTTTGCTGTACTTTTTTGTTTTGTGTTTTTGAATGAGACTTTTCTTTTAGATGAACACAGTGGTTGCCTCGCTACCTACCCCCGTCGACCCCCGCCGCTCAAATGAGAGTGAGGTCTGAGTTTTTTTAAGTTTAACTTCTCGTAGGTAAAACAATGCACCTTTCGCTGTATTTTTTTCGTGTTGTGTTTTTGGATGAGAATTGTCTTTTAGATGGACAGAGTGGTTGCCTCACCGCCTACTCCCGACAACCCCCGCCGCGGTCTAGCATTAGCGGCTCAACAAAGAGGTATGTTTGGCTTTTACTAGCCTACTCAACGCAAATTTTTAGCTGCCGCAAGAACTAGGAGACCAGTTTGGAATGCTTCTGCATCATCATCAGCGGTTGGCAACTCAAGCACGTCAAATGCAGCAAAGGCCAGAAATATTCAATCGGTTTGTTTGTATATTACTGGCTAAATAAAACTATCCTTATTTTTGCATATAATAAATTGTTAGGGTCTTTTTCACTTTTTACCAAGCGATGGGGTGTAAATAGAGTAAATTTTTAGAACCTTTGGTTTACTGGCTTTATTCTATTCATTTCTCTACTTACACCTGATAGATTTTGAATAAGTCACTCGGTTGTTTTGCAATATTGTTGTTTAAAGTAAAGCATTTTATTGATTGAGCCCTTAGAGCACGATTTTTGTTTACCGATTTTTATGAAGATCGTAAAATTTATGTACTATATCAATCAAGCTTTGCGAAAAAACCGTGCATAGCATGAAAGTGATGGAATTTTTTTGATTTGACGGTGAGATAGTTTTGTTTCAGAAGTGTTCTTCACGCAACGATGATTCGTACGATGACGATGAAATTCGACGAGCTACCGAAGCTTCACTTGTCGAGGCAACCAGGAAAAAGGAACTGAATGCATCAACGGAGAGTGCCAATAAAGGAGTTGGTTCCACCACCATTCCTACTTCTCCGGCTGCACAACCCTCAACTTCTGAGCTGACTGCACCAAATAATATTTCTACCACTCCTGTCAGAAAGAATAACAGAAATAGCTCAAATGCTAGTAAGGTCTGAATTTTTCAATTTTAACTTCTCGTTGGTAAAACAATGCAGCTTTCGCTGTACTGTTTTGTGTTGTGTTTTTGAATGAGACTTTTCTTTTAGATGGACAGAGTGGTTGCCTCGCCGCCTACCCCCGACAACCGCCGCCGCCGTCCAGCATTATCGGCTCAAAATGGAGGTACGTTTGGTATTTACTAACCTATTCAACGGAAATTTTTAGTTGCCGCGAAACCTAGGAGGCCAGATTGGAAGGCTTTTGTATCATCATCAGCGGTTGGCAACTCAAGCACATCGAATGCAGCAAAAGCCAGAAATATTCAACCGGTCTGTTTGTATATTACTGGCTAAATAATACTATTCTTCTTTTCTTCATAGAATAGCGTCTTTTTCACTTTTTACCAAGCGATTGGGTGTAAATAGAGTAAATTTTTAGAACCTTTGGTTTACTGGCTTTATTCTATTCATTTCTCTACTTACACCTGATAGATTGTGAATAAGTCACTCGGTTGTTTTGCAATATTGTTGTTAAAAGTATAACATTTTATCGATGAGCACGATTTTTGTTTACCACCTATTTTTAAGAAAGTTTTTGATTTGACGGTGATTTGACGGATTTGTTTTTGATTTTGATGTTTCAGAAGTGTTCTCCACGCATCGATGAATCGTACGATGACGATGAAATTCGACGAGCTACCGAAGCTTCACTTGTCGAGGCAACCAGGAAAAAGGAGCTGAATGCATCAACGGAGAGTGCCAATAAGGGAGTTGGTTCCACCACCATTCTTACTTCTCCAGCTGCACAACCCTCTACTTCTGACGTGACTGCACCAAATAATATTACTACCACTCCTGCCAGAAAGAATAACGGAAATAGCTCAAATGAGAGTGAGGTCTGAGTTTTTTAAGTTTAACTTCTCGTAGGTAAAACAATGCACCTTTTGCTGTATTTTTTTCGTGTTGTGTTTTTGGATGAGAATTGTCTTTTAGATGGGCAGAGTGGTTGCCTCGGCGCCTACTCCCGACAACCCCCGCCGCGGTCTAGCATTATCGGCAGCAAATGGAGGTACGTTTGGTTTTTACTGGCCTATTCAGCGCAAATTTTTAGTTGCCGCGGGAACTTGGAGGCCAGATTCGAATGCTTCTGCATCATCATCAGCGATTGGCAGCTCAAGCACACCGAATCCTGGAGAAAATACAGCAAACGCCGGAAACATTCAACCGGTCTGTTTGTATATTACTGGCTAAATGATACGATTGTTATTTTTTCATATAATGGCGTCTTTTTCACTTTTTGCCAAGCGATCGGGTTTAGATAAGTTAAAGTTTTAGCATTTTATCGATTAAGCTCTTACTAGGAAACTGTTTCAACTTACCACCGATTTTCGAAACCGGACCTAGCCTATCTTGTGCAGTTTTTTTACCCGGAATTCGATGCTGTAAATAACTTTTCCTGAAGGCCCCTGGTTTTCGAGAAACGTTAATAAAAAGCCTTTTTTTAGCTTGAATGACTGAATGCCATAACTTGCCTAAAACTCATTTTCAAGAAAAACGGTTTGCACCATTTCTAGACCCCGAAAATCTTGCGACACAAAAATTTCAAGCAAAATCTTCTTATTCTGACCCTTTTAGAGCAACATCGACTTTTTGAATAAATTTTGGAAAGTATTGAAATTTTCAAAGCTTTATTTATTGGCTTTCGAAGCTTTTTATAACCAAACATAAGACCTTCCTACAATTAGCATCTAAAATTCCAAATCTGCAATCCAGTATCGACTCCATAAACTGGGAAGACTCAAATTGACTTCTGCAATGGTCATAGCTCAAAAGTAAGCCTATGTAATGAGCCTAACTTTGCTACAAAGTATCAACGAAGATTACGTTAAAGATGCCCATCAATTATTAGGTTATCAACTAAAGAACCGGAATTTTTCCCTTTTTTACTGGTTTTACAAATGTTGAATGCACCAAATGAAGTACGGTTTGCACCATTGGAAAATCTATACTTTCTCTGCAAAATGGTTGTTGGCAATTTCGAAAAGCTTTCATTTTTGGGGTTTTCGGGAGCGCAAAGGCGAGTAGGTAAAATTGGCGAAAATCGACGACTTTAAAGCCCCCTTTTTCCAAAGAGTCCGGTTATTTAGTTTACAATCTAATAACTTGATTGTTAGTTGAAAGTTGCGGTTTTCCTCTTCAAATTCTCATTTCTAGATGCCCCCACCCTTTCAGCTGGGTTTACCGAATTTGGGCAACACTTGCTACATGAATGCCGTTGTTCAAGCGTTGGCCGCCTCTGAGAGTCTCGCGAATTTCTTTCTCAATTCAGAGCACACGAAAACAATGCAGGTAAAGCAATTGATTAGGTTTTTGATCTTAAGGTGAACTGACTCAAGAAGTCGAAACTGCACAAATGTAAGCCTAGATCTTTTTGATTCGATCAAATTGTGAAAATTCAACTTTCAGGACCGAACTCGCGAACAAGAGCTGAACTCGCAACTTCACGGTAGCAATGGAGCTGTGACAGAAGCGTTTGCCACATTGGTCAACAAACTCTACAATAACAAATGCTTGAAGCAAGATGCGAGGGACTTTCGAGCAGTTGTTGGCGACTATTCACCAGATTACAAGACTTACAAGCAACAGGTGCATTTTAGATGAATAAGTATGGCTAAATGAACAAAATTCAAAGGTTATTTTTAGGATGCTCAAGAATTTCTGAATTGGTTGTTAGACAAAGTGCATGAGGATTTGAATTTGGCGAAAAAAGATGATAACTGCAATTATTCGGTTGGCTTTGGGTTTGAAATGTTTGAATTTTATTTGAAATTTGTTTCAAATTAGGTCATAAAAAGTTATTAACAAGAGATTTTCCAGAAAAACGGCGAAAATTTCTCTCCTGATGAAGCATTGGCTGAGAGAAGGCTGGCACATGATTCGGTGATTACAAATCTCTTCGAGGGGCAGTTGAGGTGCATTTTTTTGTTGACATACTGTAGTTGAGCTAATAAAATGGATTTTCTATGATTTGATACCAGTTTTTTTGTACACCCCAATGAATCAAGTACTAACAATTGCTCCAGAGTTTTTTGGAAGAATAACGATTTTATCGATACAAGACTGCCAAGTTATATTAGTCTAACGATAGACTATGGATTTATCATTGTATTGATCTTGTTCAATATATTATTTAAAACCTCAACCTCAGATCCTCAATCGTTTGCCAATCGTGCCACTTTCAAAAGTTCAACTTCGAGCCCTACATGTACGTGTCGTTGCCGATTCCGCATCAGTGAGTTGTTAGGGGGAAGAGATTGTTGTGGAATTGAGGGATTAGTTTTACATTAAAAAATTAGTGCTAGCTAATTACTGGGTAGGTACACAAGTTTGGCAAAAAAATTGGTGAAGTCTTCACCGCTATAAGAGTAGATCTTTCTTATTTTGAGCTTTCATTCTGAGGCAGATATTTGAAATTTTTGAATTATGAAAGAGTTTGCCGAAAAATAACTCAAAAACCTATCTAAATAAGTTCGTTGAATAACTTCAATTTCAGCATCAATCAAAAACGATTGCTTTTTATCTTTTTCGTCAAACCGGGGCAATTCTTAATGACAAAATATGGAATTCCCGTCGATGCGAAAGAAGCGATCTCTGACTTGAAATCGTATCTAGCTGAGGAGACAAAACTCCCGTTGAGTCGGGTAAGCTCAAGAAAATTTACCGTAATTGTTAGAAAACAGCCATTATTACCGTTTAAGTGAATTTTGTTTCAGATTTTGGTCCTACAACTATCGCCGAAAGGTTTCCAAAATAACACCCCGGAAGTGTGCCAGGTTTGTTTTGAAAGACTTACAACTTGAATGGTCTTTTGAATTTTATGTATTTTTGAGTATTTATATATTTTTAGATAGCAACAATGTCAACCCGAGAAGCTTACGCGATCGAGCTACAGCCAACCATTGACACTTACGATGATCAAACAGTGAATGTTGTCTTTGTGATCACCGTCAAGAATGGGCCACAAGTGAAAAGGTTGGTAGTGTGATCGATTGACATGATTAGTCTGCAATTAAAACACTGAACCAACCAACATACAGGTACAGTCGAACTTCTCTATAACGATCTTCTTCTCTATAATATAAAGATTTTGAAATTCTAAGTGGTGCCCCTAATTTCTGCGTAGCTGCCCAATTAGATGCGATCGTTGCCGGCACAGGGCAACTACGCAGAAAATGTGGGGCGCGTTTGAGAATCGCTATATAGAAATTTTTGGTCCCTTCGATGTCGTTATAAAGAAGTTCGACTGTATAGATTTGACAAGAACATATTAGCATCCTAGCTAACACACAAAAAAAACACAAACGGTAGAACAGTCTCCTAACTCTTTTTCTTATTATTAGCTTTGATTTGACGCCATGGCCAACTGGTTAAAAGCCCTGTATCTTACGCTTTGTACCACATTATTCGTGTGAATAAATATTTCACATAAATTTCCCCGCTTTTTAGAGAAACCGATCCATTTGTGTTGACCGTCTCGCGGCAGTGGGACTATGATACTTTATCGCGGAAACTTTTCCAAGCGGCGAGACAATCAGTGGATCCAAAAGTGTTGGAATCGTTGCCCGTCGGACAATACAAATTGGCTTTGGTAAGTTTATCTCGTAAATTTCACCGTTGTTACAACTGTCTCTTTCAGATTGACACCTGCAACCCGAGCGCTGATTTGGACCCGACTGCGTCGATGCCGTTGTTGACACAAGTGAGGCTTTCAAAGAATATTTTGTAAACATTTCTAAAATTCGATTTTCAAATAAATTCAATTTTTAGGATGTCGATCAGTGCATTCAACACAACAATCAAGATCACCCGAAATTGCCAAACTTTATTCGGATAGCCGTCGAATTCCCACAACTCAACAGGTATGAGAAAGAGATTTGAAAGATTTAAAGACACTTAGAATCTATTGCAAACTTTTAGATCTCTAATTCGAGTGGATCTTGATCGAATCATCAACCATCGAAGTGCCGATTGTTTGGCAAAAGACAACGCTCCGTACGAGTTGACACTGCAATCATGTTTGAATGTAAGCTTAGGGGATTTTGCGATACTTTGACGGGAAAAAGAAAGATTTATCCAGCCAATAGTCATGTCTAATTCTAGGCCTACACCTCTGAAGAAATGCTTGAGTGGCGTTGTGAGCGATGTTCGGGAAGAAAAGCCAACAAACAACTCAAGTTCAACTCTTGCCCACAAATCTTGATTCTCCACCTGAAACGATTCAGACACAGCCAGAATGAAGTGAGAAATCAGAAAATCTCAAATAAACCTCAGCTTTCTAGATCACTGAACCAATTAAAGTGGACGTTTCGGTGAAATTCCCGATTGAGGGGCTGGATATGTCTCCGTTTGTCTCACCGTCGAATCCGCAGAATGGCAAACTGGACAGCATTATTGGGGAAAAGTCCAACAAGTTAGTTTTCTGTAAAATTTTTTGTAAAACATGTTGGTTTTCAGTAGCATTTTCTAATCAAGGTTGAAAATAAGTTCAACTTTTCAGAGAAATGCAAGCAACGGTGTCCCATTCTTTCCCCGATGACAATATTTATGATCTCTTTGCCGTCGTCAATCACACAGGTGTGAAAAGAAAAAAATCTCAACTTTATTGAACTTCAAACTTTTCTCAATCAATATTTGTATTTCACAATTATTTCAGGAGTTTGCGTTTGGTCTGGCCACTACACTGCCACAGTGAAAAACCCAACAGACGGCATTTGGAGGACTTTCGATGACACTTTTGTTTCACAAAACACGAATCCAACAAAGCGATCGGAGAACGCTTACTTGATGTTTTATGAGAGGTGAGTGAATATCGTAAAGATTTTATTTGAGTTCTTTTTTGCAACAGGTTTTCGAACCGGTTCTGATTCAAATCGGATCTGATCGTATCGGATTCAATTCGGATTGGATTTGATCTGATTCGATTTGGATCTTATTCATTTCAAATCTGATCGAATCGAATCGAATCTGATCGGATCTGATCGGATCTGATCGGATCTGATTCATTCCAAAGCTGATCCGATCTGATTCAATTCGGATATGCCAGAACAAGATAAACTGATAGTAGTGAGTGAGGCGGGGAAAAGTAACAGTATCTGTTATAATATCTTGTCTGATGTATAATAAACTGGTGTCGGTATGTTGTATTTTTAAATCTTTAAAATGGGCTTAAGCAGATAAAAACAGTATCTAAGTAAGCTTAACAAAAACTTAACCATTTCCAGACGATCTTGTCGAGCCGAGCGTCAAAAATCCAAGAAAGCGGCAGAGGAACGAGACTTGCCGAATCCTTGGGCCAGGTTTGTATCAAAGCTTTAAAACTTATCAGCTCAAATATTTTTAGACTCCATCTGAAACGCTAGGTAAGATTGCTAGCTAGTTTGGCTCGTTTTGAAATTTCCTAGGGTTTTTTGGAGATCTCCGGTGATTCCTCATTTTTGAATAAAGTTTTTGACGGATTGATAAAGAAATTTTAGGTTTACTTCACCACGAGAAAAAGAAATGTTGATGGCTCAGAAACCAAATGGATACAAAGGAGAGAAGATTATTCAACAAAATGGCACAGCTTTGGGGCGAGGTGATGCGACAAGGGGAGCTGCCTAAGCGCACGACGAGGAGAGCTGCACTTCTCCTACCATTGCATACGAGTAAAACGATGCTCGCCCCGGCAACACATGAGAGTTTAGCGCGCTAGTAGTATTTTGATAGTTTTTAGGCATTCAAATCTTACACAACTTTCGAATTGATCTTTTCATGGTTGCCTAGCTCTTTTACGAGATTTCGAATGAGTCAAACCGTGTTCGGTTGATCGGAAATGTAAATCTTGATCGGTTTTGGTCTTTAAATCCTTTCAAACTTCTGAAATGACTTGCTTTGATTTGTTCTTTTACCGATTTTTATACACTTTTTACTATGAACTACATAATTTTGAAGCTTTAGAACTTGATGAACTGTATAGAGAATCCTAGAATTACCTTGAATTTCATGGCTTTTCGAGCCAAATTCAAACATCTTTTCAGGCTTTTGCAAGTTCCGTATCATTTGATTCATCTTGTAAAGCTCTAGATCTTTGTATCATTATCATTTATCATTTTAGAAACTAGCCTTCTTTTCGTGATTTTTTTTTCTTGATGACTTCTAAATTTTAATCTCATTTTTTTTCTCCTTTTCCTTTCATTTTCCAAGCAAGTGCCCTATTCGATGATGCTTTTTAGTCTAAAACTGTTCGGAAATGAAATATGTGATTGTTTTTTTTTGGTGAAAACTGTAATTTACTCTTGTAACAGCATCATTTCCTCCTCATTGCCCAGTGTAAAAAATTTCCCTCTTGTATTTTAAATGCAGAGTTTTCCCAATAAATCTTTTCTGCTTTTCATAATGTTTTCTTTTCTGCGTTGAACGAGTGTACTTTATTCAGGTTTTTCATTTGTTAATATGCAAATAAAATTGAATGAAAAGAATTTGATTTTTGCGAATGCATGAAATTGACAGAGTAAAGACAGACAAAGACTCTAGGATACTTTGGCTAATCCGTAAATTTGAATCACAAACAACTTGCTGGGAGTGGGACCAATGGACAAAAAGGTCGCATTTGTCCCACTCCCAACTTGCTTGACAGAATTGCATGCAATGAAAAGATGTTCTTTCTAAAAACAAGATTATAAAAAGTCTAATATAAAAAAAATCTCAACCCCGATCACTAGATTTGGAGGCGCTACTTAAATTCTGAAATTATGCATTTTGTGAAATTGGGCATATTTCTGAACTTCTCTTTGAGTAGCGTCGAATTTGAGAAAACTCAAAGGAAGCCAAAGGTGTCGAGGTAATGCAGTGGGTTCATAAACGAACGATTATGGTTCGAATCCGATTAGTACCAAATTTTTCAAAAAATCTTAGATAGAAAAAATTCAATAAATTTGGCAAAAATTGCTTTTCATGCTTTTTCCACTTTATCCATTAATTCTGATTTTTTTTTCTGTTTTTTTCTGTGTCTTGTGTATGTTGTGGATGTACTTTTTATTTACAATTTACTTTTTAAAATTCATAATCTTTTCGTTATCTCACAATCTGGGGTAGGCTAATTTCCGCAATTCTATTTGGGGAACTGGGTCTTTTCCGCCGCTCACCATAACTTTCTTTTAAGTGTGCCAATCTTTATGATTTTGGTGTCATTTTGTTACACTTATTGGGATCGACAAAATGACACCCAAATCATAAAGTTTGACCCACTCAAAAGAAAGTTATGGTGAGTTGAGCAAATAATCCTGTTGTTCAAATGACTCTGTTGCGCAAATAAAATGGCGGAAATTAGCCTACCTCCGTAAACCTTTTTAACAACTGTATTCAGGTTTATGGACTTATTCGACCCAAAATTTGTCTTGGCAAAGCTCGTTCAAGAGATTGGAATGAAGCCGCTTGCACGCTCGCTTTCTCGCAAAGAATTAAAGGTAAAAAATTATTCTCATCAGACACTTTTAAAGTTTTAGGTTTTTGGTTATGTTCAAAGATTACTCACCGAGGACCTTGAAGTAGAAGAGGAAGAAACCTTTCTAAGATTTACTATGTTATCTGTTTTAGAGGTAAATGAGTTTTTGATTTAGCAGTAATAAAGTTTTTTTTTTCAGAAGCGTCCTCCGCGCAACGATGATATCACACTCGACGATACGGACGATGACGATGAAATTCAACGAGCTCCAAATAATATTTCTGCCACTTCTTTCAGAAAGAATAACGGAAATAGCTCAAATGTCTGAATTTTTTAAGTTTAACTTCTCGTAGGTAAAACAATGCATCTTTCGCTGTACTTTCTTCGTGTTATGTCTTTGCATGAAAAGTGTCTTTTAGATGAACAGCGTGGTTGCCTCGCCGCCTACCCCCGACAACCCCCGCCGTCGTCCAGCATTATCGGCTCAAAATAGAGGTATGTTTGGCTTTTACTAGCCTACTCAACGCAAATTTTAGTTGCCGCGAGAATGTTGAGGCCAGATTTTTGCTCATCATCATCATCATCAGCATCATCATCTCCATCGTCGCTATCGTCTCCATCGTCTGCATCATCATCAGCGTTTGGCAGCTCAAGGACACCGAATCCCGGCGGAAATGCAGGAAATGCCAGAAATATTCAACCGGTCTGTTTGCATATTACTAGTCTAAATAATACTATCCTTATTTTTGCATATAATAGCGTCTTTTTCACTTTTTGCCAAGCGATTGGGTGTAAATAGGTTAAATTTTTAGAACCTTTGATTTACTGGCTTTATTTTATTCATTTCTCTACTTACACCATATAAATTTTGGATAAATCACTCGGTTGTTTTGCAATATTTGTTTTTTAAAGTATAGCATTTTATCGATTAAGCTCTTAGAGCACGATTTTTGTTTACCACCGATTTGTGTGAAGAAGTATTTATGAAGACCGTAAAATTTATGTACTATATGTTATTTATGTACTATATGTTATTTATTTATTTATGTACCGCCTACCCCCGACACACCGCCGCCAGGTCCAGGCATTATCGGCTCAAAATGGAGGTAAGTTTAGCTTTTACTAGCCTATTCAACGGAAATTTTTAGTTGCCGCGAGACCTAGGAGGCCAGATTGGAAGGCTTTTGTATCATCATCAGCGGTTGGCAACTCAAGCACATCGAATGCAGCAAAGGCCAGAAATATTCAACCGGTCTGTTTGTGTATTACTGGCTAAATAATACGATTCTTCTTTTCTCCATATAATAGCGTCTTTTTCACTTTTTGCCAAGCGATTGGGTGTAAATAGAGTTAAATTTTTAGAACCTTTGGTTTACTGGCTTTATTCTATTCATTTCTCTACTTACACCTTATAGATTTTGAATAAGTCACTCGGTTGTTTTGCAATATTGTTGTTTAAAGTATAGCATTTTATCGGTGAAGCTCTGAGAGCACGATTTTTCTTTACCGATTTTTATGAAGACCGTAAAATTTATGAACTATATCAATAAAACTTTGCAAGAAAAACGTGTTTAATGAGACTTTTCTTTTAGGATATCAAATTTGCCACAGTTGACACGCCGGCTAGGTCTAGAGCATTATCAGCTCAAAATGGAGGTACGTTTGGTATTTACTAACCTATTCAACGGAAATTTTTAGTTACCGCGAAACCTAGGAGGCCAGATTGGAGTGCTTTTGCATCATCATCAGCGGTTGGCAACTCAAGCACATCGAATGCAGCAAAGGCCAGAAATATTCAACCGGTTTGTTTGCATATTACTGGCTAAATAGTACTATTCTTATTTTTGCGTCTTTTTCACTTTTTACCAAGCGATCGGGTGTAAATAAGTTAAAGTTTTAGCATTTTATCGATTAAGCTCTTACTAGGAAACTGTTTCAACTTACCACCGATTTTCGAAACCGGACCTAGCCTATCTTGTGCAGTTTTTTTTACGCGGAATTCGACGCTGTAAATAACTCTTCCTGATGGACCCTGCCTTTCAAGAAATTTTAATAAATTTTTAGCTTGAATGACCGAATGCCATAACTTGCTTAAAACTCATTTTCAAGAAAAACGATTTGCACCAATCGATTTCTAGACCCCGAAAACCTTGCGACACAAAAATTTCAACCAAAAACTTCTTATTCCGACGCTTTTAGAGCAACATCGACTTTTTGAATAAATTTTAGAAAGTATTGAAATTTTCAAAGCTTTCTTTATTGGCTTTCGAAGCTTTTTATGAGCAACAAAAATCTTAACTGGATTGCAGATTTGGAATTTTAGATGCTAATTGTAGGAATGTCTTATGTTTGGTTATAAAAGCTTCGAAAGCCAATAAATAAAGCTTCGAAAATTTCAATACTTTCTAAAATTTTTTCAAAAAGTCGAATTTGCTCTAAAACCGTCGGAATAAGAGGTTTTTAGTTTTTAGCTGATTTATTAGCTTCGGTGGTGTGAATGTGATGTGGTTCTTTTCCGCGTCAGGTAGTATAGAATCGTCCTATCCTTTCTGCGCTTTATGATACAAAAGTATTCTAATCTTTAATTAAAATTTTTAGACCAACTCTTCGAACTACGCATGTCCTACATTTTCGAGTAGTCTTCGTTCGAGTTCGAGTCGATTTCGCACCCACATTGACCACCAAAAGGCTTCAACCCATATAAAAGGTACCCCGTTTACTTTTTTTGATTCTTTTTATGGAATATTTAGGTATCGCGAAATGAGTGCGGAAAACGACGCTCATAATTTTCGAGAAAGCGATCTCCCTTCAAAAAATCTCTTAAATTTACCCCCATTCTAGCTAGAAACTTTTTTGATTTTGAAATTTGAATCCTTGATCTTTTACTGGTCACAAAGTCTGGTTTTGCCACTCTACAGGCCTCCCGATACTGATTATGCTCAAACATCTAAGATTTTTGACTTAGTCGCGCTTTATCTTCCCGACCAGCCTTCTAATTTTCTATTGAGTGATTGGAACTGCCAAATTGAACTCAAGTCAAATAAATTGACGAATAGAACTTATTCAAAATCAACCATTAGCAAGCTTTTTCATGACTTTTGCTTTTAAACGTAAATAGTTTTTCTTTCTGGTACCCCGGAATGGATCTTGTAAATAGTTTTACTTCGTTCCTTCGCTTTATATCTAGATGAGGTGATTTCTGATTTTGGTACCTAATACTTAGAGCACGCAAAACGCAGCTCTAAAAGCCGAATCGATACGAAGCTAGCTTGTCATTCCAACCACTTTGAGTTTTCGCTCTAAATTTCTTTATTGTCAGTACTATTTTCCCTCTTTTCTACAGGATGCGGCGAAAGTTCTGTCCTTTTTAAATTACCTTTAATTGAATTCTCTCTGATTCTTATTATTTCATAAGTGTTTATAGCCCAAAGATAACCAATTTTCCACAGAAATTAAATTCTGTAAAAGATTGGCTATCTTTCGACTATAAACACTTATTTAATAAAAGCAACCGGGAAGCTTTTAGAGAGAATTCTAAAAAGGACAAAACTTTCGCCGCACCCTGTACTCTGTGCAAATTTTGCTGTGGATTCATTATTCATTCATTTATTCATTTGTCACTTATTCATTTGCCCAATAAAAGTATATGCATTTAGTAAATTGAATAATTTCCGATATTGTTGAATGTCATTCGTTACGTTTTTCTTTTTTTGTTTGTGCTAGATGAATGTCTGCTTTTTTGAAGTTATTGCTTTGTAAAAATGAAATTTACAATGTTTTTATGCCTTTAAATTTATTTAGTAACTCGAAGAAAAAGCGCCGAGATGAAAAGAAAAAGAAGAGTGTGTATCGACAGTTTTCTGAACGAGGGAGACGAGAAGGAGACTAGAAATACAAAAATTTCCGATACTTTTCCAGGGAAGTTGACTATATTCTTTGAAGACTCTGAATTAGATTGGCTTCTCGTAAAATAAAACGATTCTAAGAGGTGCTTTCACAGGGAGGATTACGTAAACCCATGGTTTTTACGAGAAATTACCATTTTAGACTACTTTTTGACCTCAAGAGAGGAAAGTAGCTTTTCTCAAAAGTACAGTAGCTTTTCTCCACAAGTGCACCTTTTAGAAATCGTTCTATCGCAAAAAGCACAGCCTACTCTGTATAGAAAGAAATATGAACAAACAAAAATAAAAAAAAAAGAAAAGAAATTCTCCGACTACCATCCACAAAATTTGGGAAAAGAGAGACTAACACGTGTGTGAAAAAAATGGGAAATAAATTCTCACCGAAGAAAAAAAGTACATTTTCAAACCGAAAAAAATATGGATAAATATGGGGAAAGTTTCTTTTTTTGTTTTGTTTCTGATAGAGCTTTTTCACAAATCGGCGTAGAATCGCTTTTGGGACTCGTTTATGGCAAAAAAAAATAATGGTTTTTTTGGATAGAAGAAAAGTAGAAGACATGACAAAAAATGTAAAAAAATGATGGAGTTGATGGTTGGGGATTTCTTAGGTAACTTTGCTTAGGTACTGCTGCCTAAATTCTCAGATATAATCGTCGAAATTTTGCTTTTTTTTTCTTGCAAATCAATCACAAAGTCCTAAAGAAAACCAAAAAAAAAATGAATCAAAAACCAGAAAAAAAAAATGTTGAATCAAAAGAAAATAGCGAAAAAAGAAAGTTTTATAGAAAAGAATGTGCCCGAAAGTGTCGAGATGGAGAGAAACTAATCAAAAAATCAAAAATTGGGGTTTTTGTTTCAAGAAAACAAGACAATACTGCGAGAAATGAACACGGGGTTTTCAATTGTGGTTTACACCGGGGGCTTTTATTTTAAAGAAATTCGATCTAACTGGCTAGGTGGGGAATGTGCTAGGTTGTAAGAAAATTGTTTATTTCAGGGTTAAAGGATGGGCTGGAATTATGGAAATGATCTGGCAAGTCTGTTTTTTTGAAAATATCGAAGAAAACTTAGATTTAAAAAAGCAAAGAAAAAAATTCGAGTCGAGGAATCGAACCCGTGGCCTTTCCGGTGATGAGCTTTGGCCGTGAGACGAGAGCGATAACCAACCAACCTGGTCGTCCAACCAACCTGGTGGAGCGATAACCAACCAACCTGGTGGAGTCAACTTGGTTGGTCTCTTATTTTTCTATTTTATAGCCCATCCTTAACCTTTAGAGAAAATTTGACTACAGTTTGTTTCTAATGACATTAGGATTATTAGGAAATTGATTGCTGCGGTCTCCAGGCTTCGGCGATTCTTGGTCTTTTATCGGGTGGCGAATCGGGCTCCGTTTTCACGTAGGCGGCCGGCTTGAGCGGTTGATGGAGATTCGTCCATCCGCCGTCTATCCGAGTGCCTGTGAAGCCTGGAAATTATAGGAATTGGCAATGGGCGTCAACTCAATTCGCATTGTGATGAATGTGATTCGTTTTTTTTATTCCTAATAGCAGCCACGTTAACTCCGCGCCTTTTCCAATCCGTTTGCCGTTGGAAACTACGTTTTTTGCTTGTATCTTAGCCGGTTTTGTTTGAAAAGCGTTGAATTTTCTTTCATTCGACTTGAAATCAAATTTTCTATCGAATGAAAGCAAATTCAACGTTTTTCAAACAAATCCGGCTGAGATACGAGCAAGATTCGTAGATTGCCAACGGCAAACGGATTGGAAAAGGGGCGGAGTCAACATGGCTGTCTAGATATGGCCAGAGGAGCGTCGCGTAGTCGTTGCTTTTTCCCGACGAAATAATTTTTTTCTCGCGAACCTTTAGACTGATTTTGGTCGGGTTTTTTTCTAAAAAATAGAGAAGGCAGCCATTTTTTAGAAAAAAACCGAAAAAATGATTTCGTGCGGAAAAAGCAACGACTACGCGACGCTCCCCTACTATTAGAAAACGACGCGACGCTCCACTACGCGATACTATTAGGGAAATACAGTATTTTCGAAACGACCATAATCAAACCGCTAGCTTTTATCGGATTAGCCCAATTTTGGTATCATTGACTGAATGTGATTCAAATGATACCAAGATTTGACTGATTAAATGAAAACTGTTATGATTACGATGTTTTCTAAACTAGTTGCCTTTTAGAAAACACAAATTCTGAATCAAAGCTCGATCTTGTTTCTAAACTAGCAGTTGATTATGGTAGCTTTTCCAATATTGGTTTATTTTAGCAAACGCAAGTTCTAGAAGGCTCTAGATGACTCTAGAAGGCTCTAGATGGCTCTAGAAGGCTCTAGATGGCTCTAGATGGCTCTAGATGGCTCTAGATGGCTCTAGATGGCTCTAGATGGCCCTAGATGGCTTTAGAAGACTCTAAAAGGCTCTAGAAGACTCTAGATCAAGGCTCAGCCTTGATTGTATGCAATTCTTAAAGTCACTCACCAACAATGTCACATTCGGGATCGGTAAGATGCGGTGGAAGGCTAGCCGGATCAGTGTGATAATCGGGAAAAGCTGAAGAAGTGGGAAAATCGAGAGGCTTTGAGACGGGCGGCGGGGGTCCCATTTGGACGGCCGGTGGACGAGCGCCGTAGGCTGAATGCGGCAAGAAGAGGTTCTGGAAATCGACGAGTTTTTGACGGAATTAGCTCAGATTCGAATTTATTCAGATCCGCTCAGATCCAGATTCAGAACCAGATTCAGATCCAGATTCAGATCCGCTCAGATCCAGATTCAGATCCAGATTCAGATCGATCTTTTTTTACCCACAGCTTTCCATAGGGTAGATAATGATACAGTGGCAAATGATTCTTTTCTTTTTTCTCTATTAAATCCATTGAAAGCAATCCAGCTAAAAAAACCTGATAAAGCGAAGGGAAACGAGTGAAATCCGTGGGTTGTGGAGCGGTTGGTGGTTCGGGTGGAGAGACATTCGAATTTGAGAGTTGCATCGATGAAAGTGACGATGGTGGAGAGGAAAAACTGAAATTTTTGATTGTTATTGGCTTTTGAAAAGTCAATTTGAGGATTAAGAAGACAATTTGAGGCTTAGGTTCACAAATTTCACAATTTTAGGCACCGATTCATGTGCATTCCGTTGATTTGAGATGTTTGTTGTTGCGGAAGTGATGGCGGTGGTGGATGTGGGGTGGACGGGCCTGGAAATGGAAGAAATTGAATAAAAATCGCCTAAAAAGCCTAAAAATCGATAAAATAGCTACAGTATGCTTATAGTAGCTAAAATATAGACATGGGAATGGTCGGTATGAACGTCGATAGGTGTTCAGCGAAAAAATGCCATATTTTGGTCAATTTCCCTTCAAGCTTTGCCAATTTCACTTTAATCTTTCTGATTTCAATATCAATCGATAGAAAATCAAATCCTGCATCGATTGATATCAAAAACAAAAAAATCGGAATGAAATTGACCAAAATATGGCATTTTTCCGTTGGACACCTATTGACGTTCACACTTTAAGACGTTTTCAGAGAAAAATTTTTGCGCACCACACTAAAATGCACTAAATACCGTAACCCTCCAATTTGTCTTTTTTGGCAATTGGCCGATTTCTTTGTTTTTTCTCATTCTTCATGGTTGTTCGTATGTTTTTTTTTCGTTTTACACTATTATGTTGATGTTTTTATCGTTTTACACCATTGTATTGATGTTTTTTTCGTCCTTCCTCATTACTCTTATGTTTTTTATCATTTTACACCATTGTATTGATGTTTTTCGTTCTTCCTCATTACCTTATGTTTTTTCATTTTACACTATTATATTGATGTTTTTTTCGTTCTTCCTCATTACTCTTATGTTTTTTATCGTTTTACACCATTGTATTGATGTTTTTTTCGTTCTTCCTCATTACTCTTATGTTTTTTATCATTTTACACTATTATATTGATGTTTTTTATCGTTTTGGCCTATTATATTAATGTTTTTTCATTCTTCATTCTTCATTCATTCAGAAGTCTAATGAAACCGCTACAGTAAGCCTTTAGTAGAGAAAATGGATACAAGCTACAGATAAAATATCTAAAGTATGCCTATAGTAGATAAAATAGCTATAGTATGCATCTGTGCAGAACTCACCAGCCGAATCATCATCCGAATCGCCGCCAGCGCAGCCGCCTTTTTGCTCCTTTCTAAAATTTTGTTTATAAGAAAGAGATACAATAACCCTCTAAAAGAACCAAATAATAGCACTCTAAGAAAATTATCATTTTTTTTTTTCTTTCTTTCCAATCCTCACCTCTGCAAAGCCTCCATGATGTCCGAGTTAGTACGTGACTCATGTGGCTCGTTGTACTCGGTGTATTTCAACAACACTTTGTCCATGTCCGTCGAGGCGTATCTGCAAATTGAACTTTTATTTAGTCGCTCAAAACCATAGCCTTAACACACCTTGTAGTTAAACTAGTTAAATTCGTGTGGAGGAATAGTACCGGAAGAAACTTTACAGTCAAAGAGCTAAATTTAGCAAAATTGCTTCTCCGATTAGCATTTAGCATTTAACAAAATTGCTGGCAAAATTTGTTCCAAAAAAGTGCTAAATCCATGAACGACCGTCAATATATGAAAATTCCAAGCCGAACCTAATTCCACCTTCGTTTTCTTGGCCGTTTTTTGGCCGATTACTCTGAAATTTTGTCTACAGATAGAAATCAACATTTTCAACTTGTAGTCAAAATTTCAGAGCAATCGGCCGGGAAACGGCTGAGAAAACGATGGTGGAATTGGGTTCGACTTGGAATTTTCCGGATTTGTTAAAAGTCAAATAAGTGTGGTCCCTTTTTCGCTAAAAGCTTTGCTCAAATTCTCCTTTTTTTCCACCGGATATGTGGACGGGAGTGACGTCCTCTGAGAAAAAATATCGAGAGAAATATAGACAGAGAAAGAGCCAGAGAAATATTGGGAAAACAAGCGAGACGGAGAGCCATCCGGTTACGAAAAATAGAGAAAAAGAGGCTATTTTTAACCAATTCTCGAGTCAATTATAGCCCACGCATTCCTTTTTTTTCTCTTTTGAACACGTGTTTATGAGAATGTTTTCGAGAGGGGAAAAAAACGAAAAATGACGCGATTTTAATTTTGTTTTCTTTTTTGGGGAGTTGCTTGAAAAAAAGAGAAAAACTTTAGCTAGGAATGGTAGCTAAGCTGTAGACTTAGTGTAGCTGGTATTGGATGTACTTTGTACTCTTGTACGCTTGTACGCTTGTACTCTTGTACTCTGGTACTCTTGTACTCTGGTGCTCTTGTACTCTGGTACTCTGGTACTCTGGTACTCTTGTAAACGATAAAACGTGTAAACGTTTGCTTCTAGCTTCTGAGTTCCTCATTTTTCTATGAATTCCGAGGAATTCCGATGAATTTCCCTCTTCTTTGACCCCTTTTTAACTAAAAAAGAATCGAGTTCACTCGTTTATGCAAACACTGAGAGAAAGTCATCGATTTTCCTCTAACTTTCCCGATTTCAGACAACCGGAAGTTTGATCAGTTGGAGAGAAAAAAAAGCTCGTGACTCGGTGAGATGCCAAGGGAAAAAAGGTGCAAGAATGCGAGAATTCTCAGCTTTTTTTTGCTTCTAGTTTCCATTTGCCTGGGAAAAAATACGAAATTGATCGAAAACTGGGAAATCGAGTGTGCCAGGTGGCTGCTCAAGCTACAGTACGCTACAGCTCCTATCTATCCCAAATGCTTTCACTGATCGCCCCTAAAGAGATCTTTCAATTCTTTAAATCCCAAATCCCAAATCAGACTCCGAATTTCCGGTTCACTTCCCGGAAAATTGCAAAAAAAAAAAACGAAATTTTTCTTCTCCCTAAATTTACCACAAAATCATCTAAAAATAAAAGCATCTGTCTAAAAGTTGCAAATTTTTGCACCTGTTCAAATCTTGAGTTCTGAATTGAGCCTGGGAAATTGGAGGCAAAAAAAAGAAAGAATTGCAGGCAAAATTTCGGGGTACAAGCGCGGAATTTTGAGGTTAATCCCCGAGAAATTTCTTTTTTCTTTTCTTTTCTTTCTTTTCTTTCTTTTCTTTCTTTTCTTTCTTTTCTTTCTTTTCTTTCTTTTCTTTCTTTTCTTTGAGGAAAGTCTTATCATAAACTAAAGAGATACAGTAATCGATGAAGATGAGAAAAAAGAATAAAAATTAATCCGACTCACAATTGGGATCGAATTTTGTGAGAAATCTGCTTTTCAGAGACGAATTTTGAAGTGGGGAGTGTTTCTACAAAAGCTAGCTTACATTTTCACATTTCTATCTCATAATCTGTACTGTGAGTGCTACAGTAAGGCTACAGTAAGGCTACGGGAAGCCTACAGTAAGCCTGCAGCCTTTAGGCTACAATAAGGCTACAGTAGGTCTGCAGTAGGTCTGCAGTAAGCCTGCAGTAAGCCTACAATAAGGCTACAGTAAGGCCACAGTAGGTCTGCAGTAAGCCTACAGTAAGCCTACAGTAAGCCTACAGTAAGGCTACAGTAAGGCCACAGTAGGTCTGCAGTAAGCCTACGGTAAGCCTACAGTAAGCCTACAGTAAGGCCACAGTAGGTCTGCAGTAAGCCTACAGTAAGCCTACAGTAAGGCTACAGTAAGGCCACAGTAGGTCTGCAGTAAGCCTACGGTAAGCCCACGGTAAGCCTACAGTAAGGCCACAGTAGGTCTGCAGTAAGCCTACAGTAAGCCTACAGTAAGCCTACGGTAAGCCTGTCTGAAGTACCATGAATAAGCTTTGCAATAACTGCTACAGTAAATGTTTTGGACTGATTTGATCCAAAAATGGATCGGGGATCGGCAATTTTAGCATTTATTAGATTGTAAGCATATAGTAAGACTAGAGTACTGTAGGCTAAGGTACAGTAAGACTTACTAGTATCTACTGTTTATTGTATTGTAGGCGTTAAATGCTGAAAGTGAAAAAAAACTGAAGAAATCAGTGCGCTAGAGGCGGTGTGTTTACACAAAAAGGCCTCCAAAAGGTTAAAAAGCTTTGAGCTTAAAGCTTAAAAAGCTTGTCGTTTCTAAAAGCTAGAATTTCTTTGTTTTCTTGTTTTCTTGTTGTTTTTTTGTTGTTTCTTGCCAGATTGTTTCTTTAAAATTTGCACAAAATTTCCCTATTTCCCGATTTTTGCATTTTTGCATTTTTCCCATTTTCCCATTTTTCCATTTTCCCATTTTTCCATTTTCCCATTTTTTCCATTTTTCTGACTTTCCCTCATCTATTAAAGCAAGAAAATTCGCGTAGTTTTTCCGAGAAAAAAAACCCGCTGTCCACATTTCCAATCGATATTTCACTGGCGCTGGGAATAAATTTATCCACTCGCCTATTTTTGCCCGAGAATCTCGCTCGAAATATCATGGAAAAGGGCAAAAAAATGCGGTTGCCGGGCAGTGGTCGTTTCTTTTTTGAAAAAAAAATATTGAAGAAATATAGAGTTTTAGAGAGTTTTAGAGAGAGTTAGAGAGTTTCTAGAGAGATTTAGAGAGATTTAGAGAGCTGTAGAGAGTTTTAGAGAGTTTTAGAGATTTAGAGAGTTTTAGAGGGTTTCTAGAGAGTTTTAGAGATATTTAGAGGGTTTCTAGAGAGATTTAGAGAGTTTTAGAGAGATACTAGAGAGTTTTAGAGAGGCTTAGAGAGCTTCTAGAGAGTTTTAGAGAGATTTAGAGAGATTTAGAGAGTTTTAGAGAGTTTCTAGAGAAAAATAGAGGTCTGAGTCGCTGTGAACGCAAAGAAAAAAAGCAACGAACCCCCCTCCCATTATCTGACTCTTTATGATCGGATAAAGGGATTGAATAGCGGATGAATTTATGAAATGTTTTGGATTTTTTCGAGATCGAATTGATGGGCATTTGAGTGGGCGGGCAGGTACAAAAATGCTAGAAATCTGTGGGCTGTTTAAAATTGATTGAAACCCAAAGATCACTTCATTTAAAGCTCGTTTTGTACAAACCTATTGTGAAAAGAGAAATAAGCGATTTTGGAAGCGATAAGCAACCGATAACTTCAAAGTTTTCATTAATATTGAATGTGTCTTGTAGCTACCGTACTTTGGAAGCTACCGTAAGCTACTGTAAGCCAACGTACTTTAGAAGCCACCGTAAGCTACCGTACTTCGAAAGCTACTGTAAGATACCGTATTTTAAAAGCTACGGTAAGCTACTGTACTTTAAAACCCACCGTAAGCTACCGTTCTTTAAAAGCCATCGTAAGCTACCGTACTTTGAAAGCAATCGGTACTTTGAAAGTTACCGGACAAAAGTACTTGAAACTACAGTTACTTCGAGAAAAGCACCGTAATCGAAAGTTAGCATAGAACTACCGTAATCTAAAGAAGCTATCATACTCTAAAGAAGCTATCATACTCTAAAGAGGCTACCGTATTCTAAAGATATTTGTGCCACGTTTTTCAGTGCAAAGATGTAGCTGGCTATGAAAAAATGCTAAAGTTATTCCGCCAGAAGGGATCTGTTTCGTAAAAATTGCCCTACTAGCCGATTTAGCCTACTGTAGCCCTCCTTAGCCTACTGTAGCCCTATTTGGCCTACTGCAGCCCTACTTAGCCTACTGCAGCCCTACTTAGCCTACTGTAGTCTATTCATATTATAACTTTCCCACAAATTTTTCTGTTTCTCCTATAATATTCTCAAAGATTGAGCAGAAAAAGGAACAAATCCCTCATCTAAAAAAACACCGAGATCATGTGAGTCTTTCAACACAAAATCTCTCTTTTTTTTCTTTCTTTTTCAAATATCGGCTCGTTTTACCCCTTCGATTCCAATTAGGAAGCAGCCTTTTTTTCTTTTTTCCATTTTTGATCCTTTTTTTCCTTTTTCAGCCATTTTTTGTTAGCTTTTCCCTCTTTTTCCTCTTGCAACTTTCTCAGAATGCGGCCGGAGAGCGCAGAATCAGCAATTCAGCATAATTGCCGGTTAAAGAAAGTGGAAATTAGGGGTTTTGTGCAGAGAAATTGACTACTGGAAGTCATCAATAACATTTTGAGATGGAAACGAAAATTTGGGCAATTAGAGAAAAATCAGGAAAAAAATGCGGTGACCGGGATCGAACCCTCGGCCTCGATATCGAAACCCCCTGCGAGACGGACGCTCTAGCCACTGCGCCAAGCAGACACCTCGAGACCGACGTGGAAAATCGGATTTAACCCCAAAGTCCCCGTGAAATCCCTTTTTCTTAATTTTTTCAATTTTTCTCTTAATAAATGCCAAAAATTGCCGATCCCCGATCCATTTTTGGATTCATTTTCGATCCCCGATCCATTTTTGGATCAAATCAGTCCAAATTGATGATTGATAACCCGAAAAAAAATCATTTCTCATAAGAAAATCCCCCAAAAAAAGTGATGAAATCTGTTTGAAATCTCTTGTTTTGGCGAAATCACGTGAAATTTTTGTTTCTTAAGAGAAAATCAGTTCGAGATTTGGCAGGCAAAAATTGTCTAAAAGAGAAAAAAATGGTATTTGTTTGAGTGGTGTAGCTTTAAGAAGCGTAATAAGCAAAAAAAATTACGGTAATTTTAGCGCTTCGTAAGTACTTTGTACTTTGTGCTTTAGCGTACTTTGTGCTCATCGGTCAACGCTCGCTTTCTGGTGCATGAACTTTTTCGGTGCTCCAGCGCGTTTAAAGGTGAGCACAGAGAACGCACAAAGTACTCAAAAGTAATGATTGATAACTCGAAAAAATCATTTCTCAAAGCACAAAGTACGCAAAACTTTAGAAAATTGAGAACCTAGTGCGCCAAAGAGCGAGCGTTTACCAATGAGCCCCAGAGGACGCACAAAGTACGCGACTCGAGGAAATTGGGAATCTTTTGCGCCAGAGAGCGAGCGTTTATTGGGGATACAAAGTACGACTCTTGAGGACATTGGGAGTCTAGTGCGCCAGAGAGCGAGCGTTTACCAATGAGCACAAAGTACGAGATTCTGTAGGAAATTGGGAATCCTGTGCGCCAGAGAGAGGGCGTTTACTGGGGAACACAAAGTACGACTCTTGAGAATATTGGGAATCTACGGCGCCAGAGAGCGAGCGTTTACCGATGAGCACAAAGTACGAGACTCTTTAAGAAATCGGGAATCTTGTGCGCCAGAGAGCTAACGTTTACCCGAGCACAGTACGCACAAAGTACGCACAGTATCGGCTATTTTCACCCTGAAAAGATGTTTTTTTAATAACATAAACTTATCCATACTATTGGCTATCTCTAAAATCCAATCATTCAGTCGATTTCCACAAAATCCACCCACATTTCGTGCTATTTCACTCGAAATTTTAGGCTTCAATTTCCGATTTCAAAATTTTTTTATTTTTTTCTAAGAATTTCTAAGATTTCCTCACAAAAAAAATATGTGAAAAAGTTTTTTTTTGAAGAATTTTTCCTTTCCGAGGGATAAGTTGATGATTTATTTAAGGCCGGAAGCCAGGGTGAAGGGAAAAAATGACAAAAAAAAGGATAGAGACGCCAAAAAACATTTGCAAATTTGCAGATTTTCGTTGAGAAGCCGAGTTTTCAGGAGACCGTCTGGCTCGTTTGTGGCCGGGTGGTAAAGGGCGCCGTTTGGTGAGTTGGTCTTGGTTGCTAGGACCTCGGTTCGATCCCGGTTGCTCCCCCACTCATTCTATTTTTTTGGTTGAAAGCCGGTTTTCTGAAGTGAGCCGCGGGCTCACCTTTGATCAACTGGTAACGGGCGGCGTTTTGAAGCCGGGTACCAGTTGCTAGGACCCTGGTTCGATCCCGGTTGCTGCCCGAACTTGTGAAATTTGGTTGAAAAGGGAGATTTTCGAAGGGTGCATCCGTCTCACCGTTGGCCAAGTGGTAAAGGTCTCCGTTGCCAAGATGCTCTGATAAAAAGGGTGCTCGAGTTCGGTCCCGATTTTGACCAGAAATGATCATCTTTTGCTCAAAAAGCTCTTCAGTGAAAGCACAAACATTCAAATCCGATTCCATTATCCCAGTGACCAAAACACACTGTTCGCTTTGCGGGGGAGTAGAAAAAAGAAAAGAAAAGAAAAGAAAACAAAGAAAAGCAAAACATTTCCCTGGTCAGTCGTTTAAAAATAGATATTTTGCCTGAAAAATTTCAGGAATTAAAGAGAAATATTGATTTTTTTTAAAGGAAAAAAGACCAAAAACCATTTGAATATTTTGAAGGAACCGTATTGGAACCGTATTAGATCAAAATAGGAACCGATACGGTAGCTTTTTTGACGTACAAATTGCTTCCATAGACAATCGTAAAGCTTTTTTTGGCTAACGTAAACTTAAAAGGCTTAAGATTCGATTTGTTTATTGGATTTTTGTGAGGAGAAGAAAGGATTTTGGTTTCTTTGACAAGTTTTGACAAGATAAGTCATTTTTTTTCTTTCTTTAGCAAGGTACTGATAGCCTAATGGCAGTGGGCTTGGTTTCGGTTCAAGAGTTCACGAGTTCGGCTCCTCTATGGCTGTTTTTGAACAGTTTTTGCCTTTTTTGAACAGTTTTTGGCTTTTCTTTGACCAGTTTTGGCTTTTTAAAACTATTTTTGAAGTAAGCTAGCTTCGTTGTGACTTGCTTTTGAAAAGAAGCACTTGCTTTTGATAAACTCGCTCCTAAAGCATTGGTAGACTTGCTTTTTTTCCAAATCTAAACCCCTCAAAAGACAATGATTCGATTTTTGACTGCTAAACTGCAAATCAAAAAGCATTCCTGGCTAGAAAGCGTTTCCTTTTAGTCCCCCTCCCAATATTTGCAATTTTTCGTTTCGATTTCCAAATGAAGTCCTCAATCCTGAATCCAAAGCCTTTCTTGCCTTTCTTCCATTCATTTCAATCTCTTCCTGTCTACTTGTTGGCCTTGTTGGCCAGGATTTGCCTACGTTCATCGGATATGAGGAGAGGATTTGCGATAAAAGAGAAAATTAAAGAAAATTGGAAGAAAATAGTAAGAGAAATCACGAGAATCGACGGAAATCAGAAAAATCACCCAAATCCGACTCTCGTTTCCTGGGATTTGAAAAAAAAAAGATGGGAAATGTTTACTGCAAAAGTAGTACGATGCAAAAGATTGAAGTAGAGTCGGGGAATTTGCGGAGAAAGTTTTCTGTTCATTTGATCGCGATTTAGGTTGATTGCTTGAGGATTTGAGCAAGCTTTTGTAGCTGAATTTATTTTTAAAATCCCTTGATTACCGTAGTCTTTTTGCCTACAGTACTCTTGACGTCGAGCTCTTGTCAAATGGATTGTAAAAGTGAAGGGATTTAACTGAATATCTTATACGTAAGAAAATCAATGTCTGTGTACTTTGTGCTAAATAAATGCACCTTTCTAGCTATGGGTTACTGTAGCTACGGGGTACGATTAAAAAGTATTAGTAGCTAGTACCATAGTCGTCAGGGTGGGCTTAGGGTTAGGCTTAGGCTTAGGCTGGCTCAGGCTTAGGCTTAGGCTTAGGCTTGGGCTTAGCCATAGGCTTGGCTTAGGCTTGACTTAGGCTTGACTTAGGCTTAGACTTAGGCTTGACTTAGGCTTAGCCATAGGCTTAGCTCAGGCTTAGGCTTAGGCTTAGGCTTAGGCTTAGACTTAGGCTTGACTTAGGCTTAGGCTTAGGCTTAGCTCAGGCTTAGACTTAGGCTTAGGCTTAGGCTTAGACTTAGGCTTGACTTAGGCTCCGCCATAGGCAGGCTCAGGCTTAGGCTTAGGCTTGACTTAGGCTTGACTTGGCTTGGCTAGAGGCTTAGGTCTTAGCCAAGTCGATTTTGGGCTTAGGCTTAGGCTTAGGCTTAGGTCTCATTATAGGATTGGCAAAAGAACTGGATGTGAATCTACGAAGTTCCGCCTTTCATTAAAATACGGTAAGCGATATAAGGTAAAATTGTAACGAAAACGTCTGTCAGCTTTTTTTTGCCGTTGGCAATCTACAGTTTTTCTATTTTTCTCAGTACCAACGCTTTGCTTTTGACTGTTTTAACTATCATTCGATGCAGAAGAAAATCGCTCGTCGAATGATACCAAAATCGACCCAAAATATAATCTCCATGCAAAAGTTATAAGGCAAAAGGTTAAGTCGCGCTCAGAATAGCTGTGGTTTAGGTTTTTAGCCAATAACTTTGCATGGAGATTATATTTGGGGTCGATTTTGGTACCATTCGAAGCACAATTTTATTCTGCATCGAATGATAGTCAAAATAGTGAAAATAGAATAGTCGGTGCTGAGAAAAAGCTTAAATTGTTTCTCATTATCAATTCTCAATACTTCTCATCTAAAGATTCTTCATTAAAACCCCGAAAAGGGCATTGGTGACGTGGGAGAGAGCTGAGGCTAATTTCAGCTTCAGTTTTTCTCTTCTTTTTCCTTCTTTTCCTTCTTTTTTTTTTTCTCAAAGAATTGTGAAAATTCGATTTTCTCCTTAGAAAAAAAGAAAGAGAAAGCTCTTTTTTACCTTTTTGTTTCAACTTTTAGACTAATTTTGGCTTAATTTTAGCCTTTTCGAATTTCGGGGGCTTTTTTGAACATAAATAGGTGAAAATAGAGGGGAAAATTGAAAATTTCCGTTCATTTATGCATTCATTTCATTGAAAATAGGAGAATATATGGTTTTTGATTAGAAAAAAAGACTTTGTGAGGCAAAAAAGCGACAAAAATCGGCAAAAATCTCTTTTTTTTTTGTTAGACGTGATTTTGTCGAATTTTTGCCAGGACTTTCCTACCGTAATCCTCGTAATTTGTATGTGAAATTATGAGGATTACGATCTAGAAATTGGTTTGGAAATTGGTCTAGAAATTGGTCTGGATTTGGTCTAGAATTTGGTCTAGAAATTGGTCTGGATTTGGTCTAGAAATTGGTCTGGATTTGGTCTAGAAATTGATCTAGAAATTGGTCTAGAATTTGGTCTGGAATTTGCTCTAGAATTTGCTCTAGAAATTCGTCTAGAAATCTTCTAGCAATTCGTCTAGAATTTGCTCTAGAAATTCGCCTTTAAAAAACTTTCGACTCACTGGAAAAGCTTGTTCGTCGAGTTGAAAACGATGAGCGCAATCTCGCAATCGCAAAGCACCGACAACTCGTAGGCTTTCTTCATCAGACCGAATTTTCGCTTCGTGAACGTCACCTGAACGCATTTTCGATGTTTTATTCGAAAAATAGAGAATTATATTCAATATATGCTTTCAAAATTTTGCTAAATCTAGTCAAGGACTTTTGAGCAAAAGTTTCGAAAGGCGTTTGTAAGTAAAGCGCCCGTAAATGTCTTTCAAAGCTGAGGAGAACAGATAAGAAGATTGAAGCTAGAAGTCAGCTAGAAAAATAGCTAGAAACATAGCTAGAAAAATAGCTAATTAATGCTTTAAAAACATTATAATAATCATAAAGAAGTGTTTTAGGAAGTTTTTCTAAAAAAAGGGGAAGAATTTGGCGGTAAGCGGAATTGAACCCACGAGCCGAGATGGCCGCCAGTTTTGCAGTCTAACACACTATCTCCTACACCACCACGACCTTTTCGTTCCCCTCGCATGGTGCCCTCTTATAGGTGAGGTCGCGGTCTTTTTCCAGGTTCATTGAAGAAAATCGAGGTTTTGAAGTAAAAAGCCGAGTGAAGCGAGGGGCGTCGAGGGTCGTCATGGCCGAGTGGCTAAGAGGCCGGTTTCTCATTCGAGAGGTTGAGGGTTCGATCCCGCCGGCTGGATTATTGATACATTTTTCTCATATATGGGTTTTTTCTTTTCTAGATTTAAAGCTTATGCTTTTATGGATTTAGGGTTGTGCTTGTTTTTACGAAATTAGGGTTGTGCTATTGTTTGTACGAAATTCTTCGTCTGAATAAATGTATGTTTTAAATGCCAAGCTATCTTCAGTAATACAGTAATACAGTTCTTATACAGTAACCTACAGTAGGCTGTACTCCTCGACTCATGACGTTTTTCAAAAGGTGTCAAAACTACTGTCAAACTGACTGATTTCAGTCAGTTTCCATTTGATTAACCTAATTTTGGTAAATTTGATGAGAGAATCACAAGGATCAGTCAAATTGGGCTGATCGAATGGAAACTGGCTGAGGTTACGGTAGTTTTAGAGAGCGGAGAGCCTGTAGTCTACTGTAGATCACGGTAAAAGTCGATAAATTGTCTTATCTTGTAGTAGAGTAGTCTTATCTTGTAGTGGAACCTAAGCTCAACCAGGTATCAACCCAGATATCAATCCAGATAAGTTTAGATATCAAATTTCATATCTATTTCATATCTATATCTATTTTAGCAGGTTTTTTTTGCTTAAAATATCCGGTCCCTCAATTGGAGTGGCCTTTTTAATTAAATTTTCAGCTAAACAAACACAAAAGTTTTCACTGGACATGAAAAGAAAAAAAAGAAATGAAAAAAAGAGATGAAAAAATATTTGTCTAGAGATCATTGAATATATTCGATTTGAGTTATGAATTGGGATTTGGTCAAACCACGTACACCACCCACGGATAGTTCTGTTGGCGTTTGGATTGATTGATCGAGGATTGAGAGTGGCTAGGGGAGCTACAGCAAGATTTACAGCAAGATTTACAGCAAGATCTACAGCAAGATTTACAGCAAGATTTACAGCATGATCCACAACAGGATCTACAGCAAGATCGAGAGTTTATGTTGTAGATAAAAAGATTACTGAGATATTGCTTTGGTAAAGCAAGAGTTGGCTTAGGTCACATTGCAATTACCCGATTCTAATTCGGGTTCGATTAGGTTTCGATTAGGTTTTGATTAGGTTTTGATTAGGTTTCGATTAGGTTTCGATTAGGTTCAGATTAGGTTCCGATTCGGCTTCGATTTGGTTCCGATTAGGTTCCGATCAGGTCCAGGCTCAAATTAGGTTCCGATTCGGCTTCGGTTAGGTTCAGATTAAGTTCCGATCAGTTTCAAGGTCAAATTAGATTCCGATTCGGCTTCGATTAGGTTCCGATTAGGTTCCGATCAGGTTCAAGGTCAGATTAGGTTCCGATTCGGCTTCCATTTGGTTCCGATTAGGTTCCGATCAGGTCCAGGCTCAAACTAGGTTCCGATTCGGCTTCCATTTGGTTCCGATTATGTTAGGGTTAGGTTAGGTTTCGATTAGGTTCTCATTCGGTTTCGATTATGTTCCGATCAGGTTCTCATTTAGCTTCGATTAGGTTCGCAAAAGTCTTTTCTTTCCCTTTCACCAGAAACCTTCGGTTCTACTCTGATCTTCAGATCTTCAGATCTATTTTTTAGAACTCCATAAATCCAGGACTGAAGCTATTCCATTCCGGCATTCAGATTTTTTGATTCAGATTCAGATTTCGCTTTGAATCCTCGAGATGTCAATACTCATGGTTGGCTTTCATTCTTTTCTCTTATAACTCTTTTCTTCTTCTTTCTTTGATTCATTCATAAACTCTTCTATCTTTCATTCTCTTTCATTCTCTTTCATCATAATGATTGTTCCAATATTCCCTCAACCCCTGAATACTCCTTTGTACTGTCATAGATCCGTAATTGGTCCGCAAAAGCTGAAGAAGAAGAAAAAACCGCTGAAAAGACCGTAAACAGTCCGGGAATACAGGATTGAAAAAAGAAAAAGAAAGAGGTGAAGGGACCAACGGACAAACGAGCAAACAAAGAAGGGTCACGACTGGGAATGGATGGAATGGATCGTCTTTTCAGCCTTTTCCACACGGAGAGTTCTGGATGAGTGTGTGGAGAGACACGAGCCGTAAAGGCTTTGTGGGAATGGTTTCACGTTTGTGAAATCGAGATTGGAGAGGAGAGGAGCTGGTTGAAAGCTATGAGCTTGACTTGACTTGACTATCGTAGTCTTTCAGGCTACAGTATCCGTCAAGAGTACTGTAGGTATCCGTCAAGAGTATTGTAGGCTACAGTATCTGTCAAGAGTACTGTAGGCTACAGTATCCGTCAAGAGTACTGTAGGCTACAGTATCCGTCAAGAATACTGTAGGCTACAGCATCCGTCAAGAGTACTGTAGATTTGGCAGTAGATTAGGCTGTAGAGCAGAGTCAGGAGTATTGTAGTCTTTCAGTCTACAGTAATCTTGACGTTTTTACAGTTTACAATAGGCCTGAGCCATCAATCGTAGCTCTAAGTACTCCTTTGATCTCGCCACCAAATTCAGCCAAATTTTTTCAACTTTGCTTAAAAACGGTTAAAGATTTTTCAATTCTGATTTGACAGGCGAAACAGCCGTAGTCGATTACATAGTCATTCAGATTAGGTTCTCATTTGGTTCCGATTCGGCTTCGATTAGGTTCCGATTAGGTTCCGATCAGGTCCAGGGTCAGATTAGGTTCCGATTCGGCTTCGATTAGGTTCTGATTAGGTTCCGATTAGGTTCAGGGTCAGATTAGGTTAGTCGTAGTCGATTGTCTCAAAAAATCAGAGCAAAATTCCCACTGAGAATCGAGTTATGAAGTGAATGGACAGACAGACATAAAGACAAACTTTTCGTCCATAAGCAAGATGCTATAATAGACGAATCACTTTCTACCTTTTAGCAAAAAGCTGAAAATTTCTTGATCTGTCTGCTAGAAACTGGTTCAATTTTGTCGAATACTGTAATCATAACCATTGGATGAACTAGGAAGTTGAACTAACTTTTGAATTAACACGGTTCTGAAAACCCGAGTAGTTCTTTCTTACTTCCTTTCTTTCTTTCTCCCTTCCTTCCATCCATTCTCTCTTTTTCCTCTTGTCTTTCCCTCTTTCTCTGGTCAATTAGATACCAGATAGCTCAATGGTTAGCAATTGCCAAGGCAGTGAAAGCAAAAGTCAGTTAAAGCAAAAGATCGAGGTTGAATCCTCTCTCCGGCTCTAGCGCTAGCTCTAGCTCTAGCTCTTGCCAATTTCTTTCTTTATTATCTTGATAAGAAAAAGAAGAGAAGTTGAGTGGTAGAACACTCGAAGAATGGTCAGTCAAAAGCTCTGTGCCTTTGAGTGTCTTTTGAACTGACGGAGTGGGAAAAGTTGAAGAACTTTGTCTGGGTATTGCAATTTTACAGAAGTATAAGGACATAATGATGATGATGATGATGATAATAAGAATATAATAAGAATATAATAATAATATATTAATAAACAGGTTTAGATCTTGTAGAAATATGGAATGAAATCGAAAAAAAGCTCACAAACCTGACGATTCCGCTCATCGGCGATTCGGGTGATTTGGATCTTCTTACGGCCCATCTGAAAATCAAAAATCAATTAAAATTGAATCGATTTTCATAAGAATTATCAAATATCTTATTAAAATTTGATTGAATTTGAATTTGATTGAATTTGATTGAATTTGATTGAATTTGATTGAATTTGAATTTGATTTGAACATAAAAATGAGTCAATCAAGATTCTAGTAGGCCGTGGTCGAGCGTTAGAGTAGGTTTAAAGCTTAAAGGTAGAGTAGGTAGAGGTAGAGAAAGCTTAAAGCTTAAAGGTAGAGTAGGTAGAGGTAGAGGAAGTTTAAAGCTTAAAGGTAGAGGAAGTTTAAAGCTTAAAGGTAGAGTATGTTTAAAGTTTTAGGGTAGAGAAGGTTTAAAGCTTAAAAACTTTAACTTATTTAAAGTTTTTAAACTTTTGCGCTTAAAATTGACATATTTTGGCTGCCAGGAAAATGTTCAGCAAAAACGGAAAACAGATTCGGAATCACCGTGAAATTCTGCGTCGAATGGTACAAATTGCATGCCATTTGGCTCAGCAAGTTCACCTTCCCTAGTGAGAATTTTTCGAATTTGCTTTAAACGCTGTTTTAAATGCTAATTTCAATGGCAATCTTGCTTTAAATACTAATTTCAATCCTAATTTTGCTTTAAAACCTATCTTTGACCAGTAAATCTTCAAATTTTCAAAAGAGGAAAGCTGTTCGCTTAAATGCAATCATTTTGCATTAGCATTGGCATTAGCATTGTCATTTTTAAGGTAAACAAACCTTAGCCTTAGTTTAACCTTAGATTAGCCTTAGATTAGCCTTAGATTAGCCTTAGGTAAGCTGTTTATTAACGATTTTTAAACTCTAAGAGCTTCTCTTAAAGCCTAAAAATATTTTGAATGCTATTTTTAGCGAGTAATCGATACGTTTCGGGGCTAAAAAAAAGGGGAGGAGGTTCGGGGGTAAAAAGAGAAAGAAAAGCGATGACGTCAATCTCGAGAGATCGGAAAAACCCCGTAAACAAGTAGAGTGAAAGCCATAGAATCCAATGAGCGGGAAAAGAGGGAAAGCAGGGTCAAATATTATTAAAAATAGATAGCAGGTATTAAAAATAGCAGGGAATTTGAGCGGTGGGAAAGTCCTTAATCACAATTAAGGGATTTTCCCGGAAATTTAAGCCTTTATTATTGTTTTTTCTTGGAAAAATCCCCCTTAGACGAGTAGAACACAAGAAAAATGTGATCGAAAGCTCAGCTAGAGCTTAGATTGAGGCTTAGCCTATTAAAATAGACATCGATGTGGATATTTTGAAGCAAAAAACCCCTCTTAGTCGAAGAATTTCGTCTCGGATTTGACGAATTTGACTTAAACATTGAGAAATTTGACTTAACTTTGACAAATTACCTAAACATTGACAAATCGGCTTTAATTTGACTTAGATTTGACCAAATTGGACCAACTGGACCAAATCGGACCAAATTGGACCAAATTGGACCAAAATTTGACAAATTTGATCAAAATTTGACTTGGATTTGACAAATTTGACTTAGTTTTGACCAAATTTGACCAAATTGAACCAATTGGACCAAATATGACCAAGTTGGACCAAAATTTGACTTAGATTTGATAAATTGGACCAAATTCGACCAAATTTGACCAAATTCGACCAAATTGTGACCAAATTGGACCAAAATTTGACTTAGATTCGACAAATTGGACCAAATTGGATCAAATTTAACCAAATTGGACCAAAATTTGACTTAGATTCAACAAATTGAACCAATTGGATCAAATTCGACCAAGTTCGACCCAAATTTGACTTAGATTCGACAAATTGGACCAAATTTGACCAAATTTGACTTTAATTTGACAAATTTGACTTAGATTTAGCCAAATTCAACGAAATTCAACGAAATTCAACGAAATTGGACCAAATTGGACCAAAATTGACCAAAATATGACCAAATTTAACTTTCTGTACAGCCTAATATGAGCTTTATATGAAAAATTGACCCCTATTATCGATAAAATGGAGATTAAGAATGAAAAGAGGGATTAGATTATGAAAAAAAAGATATTAAAAAGCTGTGAATATTTGAAAAATCTCGTGATTAGAAGAATTTTGTCGAGAAATCGACTTTCTGGGAGGTGTTAGGGTTCTGGGAGGTGTTAGGGTGTTGAAAAAACTGATTCATTGATTGTATTGACAAAATAACATCAGAATTTCTTTCGTGGCTCATTGCAAAAATGGTTGGTGATGGTTTGGAGCAAGATTTAGACGAAGATAAGTGAATATCTTGTAAATTTGGTAGGTGAGTTGGACCTGTACCCTTACAGCCACAAGGTACGCACAAAGTGTACCCCTACAGGCTGTAGGGCTTAGAGAATGGCACGTACAGCCTGTACGTGCCATTCTCTTGTCAAGCTAGCCTTTTGAATAAGATATTTATTTAATTGAATTACGGTAATGATTCTGAATGAAAATTTGCTTGTAAATGCAAAAAATTGAATTGAAATTAAGTAAGATAAGTGGTTTAAGGAGTGGTTAAAGAGCGGTTAAAGGAGTGGTTTAAGGAGTGGTTAAAGACCGGTTAAAGGGCGTTTTTCCATCCCTGGCGACGAGGGCACCGGTGGCCGAGTGGATAGTGGGAAGGTCTCTCGGTAGCCAGCGGGACCGGGGTTCTGGGTTCGATCCCGCCCCCGGTTTTTTTCTGTTTTTTCTTAATGGGCCGTTTTTTCTGTTTTTTCTTAAAGAGCGCTTTTCAATTATGGCCACGCGGAACCCGGTGGCCTAGTGGGTAGTGGGATGGTCTCTGGATAGCAAGGTCCGGGGTTCGATCCCGCCCTCGGTCTTTGATTTGTTTTCTTTAATCGGGGATAGAAAAAATCCTGGACTATCTGCAGAGATCATGTGCCAGAAAGTGAGAGTTGGATTTGAACCCTTACAGCCACAAGGTACGCACAAACTGTATCCCTACAGGGGCATGTACAGGCCGTAGGGATACAACCTGTACGTGCCATTCTCTTGTCAGTTAATCAGACAAGACAATGGCACGTAGAGGCTGTATCCCTGTAGCAAGACTAGGGTAATCAGGTCAACCTATAGAATGTCTTATCATCGGTTTTCGTCAGTAGTATTGTAGATAAACAGGATTAAGCCCAGGAAAAGCCTAGTTAATTCCAAGAAATTCCAATAAAAGTCCAAGATTAAGTAAAAATGGTTATAGATGAGTAAAAAATAGGTCACAGATGACCGGGAGGGATTTTTCTGGAAAGGATGTCTCTCAAAAAATGAGCTGAAGTCGGGGAAATCTTAGGGAAAAGGAAAGAAAAATGAGAAAAAAAGGAAAAACGGAAAAGGAACAGAAACATCGATGTCTGAAAGGGGTTGGCATTCGGAGAAAAAATAAGAAAAATAAGAAAAAGAAGAAATATAGGGGGAAAAGGGGGGAAAAGAGGGGGCCCTTTAGAGACTGCCCCCTCAACTCTGCCCTCAGCTCCCCTTGAAAAGTGGCCGAAGATTTCTTTTCGTTGACTTGCCAAAAAGAAAAGTTCTTTTCTTTTCCCCATTTTCTCCTTTTTCAATCAATTCCTGTCGCTATGCTGTGTCTTTTTCCCCTTTCGAACGTGAGGGAAAACTGATGAGGGTTTTTTTTTTGATGACAGCAAACTCTCAATCAAACGCTTGCCAGTCAGACTGCTGATTTTTTTTGCTGTGTACTTTGTGCTCCGAGAAACGCGAGTTTTCTGGTACACTGGACTGGTCTGGTCCACTGGTTGGTTCTGTGTGCCAGAAAGGAAACGTTTACATCGGAGCACAAAGTACAGTTTAACTAGGTGTACTTTCTGCTCAGGGAAACGCACGGTTTCTTGCATACTTAATGGGCTATCATTTAGCTGAGTATTAAGATGGTTTCAAGGAAGAAGCATCGTTTAAAAAATTTCATTATTTAGGACCTTTGTGCTCAGAAACACATGCGCTCTGGTGCATTGAATCGATGGTTTTTGGGTGAATCTGTGTGCTAGAAAGGGTGTGTTTACACGGTCAACCTTAGCTAACTGTTAATCCTGTGTACCAGGAAATGTGCGTTTATTAGAGTACAAAGTACGATCGGATTAAGCTTCTGGGTGTATGGTCCACTGGTATGGTTGCGGTTCTGTGTGCCAGAAAGGAAACGTTTACATCAGAGCACAAAGTACACCTAGTTAAACTCTGCTCTGATGTAAACGTTCCCTTTCTGGCACACAGAACCGCAGGGAAGCGGGGAAGCGTCAGCTAGTTTGTAAGTCTACTGGATCAGATTCAAATCTGTAAACACCATCTTTCTGGTACATTCCCTGAGAATCACATTTCCCTGAGAGTAGAAAGAATTGAGAAAGAAAGAAAGAAAGAATGCTCCAGAGAAGATGCGAAGGCACTACGGGGGGTCGAACCCGGAGACCCGCGGAGAGTCTGGAGGCCGCAGATGAGCGCACTACCGACTGCGCCATGGCGACCACGCGACGGTCTCAAAAAATTCGGCTAGAAAAACCCACCGCCGGGTTTTTTTTAGCTTTTTTCGGTTAGACGAGTTTTTCGGCTGATTTAGCTATAAAAAAACTTGAATGGATGGGAAGAGAAAGGGAAGAAGAAGAAGAAGCGTTGGAAATGATTGGAGTGAATACAAATCAAGACCATTTTCAGCCATTTTCACGCTGTCCCATCCTTGCCCAGCCGAGTCCAATATCAAATCTCTTTTTGATTTCTTTTTCATCAATTCCCAATTCCTTTTCTTCTTTTGAGTCCTTTTTCACTCACCTTCATCAATTCTCGTTTTTTGGGGTGATGGGGTGCGCAACGGGCGGCTTACTGTGTCACTTGGGGAGTGTCGATGGACAGCAAGCGTTGAGAATAAATCTGAAAGTGCGATTTTGATATAAAAACGGCTTCTAGATGTGCGGAATGTAATTAGGAGAGAAATTGTTCGAAAGAGAGTATTGAAAAGTTTGATAGGGATACCATATTTCCTCTAATAAACGCCTCTCTCCCTCGACCAACTTT